ACAGGCTGATCCCAGCTCTGCGCTGCTCCTGCCGACCTTCCCCAAAAGGGCACTATGATGTCTTCCCATGCCCTTTGAACCTGCCCTTGAGTCTGGGAGGAGCATCTCAGGCCTTTTCAAGAGGAGCAGAATCTGGGGTAGAAAACAGGGACAAAGGGTTCAGCCACTTGGCAACATCCAAATCACCCTCTCTGCCTCTTTCCATCACATGAAGTTGCCTTCTGTTGCTCTGCGTTCGGCTTCCTGGGGTTTGGGAAGGAGGCGCTAAACTCTGACAGGATCCTGGACCACTCCTGCCTCTCCTGCCTCCTCCCCTAAGTCAGGAAGTGCTTGCCTGGCTTAGGAATGACTTCCCTTCTTCTCTTTCCATGGTTCATTTTGCATATCATAAATCCCTGCATATTTTACATAAACTAAACCATTCAGTATTCCATTATTACATCCACCAAAACTTATTTACACTGTTGAATTTCTCTTAATGCTGCCAACTTTTTCAAGTGTACACAATTTCCCCCCAGTCTTCTCTAAACGTATGTTCTTCATCTTATTCTATATGTTAAGTCTGCAAGCGGTGCATATTCTCTCAGCTTAAGTAGCCATTCTTCTTTAGTTGGGACCTTGGTTTCATTTTTGGACAAACAAAACACGGGCCGCAGTAGTTGCATACATAAATAACCTTTCTCCACACCTGAGAATTTCCATCTGAATTATCCCCAACAAAAAGGACTCTGGTTTTTTTGGGGGAGGGGGAGTACTTTTAAACATTTTTTTCAATTCATTCTGGATTATTTCCTAATACTCTTTTACCCTTTTATAGGCCCACCACATATGAAAAAACATTCTCTCAACCTCATTACATCTCCTGCACTTATCTGATTCAGTTTTAAACATCTTAGCAAGCCTAGGTAAAGGTAAAGGTACCCCTGCCCGTACGGGCCAGTCGTGTCCGACTCTAGGGTTGTGCGCCCATCTCACTTAAGAGGCCGGGGGCCAGCGCTGTCCGGAGACACTTCCGGGTCACGTGGCCAGCGTGACGAAGCTGCTCTGGCGAACCAGCACCAGCGCAGCACACGGAAACGCCGTTTACCTTCCCGCTATAAAGCGGTACCTATTTATCTACTTGCACTTAAGGGTGCTTTCGAACTGCTAGGTGGGCAGAAGCTGGGACTGAAAGACGGGAGCTCACCCCGCCGCGGGGATTCGAACCGCCGACCATGCGATCGGCAAGTCCTAGGCGCTGAGGTTTTACCCACAGCGCCACCCGCGTCTTAGCAAGCCTACTTGGAGTTAATTACCATTTGTAAATCATTTTCAGGTAGTTCTCCTTCAAATAATAACATGCTGTAAATTTCATATTGCTTTTCCAAAGTTTTCCCCCAGAGATTAAAATCTATATTATGTCCTATATCTATTGCCCTGTGTGTCATAGAAGCTTTGACAAGCTCATCTTTGTTTCCCAATCTATAACAGATTGTACATTTTAGATAAAAGTTTTTCTTTATTTTGTAGAAGTTCTTTTTCAAATTGAGAACTTTGGTCCGAAGTACCATTTTTCCTGTCTATTTTAAACATTGCATGTAACTGATCATATTGTACCCAGTCCATAACATGGCTCCTTACACATTCCATTGATTTCAGTTTAGGTTCCCCCTCTGTAAAGTGCAGTAATTCCCTGTTAGTTGCCCACTGTCTATCCATATTGATTCTCTTAATTGTAATTGCCATAAAGGAAGTAGCCATAAAGGTGTTTTCCATTCCAGCAGATTTTTATATTTCTCCCCTGTTCTGTAATTTTTAAACTTCATTGGCTCTCAGTTGACATTTTTCACGTTACCTAACTAGAAGAACTACTAAAATAAAATATATATCTTGAGAAGATGGTTTTCTCAAGAGAAAATTTTGATTTCAGTAGTTCAGCTCCAGCATATGCTTATCTTTTTGTAATAGCCAAGGTGATTGCTTGAGAAACCTCAATTAAAAACTGAAATTCTTGAGATGAAGATGACTCAAAGACAAAGCAGGGAATGGGTGAAGTCTCATAAATAGGCAGGCTGTTTGACCTGAAAATCATTAATCAATTAGCCGAAAAGATTTGGCAGGACTACAGTAGGATTAAACTATGAACCCTTTGAAAGGTACACTTTGTTCCTGAAATGCTATCTGGTTCCACAGTGCCTGTGTCACTGATTTAGAAAACATCCACGTAGAGAGCAGGGGAGGCTAACCCTTTGCTGCAAATGGGGCCCTGCCCTGACCACCTCAGTCTGCCCCCAGCAAGCCCCATCTGCCTGACTTTTTATTTACAACCAGTTCAGGGGGTGGTACGGCCAATCAGGTTCTTCCTCCTCCTCCTTAGTCTTAGTGTTACTTGCAAAGGACTCAGCGGGGGGTGGGGGTGGGGGGTGGGGAAGATGGAGATAAATCTAGAATTAGGCTCCATTTGCCTAAATGAGTTTTGCAAGTCTTCAAATTCATTGAGGCTCTGCACAACATGGTTATATTTCGCATATATATTTCAGCATTGCTCACAGCATCTACAAGGTGGGTCTCTGCAAACATTGTGGACCAATTCTTGCTTCACCATTTGATCTATGTATATGCTGTCACTGTTAGTTGACTTCAATTGGGTATGAAAACCTGAAGAGCATTTGAATCGCTGCTCAGAACTCCACCAAACTAAGGCATGATTGCCTTCCTTGAAAAACACACCCTGAAGTGTCTTGGTAGTTTTCACAAAACGTGGAAAGAAATATATGATATGCCTGTTGAAAATTGGAATAAAAAGGATCACTGTTAACTAGTTGTGATCAGTGGCAATCTGTAATGAATTAATATGAAATTTTGGCATACAGTGGTACCTCAGGTTACATACGCTTCAGGTTACAGACTCCACTAATCAAGAAATAGTACCTCGGGTTAAGAAATTTGCTTCAGGATAAGAACAGAAATCGTGCTCCAGTGGCGTGGCAGCAGCGGGAGGCCCCATTAACTATAGTGGTGCTTCAGGTTAAGAACAGTCTCAGGTTAAGAATGGACCTCCAGAACGAATTAAGTTCTTAACCCAAGGTACCACTGTATTTGGAAACTTGAAAAATTCTTATGGAGACCACACACACACCACCACTTGGCACACCATGGAACACATTCATACCCTCCAGCATCCAGATGAGGCAAATCAGGTTGCTAGTCTTTTTGGTTCCAAGCTCTTGAAAGTGCCAGCTGACTTGCACCAGAAATTGAGACCAAAAAACGGGCTCCTTTTTGTCCTGTTCTCTGGCGCAAGCCAGCTGACTCATGCCAGAGTGCTGGACCAAAAAACAGGACATTCTGCGATCCAATCAGAACCCGGAATGGCTTCTGTAATTCCGGGATGTCTCGCTTAAATCAGGACGGTTGAGCGCTATGTACATTATGCAATTGTATGCAGGATTTAAGATGCACACATGACGTCCCAAGTTCACCAGCGCTATCAAAGTTGGCAAGCTCAGAATTGCCCCCCTCTATTCAAGAGAACAAAGCATCCAATGTGGAATTGTGTATCTCCCTCTCAGTCACCAGACTACTATCACCAGTTTCTCCTTCCATTCTACTAAACATGCACCACCACAACCCCTGGAAACACTTGACAACACCTTAAGTCAAGAGGAAAGGGGTCTGGAAAGAGGCACTCCTTTATGTATTTGGATGCCAATCTTGTATTCAGGGCTTTCAAGGTTAAGCCCCAACACAGCAAACTTATAACCTTTTGATATGATATTCTCTTATCAAAAGCTACTGGTTGAGTTGCCCCACCAAATTACACTTTGCTGAAATCTAGTCCATCTGCTGTGTCCATTTACTCTGCGATCCACCTCTCTTCCACTGATCCACAGGCCAAGGCAGTACAGTGGTACCTCGGGTTACATACACTTCAGGTTACATACTCCGCTAACCCAGAAATAGTGCTTCAGGGTAAGAACTTTGCTTCAGGATGAGAACAGAAATTGTGCTCTGGTGGCACAACAGCAGCGGGAGGCCCCATTAGCTAAAGTGGTGCTTCAGGTTAAGAACAGAACAAAGAAACACACCATACTGATCAGTGCTTTCCTTCTTAGAAAAATGTTTAGGGGTACTCTCATTTTCCTACTCATATTGAAATACTGCCCCTCAATGAGGCCAAACTTAGATTCACAAAATGTTTAGGAGTATGCGTCCCCCCTGCGTCTCCCCCCCCCCCCAGAAAAAAAGCACTGATATTGATAATATGCCACCACAGGTTAAGGTCTCGCTTTTCCTGTGCAGTGTGTGTGTGTGTGTGTGTGTGTGTGTGAGAGAGAGAGAGAGAGAGAGAGAGAGAGAGAGAGAGAAATAGCAGGCTGCCATTTCTTCCCAAAAGCCTAGTAAATGCTAAGTAGGCTTTGAGAAGGAGCCCTCATGCCTCCTTCCTAATGCTGCTGTCACCCCAGGAGTTGCTTTCGCAGCCCCCATCTGCTGGCCAGGAGAAATTGGGGTGCCCCAGGATCAAGACAGAAGCTGTGACTGCTTTAGACATTATTCTGGGGTTGCCCCAGCCCTATAGGGACTGCTAGAGGGTAAGCCATTCACATTGCTTAAGGTAAAGGTTGCCTCAGTAGAACAGTGTGCCTTCAACCAGCTTATGTGGCCCAACTACTATGTAATCCGAACATATTAATTATTTGAACAGGGATATCTTGGCTGCAGCAATCTGAGCTGGATTTTCAAGACTGGACTATTATGTCAAGCTTCATTTAGTGTGGAACTTGGCTGCCCAGCTGGTGGCAGGACCGAGGTGAAAAGATCATATCACACCAATTCTATTCCAGTAACATTGGCTGCCTGCACGCTCCCAAGCCCAAGTTCCTATACTCTCTGCTCAGTCTTTTAGACTGACGTGTCAGCTGTAGAGACTGCTTTCAATTCATAGAGTCATAGAATTGCAGAGTTGGAAGGGACCCTGAAGATCATTGAGTCCAGCCCCCTGCAATGCAGGAATATGCAGCTGTCCCATACGGGGATCGAACCTGCAACCTTGGCATTATCAGCACCAAGCTCTAACCAACTGAGCTTTACCAAGATTGCAAGGCCTTTTCCATCGTGTTCCAGTCCCACCTCAGGCTGCTTCTAGGCAAATGGGCACAACTGCCCTGTCTTCTTCCAAGAAATGTTGCTTTCACATCTCACACTTTTAAGTTCATGTTTATTTAAGATAGTCATCCACGGGCTTTTCTATTTGGTAACCTTTGCAAGCAGCTCACAGCGATCCACAAAATGTATTCATTCATCTTCATTCATACCAGTTTGAATCAATCATATTGCACATAGCAACATTAGGAAGAGAACAGTGTACAAAATCTTCAAAATCATTAGATGAATTATGAGCAGGGAGGTCAGCCAGAATGAAATTAAATGCAGAAAAGAACATACAGAGATATTAACTGGCCTGTGCATACCTACTCATAAGTAAATTCTACTGAGTTCAAGGCTACTTCCAGATAAGTGGATATAGAATTTTAGCCTAAGAGCTTTATTTATGTGCATCCCAAATCATCCCGGGAGCTGCGGTTTGTGTGTCACAGAGCTACAATTCCCAGCAGATAACAGGGGACATGTTATATTCTTGAATCTTCTCTCTAGTCCAAATTCTGGTCACTGACATTCTCTCTAAGATGGATTTTACGTGAGCTCACCCCTAAGACAGCACATGGCACACCAATCTGCGAGGAATTCTCGAGTGCAGAGCCTACACGGTTAATATTTGCAGGAGCAGCCCACAAGTCCTTGCTGTTCCAGGATTGGCCAGAAGCGTTCTGCTTCACCCTATTTATCGCAGCATTTTTGCTGGAAGGTGCTAACGTGTTTGAGTGGCGGAGACAGAGAGACACCTGCGGCAAGCAGTAGCCCTCTGGGGAGGCAAAGGGAGGGTGCTTACCCCCCTTGTCCCCGTGGCTGCCACAACCATGAGGGGCAGACATAAGGACACGTGGATTTTGCCCTTGCTCTTAGCTGGCTTAATTCAGCCAAATCTGGGACAGGAACAACAGAAGGTAAGATATTGCAGTACCATTCAGTGGGGGCTCAAAGAGGAAGATAACCTGGGATCTGACAGCTCTTGTATCCTGGTTTGAAACCAGGCAGTATCGGACAGCAGGGTTTGGTGAGGACAAGCAACAGCTGCCTAGTGATTTATATAACATAATACTCTCTGCACCATCAAGCACCCCTTATGAATCTGCAGCCAGTGGGAACCAACCTGATCTGGCCTGCGTAGGGACCAGAGATTCCATACCACAAAATTATGAGCAGAATGGCAGATCCCAGTTTATATTCAACTCCTCTCCCACAATGCCTTTGAAACTGTGTCTCTAGATCAAGGTATGTATTTGAGCCTATATTGTTGTGGGCATTGTCAGAGGACAAAGGGAGTGCTTCTTTTAGCCGTGTAAACTCGCTGCTTCTTATCAAGTGGTGAAAGGAATGGAGCGCATTTTATGATCAGCCTGTCCCTGCGCTGTCCCCCTTCTTCCCAGGCATGGGAGCTGGCAGGCTGTTTCTCTGTCTTGCTCAGCTAGTTTCTGAACAGAAATTTCACGTTTTCCAGGATGATTATATCAGTGTGATCTTGTGAATTTTGACCTGGATGCTGCTGGGCAAGCGCTTTACACGATAAGACACCTCCACGGAGGCTGATCCTATCAGCGACTACTAGTTACGACGGCTATATCTGATGTCCAGTATCAGAGGCAGCATGCGTCTGAATGCCAGTTGCTGAGGGACATGAACAGGAGAGGGCTATGGAGGTTCACGTTCCAATTGTGGCATTCCCAAAGGCAGCAGGCTGCCCACCACGAAAACAGAATGCTGGACTAGATGGGCCAGAGGTGCATAAACCTAGGGGCCTGCCTTATACTGAGTTCGACCACTGGTCCATCTAGTTCAGCATTGTCTACTCTGACTGGCAGCAGATCTCCAGAATTTCAAATGCGGTTGTGTGTGTGTATTCCCAACCTGGTCAGATGGGTGGGGTACAAATAATAAAATTATTTTATTCTACCTGGAGATGCCAGGGATTGAACCAGAGACCTTCTTCATGGTACAGCAGGTGTTCTGCCACAGAGCCATGGTCCTTTGTCCAATCCAGCAGGGTCCTTCTTACATCCTTAGGTTCTTGCCAGGAATGCTATAAATACCCATTTGTCTTATTGTGAACCTCAGAAGATCAACCTCACAGGATAGCCGCGATGATAAATGACACTATGGTTGCAAAGGACCCAATGTGAATCTCATCCCCCAACTCCTAACTGATATCTGAATCCCTCCTAGGGCAGGAGAGGAACCCGGAGATATAGTGCTGCAGGTCAGGCGGATCCTCTGTAGCACGGAACTTTAATCTCGAGCAGGGAAAGGGGGAGCTGCTGTCTAAAGCACAGGAGATGGATGCGACTTGTGCACCAATGTCATCAGTCCAAAGAACAAGGTTAGGCAAGATAGGATAGGTCCCATGTGACTTGTTTACTCCCAGGGCTATCTGCACAGGCAGATAGTGTGGCAGAGATGTGAGAGAAACCTCAGTGACATCTTATTATGAATAAGAAAGCCACATATAATCTGCCTAAAAAGGGGAAGCACAATAGCCACTTTGTTGCTGGTCCATATAAAGCAGTTTCTGCTCATACCTGCACCGACGCACAAGACCAACTTGTATGGGTCACAGAAAGATGGAGGGGAAGCATTACCTAAGTGCAAAAACAAGTGTTGTGAAAATATTAAATCACCATTCCTAGCTCAGCTGGTAGAGCATGAGACTCTTAATCTCAGGGTTGTGGTTTCAAGCCCTGTAAGCAAAATATTCCAGCATTGCAGGGGGTTGGACTAGATGACCCTCGGGACCCCTTCCAACTCCATGATTATATGTTTCCATTTCTCTCCAGAACAGCAGCTGTGAGGCGAGGTGGGGAGACTTTGGCCCTCCAGATGTTGCTGGACTACATCTCCCATCAACCCCGGCCAGCGCGGCCAGTATCAAGGCCAATGGAAGTTGCAGTCCATCAGCAACTGCAGGGCCAAAGTTGCCTCATGCTTGCTGTACAAGATGCCCATTGGGGCCCATGCCAAGCATACTTGCTAGGAGACAGGCTGCATTGGATTCAGTGTGGCTTCTGGCAGAGCAAACACATTGGATGGTGCTGCAGAGGTACAAAGTCGTTGTCACTTTTATTATGGGAAGGAAAGAGAAGGGTTTCCAAACCTGTTGCTCCCAGTCACAAATACAGTACATCTAGCCTAGGTAGACTGTTCCTGTCCTGTTCCCGTTACAGCAATCTACTGTGCAGACTGATGGGATTTGCAATCCACAGCATTTGATGGAGAAACGGCTTGCCAAATGCTTCCATATACCCCTGCCCTCTCAAGGCTATCTTTAAAAGCCAAGGAAATGACAGTGCTTCTCCAAGCTTTTCATTCCTGTGGTCTGTATTTCAGCTGTTTACAATGGTTGAAATGTTTGTCCATCTTTTGTGGGTTCGCTGGCCAATGCTATTTTTACCCTTGTACCTTCTACCGCTACTTAATAACTGGTCTCAGAAACTGACTCCTCTTGTTCTTTGTCTTCGTATTTTTTGTGTGACGTGCCTTTGGTTTGTTTAGAGCCAAAAGACGTACACAAGTGTTAATCCCCCTCCACAGTTAACATTCCCCTTCCTATCCCACGGCTGTAATCCAGGACTTGACTTGGAACAAAACTTCGAATGGGAACAAATCTGGGTTGGCCTGCAGTCAAGGGGACCCGTCTCTGTCATCCAGCACCTGTGCCTGCAAAGTGGAAAAGCAAAACAGCTTTAGCAGTGCTTGATCTGTGGCTTCTGATGCAAATAGATTTCCTCTCTCCTGCAGTGAACCAGAAGTTCAGAGCAAATGAAGCGTACCGATCAGAGCCTAGTAACCATGTGTTTCTAGGTGACCATCAAGAGATAAGTGGTGGGGGCAGTTCTTCAGTCACCAATTATAAACTGCTCTGCCATAGGACGTTGCTTTATATCGGTACAACCTGTACTGATTGGAGCAGGAGTGCCAGCTTGGGTGCCCAGAGCTGTGGCTGTCATGCAGTGTGCCTGGCCCTGGCCCTGAAATTTGTGGGTGCCTGGCCCCTTCATGGGAACTTTTGTGGGTGCTTGGGCACCCAGGGCCCCAGGAAGTTGGCATGTATGACTGGCAGCACAGCTCTCGAGAGTTTCAGCCCAGGATTTTACCCAGCCCTACTCAGAGATGCCAGGAAGTGAGCCCAGGACCTGCAAAACAGGTGTTCTACCACTAAACTTTAGCTCTTCCCTTCTTCACCACTGAGGATGGAATATATTTTCAGCGCCCAGCACCAGAAGGGTGTGCCCACCCTACTGTATTTATTTCATCTTTCATTATACACTTCCTCTAAATACATTCATAGGTTTGTCAACACCTCTGCTTGGAAGATGCTCCTGTGCCTTTTTGCCAGCTCTGAAGAAGGGGGGAGTTCAGCAGGGATGGCTTCTCTTATCACTACATCAGACACACTGGGCATTTGCACCCGAGCCATTGTGCATTCGCTGAGCTTGGGAAGGGGCAGACACAGGCAGACTCTCTTCCATGCACAGGGGAAATCTGGGCCAGCCCTGATGTTCCCGAGTCCCTGCAGACAGAGGTGCTGTTGTCAGCCCTGCAGTGTTTTGTATTGTAGAGCTAAGCTGGAAGTCACTGAAGAGCTCACTGTCACCCATTTAGACTGTGTGGGATGACTGGTTCTCATACTACTCTAGAGGTAGGGAATGTTTGGCCAATAAGGTGTTTGAAGAGTTTGCAAGGTTGATGTAAAATCGTAGGAATCTTAAGTGGGCCCTGGCAGACACAGAGGGTAAACCAACCTCCACCCTCAAGAAGGCTGCTGGGGTTCCTTGAGGAAGGCCTAGAATCTTCTTGAGATAGTAGTTTTGCAAAATTTCAAGCCGTTCCAACAGCCTCTGGTTCCACCCCCAGAGTTCTATCCCATATAACATCTGGGGAATAGCTTTCCCAACGAAAGCTCTTAATGCCGGGATCACCAATTGTCCTCCCCTGGTATGGAAGAAACTAAGCAAAACACCAATTGTTCTTCGTGTTAGGATGGTTACAGCCTTAAAGTGGGCTAGCCAGCTAGATGTAGCCTGGAATGTAACACCCAGATATTTAAAAAAGGGCACTGTTCAATCACTTGTTCATCTAAAGACCATCTAAAGGTGTGGCGAGCTCTAGTAAACACCACAATTTTTGTTTTATCATGGTTTATCTTTAGTGAATTATGGGAACAGTAGGCTGCGATCCCCTCCAGCATGCTGCGTAAGCCTCTTCGGGTGAGTGCCATTAAAACCATGTCATCGGCATATAGCAAAATATTCAGGCGTTTACCTTCAAGGGCTGGAGCCGATGACTTGTACTTTGCCATGTACTGGACAATGTCGTTTATATAAAAGTTGAAAAGAAATGGGGCTAGCAGGCATCCCTGTTTGACCCCTTTCCCCAATGGCAGTGGGTCCGTAAGAGTTCCCGATGGCCCAGTTCTGATTTTGACTGTAATGTCTGTATGTAACTCTCTGAGAATTTTTAAAAGTCGTCTGTCAATGTCCGTTTCATATAATTTTTCCATAGTCTATCTCTACAGATTGAGTCGAAGGCAGATGTCAAGTCTACGAAGGCCGCAAAGAGTCTGCTCTTATACGCTTTTGCATATTTAGCTACCAGGGTCTGTAGTACCATACAGTGACCTATCGTATTGTGGCCCTTTCTAAATCCTGCCTGTTCCTGGTTGAACAGGTTAGAATGGTCCGCCCAATCTACCAGCTTGTTTAATAGGTACCGGGTATAAAGTTTGTATGCGATGTCCAGAAGGCTTATAGGGCGGTAGTTTGCTGGATCTTGAATGTCTCCCTTCTTATAGATAGGGACTACCACACTTAGTTTCCAATTTGCTGGGATTTTACATGTGTTGTTCATTGCCGTAAAAAGTTTGGCCAAAAGATGGCCCACCATTGGGCATTTAATTTAAAAACCTCAGGGGGGATCATGTCCTCGCCAGGAGCTTTGCCATTTTTTAAAGTTTTAATTAGCTGTAGGCACTCTGATTCCGTAACAGGATCCCAACTAACTAGATGCTCATTCTTCAATGGGAGGAGCGGACTCAAATTAGCAGTATTTGAGAGTGTGTATAGCTTGAGAAAGTGTTGATACCACACATCGGATGGAATACTGCTGTTTACAATTTTTCCTTTGGATGAGACTCCCTGTGCTACTATTGCCCAGAATTTTCTATCGTCTCGCGATTTAATCGCCTTATCAAGTGCCTCCCATTGTTTCTTCCTGTAAAGGGATTTCTTGAGTTTTAAGGTGTATTTATAGTGAGAGCGCCATCTGTGGAAATTTACCATAGATGACAAAGTCCTCTCCTGTTTTACCTTATTTTGTTGTTTCCTAAGCAGGGATCTTAGCTTCCGGCAGTCTTTGTCAAACCAGGCCCCCGATTTGTTATGTTGTATGGGAGGCCTGGTGTTTATAAGGAATGGGAAAAGGGACTCTGAGACCCGCTGATATAGTGAAAAAGGATCAAAGTTAGGTAAAGGACACTGGTCTCTCAGAACCAATAGATCTGGAGAGTGCAGGTGTTGATTAATTTTAAGCTCCAGCTCGCTGTTCCATTTACGCCTGCGTGGGGGAGGGGCTGCACAATGTAGATGTTGTAATCCCCCTGATTCAAGGGGAGTTAGTGAGATTGCTCTAGGAAGATGGTCGCTCTCAGTTCTATTAAAAGTGCTGAGACCCTGTACCCTCTCCAAAATTGTTGGAGAGACCAGGATATGGTCAATCACACTTGCACCACGAGGGCCGATAAAAGAGAAGAAACCTCCTGACCTGTCCATGTAAGTACCATGCAGGTTGTACAGATTATGCTTAAAAGCAATCTCCAGTAATGTAATACCTGCCTTGTTCAAGACCTTTTCATCAGAACTCCAAGGGATAAGCCAGTCTGCCTCTGGTAGAAACTGGGTTTTGGAGCCATACGAATTGATGTCGCTGCCTATCCTGGCATTAAAGTCACCTGCCAGCAGGATGTTCCAGTCAGGGAATTCTATTTTGGCCTTCTCCAAGCATGACTCCAAATCTTCCCAGATTTGTACTGTCTGAGAGGAAGTACACACGGGGGATATAGACGTTGAAACATAGAAGATCTCCTCCTGTGTTATTGGAGATAAGTAAAATCTGAAAATTGTTGTTCTTCATCCACTGCAGTTGTCGCACCCTGTACCCTTGCTCTATAGGAATAAAAGTGACCAAACCGCCGCTAGGTCGGCCACGGTTATTTAGTTTTTCGCAGGGGTAGCAAAAGCCGCATAGCCCTGTAAGTAAGGGGGATGAGAGTCTAGGCACCAGGTCTCTTGTAGACAAATAATCTGGAATTTTGAGAGAAAATCCAGAAAATCAGCAGCGCCCTGCTTAGACAGCCAGCCCGCCACATTCCACGATAAGATGTGAAAATATGGTGGTGAGGGGAACAAAGGTAGACTTCTCCGTTTGTTCTTTAGGATGATGGAATGAATGTTTTTATAGAGGTGGAGTGAGCTGTTGGTATCCTTTGTGGTAGGTACTAACCTAGTGAGTTTTGTTTCACTGGCGTGGTGTCCCCTCGCTGTATCTGTCTTTCAATCCTCCACCTGAATGCCATCTAAGGATCCTGAGGCATCCACAAAGATTGAACCGTTCCTACTCATCGGCATGGCAAGGTCTACCTGGTGTGTTGTTGTTTGAGGTGTTAAGGGTTGTGTGGGAGAACCCACTTCTTCGGGGGACAGGAACCGGCACTGCGTCCAGTCTTCGTTGGATAAGGGCTTTGTTGTGTTAGTAGCAAAATTAAATTCCAAAGGAGCAGAAAAACCTTGGCGGAATAAGGATTTTTTAATGGTTTGTAACCTAGCTATTAACGCATCCTGGGACTGTTGAATTTGCTCAAGGGAGGCTAGAAAGAGCATCTCCTTTTCATTTAAGATATCTTTTTTGGGTTCATTGGAAGGGAGTAAAGTTTTTTGGAGCTTAGCCTTCTGTTTGGAAATTTTGACTGCCTCCGGTTGACCTTGTTTGCAGTTTTCAGAAGCCATTTCCAATTCTGTGCGCAGACTAGTCGGCTTACGTGTTCCTAAGAGGGATGGTGGAACGCCGGACTCTTCAAAAAGGCGGGTCACCAACAGGCCAGCCCTCTGGAGCCTGTCCCTCTTGTCCATGATTTGTTTAGTTACCGACCAGTCCTTAAAGGTCACCACAACTCTGTTTTGGGCCATATCAAAAGGAAGAAATTTAACGCTGACAATATTTCCTGCTGGTATAAGGCCTCTGATGACTAAGTCAATTTTCTTAAGTAAATAAATTCTCTGTTGTGCAAGCGTGGAAAGGCCTCCATGCTTGAAGAGCTCACTGTCACCCATTTAGACTGTGTGGGATGACTGGTTCTCATACTACTCTAGAGGTAGGGAATCTTTGGCCACTTCAGGCTGCATTCTCTTCTGGGCAATTTGCCAGAGGCCACATGCCAGAGGAGAGCAGGGCAAGAGCCCAAAGTGGGAGGGACAACCAATATAATCTTTGCACAGTAGGCTGCATTCTGCACATGCTCACACACACCCCTCTAGCCAGGCAATCGAGAGTTGTTTTCAGAATTCTAGGGCACAGTTTAGCCAGGCAGAAACACTCCAGGATAAGGCGAAGCAAGACCAGTAGAGTCCCGAAGGCTGGGTAAAAAGACCTGCATGGAACATTTGGCCTGAGGTCCCCCTCCCCTGTTGTGGTCCAATCTCCTTCCATAGTATGGGCATCCGGGTACACTTGTGGAAATGTATATGAGCTGTCAAAGCAGCTCTTAGAAAAGCCCTGGTGCAGATCTGCATTCCAGAGTATCTTCTTTCACCTCCTTATCCTTCTTCAGGTAGAGTCTCTCTTGTTTCCCTCCAGGTGGACTGCTACAACACGAAAGCAGGAACAATCTACGACTATGGGGCTCTCACCATAAACGGTGATGAGTACATCCCTTTCCAGCAGTACTCGGGGAGGATGGTCCTCTTTGTCAATGTGGCCACCTACTGAGGACTCACAATGCAGTACCTTGGTAAGATTCTCAGCTAGGAAGAGAAGCCTAGCTAGCAGCACATGCCCTAGTGGTGGATACTTTCGATAAGAGGCACTAGACTTCCAGCAATGTCAGAAGCTGAGAGAGCCTGTCTCTTAAGCCCAGAAGCATGAAGACTAGCTAAGATTATTTGGTAGGGATGGAAATAATCTGTTCTGTGATACTTTCCTCTTTATTATTGTGTCACGTGCAGCAGATGAGATCTGGCCTAAGCACAGGTTCCGAGGCTCAACCCAGGCATATCTACACTTAGGCAGATTTGCCTTTCCCTTGGGAGATTCAGGACAGATAAATTACTCCTTCAGCGCATCATTAATTTATGCAGCGATTGCTACCAACCTGGATGCTTTAAAAGAGGATCGGGCAAATTCATAGAGGAGAAGGCTATCAGTAGCTACTAGTCATGATGGCGGTGTTCTGTCTTGATGGTCAGCAGTGATACTGCCTGCTGAATACTAGTTGCCAGAAGCATCAGGAGGGGAGAGTGTTATTGTGCATTGGTCCTGCTTTCTCAGTTCTACGGGTATCTGGTTGGCGACTGTGAGAACAGCATGGTGGACCAAATGGACCATTCTTGGAGGTTCATCTCCACAACGCAATGTTCAGAGATGCCACGCTGCCTCTTGTTGACTTTAGGATGGCTCCGTCACATAAGTATGCTTTGAGCCAAGTATTTTATTGAGCTAAGTCCTGCAGGTGACTTCTAGAGGGATAGCCAATAGTATTAATTCTTTTGGCACCTTAAATGGTAACCATTTTTATTGTGGCATAAGCTGTCACCATCAGAAGTGTGATCCTCAAATGGCAGGTATTTGGGGTACAGGTTGTAGCTGAAATTGCAGCGGAATGCAGGGACTGTGGCAATTCAATTAGAGTCTGAATTGGGATTTTGCTCTGTTGGTGATTATGTTGCAGAACTGAATGCACTACAGAATGAGCTGCGAAATCATGGACTGGTTGTCCTAGGTTTCCCATGCAATCAATTTGGAAAACAAGAACCTGGCACAAACGCAGAAATCCTTCCAGGACTGAGGTGAGTACACCTACTGCATGACTTGATGGTTATACCAGGTAACTCTACACTGCACAACAGGCTAATTTAGAAAGCCTCTTGTCTTTAATGCTTACAGTTGCTCACTATCTCCTTCTCCTGTGGCTCTACCATGTACCCCAGAGCAGACTCACATGCATGTACAGTGGTACCTCTGGTTACATACGCTTCAGGTTACATACACTTCAGGTTACAGACTCCGCTAACCCAGAAATAGTACCTCAGGTTAAGAACTTTGCTTCAGGATGAGAAAAGAAATCGTGCTCCGGCAGCGCGGCAGCTGTAGGAGGCCCCAATAGCTAAAGTGGTGCTTCAGGTTAAGAATAGTTTCAGGTTAAGAACGGACCTCCAGAACGAATTAAGTACTTAACCCGAGGTACCACTGTATTGCTAATTTTCACTTCTCTTCTCCTTCTGGCAAGAAGGTGGGGTAGGCAACACTCTTTAATCTCTAGGGAACTTACCTACACTTCCTTGGAAATAGTGATTGCGTGGGAGCAGGGAATGGAAAGGATATTTATGGCTGGGCAGCAGGGACTGTGCCTAATAGATTCTGAGGAGGGGCCAGGAGGCTGTCCTCTGAACAGAGTAGAAACTTTTCCTTGTTGTAGCCTCTCTGCAAAAGAGCTGGTTAAACTTGCTCCTTCTGTTCCAGATACGTCAGGCCTGGAGGAGGTTTTGTCCCAAATTTCCAGCTCTTTCAGAAAGGAGATGTGAATGGGGATAAAGAACAGAGAATCTACACCTTCTTGAAGGTTTGTATCGGCTCCTTTGAACCTCTACCACGTCTCATCCTGGCTCATTAAGGGAAATAGCTTGGAGCTAAGGATTCCGCAAACAGAACTCTGCTCCGATGATGCTCCCACTGACAGAAGGGGGTGGGGGCAATTTCTAATCAATTTATTCCTTTCCCCTTGTGCCCCCACTAAATCTTCTCCAACGGTTGACCACTGTGAGAACAAGGACACTGAATTGCCTTTGGCCTGATTCAGCAGGGTTCTTATAATCAGGACTGGGGTCTCCTATAAAAGAGCTTAAGAGATGGAGCAGGGGTCCATAAGGGGAAATCAGTGAGACGTGCCTCCCTTTCTCTCCCTCTTCTGCCAGTGTGGGTATCCAATGGACACAGGTCCCTCCCATAAATAGATCATGGCCCTCCCATTAATGGAAATGTAACTCGGGACCCAAGAAAGTAAGTTCTCTTTAAGCAAATGCCAGGGGTGAGGCTGCCAAGAAAATTACAAGTTTTTAGATAGGCAAGCACCTATGTGGAACGTGGCAGAGAGAAAAAAGCAGCTGGGAGGGGGAGAAATTTTAAGCAGAAAAGCAGCTGGTGAGGAGAGGTTAAGCACCTTCTTCCCTCCTGAATGGTATTCATTTAATAACAAAACAGGTTGCAGCATCATTATCCACTTGCGGATAGGGTAGTTTGGCCCTTTATTAGGCTCAAAAGTCACTGTCAGGAAGTACCGTATTTTTCGCTCTATAAGACGCACTAGACCACAAGATGCACCTAGTTTTTGGAGGAGGAAAACAAGAAAAAAATATTCTGAATCTCAGAAGCCAGAACAGCAAGAGGGATCGCTGCACAGTGAAAGCAGCAATCCCTCTTGCTCTTCTGGCTTCTGGGATAGCTGTGCAGCCTGCATTCGCTCCATAAGACGCACACACATTTCCCCTTACTTTTTAGGAGGGAAAAAGTGAGTCTTATAGAGCAAAAAATATAGTACATTTCAGACTCCTCTCTTCCTGTTCACAGTTGCCTACATCTCCCCTACACCACTATGACGAAATGCAATGACGAAAAGCTTGTTTTTATACTTCTTAAAGCACCTTCTCTCAAATGGTCTCCATTTCTAACAACAGCAAAGTAAATAATGCTTTTCTTTCTCTCTCTGGTAGAACTCCTGCCCGCCTCCTTTAGAAAGCTTTGGTGACCCCAAGAAACTTTTTTGGGAACCGCTGAAGGTCCACGATATCAAGTGGAACTTTGAGAAGTTTTTGGTTGGTCCAGACGGGAAGCCTGTGATGAGGTGGGCACACAGGACCAACATTGGCACTGTGAAGAGCGACATCCTGAAATACATGAGGGAGCAGCAGAACCTGTCAATGGGCTAGAGGTCATGTAGATGTAGAGAAATAAGATGGGAGGGGTGGGGGTGGGGAGACCTGTTGCTTTATCCAGAACCAGACATTTAATCCTCAAATCACAGAAAAAGAAACTGAACTTCCTTTGACCAAAAGCAAAAGGTTAAGAAATAATGTTAAATATGTACTAGTTTATTCAAAATCAGACTGCAGCCCTTACTCGACTGACCTGTTTTCCCAAACACACTTACAACCCTTGGGGTCCCTTCCAACTCTACAATTCTGTGATCAAATCTGAGCACAGTGGTACCTTGGTTCTCAAACTTAATCCATTCCGGAAGTCTGTTCCAAAGGCGCGCTTTCCCATAGAAAGTAATGCAAGATGGATTAATCTGTTCCAGATTTTTAAAAACAACCCCTAAAACAGCAATTTAATGTTAATTTTACTATCTAACGAGACCACTGATCCATAAAATGAAAGCAATAATCAATTACTGTACTATAAAATAAGTAAGACAGCATTATAGGTGATAAAAATTAAAATTAAATTTTTTTTACCTGCACTGATGCTAGTCATTGTTTGGATGGGGGGCTTTTATCCATTTCCATAGTCACACAATCAATCAATCAATCAATCAATCAATCAATCAATCAATCCATAGCTGAACTGGGTTCCACACAGTCACAAACCAAATTAACCAAAAAAGCTTCAAAAACAAAAACGCAAAATAAATAGCAAAAACAAAGTGGCAAACTTAATCCATTCCAGAAGTCTGTTTGACTTCCGAAATGTTTGAAAAGAAAGGCTCTGCTTCTGATTGGTGCAGGAAACAATAGCCGACAGCCGCATCGGATGTTCGGCTTCCAAAAATTGTTTGAAAACCAGAACACTTACTTCCGGGTTTTCGGCGTTTGAGAACCAAGGCATTTAAGAACCAAGGTATCACTGTATATTACAACACACAAAGTAGTCTTTTGGTTTTGATACTACGACATTAAAAGCATGGGAGGGACCTCTTTCCCCACTCTTTGTTAACATATTTATATACAAATATATATTCAGCAGTCTTTAGCCATCAGGCTTTATAAGTCAAACCACACTCACTTCTATCTATAGAACTCAGTTATGCCAATTTATGGTGGCATAAGCTTTCACAGACTAGTGCTTCCACCAGGGCAGCCAACACGGTGCTCTCCAGGGCTTGTTGGGACTAAAACTTCCATCAGTCCCATCAGGCATGGCTAATGGTCAAGAATGATAGGAGTCATATCCCAACAAGATCTAGAAAACACCATATTGGTTGCCTCTGGTTCACATCACTATCAGGTCTTAGAGATCTTTATTTGCAACCCTTTGGTATAAGAACCCAACTCACACTGCTCCTGTTAGGGATGGGCAGATCTTTTGCTAACAGATGGGATCCACATTTTGGACAGCTCTGGATAAGGCACAGGCCACCTCCCTTCCACAGCAAACTGAACAGACCCTCCCAGGCTGAGTGGTTATGCTGACTGAAGTTTCTCAAAGATGGCACTGCTTCCTCCGAGTGTGGATGACAGGAGAGAGGGATCTGGGGACAAGATGATGCATCAGTATGAAGGTTGGGTCTGAAAGCTCCCAAAGGGTGGACCTAGCCCAAGGCTGCGAAGGGACAGTGGAGCAGCTCTTCTAGTGCATTCGTGCTGCCCCACAACTCAACTTTGCAGAGATGCAGTCTTTCTGATCAGCCCCACGATCCTAGCCTCTTTTGCTTCCACACCCACCCAGTGTATGAAAAACTGCCTAATAATAATAATTAAAAAAACAGCAAGCACTCAATGCAACTTGTGAGAGACTCTCCTTTAAGCAAGGGTGCAGATCTGGTGGCAATACAAGATGTGTGTTCCTTGGAGAATTTGAATCCTCTAGCTAGGTTACAGTCTTAACAAAACGGGAGCTTGTCTATACAGCCACTAGCATTTTCACTAAGCCAAGGCCCTCCACATCCATCCCAGGCAACACAGACAGTGCTCAGGGATTATGGGAACTGTGGTTCAGCAGCATTTGGAGGGCCACAGGTTAGGCACCCCAATTTATAGGGTGCCTTTAGAGGGTACGGAAGCCATTCACACAATGATCCTTTATGACAACTCTAAGCTGAGTCAGTATTCTTCCCATATAGAGAGAGAGGCTTGATTAAGGCAACCTAATGAGTTTGCTATTTAGGTGAAAATGGAACAGAAAGGGTTTCTGGTTACAGCTCATCCTTTTTTGCTCTGTGTTATCATACTAAAAACTGCCCCTGTTAAAGAAAAGAAACCAGCTTTCCCACTGCAAAACTGTGTTATAGCATTAGAATCTGACATCCTGAATCCATTCTGTATCCAGATGCCCTGGTTGAGGCAGTTTCCCCTTGGTGTTCACTTCATGCAAATATAGGTTCAAAGAGAAGATAAAACACACAAGCACACAACACACACACACACACACACAGAGAGAGAGAGAGAGAGAGAGAGAGAGAGAGAGAGAGAGAACTTGGATTTTCTCTTTCACTTTTTGCACTGTGGATCAGGGGTAGCTAACCAGTGGCTGAACTACAACTCCCATCATCCCTGATCCCATAGCCCATATTGCTTGGTGCTAATGGGTCCAACATCCAGAGGACTACTGGCTCCCCATCTATGCTGTGCAGGGAATTATTTCTTACAGATGATGAAGGGAAATATCCAGCACCCTGACACTCATTCTCTTTTCATTTATGGCAATCCAAAAGGCATCTAATAAATAGCTCCGGATAGCACAAAGACACATTTCACTTCGATATAACACTCCAGGGACTGTAGATCACAGGAGGGGAGGGGGGAAATCACACTTTATTAGGAATAGAATAAAATTAATATATATAATTAATATCATTTTGCCGAAACAAAATGTCTCTAACATTTATACAATAGGAAGATCGGCAAGCAAAAATACTAGGTGTTACTATTTAGAGTGATGTGTACAGTAAATTCTACTCAGGCTTTCCTTCACCTCTTTCTTTCCTATGACAGAAAGAAAAGGGGGGTTACAAGTGCCCCCGCCATAACATCTATGTTGGGGTGGTATGCATTGATCTTGCAACGTAACATTTTGTAAATTGTTATTCTTTCCCTCTGTGAGGACAAGAAAAAAGGACCATCCTTTATGGTTACTTCCCAAGGAAAGAGTTTTCCCTGCCGAGTTTGATGGCATTAATCATTTGAGCAGAGGCATACCTAAGTTCCTGGGCACCCCGGCAAGGAGCTCTATTGGCCCCTCTGAAGCCAGGAGATACCATGGACCAGAAACTCAAAGAGTTTGCCTTTCACACTCCGCTATTGACTTCCTTTGTGGCCATCAGGGTCAAGTCCACTTTGCTCAGCTTCCCTACCACCACCTCCTCCACTGATCTCTCTGTTTGCCTACCCGCCTTTCTTCCACCCTCCACTCACTGCTTCCTCTTCTGCTTCCTTCCTTTTCACTCCTCTTGCAACTCATGTCTTTCTTCCCTCCAAGCTCACACCGGGGGCCTGCCGAGGTGCCCAGAGCAGTCTGTGCACCTTGTCCAGCCACCCAAAGCAGTGGAGTGGCAGCCCAGGGAGCGTGCCAATGGGCAGAGCGCCGGAGTGAAGGGGCACGATTTTGGTGCCACCCTGGGCCTGCAGCCTTGGCAAGGGCCAACCTGGCCAACCCCTGATACACCCCTAGGTTGGAGTATTCCAGTTATTACAGCAGCATGTAACAAGCCATTTGTACCACCTCTTGCATAGCACACTTTGAAAGAAATGTTTATGACAGTTAGGTTAGCTGGATCAGCATTTCAAAACAGTTTTTTTTTTTTTAAGCAATCTGTGGTTGAAACAAGTGTAGGTTTTACAGAAATGTCAAAATAAAGGGCACCTTTGTTTCCTTAGGGATTATCATGCTGAGGAACAGTGGAAACCTTACTGACCAAAGTCTTTGCAGGTTTTACAGACTCTGCCTCAGCCACTTTCTATATGCACTTATTTTCTTTTTCATCCTACCTATTCACCGTATGGTGCACCCTCATAATTAATTTGTCTCTTAAAAAGCAACAACCATCACTTCCCTGTATTTCATCTTTCACTCATTCACATTCAAAGGTCCCTCCCATCTTAAAATGAAGCCTCTCCACTTCCACAAGGATGCTGCTGCTTTGTTGGAGAAACCAGCCTCCGTGCGAGGAGGAGATTGGGGAAGAAACCGTATATCGAGCCAGTGTGCAGAATGCCTATAGAAAGCTGAGCCCCAATTGCATCCAAGCTGTTTCATTATGCCATCAATGCTCTTTTAAGAGTAACACAGCTGACCACAACACATGCAATTGGTGGCCACACAGCTGTGATTCCTTCCGACTCATGTAAAACAGTGGTAACATCAGTAGTACCACTTATAGCAGAGTTTTTAAACTTTGATTTTATGCAACACATATTCCTCAAAAGCCTTTGCTAGTCACTATTGCCCTGCACCAGGAGTGCAACTCTTCTTCGTTTTTTTTACTAAACTACCACATTTACAGCACAACCTTATTCTGGAGTGAATCCCACTGGCCTCAAGTGGACTTACGCCAAGGAAAGTGGATTGCAGCCAAAGATTAGCTATTCTCGTTAGCACATCCAGTCCATCAGGAATCATTTAAAAACTGCCTTGCTAGATCAGACTGGAAGTCCATCTAGTCCAGCAAGCTGTCTTCAAGAGTTGAGAGAGAGAAGCTGTGCAGCAACACCTGCTAGCCTGTTTACAGACCACATTTACATTGAGACTAATGGGTTTGATTTCATACTGTGGGATCGAAAAGAGACAGGAACAGAGTTTCAGGCTCAGGAAAACAATGCAGGAAGCTGCCAATACTAAGAGGAGGGTAAGTTAAGGTATATGTATAAACTGAGTATGTGGCGCAATACACAAACAAATACTAGTTTTAACCACGCTGAACAGCACAACTCAGTGGAAGCATAATGTTTCCTTGGGCTAAACCACTGGACTCGACATGCAAATTAAAAAATATATATTCAGCATGGGAAAAGTATATTTTACTTCCTATACACTATACAGGGATTGGATTTCTCCTTCTCCCTACCCCCTTGCAAAAATTCAGTGTCTGTAACCTGTCCAGGCATTGGCCACAACAGCTGCTCTGCAAAAGTCATTTTGCACATAGAATGTTTCCGCTGCCACCAAATTCAGATGCCGTAAATGTAAAGCTGTCACATCACAGGGGGAATCAGCTAGATATAGGTTCTGTTGACACAGGGCTGCCAGTGTTTGCCACTGGAATCTGATAGTGGATCCATGGCAGTTGAATCCTTGAGGTCAGAAAGAGTTATTCATCCAAATGCTGAGTGAGTGAGAGGGAGACCCAGGTAGTTATTTCCAGTGGTTTTCCCCATAATACTGGGCCACTGTCACTCCTTGGCAGTATCTTCCATACGTCTTCAGAAAATCCTGCTAAAGCTGCTGTTAGCTCAAGCATCCAAGTGTACATGTATTCCATGTACACAGATAAATGTGAATAGTGTCCAGGAGCACAAGGAGGCTTTTATCTGTACATGCAGACTCACATGCGTATATCACAACTCCATCTTTTATGCTCTTGCACATGGCCATAGAGTTAGGCGGGCCTTTGGTTTTTAGGTAACCCAAGGCCTGTAGGGTCTGAAAGACAAAAACACACAAATATTACAAAAAGTGGCAGACAGGTCTTTGATAAACAATATACTATTGTGTTCAGCTCACAGAGATTTGAGCTGAACTGAATCCACCATCCCAATCCTCACTAACAGCAACTGCTGAGAACTCCATAGCCAAATGCCTGGTGGATATTTAAAATCTGGCCGATGACATTTAGTATATTTCAGCCGCATCTGCACAACACACTAAACTGTGGTTCAGTGCATGAGCCGCCAGTTTTTGGCAGGTCATCAGCAGTTACAAACTGTTGTGGGCTCCACGCCTGCCCACCCACCCGGTGAAGAGAGAGCTAGGCCCAAAGACACACACCTCTGGCTCCCTGAAACACTGAGGTGTAAGTTTTCCATGAACTTGAAGACCAGTTAGATCTCTGTGAATCGCATACATCAGAAACCCACGTGACCTTACAGGCATGACAAAGATGTGTACCTTCAAGCATCCCGCCTCCTTTCCTCCTATTTGTTCAGGGCCCGTTTGTGTGTTATGATAGGCAGGCGAAGGCAGCTTGAAACAGTGCCCTTACAGCACACAGGGTGGCTGCCGTAGAGTGAACCTCCCCAGTTTTGTGTGGCAAATTGGCATGTCACCACAAAGCTACCAATGTCAGGTGCTGGTGATGGCATGAAGGCGCCCCTGCAATGGAAATGATCTACCATGTGGAGCAGCCAAACGTTTCTGCACTGTTATCATAGCAGATAAGAAGACCCTTCGAGGAGAGGAAAGAAAGGCAGCATTCACAATAGCTCTCGGGAATTTCACCAAAGAAGTTTGAACCTCTTTCTTACCCGATTCCTTGGGGAGTTGTTTCCCACCATCTGGCGCTTGCGCGTTCTGATTTTGTGAAATAACACACGGTGGATACCAGGTATATTCTGGCTAAAGTGAGTAAGACATAAACAAACAAGCATAAACATGGCGCACAGCTAATGCGTGCTTTAAAATGGAAACTTTGCTTCTCCAAACTGAATGGCCCCACTGTGCAAGTAGGAGGGAGCACTGGCAATAGGCTAAGCAGAACCGTTCATACTGGGGTGAACATGCCCTGGGCTCCTTCGAGAGGAAGAACTTAATATGAATTCTAGAACTAAAGAAAGAATCAGGACATGCAACAAAATTTTGAGCACAGATTCTGGTAGGCAAAGCCAACAATTTCAGATTTTGGAATAGGAGAAGCAGAGCTGCTCGTTCTGGGGATTCACTTGCACCTGGAGTTTTGCACAGAATCTGGGACAATCCTGAGCCTCTGATCTTCATTTATTGTTTAACAAGGCAATGGATGGCTTTATACTTATAGCCTCCAGTTCCCAGCTGCCTTTTTTCCACAGCCCTGATGCCTTCTGATTTGGTTAACTCACAGGAGGGAATCGGTGGTAGTTCTGAACTGGAGGACGCTCATTTGGCATTGCCGCTGGTGGGTAACGGATCTGCTGCCACTCCTCATAACCATGATACATGTGGGGCTGGACTGGAGTGGGGCACTGGAACTGGTACATGGGGCAGACTGGGGCCACTGGTCCTGGCTGCGGCTCTGGATGAAGCCTGTCACCAGAATGCTGTAAGGGAGAAAGCAGGAGGCTGAAAATGATGCAAACACAGATAAGCCACACAAGGCTAATGATTTACTACTGGAATATCTGGGCATGTGGAGGCGGAGGCATTATTGTTTTTGGTTATCCTGTACTTTTCATCCAGGGACATTTCATCCTGGGCTGACTGAAGGAACACCATGCCCCCTTCACAGTATTTTGATCTCACTGTTGCCAGGAGGAAAAAGTAAGAGTAGGCTGAGGAAAAGGAGTTACCTTTTAAATAAAAGCAGTGGATAGTAAGAGAAAAATGACTCAGATCTAATCTGGACCTACATGTAGAAGCAGTTTTGATCTCCCTGGATAGGTAAACAGAAAGCCATCTACAGACAACTCTGACACTGTCAGTTTAATGGGATATCATGCCCTATAGTCTGTGGGCCAGAACCAGTCCTTACCAGCTGGGGTGGATTAAAGAGGTAGATCTCTCTCCCTCCTCCCCCCCCCCGGTGTGTGTCTGATTTAAAAGAGAGGTAGAGCTGGGTGTCGTCTGCATACTGATGAACACCCAGCCCAAACCCCGATGATCTCTTCCAGTGGCTTCATATAGATATTAAAAAGCATGGGGGAGAGGATGGAACCCTGAGGCACCCCACAAGTGAGGGCCCAGGGGTCTGAACACTCATCCCCCAACACCGCTTTCTAGAAAGGAGTAGAACCACTGTATGACAGTGCCCCCAGCTCCCATCCCCTCTGAACAGTCCACCTAGCCCTCAGTTCAACTGGCTGTGACCTAAATTTGGTATTGCCTGAGCAGTCCTATCTTTCAGCACAGTGCTTTTCTTAGCATGGTGTTCTGTACCTGTTTGTGCTGCTTGAGCAGCTTCTTGAACTTGTCCTTCTCTTCCTTCTCTTTACGATAGTCCTCTTTAAAAATCTGCATCTGGCAGGGAGAGAGAAGGCCACAGGTAAGCGAGGAGCTAAAGGCTTCCCTGTCAACTGCATGCTGGGAAGGAGGCCAGGCAAATCAAAGGAGACCATATACAAACATTGTGCTCAAATCTGCTAGAGCAGCTGAGCTCCATCCGAATCTAGGTGCCCTCGTGGAGCACAAAAGGCGGCACATAACACAGTTCTTTGGCTCTAGGCCTCTGCGTGGATATAAGGAGAGGTTGCCCCAGCATACTCTTACAAAGGTCCAGTGAGGTCACATGACTGAGGGAAGTAAGAGGCCATACTAGATTTCGACGGACATGCTAGACAGCAAGAACCACCTGGCTGAGGGAGCAACTACCCAATCTTACTTGAACACACCTTGTCTTTGCTTACTGGCATGCCTCTTCCCCCTCTCCCTCTAAAACAAATGACACAATTATCTCTTTTCCTTTAAGGATAAAACAGGCAGCACATGTGAGCAACCTGTGGAGCAGGGATGGGGAACCTGTGGCTCTCCATGACACTGCTGGACTCCCATCAGCCCCTGCCAGCATGACCAATGGGTAGGGATGATGGGTGCTGTGGCTCAGCAACACCTGGAGGGCCACAGGTTCCCCAGCCCTGATATAGGAGTGAAGTGACTGAACTGTGGTTTGTGAACTGCATCCAGATTCTGAAGAACTTCCAGAAGATGCCTTCACTTTCTAAGTGAGATTTTACCTCTTTGTTCTCCTGGCTACCCTCTGGGAGAAGGGGGCAGTCTTAGTGCAGCAATGCAGGATATAGCAAGGGATCCCCTGAAGATCATGGCTAGGCCTAGGAGAAGGCAACGGGAAGCAGGCTGATAAAGACGGGGGGGGGGGGGGGAGAGAAGTGGAAGTGCCTAAATTGGACACTGATGTGGGGGGAGGGAACATGGGAGATGAAACTAATGGATAGAAAGGGTATGTAGCAGTCTTTTGGATTTTGGAAAGCACAGGGCAGCTGGATCAGTCAGCAGGCTGGGATTTCAGAGTGGCCTAATTTTTGAAACCAGAATGTGCTTTCTGGGTTCCTACCTGGCTGTTGGTGAGCACCAACTGCTTCTGAAGCTTATCCAGCTGCTGCTTCAGCTCCTCCTTCTCCTCATTCATCCTTTCTCTGTCGCTCCGCTCCCGCTGAAAGTCCTCCTCAAAAATCTTCACCTGGCAGGGAACAAGAGACAGTGAAGTCCTTGGTTCACAGAGATACAATCCCAATGTATGGCAAGCGCCAAGTGTCCCAACGCTGATGTCAGGAAAAGGCAATGGGCACAACCGTGTTTTGAGCCCAACTTCAAAGACGTTAACAACAACAGCAACAACAACATTGTACCCTGCCCATCTGACTGCGTTGCCCCAGCCTGGGAGGCACAAGCTTAGGAGGCAAAAGGGACACTGTGTTTTCTGGAAATAACTTTTGTGCTCACAAATGGCGTCAAACCAAGGGGAGTCCTAGCTTCATGGAAGCCTGCCATACCTGTTGCTTTAGGAGCTCATTCTGGGTCACCACCTCCTGATGCCGGACAGATGCTCCAGGTTCAATGGGGCTGTTGAAGGCCGAAGGAGAAGGAGCAGAGGCTTGAACATTCAGGGCCTCTTCTAAGGCCTGAGGGGGGTCAGGAACAGAGAGGACAGTTAAAATGGTCTTTTCTCCACAGCAGCTTAGCATCAGTAAACAATATGTTTGCAGATATTGTAAGAGATTTAACGCTATCTTACTGTCCAGGAAAGCTCATAACCTGGGGTAGGAAAAACTGGCATGGCTACAGAGAAGCAGAAGTATATTACCCACCTTATTAAGCCGTAAAATCTCCTTCTCCTGGTACTCCCTTTGCCTGGTGACTGGAGCCAACTGATCCTGAAGGAATTTCACCCTCTGTTTTAAGTCTTTCACCTCACCGGCAAGTCTCTCCTTTTCTGCCTGAGAAAGACAAAGTCATAAAAGTCAAGACAGCCGTATACCTTAGGACCACAAATCCTCATTCTACCACCCTCCCTCCCTGCCTCAAAACCAGAAGCAGAAAAACTGGAAATGAAATGAAATGAAATAAATGAGAATTGGGAGAAGATTTAAAAAATAAATTTCAGGCTCCTGCCTTGCAGACTCCTTTACCTTCTTGAGAACATACTGTCACAGACCAGTTGTTGCTGTACTACAACTCCCATCAGCCCCAGAAAGCATGGTCAACGGCCAAGGGATTATGGGCGTTGTAGTTCAGCAACATCTGGAGGGCCAAAAGTTCCCCACAGCTGCCACTGACTAATTGTCTATAACTGGGTAGCCTGCTGAAATCTCAACAAATGCAAGTGGCTATAGCTTTGCCATCATAATTCAAACTGCCTGTCCATCCCTCTAACCCATGTCCTATCCTCTCTGGTCAAATATACTATCTAGCTCATCTACCTTCACACTAGACAGGCTCGATATCCCATGCTCAGTATCTTTGGTCTCATCTTTTATAACAGGGATGCAGAACTTGTGCGTGGGACTACAACTCCCATCATCCCTGACTATTGGCCACGGTGGGTGCTGATGCATTTTCAGGGTATGTCGGAACTCTTATCAGACTCACCTCCTCCTCTTCAATCTTGGATTTAGCCAGCAGGAGCTTACGGTCAAAATCCCTCTGCTTCTGCTCTCGTTCTGCCTCCAGCTCCCCCAGGGCTTTCTGGGAGTCGGCAAGCTTCTGTCGTAGATCTGTTATCTGCCAGGAGGGGGAGATGACATGAAACATGAAACAAACTACAGAACAGAGCTAAAAATACTGCAAACATTTAAAAATATGCAGTATCTCTTGTCTGACTCTATGAGAATACTATAGAGAAATGAGAATAAAAATGCTAATAAAATGGGACATCTCAGACAAAACACACACACACACACACACACACACCCTAGAGGCCTTGCCCTGGTATTCCAATGTTTTGAAGTCAAATTAAAAGAGATATTGAAAGGACAACCGGTTATGAATTTTTATTGGAATTAAAACCAGTTCAACTGGAAATCTATCATGAAAACATGCCCACTCAATAGGTAATGATCTCTGGTTTATTAACAGCTGCTCAGCTTCTTATAGCTAAAAATGGGAAAAGTTCTAGGATCACAACGCGTAAGGAATGGGTAAATAAAATCTGGCATATAGCATAAGCCAAGCTAACCGAAGTAATGAGATTAAGAGATGGCAGACAACAACAATCTGATTGTTCTGGCTGACTGTCAACCGTATGTTGAGTTTGGTGCATTGATGCAGGCCAGTAAGATGGCAGACAAACATTTATCATAAAAAGCATTAAAGCCAGAGAGAAAATGTCAGTGCCATAGAGAGACCCAGCTTTCCTTCTAGCAACTTGCCTGTTTACATTCTTCCTCTCCGACAAGGCATATGAGAGAAACGCAAAGTTCTCTTGGTGTCATATTATGTGAAATAACTGTCACCTATAAAACTTGATTTGTGCAAGGCATTTGGTACCCTGCTATTACCTTCTGCTCGTACTGCTGCTTCATGGACCGGAAATGATGATCCCACTGCTTATTTACCTCCAGCAGCTAGAAGGAAAGGCACAGAGTTATCAAAGGACAAAATCTCAGTTCCCTACTGATGTAGCCAAAGCACTATATTGCCAGCGCTTTCTAGTCTGTCCAGCAACTCTCTTACAGGAATAGCCTCCTTCAGGCTCTGCATAGATTGCCAAACCTGATAGCACCCAAAGCTGGTTGACCTTGGGCCTCTCTTGAACAGCAGGAGCAGCTTTCCTGCAACAATAAATGCCTAGCAGCAGACCTGCTGCTGCTTATCGGAGGCAGGAGGAGTGGAGTGACAGTGGTAGATTTGGAGTTGAGCAGCAGCGGCACTGGACTGGCTCCACTGCCGCACCAATGCAGCCCCGACCTTGCCACCTCTTTTGGACACATGGCAGCAATGCTGCTGCCTGGATGCTACTGTTGCAGCTCCATCCCACCTGGCATCTCCAGTTAAAAAAGGTGATGCGATGTTAAAAGGGAAGATCTCAGCAGGAGACCCCAGAGAGCCATTGTCAGCAGACAATCCTGGGCTGAACAGAAAAAGGCACCTGACCCTGCTGCTAATGCAGGCTACCATTGTGGGATCACAGTTTAGACCACATGACAACATCATGGAGCAGCAGCTCACTCAATATGTCGAGGGTATGAATCAGATCTCAATGTTTCCAAGGAAAGGGGGGGGGGGGGCAGATGTCAGGTTCCTGGAGATATGGGAAGCACTGTCTAGTCCCAACAAGAATCAGCCTGACATTTAAGACCGTCTTCAGAGGTCCTCATCAGGCTATCCCTATCTTCTCAAGTGAGGCAAGTAACTGGTAACAGGGCCTTTTGGGTTGTGGCAGAATGTAGGAAGCCAGACCAATGGTTCACGGAGTTCAGTATAGTCTACACCAGACATAGGCAAACTCGGCCCTCCAGCTGTTTTGGGACTACAACTCCCATCATCCCTGACCACTGGTCCTGTTAGCTAGGGATGAGTTGTAGTCCCAAAACATCTGGAGGGCCAAGTTTGCCTATGCCTGGTCTACAATGACTGGTCCTCCATGCTTTCAGACAGGGGTCTCTCCTTGCCCTACCTAGAGATGCCAGGGCTTGAACCCTGCAAGATGATCCACCTCTGTGGCTCTTCCCTGGTTCATTTCCCAGGCTTCCTTGATGCTCACCTCTCGGGGGTGAGGGGTGGGAATGAAAGCACTGCTCTTTGCTCTGACACTTTCAACGTGATCCAACACTGCCCTGCCTTGTGGTTTCTCCGCTTGCCGGGGCAGTATTGTGACTCGTTACAGTTGTGAGTTGTCTCAGGAAACTGTGCATTTAAGGGGCAGGAGATGTAACACTTAAAATAATAAATGTGCTGAGCTCTCCTCTGGCCTTAGGTCACTTGGGGCAGGCGTCCTGCTTACTTCGTTGCGTTGGTGCTCGAGGATCTTCACTTTCTTCTCACTTGACCCCAACATGCTTTTCCCTGTGGCTTTCTCCTCTGCGGCCCCCTTCTGAAATGATGGCACACAAAAAGGTCATGAGAAGAGGCTAAGCCGATCATAGCAAGCAGCTCACAATTCAAGAGCTTCTCCTTCCCAATGTCAGCATCCAAAGAACTGGACAGTAAGACCTATTTTCTCCCACAACAACCATACATTGGAAAGGCAAATAAGAGCAATCACTATTTAACAACCAGGGTGGTTTTACTGTCATGCTTAATGCATGCATGCATGCATGTGGGGGTGGGGAGTGGGGGTGGGGAAGAGGCAGTTCTTAAGCCTTCAAGTGGCTGGAGGAGGAAGTCCAACAGCCACTCCACTCCAGTTCTGCGCTCTTGAACAGTTACCCTGCAAGATCAGGCCCAGGGTAGCGGGCCAAGATGAACATACTATCTGGTTTTAAAACACGGCTGGGGAATCTCCAGATGTGGTTGGACTCCAGTTCTCCTCATCCCCAAGCAAAATGCCAAGGGTCAGGGATGATGGCAGGTGCAGTCCAACAACTTCTGGAGGGCCTCAGGTTCTCCATCTCTGTTTCAAAGGGAAAAGCCTCCCACCTGTTGCTGTCCAGCACATTCTACGCCTTCTGCCTTGACTCCTTCTTTGCTGCTCATCATCACCATCTTCCTGAGCTCCAGATTCTCACACCTACATTGGGAAGGAATAATATTAGCAAGATGAGCACCAGGGAAGAGAAATCATTCTTCTGGCTGGAGCTGACCAAAGACATTTTGCCAGCTGAGGCATGGCAGAGCCCCTCTGCCCCATGGTGTGTGCCAGGGCTGCCACTTACTGTAAACGCCATGGTGAAGCTGCTCCCAAGTCTTGAAAAGGTTCGCCACAGTGCCCAGCCATGCAGCTGCCAGCAACTGAACCTCAAATGGCATGGGAGTGTCTGGCAAAAGGGCTCACTTGTTCTGGCACACTGGCGGGAGTATGTGCAGGGGGCTGCTTGCTTGGCTGCCCCTCTGCCACCTGAGACAAGTGGCTCAGTGTTACTTATGATAGGCCTGCCTTAAAAACTCTAGGTTCCTATCTTAAAGGGACTGCAAAGGGAAGCAGGAGGAGACTTGGAAAAGGCTTTCTGAGTCTCCGCCCACTTCCCTTTTAAAGCTCTGAGATCAGAGCACAAGGCCAGGCCAACTTGTCAACCATGTGATGTCATAAGGATGGCATGTGATTGACAGGTGGGCAGCCCCAGCCACCTGTCCTGTTTGGCTTGCGAGGCAGATCCTGCTAAGGATGCCCTCCCTGGTTACATACCACCAGTTAAGGGTCTTTCAGTGCCAATGAGGATCTCATTACTCTAAAGTAACATAACCTTTGAAGGAAAAAAAACGAGTCTCTTAGTTCACTTTTATGTTAACAATGGCAGTGTACAAATCAATACAGTGTCTACATCCCCATGGAACCTGGTAAAGTTTCTTCTTTACTAAGATCTGCAAGTAAATTAAAAAGAGGACAATTGCCCCTGAAGTTTGAAATGCAAGACTTCTATGTTTGTTCTGAATTTTTGCTTGGTATGGTGGCTAGATTTTACGGGGTGGTTTTCCTGGCGTCAAAGTCTTTTACATTCTAAAGCTTGCACCCCCTCAGCAACAGAATGTGACGCAGTACAAGACTTCAGGACAAGATTTCTTTCCTGAGGGCCAGCTCTGCCATTATAGACCACAATGGAGAACAGCTCAGAGAGCGCATGGAAGTCACAATCAGGCAGGGCCTCTAGAGGGCAGCATCTCATCTAGGAAGACCAAGGGACAACTTTTTAAAAGGTCTTTTGACTGGAAATATCAAGAAGGTGAAAGCCCAGCTATTCAGAGAAGCTTGGGTCTTCCCCAGCCAAAGCAATCAGGACACAAGTGTCTGCTGTCTCTAGGGAACTGCTGGTTGGGTCTTAGAAGGCCAAAGGACTTCATGATCTTCAGGCTAGGGAAAGGTGTTTGCCTGAGCCCAGGGGTGTTCGAAGTGTGTGGAGGGGCAGGGGCATGCAGGCAAACCCTGCTGCATCCATGTTTCCAAGTCCACTTGCTCCTTTTAAACCTTCATGGCTTGAAGGAGGCTGCTATGCAGGTTCGACTGAAGGCATTTAGAGGCCTCTGTGCAAATAGAGAACCAGACTTTATCAGGAATCTGTCATGTAAATACTTCTAAGTACATTCCGTAAAATGCACTTCAGACGGTTGCACTACATGGCAACTTGAGGATGGGGCTTGCTTAGACAAACACTTGCAGAGTGTTTTGGGGGATTACTTATTGGGGGGAAAAGGGCAACACCAAGGTGGGCCAGCACTGGTATTAGGGTCTCTTTTCCAAGGTTCACCCTGTGCTACCCAATGCAAGGAAATTCCCCTTATCCTTCTCTGGGATTTCCCACCATTATTGTTACTTTTCAGGGAGTGGCTCCACTCCTTCTGTTCCTTACTGCAAGGTGGGTTGGACTCCCAGTGCTTGGAATGAACTATTCAGATTAACTAATTCACCAAATTATTTTTTTAAAAAATAAATCTCCGAATTACACCTGAAAGTAGTTCTGGGTCAACTGAACATGAATTAAATTTCCTTTGCAGTGAAATTTGGGAGATTTAAAAATCATTTTAATTATATATGTGTGTGCGCATGTGTTTCATTGCACATAACTCCGTAATTGTGGCCACTGCATTTGCCATTTTTACCTATCTGAAAAGTGATGCTGTTTAAAGCTTAAAGATCAGAACTGTTGGGAAAAATAAAATGCTTGCGTGTTCTGTTGTTCTTGCAGTGTATTTTTTACTTTAGCAGGACAGCTTGCAAAATTCTGAAGGCTGAAAAATATATGCCAAGCACCATCACAAGCGAACTGTGAAATGAACTGGAATGGAATTAGTTCTTTTTTTTCCCTTTTTTTTTTGCAAGGGATGAACTAGAATTCCTTTTCTAAAGTGAACTTTCTAAGCACCAGTGTTCTCTACTATAACTGCACTCATCTCTCAAATCCAAGTTTCTTCTGGGCTCTTTAATGCTTGCTCAGGGTGGCTGTACAGTGTGATGGGTCTTACGAAATCTCCCTAGGAGCAGAGCAGGGCAAGGGGCGGAGGCTGGTTTCCACCAGCTTCAGGCTTCCAATATTAACTTCAGAGTCATCACACACAGACACACAATGAAAACGCCTAGATCACTGCTCTGCCCAGCATGACTGCATTCTCCTTTCCCACCTGACATGCCCTCACCTCAGCTTCTCTGAAACCTGGTTCCTTTGCTCTAGTTCCTTCTCCAACTTTGCCCTCAGCTCCTCATTCTCGTTCCGCAGCTCCTCACACAAGGCCTGTATAAAAGAAATGGGAGAGGGGTACGAGAAGCATCAGCAGTGGAAAGAGTTATATCATATTAGCCAAGGGCCATTTTCTTGGTCATAAACAGCTTCTGGAAATTGGCCACCTGCTCTTAGCTAGCTGTCGATGCTGAAATTTGAATTTCCTAGTCCCCAATCCCATGAACCCTTTTCTCAGATTTTGACAGGAATGCCAAAGCTATATTCCACCCCGTCTTCCTTGCTATTTATATCCCACCTTTCCTTCAAGGAACTCAGGACAGAGACTGGGTCTCCCCCACCATTTTATCCTCACAACAACCCTGGGAACCAGGTTAGGTTGAGAGATGGCCCCTGGTTCAAGCTCATCCAGTGAGGTTCATTTGCACTTACATAGCCTTGGTATGACACTGTAACTATTCTGGTTCTCTCTAATGTTGAGGAAAGATGGGAATAAGAAAGCAGGAATTATATCTGCCTATTAAAACTGCAGGGCCAAAGTAAACAGGATATTATTCATGTGGACCTTGCATGACTTTTTTTTTGGGGGGGGGAACTAATAGTTGCTACAGGTGTGGGGAGATGGATTGGGATCATGGGGGAGCAGGGGGCTTTAAACCTCTGCCCCATCACGGTTCTGATCAGAGGCAGCCCCTGTTGCCCTGCCCTCCACACCTGCTATTCGCAATGGGGTGAAAGTCGCAAATGGTAGGTGCAAAGAATATCAGCCACTTTAGTCAGGATTAGAGGCAGCCTGTATTTGCACCTCTTTGGGACTGACTGGGACAAAAGGGTTAAAGTCCTCCAGATCCCCATATGACAGTCCCCCCCCCCCCCAGCATGCTGGTTATTTGTCATGGTGTTTTGCAAACTGTGCAATGCCAAATGACACGGAATAACATCCTGTTCAGTTTGGCCCGTAGAAGGACGCACTTCTGGGCATCACTGCCAGGGAATAAAAAGGAATAACGCAATTCTCCTTCCTCTTGAGGACTTCCCTCGTTTAATTTACTGACACAAAGTATAAATCACCCTTTAAATGGTCAATTGCACAATGGCTTGCCCCAGGGAAAAGTCTTTTAGTGGTGAGTTTATGACCTGAAAGGTTGTGGGGGGTCTCTGATGCCTTACTAAGGGTGTGTCATATCCTCAAAGTTTCCCTTCCTAGTTGGAAAGGGAAGAAGAGATGACGGAATAAAAACTAAAGCGAAGCTTCATTCAGAGATGCCAGTGTTTCCCCCATTGACAACACAGTGCATTGCGAACGGTGGTCAGGAACCTTTATGAGGCCAACAGTGTGCCAGAGCACGGGTGGCTTTAGAGAGTACTTGAACGCAAAGCCTGGTGGCAATGTGACTGGCAACATACGTATTCAACGGGGCTTAATTGTTGCTATCAGTACAGTAGTGGTTAAAGGTGGAACTGCGATCTAGAAGTTCCCAGTTAAAGACTCAGCTCAGCTGCAAAAAAACTGCACAGCTGCTGCTATTTCCCAGGCGTAGTTCAACATCCATCACATGGGAGTGATAATACTGGCCACATGTTGTTGTTGTTGTTTTTAAAGGGGGGAGTGAGTGAAAAGGAAGGCAGAGAAATAGCCCTGGAAGGAGAAATTAAAATGTGATAAAATCACAGGGCCAAAACAGCTATGTGGCTTGTAATATTTCTTGGTTGGTGCAATAGCTGATCTTAGGTTCTTTCTTCTGCTTATTTGTATCCTGATCTCCTATTTTGCTTTTATCTGCTGGGGAAATCCAGCCAGACGGGCAGGGTATAAATAATAAAATTATTATTATTATTATTTATCTGCAATGTATGTTGAGCTTACTTGTACTGAGTTGCACCTTTGTTGTAATGGATGGGTGTCATGGGTGGAAGGTGTGGGCATGTCTGGTGCCTTGTATTGCACCAGGAGCCGTACATTGTATGGAATAGAATCATAGAATTGTAGAGTTGGAAGGGACCGCGTGGGTCATCTAGTCCAACCCCCTGCAATGCCGGAATCATAGCTAAAGAATCCCTGAGAGATGGCCATTCAACCTCTGCTTTAAAACCTCCAATGAAGGACAGTTCACCATCTTCCAAGGGAGTCTGACAGCTCTTACTGTCAGAAATAAAAATTATTTTTGCGGGGGGGAAAGTGTTGTGGGTAGGTGCATCACATTGCCCCCCCCCAACAGTAAATGCATTTAGATAGTGATGGGCACATGTAAGTCGGGTGGGGTGGGGGTAGAGAAGAGAGGAAGCCAAGACAGTTGTTCATGAAAACCGAAAAGCAAAATGAACTATGCACATCTACCAGCAGCCTTCGAACCTGAAGGATGGATGTTCTCTGCTCGTTCTTGTGCACCTTGGAGGCCAGCCGGTTGAACTCCAGAGCCATGCGACCCAGGTGGGCAAAGAGCTGCGTTTTGTCCGACTCCTCAGCAAAGAGACTCAGCGTGTTCTCCAAGCGCTGGAGGTGAAGCATCAGGTTGCCGTCCTCGTTCTGAAGTGGCTCAATGTCCTGCAAAAGACACGGAGGCACAGAAACATTGAAATCTGGGAGGAGGGCAAATAAGGGGTAAGTTTAGGCAGGCTCAGAGAAGCAGCTTGCCACCTTTTCCTTCCTTCATCCGAGGCCTAGAGTAGGCAACACTTTTGTCTCAGGATGAGTTACTCTGGACTTATTTAAAGAAATATCAGCTACAAAGTAAGCAGGCTGAATAGAGTCCCCATGTTGGGGGGGGGGGCACGGTTTGCTTCTCCTGGACAAGGTATTTTCCCTCTGAAAATCTCACCCTGAAGCTGCACTTTGCCCCATGCTTCAATGGCAGGGTGGGGGTGGACAAGATGGCATGGGAGGGAAGAGGGAGAGTTTTCCTCCTCACAGTCCCACTCAACTGCCCTGGCAACCTTGAGTGGTGTTTTTTTCTAAAACAAAAAACACAGAAAGCTGCCTTATACCAAGTCAGCCCCCTGGCTGTGGCTCTCCACGACTTCAGGCATTAGTCTTTGTCAACCCTACTTGGGAGATGCCAGGACTGAACCTGGGACTTTTTGCATGGAAGCCAAATGCTTTGCCACTGAGCCACAGCCCTTCCCCAAACACTTCAGCTTCTCCAGTCCCTTGGTCCTTTTGGTTGCCGTTGCCTGCAGCTCTTCCACTTAAAAAAAATTAATAAATTCCTCTCTCTTTTTTTAAGGTGGGTTGACCAGGAATGTGAACAGTACAAAATTGCTCTCATTTTATGGTCTAAATGTTCAACAGCACTCTAAGCATAATTTAATGTCCAACTCTGATTCCTCAAAAGGAACATAAGTTGGGCTAAAACACCAAGGCCAGTGTTTAGTCCTTGAGGCCCTGCATGGGAGATGATTCTAGAGAGATCCAGTGTCTTTAAGGCACTTGCCTTTGTCTGTGGTATTCTGCACTTCCAGAAGAAATCATTGCATTACCCATGCTCCTTTCACCTTTGCCCTGTTTCTATTATTGCTGAAAATTCCACCTGAATGCACCTTAGCTGTAAGCAGCAAATGGAGCCCGCCCTCCTATTAAGGCAAAGTAAGATTACTGCTTCAGGCGGCAAATGCTAAGAACAGTAGTGGATGACCCCTTGGCTGTTCTTCTCTTTGAAAGACAGAGCTGTGTGTCTCACTTAATAGTTTGGTGCCTGCTACCCTCAAGCGCAGAGTAAGACACCTCCTCATTGCTGGAACTGAAGAAAAATTCAACTGCTAGTCCAGTTGTGTATGTGCCATTTTTCCTTCACCTCAGGACTGCTAAATGTTTTAAGCTGACCTTGCCAGTAAAAAAAAAAAAAAAAAAAAAAAAAGGATTGCCAGAACTAGTTTGCTTCCAAGCTTCAGAGTTCATTTTCCATACTAAATATACGAAGAACGGATGAATGAATGAATGAATGATAAATAAAGTGTCTCTGATCATGTACTTGGTGTCTTTCCTTCACAACTGAGCAAGGCAGCTTGTCTTTGGTCTGTATACTTGGAATTATGGCATGTGGCTTCCTGGGAAGACAATGTGCTAGCTTACATAAGAAGAAGAAGAAGAAGAAGAAGAAGAAGAAGAAGAAGAAGAAGGAGTTTGGATTTGATATCCCGCCTTTCACTCCCCTTCAGGAGTCTCAAAGCGGCTAACATTCTCCTTTCCCTTCCTCCCCCACAACAAACACTCTGTGAGATGAGTGGGGCTGAGAGACTTCAGAGGAGTGTGACTGGCCCAAGGTCACCCAGCAGCTGCATGTGGAGGAGCGGAGATGCGAACCCGGTTCCCCAGATTACGAGACTACCGCTCTTAACCACTACACCACACTGGCTCTGAGGCTGAATCAGTGGGAATCATTGGCTGAATCAAGCCAATGGCCCATCTAGTCCAGCATCCTGTTCTCACAGTGGCCGACCAGATGCCCGTGGGAAGCCTGAGCAAAAGAGTAGTCCCCTCTTAAGGATTCCAGCAACTGGCATTCAGAAATGTTCTGTCTCCCACAAGGAGACTGAAAACAGAGACACTCCTAGGAGCCACCTCATCAGACCTGCCTTATACCAAGTCAAATCATTGGTCCCTTTACTTGAGTATTGCCCTCACAGACCGACTGAGGATTTCAGGCAGGGTTCTCTTCCAGTCCTACCCAGAGATGCCAGGGGTTGAATCTTCTGCATGCAAAGCAGATGCTCTGGCCCTTCCACAAGCGCAGGGAAAAACTTTACAACCAATGAATAACAACAAAAAGCTGAGCACACCTCTTTACTCTCTAGCAAGTACCTCTGAATAAGGATTCTATTCATTCCATTCTCTGTAATTTCCAAACTGCTAATGAAGAAAAACACTCCTGCAACTTGGACCACCACTTCCACCTTAAATTCGTTCCCCCTTTCCCCACCTCTCTCACTCCTACCTCTTGCTGTTCAGTTCCAATTGGTTTCGATTCCAAAGTGATGGTGGCACATGCGTCCCTCTGTCAGAAGCTCTACAACTGAAATGCACCCGCTTTATACGAGGCCCTGGGTTTATGGCACACCTGCTCTTGACAGGCAGCTGCAGAGCCACACCCTCCTCCCTGACGTGGTTGAGCTGGGCATAGTGGAGCACTAACCTGGTCTGGGTTGTTATGGCTGATTAGTTACTCAGTTGCCTTGGAGATGAAAGCCACCATTCACAGCCAAGCAATCCAGGTCAGGAAAGGGATGTCACCCTGCGTAGATGTAGCAAGTATGGCCAGATCAGGCTGCATGCCAGCTCAAAGAGTCACCTTGCAGGCAGCCCATCAGAAAGGAATCCTTGAAGGGAAAAGGCAGGGAAAGAGCAGCTTTCACCCAGGACTCATGAGCTGACTCATCCTCTCCGCCTCTCCGTGAACATGTCCCTATGAACTTGGTCCACAAAATGAAAAACCCCAGTCTTGCAAGAGACTTTGTCCATCTCTGTTGCTGCTGACTCATAAGGGAAATACACACAGGAATCATAGTGTGTCTTTGGTGCCAGATCTTTATTGCCTCATCTGTTTCTAGTTCAATAGAAGTTACACCAAGGAAGACAACTGTACTCTGGGCAGGTTCCAACCAGTCTCCCAAAGCAGGGATGGGGAAAACCAGAGCCCTGCAGGTGTTGCTGGACTACGGCTCTCTGACTACACCACGGCCAGTTGTCCCTGCCCATTGGGTGTACTGGCAAAAGCCTTTTTCAAGAAGCAAAAGACCTTGCACTATCTTACTCTGATGGCAACAGCTATCCCAAATATCTAGGAAAATGTTTCAGATGCTACTTGTAGTATCCTAGTTAATATTAAAGCTTCAGTCTCATTTGGGAGCAGTAGCAGTACTGTCAAACCTTGGTTGTTGAACATAATCTGTTCCAGAAGCCCGTTTGACTTCCGAAACGTTCGACAACCGAGATGCAGCTTCCGATTGGCTGCAAGAGCTTCCTGCTCTCAAGCAAAAGCCGTGTCGAAAACCAGAGCATTTACTTCTGGGTTTTCGGTGTTCGGGAGCTGAAATGTTAAAAAACGGAGCCATTCGGGAACCAAGGTTTGACTGTAGTAGAAACTGCTTGTGAATCAATCTCCCAGACTGCTCAAAGTCTAGACGCTTTCCCCTTAAGTTCTCTAAAGTTTCTATACTTCCCATCAATTGCTTCTACACCTCCCCATGAATTCATTTCAGTAATACCATATTGCACGACAAGCTTGGTGCCATTTTTGCAGTCACAGCTCTTCCGGTTGTATGCACTGGTTTCTGCTTGTGCTTCCTGCTCACAAAACCTGGGATACCTTTTACCTTGGGACAGTCAGATCCTGAGAACGTCCAATGGACATTCATAACACAATTTATGCTCAGATTAAGCATTATAGATTCGATGTAATAGCATCACAAGTGGCACAGAACTGCGCAGCCTAAGGCAGACGGTGCACCTTTTGGGGCATCACAACTTTTACCGGTTGTCAGAAGAATTCATAAAGCTTTGTGATGTACGAGAGTTCACCATCTGCTGTTTCTGCCAGCAGCCAAGCATGGCTGCCTCTTGAAAGAGAGCCGCTCACAGCCGCCTAACCACACCAGCCTGGAGATGTGGCAGGAGCCACATTGGCTGACACGATGCCAACGTATCTGGGGGAAAGGCTCTTTAACTTACTGCAAACCCTGGGAAGCAGTTACTACAGGCAACTAACAGCAAGCCAAGCTGTTGACATTACAACAACAACCCCCATTGTGTGTGCCTTAAATATGCATGGCTGTTTGCCCCACCTAGTTCCTCAAGCACTGATGCTGGGCCTGTTCCACACCTTCTTCAAATTTTTTTTTTTTTTTTAAAGGACATATTTTTATGTAAGAGCTGTTTCTTTTAACCTTCTGTTTCTTGTGCCTCGCCCATGCTGGCTCAAGAGCAACGCACGAAGGGACTTGTTCTGCGACAGCTTTAAAATAATTGAGTTAGGATTCCCCCTTCGCTCTGTGTAATAGCCCTAGGAAAGTCATGGGCAAATCGAGGAGAAGGCACTTGGCTCGGGAACAGAAGTCACTGGCTAGGGAAAGAGGGTCTGATTCTTGCTAAGAAACAGCTATTTAAAAGTATTTCTCTGGAGGAAGAGTCCCTTTTTCTCCCTCATGGTTAGCACTGGTTTGGACAGGAATGTATACCTTATTCTGCCACTGGCCAGATCCAATTTCAAGCTGTGCTGATGTGACAGGATGGGGGCAACTCACCACCACAAATGAACAAGACAGATTGTTTGCGGGCTAATGTTTTAACAAAATATTTTCATGTATCTATTTATTTATTTATTGAATTTATATACCGCCCTATACCCGGAGGTCTCAGAGTGGTTCACAGAAAAATAACCAAAATATAAAACCACAATATATATAATCAAGATTAAACCCCCCCCCCAAAACCCCACATTTTAAAAGGGCATAGGATGTCAATTGAATCAACCAAAGTTTGGTTAAAAAGGAACGTTTTTGCCTGGCGCCTAAAGGTGTATAATGAAGGTGCCAGGCGAACTTCCCTGGGGAGAGCATTCCTATTTAAGAAGATAGGCTTGAGAAGCGAACAGATAGCCAAATCCAGAGATATCTGTCAGATCTCCAGAGCTCCTCGCTTATGAAGGTGAAGTGAGAGCTCTCATTCACTGCATTAAAAGATTGTAAAACTTTCAGAGAGGCAGGGGTGCTATTTAAAGCAGGTACTAAAACCACCGCCGACATTACACTGGTTCACGTGATCTAGAAGGATTCGCTAGATTGCTCCAGTCAGTTTCATTTCATCACTTGGGTTTTTTCCCAGCCCCTTTCCTGAGAAGTGCTGTCTGGATATAAGCGGAGTTCTCTGCCATCCTGTTGGCTGGCTGCCCAAGCCTGTGAGCCTGCACATCTCATTGAGGAGAAGGAAGTAGCTGGCCACCACACAGCTTTGCATATGTGAGCAAGAAAGGGGGGGGGGGAGAGAAGCCTCTTGACAGCAGCACTTTCAGATTACGCTTCTCACTTCTCAGTAGGAGAGTTCCCATCAGCTTGTTCTGGGAAAGAGGCCAAATGAAAAAACTGCGGCACGTGCCTGGTTTGTGTGGTTACAGCCTCTGTGAGCGGCAGCGCACCAGCGCAAGGAAACTCAGCTGGTGGCCCAAGTCAGGTCCTGAAACAATCACTTATTTAGGGGCAAACTACACATACTGCAGGATGCGAGTGGCGCTGTGGGTTAAGCCACAGAGCCTAGGGCTTGCCGATCAGAAGGTTGGCAGTTCGAATCCCTGCGACGGGGTGAGCTCCCGTTGCTCAGTCCCTGCTCCTGCCAACCTAGCAGTTCGAAAGCACGTCAAAGTGCAAGTAGATAAATTGGTACCACTCCGGGGGGAAGGTAAACGGCATTTCCGTGCGCTGCTCTGGTTCGCCAGAAGCGGCTTAGTCATGCTGGCCACATGACCCGGAAGCTGTACGCCGGCTCCCTTGGCCAATAAAGCGAGATGAGCGCCGCAACCCCAGAGTCGTCCGCGACTGGACCTAATGGTCAGGGGTCCCTTTACTTTTTTTACACATACTGCACTCAGTTGCAGAAGCAGCAACTTGGAGCAGAAAGTTCTACAAAGAGGGAGCAGCTCTCTCTTTCTTTCCTGTACCAATTTCCCCAGCATCAATAACTTCCCAGCTGATTTTAGCTCTATGAAGGAGGAAAAAAGAGGGGTATGGATATAATCATACTGGGGCATAAGGAAACTGAGGGTTTTGTGAAAGGAAAAACGGTCCACAGCAAAAGGATTGAGCACCCCTTCTGCCCCACAAGATATGTGGCTACAGATTATAGCAACTCATTGCTGCTTCCAGTTCAAGACCACAACATGGGGAGGGGAAATATTCCAGTGACTGAGCACCCCTTGTCATTTCTTCCTCAGCACATCTCTTTCTTTCTCCTGATGTTTTCTCCATGTGAAAAAAAGAAGACTGCGAGTGGCTCACGGCAGATACCTTTGTTGTTTCTTTTCTTTTGCTTAAATTACTCTGTGAAACGCAATATAAAATAGTTCAACTGCTCAATAAAACCTGCTGACTAGTTTAGCTTTCATCTTCTGGAGACCTCTATATTTCCCTGTCTCTGAGCTATCAAACCACACAAGGAGATTGTATGAAAAAAATACATCAGAACTGAACGCACACACAAAAAGTTAACAAACAAAGGAACTTCCAAGACAACACGACCCATAAAACATTTCCCCCCCTTTTGCGTCTCAATCTAAACAAGCTGTTTGGATTAACATACCGATTTCCCGGTGCTTCCCTGGGAAGACCTTTTATCCTCAGCTCCAACAATTTCAAACTCAGATGAAGATCCCTGTAGAGAAAATGAATGAATGTAGAGTTATATACCCCAAATTCCAATGGGCCCCTTACAGGAAAAAAACAGAGTAGGGATTAAATGAGTAATTTGGGTTTCCCCGCTGTCTACTGAATGTGTTTAAAAAACAAACAAACAAATATATGGTGTCCTGCTTACTTAGAAACAGGATAAAAAAGCAAAAACCTGCAACAAAATATTGCCATAAATCCTCACCTCCCAGCATACTGATCTTCAAAAGGTGGGTTGCTGCCTGATCCAAGATAAGTCGCAACAGAAAGCACCACCACTATGCAAATATGCAATAAAAGATTAAGAAATGGGTCCCCAAATGCATGTTTGGGTCAAAAGTGGGTCCTGCGTCTGATAATGTGGAATATACCTTTATATACACAGGTCCAATTATGCCTTCCTCCATGATAATATAGGCTGTCAAGGGTTCAAGCAGGTCTCTGCTTTTCTGTCAAGTCTTTCCCACCTAATTCTCAACTTTCCTGAGCTCCTGGAGGTCAATCTAGTCTTTGCTGGGCTCCTTTGCAGTTTTGTTTGCTTTTTTATTTTGTTTGTTTGTTTGTGGTTCTGCAAATCTCTGGGTTTCTCTGAGTGCGCCAATAACTCTCTAACGTTTATCAGTGACCCTCTCTGGGCTCCAATTCTGTCAGCAAGAGGCAATGTGTTCAAAGTCAGAGGGGAGTGGGACTGCATCTTTCACTGGATGGAGCTGTTTCCAAATGTTGCTTATTTCTTTGATCTAAAAAGGTCATGTGGGAAAGGAAGATAGCATCTTACACACCAAACTGGAGGCGTAGCGAGATCAAAATCTACCTAATAACTATTAGAAACCACAGCAATCTGTAACTGTCCATTATACAGAATGAAACAGGGCTACATGTTTTCTCAAATAATACAGTATTCAAAACTACAACATTTTTATGGGAAAGGCTGGAGCTTGGCGGCAGAGGATTTGCCTCACATGCAAAAGATCCCGGGTTCAATCCCTGGTGTCTGCAGGAAGGGCTCAGAAAAGTTGTTTCCTGAAGCCCTGGAGAGCTGCTGGCATCAGTGTAGGCCATGGTGAACAAGATATGCCAACGGCATAAGGCAGCTACCTCTCAGAAACATTCTAAGAGACATCTCTTTGTAGTTAAGTGGCACTCAACAAAGCCAGGCAGTTTGGGATCAGACACTGAACCATGGAATGGACTCTCCCCGCAGCCTTGCAAGACTTAATAGATGTATCTTGGGTCAGGAATAAAAGCACCAGCCTTGGACCTCAATGACTATCACAGGGCGGTTTAAAAGAGAGTGCTCTTTCAGCTCCAGTTCTGCAAAATAGAAAGCACCTCCCAAAGTAGCTGGGATGATCAATTTTACTGTAGAGCATGTGGCTCATTAAAAGTGTTATGCAGCATTCTTCTAGTTCAGAAACTTCTTTCCAGTTACATGGACAGACTAAAAATGCCAGAGTCCTCAAACCTGAGTAGTTCATTGGAAGAAAAAGTCATTCTGATATCATTCCCCTCACTGCCTTTACAATGTGTTTAGCATTCTCGCAGCCTAGTTCTATACATACTCGGAAATACTTGCTGCTGAATTCATTGGGACTTACTCCTGTGCCTGCCTAGCAGGGCTTGCAGCTTTAATCATTATTATTATTTTTATGTAGCCATGGTTATTTAAAGTTTGATTTCTTACACTGCTAGGTGGCTTCTGTGTGGGTTTTTCCATCTCCTTCTGATCTTCACCTGGAACCTCTGAGGAAGAGCAAAGATCTGGGATTCCTCCTGGGGGAAAAAGAGAAAAGAAGCAAGTGAACATTTCTAATTGCAGAGATCCAACTCTGCCAACAGAAACAACAGCAGCAAAAGTACAAAGAAGAAAAGGGAAAGTTGGGGAAAGGAGAAAACAGGTTGCTAGGCAGGATAGAGATCTCCCATTCTGCATTAACAGGAAACAGGTTCAAGAACAGGAGGGGTGGTAGCAGCTATTACCTGCCTAAAACAAATCCATTTTATAACCAATTTAAAAACACACACCAGAGAGTCTACAAGGAACAGTACTTGCCCTTTCCCATCTTGTTTTAAGTCCCCATGCACAAATTACACATACACTCCCCCCATGTCAAGCCCCACCTTCCCTGTGCAAGAACCAGTAGCTGGTCTCTGGGGTCACAGAGGCAGCAATGTTTGGTGTGCGATGCAAATGTATATAAATGGCCTTTGATGAGTGTCAGCTGGAATTTCCCTCCTTCCTCCTGGGCTCAGCATACGGTAATACTGAAAGATCAAAAATCACCCCTCAGCTTTTCCATTTGAAGCCCATCTAGTTCTCAAGAGGGGTGGTAGGTGGGAGAACAGAACAGTCACCTTTTTTTTAAGTACACTGCATCAGCCTTTGCCAACCTGGCACACTGCAGATGTTTTGGACTAAAAGCTTCATTAGCTCCAGCCAGCAACAGGTTGATGAAGGTGAGAGTGTGCCATATCAGAATGATATGGTGCATATCAGAATGACAGTCACCTTTTCTAAGGTTAAAGGAGGCTGCTCTCAGGGCTTTCACGCTCAGATCTATCAAACGTGTGATCCCAGGTACACTGCAAGGCTCCCACTAGTCCCAGCCAGTAAGCTCCCTCTAAGTAGCACCCCCAATAATGGTCTAAACAAATAAATCAAGTAATTGACCATTGGGTGCTCTTTGGTATGAAAAATTATACCACCCAAGGCAGTTGACCAAGCCCTGAATTGGGGGTATGTGCGCAATGTGTGTGGCATGCACATAGTTACACCCAGACTTTGCTAGTATCAGGTGGGACTCAATCGCAGACCAGCAAACCCAGGTTGTGCAATTACAGTTGAAGGGGAGGTTTTGCACAACAAACCCACTCTCCCCCAGTAGATGGACCTCCCCACCACAAACAGGAATGAATGCTCAATAAAATCAGTCACCTGGAAGCACCCATGATTTTTTTGAGACTCAAAAAGAAAACACACCGGGACAGGGGGGGTGTCTAGGAAGCTGGCTCAAACCAAGGCATATGTGTTTGCCTAGCCCTGTACTGTCTATTCTGACTGGCAGTACTTCTCCAGGGTCTCAGACAGAATGAGCTCCTGCCCCATCACCTGCCTGAAGATGGAAAGGATTATTCCTGGGACCTTCTGCGTGCAAAAGTGTAGGCTGTGAGCTGCCCCCTAAAACCACACGGCCCTCAAAGAAGAAAAAAGTGTTTGAGGGCAGGGGTGTGGAAGGAAGAGTTTTGTTGCAGAAGCAAAAATGTATTCAAAACCTTTGGTTACTGGTCATTTGATTTCATGTTTTTCTCAGGGAGGGGAACAGCAGTGAACATGAGCAAAAAGCATGGCCAAAACTTCCCTCATGTTCCACCGTCTAAAGGCTGTTCGATTTATTTTTGCATATGCATAACCTGCCCAGAAAGTAGCATGCAACAAGACAGGACTGATTCAATCCAAGGAGGCTGGGCTGTAGCTAAAACCATGCAAATAGAGTTCTACCCACACAACGGAACCTCCCCTTCCTCTCCTCTCGCCAAGCATCCACAGAATCTGCTCTGGAGGTCCCAGAACCTGCTGCAGCAGATTTTGATGGTGCACAGGGGGCTGCAGGGGAGAGGAGAGGTGCAAGTTTTACTGTGAAGTCTGTTGCATGAGCCAAACACCCCTAAGAACTAAAATGGCACAGATTCAGGCTGCAGACCTGAAGACGCAGGTTGGCTGCATAGATGGCCCAGTGATATCAGAATGTATATTTTTTTTGAAAGGGCTTTTTACACTTAATGCAAGACAGCCGACACCAGCACTGGAGGCTTATTACTCTTCCTTCCAACTTGCAATTCCCTTAAATGCAACACACACACATGCAGTGAAAATCTAGGTCTGCCATAGAACATGTTACTGGGACATGCCAAACAGTTGGTCCTTTGATGCTCATACCTGCCATTTCCGCAAGCTTGTCAAGAGAGGAGGTGGACCTTAGCATTTCGTTGTCCTTCACTAGGTCCTCCACTTTCTGACGCAGCCTGGAGGCTTCTAACTGAGACTCTTCCAATAGATCCCCTGGCAAAACAACAAGGGCATGATTTAACACTCCTTTGTATTTGCAGGATCTTTCTTTACAGCAGCACGTTCAGCATAGTTATCAGAACTAGCCAAACTCTAGCAATTCTAGCCTAACTCCACTGCATTTCAGTTCAAATGGCTGCTTTATACACAGTACTTTTACTACACAGAGAAGATCTCTGTGCCATGGGGGGCAGGGGATGGAACTGTGAATAATGTATATAGCAGCCACATAAATTTTTGCATGGATTAGGGAGAAGGGACGAGCATGGAGATATTCCCAACTGTAGGAAAAAGTAGTCAGCTGAACTGCAATGTTTTGCCTTGTCTACTTATTGGCAAGCACCCCAGCCACACACGTACAAAGCTCAAATTTTATGCCAGTATTTTGGGCTTGCTAAGAAATGTATCGCTATCAAGATCTCATTTTAAAAGGCTTTGGAATAAAGAGCAATGCATGTTTAATATGCAATGGTGAAAGCTTTTGGAGGCACAAAGAATTCTCCTTTAGGCTAGGTAATATGAACTACCCCTTTAAAAAAACTAAAAACTTTAATAGAAGTAAAGAAATTCCTAATATATACCTCTAATTCAAAACCCTATCTACAGAGAGGTGCATCTGTGGAATGAAACGCTGCTGAGTTGGAACCCATTGACATATTCAGGACTGTTTCTCAGCCTCTGAAAACGATTATGTTCTCAGACGGCAAACAGAAAAAGATTCTTCCTGTGATGCTACTACATCCGGGACCTGTGTACAATTTTCACACTTACGATGTTCAGCGTTACTGAAAAACCCTGAAGATCTTCCACTGGCTGTCACAATATTTTAAAAGGTCCATATCCCACACACAGCCCACGTGTGAGAAATGCCAGTAAGTCATCACCTGGGACGTCTCTTGAACAACATGCAGACACGAGGCAAAGGCCTTTTGAGCAACAGCAATAACACAGAGAGCACCCCCAGAAAGACTTTAGCATACAAGGGGCAGCAAGTCCAAATCACAGATTTGGTCACCACCAGTGAAACTAGTAGGCTATCCCCAACGGAAGCTCAAGTGCTGCTACAACTATGCCTCTATGGTGCCACAGAGGTTTTAGAGGTTTCCTGCTAAGTACACAAGAAAGCAGCTTCTTTGAGGTTTGTCGCAGACCTGGGCATTCTGGAAACAGCAACAATGAGTAACTTTTGCTTTTCCGCTTCCATGTCATCCTCACCGTTACCTAGAGACTTAATTCCCTGCATCTTCTCCTTCAGCCGGGTATTTTCCTCCACCAGCCGTTCAAAGGCAGCAGATGCTCCCTTTTCCGTTCCCCCACCCGGGTCATAGATACGATAAGGCCCCTTTCCTTCCATGGGTGCAGCTTAATACTCCAGTTTCCTGGTAGCTGTGCCTGAAACAATGGAACAGGAGGTTAGCATCCCCAGTGTAAATCCTTTAAGAATGCTAGAACAACCAGAGGGATTTAACAGAAGGGGGAGATAATAGTGTTCATCTGTTACTGGGACTTCAGGGGTTTTCCAGATAGGGTGGCCTTGGTCAGAGGCTACAGCTTCCATGACTGATATAACGCTCCCATTATTTTTAACCTTGGTTAAGGGATTGTGAGCAGGTGGTGCAAGTGTATATCCTCTTGCCTTCCTTTGCCCCAGTTCCCCTGCTCTTCCTGAACCCTGTCTGAACTGGCTTTAACCAATAATTAGTCCTAACGGAGACATCGATCTTAGCCAAGACTTGAAATATTGGGAGTGGTCTATATGAATAAGATCATAGCAAAATATGATCCTTATGATACTCTGCTGAGCAGTTCTTTCATTATGCTTGTGTTTGTAGAGAAAGGACTGGCACCCTGATTGCCAGAGTAATTTTCTCCATTTCTGCAAAACAAAAGGTTTTTAAGCAGAGGTTTGATGGCCATCTCTCATGGATGCTTTAGCTAGGATTCCTGCATTGCAGGAGGTTGGACTAGATGACCCCTGGGGTCCCTTCCAACTCCAAGAGTCTGTGATTTTATGGAAACACCACAGCAAAAAGAAAAAGGGGGGAAAATAAAAAAGAGCTGGGATATACAATTTAATTAACATATTTCTATACCATCCTTAATAAAAACAGATTTCAGGGCATTGTACAACAAACCAGAGTAATAAAATTAAAACCAAATAAAAAAACCACTAGCACTGTGCAGCCATAACATATTTTTTTAAGCAGCAGATTAAAAGGACAAAAGCAGGCTGAGTGAGTATACAAATTAAAATGCCTCAGTAAATACGAATGTCTTAACCTAGCGCTGAAAAGATTGCCAAATAGGTGCCAGGCGTACCTTTTAGGGGAAGGCATTCAAATACCTCTCATTTCTTATTACAGAGCACACTACCACTTGAAGCTGAACTCCTGTTGAAGATCTCAACACACGCAGGCAGGTATAGGGGAAGAAGCACTCTTGCAAGTATTTGGGAATAATAATAATAATAATAACCAGTTAAAATTCTGACAGCCAAATTCTGAACTAATTGAACTTCTGAGTACTGTAATCTTTAAGGGCAGCCCCAAGTATTACCAGACTATGGAACACTGTAACCAGACTATGCCTGTTGAGGAATGGCGCAGCTGGTAAAAAGATAGTCTGTGGCAGCAACATCATCTGGACTGGTAGAGACAGAAGTGAATCTAAAAGCGCACCCAAACTGCAAACCTACTCTTTCCAGATGAATGCAGTCTCAGCCAAAACAGTTTGAACAGCATGGTCAATGATATCAAATGCTACTGAGAGAGCAAGAAGAACCAATAGGGTTGTGCTCCCCCGCCTTTCTACTCACAGGCCATTCACCTGATTGTGGATACTCTACTCTCCAAAGGATGCATGCCTAAATCTGCTCTCTGATATACACTCAAATGATACTCCAGGTGAGACGGGGGTTTAGAACAACGACAATGTAATTGGTTTGCCCTAATCAGCATTGGCATGTAGCCAAATCTGATTCGCTTTGCGAGGTCATCACATTCACTACCAGATCGCTGTTTGAATGGGATTCTGTAGTTAAGGAAGAATATAGGAGGAAGCAATCCATTACGAAACGCACACACAGGTAAAATGAGATCCACCAGTAAGTCTGTGGGTGCCTTGCAGTAGATTTAAGGGTTTCTAACTTTTCTAATGACAGAAACAACCAGCTAAAAGGCCTTTTATTTTCAAATTAGGTTGCTGATAAAGAACATTTGGGAGAAAACCAGGACTGGGGTTTTTGTGAGAGAGAATGTATAAACTTGGTTCTGGTACTGCATTACTAATGCCCAGTCTGAGTATGTGCTCAGAGGCACCCTGCTTACTGATTCTTGGTGTATATGCCTGCCCACTTGATCCAGTATTTTACTCTGGTTCGTACACCTCAGTTTTCAAGCAAAAATGAACAAACAAACAGACGAATGAATAGATCCACTCCATTAGCACAAGTTGACTAGGTTGGGGAGAAAAATGCCCAAAGTGATGGAACATTCAGATCTAATGCACAGAGTGTTCAACTCCCTTCACCTATGCACATCTTGTGCTGCAAAATTTAATCCTGCATCATTTAACGATGCTCATCACGCACCAAACTAATGAGAGTTCAGCTAGGTTACTGCACTCTGGGTCAACAGAGAACAGAACTAGGTCAGCAGGCGTCATTAAAAAGTGCACACACATTCTTCTTGAATGATGCAGGAACAGCTCCGGGATATTTAGTGTGCTGATACAAACCTTGCTTCAGTTCAAACCGTGTGAAAGAAAGTGTCATAAATAGATAACAGACCAGTGAAAGTGTCTGAAACTAGAACAGGCTTGCTGGTTCTGAATAATATACATATCTATTAAATTATCAGTACGGGAACAGAAAGGAGGGGTAAGTACATTTAAATACTATTTCTTAAAACAAAAACACTATTCAAGGATCCACAAATACACTGTCATTTTAAGCTGATAAAGGCAGAATCAGGGAAAGGCAGCACCCTACTCCTCATCCAGAAATGCAGGGTCCCCACCTGGTGCCACACTGGTCACAATACATTCAAAGCACTCTTGTGCCACTTCAAAAGGCATGGATTCTCCGAAAGAATCCTAGAAACTATAGTTGAAGGGTGCTGGGAATTGTAGCACTGTGAGGGTCTCCTAACAATGCTCAACACCTTTATAGTTCCCAGGATTCTTTGGGGGGAGCCATGTAAGAATGCTCTAAATGTACAGTATGGATGCACTAAGTCACTAAGTCTTGCAGACTCTCAGAAAGCAAGGAGATGACTCAGTGCTTAGTGCATCAGGGATTATGATCCCTGAGGGTCACTGGCATTTCTGGAGTTTGCTGGGTGATCATGCTCCTCCTTTACCCCTGGTTCAAGGTATGGATAGGGCTACCACCTGGAATTTTATCCTCACTGAAATGGCCCATGGGCACTGAGACAAGTTAGACATGGTTGGAATGTGGGAATGTTCAGGGAAGCAGGAGAGGATATGTTTATTAATATCCTTCTTAACTTGCACTAGCAAGTTTCTTTACTTAGCAGAGTTTCACACTCCCCCTTTAAACACACAGCAGGTAGCTGTTTGCAGGCTTGTGTAAGCCTCTTACTATTAGGTTCCTTACTATTAGGTTCCCTTATATCCCTCTTAAAATAATAAACTCACCACAATCTTGCGTAAAGTATATAAAAGTAGTTTACTCACATTATGTTCACAGTTGGATCCCTGAAGGCAGGCTTAGTTACAAAGTATATACATGTGGAGCTATCCCATATGGGGATAATCCCAGTGTCCTCTGTTGGTTAGCTAAAAAGCTGCTCCAATGACGGAGGAAGTCAAAGAGAGAGAGAGAGAGTTGTGTGCCTTGTCTCTTTTGTTACCTGGACAGGTAAGGCCACATCCACCTCTAGTCACATGCAAAGGAAGTATGTCTCAGCCAGGAGAAAACAGGAAGTTTTCAACTGGCTGGACCAAACATTCCCCTGCATGTCCACTCTAGGAAAACAAGGAATGTTGTACTTGACTGCTACTTATGTATCACATCCCACATGGAAAGCAATGCACACCCTTTTGTTGGTGTTTTTATGCAGAAGCTGGATGAGCACCTATCAAAGATGCTAGAGCAACAGATAAGGACACCTGAAGTCCCCTCCATCATTAAAATTCTGTGAAAAATCTTCTGCTAGGACAACTGTAATTCACTTCTCAATTCAGAATGCATAGCTTCTATGCACCACAGATGCCAAGGCATATTTTGAACTTTTGACAAGACATTGATGGAAAAAAATTATTTTCCCTGTGCTGTTTTTACCCAATGAACAAAGAGCCTCCTGATTTTCAAATCAGAGGATAGGATTGCTGCAGTCCATGAATACAGAGCACAGCAGGTGAAGTAGCAATTAAAGCAACACACAATGTGGAGGCAGGAAACAGTCTTCAATAGGAGTGTTACAAGCCTGCCACAGTCTTCATCAGTAATACATTCAAGGGTATGTAGATAGAAGAACATAATAAGAGCAGTGCTAGACCAGCTGCCTGTTCCCTATAGCAGCCAATGATTCCTCTGGGAAGCCTACCTGGGAGGAAGTATATATCCATCATGACAAGCAGCCATTGATGACCAAAAACTCCATGAACTTCTCTAATCTCCTTTTAAACCGTCCAAGTTGACAGCACTATAAATTAGTTCAAGAAAGATGCCTTCTCTCCTCCTAAAAGGGAGAAGGGCTTTTCCTGCAAATCAATGCTTCGAAGTTAGAGATTTTTTTCTTTAGCTTCAGGGAAAGAGTAAAAAGATACTGCTGTGAGACCCAACAAAAGCTCACAAAATAACAAACTTTATAGTGTGATTGACTACTGGGTTCTATACAGGACTTCGTAATTTATTTGCAAGGCTGCATTTCATTATTTAAAAGCATCATCACATTTCTGCTTATGGACTTGAGCTGAATTAGTATGCTTCATCTCTAGTCTCTAGATAAATGAGAAGGGTAATAGTCCCTCCCGAATGCAGATTGCTATCGTTTGCACTGGGAATGTCCCGATTTAAAGATACTGTATTGGCATAAAAACATAAATACTATCTCTGCAGGGACTTGTTACAAAGTATCTTTAGAACAGTTAGTCAACTTGTTGAACTATTTCAAAGGTGTCAGCCTGTTGCGTCTCAGTATATATATATAGGTTGCTTCTAGAAAGCTGACACAGTTAAAAAAATCGGAAGACCCCAAATCTCCTTCAGCTTTAGCTTTGTGGGGTTTTTTGTTTGTTTCCTTACAATTCTATGAGCAGAAATGAAAATGCTTGCAGCGTGTGTATCCTGATGGAGTATACTGTGTAAATATATATGTGTGTATACTATCTTGAAAGATGAAAACACATGGCACCATGGGTGAAATCCATTGGTGACCATCCACCCACAAAGCAGATACTGCTGGCAGAAGAGATTTTCCTTTTCTTGTTTCACCCAATGTGGGTGGCAGCAGATTCAGAAGAAAGCAACATTCAGTTCTTCCTCACATAACCCATTCACCTTACAAAATTCATTCCCACAATATGGGGCGATGGACACCATCTGCCTCACGGGAGGGATGAGTTTCCAGTATTAACTTATTGCAACATTATTACTGTAGTTTGATTTCACTCATAAGCCAGCTTGATTTGTATTTTTTAAAGTGAAATATAAACAATTAGAACCAATGAATAAGCCGTGAGTTGCCTAGTCAACAAGAAAGAACAAACTACTGATCAGATGTGTGGGGGTGGAAGAGTCAGGAGTTAACTGCTCCGAGGGTTTTCACAGACCCATATCATTAAATTAAATGACGCAAGCATTTCCATATACATATAAAAGTACTATTTCCCCCCCATTCATGATCTGCATAAACCCCTCTGCCATACACTATAGTTCATTAGAACTCCCGTCACCCTGCCCCATATCAGCAATTTTGTGCATTCTGACTATGGAAATAATCAAATTACTCAATTGTGGCAGGTGCAGGCTATGAGTCCTGGATTCCAGAGAATTTTGGTGTTTGTTTGTTTTTTAAATAAAGTTTCCAGTCCTCGTGTTACATGTACTAGCACCAGTTCTGTAAGATATGTTTGCTTATTTAGGGTAGCAGAGGGAGGCTAATCAAAGGCCTTCCAGGCATCTTCCAGGCCACAATGACAACTATCATTACCCCTAGCCAGTGTGGCCAATGGTGGAATTTGGAATAAAAAATCTGGAGGACTGCAGGTCCACCTCTGACTTAAGCGATTTGTGCCCTGCTCTTCTTCTTGATTTTAACAATGTTTTCTACCACTTTAGCTCCTCCTGGAGGCTACATTGGTAGAAAGCATTGCTAAAAACAAGAATAATGAAAACACAGAGCAGAATAAGCCTTGTCGAGAAAGAATCAGTTTACTCATCTTAACCCTTTGAAACACAACTATATTTAGATATCAGATCACCTCAAGGAACAATATTTGGACTTCCAAAAAACTTTTGATAAAAGCCCCTCATGATTTCACAGAAATGGGTAATGTGATATACTTTCACAGGGATCATTCAGTGGTTAAAAAATAATTGGATAGGTCCCACACAGGACTTTGGAACTGGTGCTATCTAACTTACTTGCAAGTTATCTGGAGTCGGGGTGAACAATGAAGTTGACTACAATTCAGTACTACTGTTATTTAGTTATTTAGTTGCAGGCGACTTCCTATTTACACACACTCTTTGTGTGCACAACCACACACCTGCGTGGTGCTGGGAACCCAGAAGTGGATCCCAAAAACGGGGAGCACCCTGGAGAGTCCTCCTGACATGCAAGGAGACCCTCCTGGGAGCCCAAAGAGAATGTGGCATGGCAGCAGATGCTTCCCTGGACCTCAGCTGTGCAAGCCATACTTCTGCGTGTGCTTCTTCCCCATGCGTTAGCTGAGCTGATACAAGCGACTCCCCATTTCACATGGTTTCACTGATGCATGCAGAGGTCTGGAACGTAACCCCCACATAAATGGGGAGTCAACTGTATTTAGTTATACCCTGCCTTTTTCCCTGACAGGACTCAAGGAACTCAACTTTGCCAATACCTCCAGAGGCGGGATTCAGCTAACCTGCTGTTCCTAACGGGGTTGTCCCAGTCCACCAGTCCTCACTCAGAGGAAGGGGTCCTTTTAAACAGAGTGAGGTATCAGAGTGATTTGCCATCAATCAGGCAACATGGCAGTAATGCAAGCTCTCTCCACAGCCAGCTCAGTCACAAAGCTTCACTCCAAGAAGGGGTCTCAGAGGTACCCCAAATTAGAGGAGGTGACAGCAAAAGGGGGAGAGGGGGTGAGGGAGGCAAAAGGAGAAGGTGGTAACAGAAGAAACTCCTCAGGCAGCACGCCAGTATTTAGGTCTAGAGTTCTCAATCACTATAGGTCTGTCTTCTTAGCACAAAACCATCCTTTTTATCCTTCAAAGGCAGCCAACTTGCAGAAAATGCTTTGCCACACAACCTGTGTCAAAGAAAAGACAGACAGATGGCACCCTCCAGCTGCAAGAAGCGACAGAGCAGGCAACCGCTACTGCACAACAAAAGCCTGCAAGGTCTCATCTCTGGAGGTGTTTCCCAGTTTACACAACCTGCCTGTCAGGAATGCTGGGGATTTTCCAGCCAAGGGTTGAAACCTGGCATAATCCAGGACCAGAACAGCAATTAAATGCCTGATGGTTAGGAACATGAGGGGTTTTTCTTCCCACAAAGGAAGGTTCTTAAAAAGCTAAGTGAGAAAACATTGTCATAAATGTTTTCCATCTGAGCATGGCTCTTTCAAGTAAGTTTCCATTTCTCATGATACTAACAGTTCTCCTGACACACCAAGTAAAAACTGAGTAACTCCTATTTATTTATGATCTGGGCACCCAGTTACAAAAGTGAGTTGTGTCCTGTCTCTAAACTCATGTCCGCACGAGTCCCAGTTCTTTCAATGAGAATTGCTTGCACGTGAAAACGCAGAGACACAACAATTGTTCAGCGTTCTCCCTGAACTGTTCAAGGACATGTGACTCCCCCCAACCTCTGAGCAAATATATTATCTCATCCTTCCACTAAGTGGTAGGAAATACTTCAGAGGTAGTTTCTGTAGAGGCCATTTTTTATGACGAGGGTGTTTTTCATGCTATCAGCAGATTTACAAAGATACAAGTACCTGGGTAGACAATACTCATATTTAGGGATGCCCCAATTTTCACAAAAGCGACAACATGTCCCTGGGACACACCTCTCTCCTTGCTCAGACTTCTGTCTTTGTAGGCTACATTTCAATTCCAAAATCACTTTTTCCGTCATCAAGGACTCATTAACAAATTATATCTATCTATCAGCTGTCAAAAGCCAGGACGGGGGACAGCATTTTCCCCACGCAATGGCCACAACAATATATTTAAGATCTCTTTCTTTCCCTCTATACAAAAACACAGACGTGTCCCCGCCCCCAATGCAAAAGCCACAAGAACGCAAGATGATTTAAGGCAGTGCACAGGGGGTTGAATGACTCCAGGCTGCTGTTAAACGCCTTTGGTTTCCAAACTTCTCATTTGCCATGAATTAATGTAGGGAGTTTCCCCTGAAGGAAACCACCACGTCTTTTACAAGAAAGACTTCCAAGGGAATGTTTCGGAGGAATGGGGAGAACTGGAACAGGAGAAGAAAAATCCTTCTTCCAATACATTTCCCTTATGTTTGACCTTAGTTTGTACATGTAGCACCATCGCCTCTGCGGTGGCCCAGAGCTTGATGGGGTGGGGAAAGAGGACACATGTGACTAGGAAGAGAACGACAAGGGTCTTTGGAAAAAGAGCAAGGATCTCTTTAGGCCAGGATCCCATAACTGGGGACATACCAAGCTGGGCACAGGAAACTGCCTTATACCAAGTCAGATTATAGATCCATCTAGCTCAGTATTTTCTTCACTAACTAGCAGTGTCTCTCCAGGGTTTCAGGCAGGGCTCTCTCCCAGTCCTACCTCAACACAGGAGGCGCAGGTTAATTCTGTGTCCAGGGCGGCTGTCTACCAGCTCCACCTGGTACGCAGACTGAGACCCTACCTGCCCGCAGACTGTCTCACCAGAGTGGTGCATGCTCTAGTTATCTTCCGCTTGGACTACTCAAATGCGCTCTATGTGGGGCTACATTTGAAGGTGCCCCGGAAACTGCAATTAATCCAGAATGCGGCAGCTAGACTGGTGACTGGGAGTGGCCGCCGGGACCACATAACACCGGTCTTGAAAGACCTACATTGGCTCCCAGTACATTTCCGAGCACAATTCAAAGTGTTGGCGCTGACCTTTAAAGCCCTAAACGGCCTCGGTCCTGTATACCTGAAGGAGCATCTCCATCCCCATCGTTCAGCCCGGACACTGAGATCCAGCACCAAGGGCCTTCTGGCGGTTCCCTCATTGCGAGAAGTGAGGTTACAGGGAACCAGACAGAGGGCCTTCTTGGTAGTTGTGCCCGCCCTGTGGAACACCCTCCCTTTAGATGTGAAGGAAATAAGCAGCTATCCTATCTTTAAAAGACATCTGAAGGCAGCCCTGTTCAGAGAAGTTTTTAATATTTAATGCTGTACTGTTTTTAACATTTGATTGGGAGCCACCCAGAGTGGCTGGGAAAACTCAGCCGGATGGGCGGGGTATGTATAAATAAATAAATAAATAAATAAATAAATAATAATTATAACACCCCAGGATTGAACATGGGACCAACTGCATGCAAAGCAGATGCTCTACTACTGAGCTACAGCCCTTCTAGTAAGGTAGCCCACCAGCTTTGCCACATCCTTGTCAACTTTCCAGTTTTTACAGCCCTGGGCAATGGTAGGTTCATTGAGCCTCCATAACATGGCTGGTCAGCTGCATTTGGCCTAGTGATCCAGGTTTGACTGAAGCCCATGCAGTTTGCAGGAGGGCAAGCAGATACATGGTGGCCCCATCCTGCTGTCAACACTGGCCCATAGGGGTGGACAGGGGCATAGCGGGAGTAGTTTAGTTAAGTAGTTTCTACTTAACTAAAAATAGAAATAGTCAGAAAATCCTAGCTACTCCCATGGGGATGGAGAATATAAAGATCTGGTCACAAAGGTTCCTCACTTCTGCATTAGGACTTGCGCCTCCACAACAGAACTTTCCCTCCCTCTCCTTTCTCTGCATATCCCCACAAATCTGCTCTGGAAGATTATGGGAACTCCCAGAACAAATCTGAAGGGGAGAGATAGGAAGCTCCAATGCACAAACGAATTTCTCAAACTAAAACGGACATTACTGTTGGCTGCAACCAATTTTAAGCAAAGCAAAAGATGAAGAACTCAAAAACAAGAAATCCCAGAGCACGCCAGACATAATTGCATTTTTGGAGCCTTGTCACAAATTTCACTTTTGTGCTCCACTCTCTTGGAGTGCACTCTCTCTTGTCACACCCCCCCACTCACACACAAATCTTATGCATAAATACAGACTGAGAAATTACATGCAAGTATGTCAAGAAGTAGCTATTTTGGAAGTTTGCAAAATGTGTTTGGCATCCAGCTGCACAGATGCTTTGGCATGTATCTGGCGTGTGTGTGTGTTTTAAGCCTTGACCAACCACAGGAAGATTTACACTTCATTAAAAGAAGTGTAGCTTTCATAACTTGCACAAAAATTCATCTCCCTGGAAGCAGTGCATTAAACACTCTACAGGCAATTTGGGCAACATATTGTAGCGCAATGCCAAGGGGTGGGGAACCTCTTGGAAATAAAAAGCCTTTTCAATTCTCTGTGATGCTTGCTTTAGTCAGCAAGCCAGTGTGGTGTAATGGTTACAGTGTCAGACCAGAGACCACAGTTCGAATCCTCACTGAGCCACGAAGCTCACAGGATGACCTTGGGCCAGTCACTGCCTCTCATCCTAAGCTTCTTCACTGGGTTGTTTTGAGCATAAAATGTGGAGGCGGAGAACTGCGAACACCATCTTGAGCTCCACAGAGGAAAGGTAGGATATAAATGTAACAAAGAAAAGGAATAAATAAAAATACTTGCAGCTGGTGACCCTCCTGCAGTTCGAGAAGTTTTGCGTGCTTGGCAAGAACTAATGGCACAAGAAACACACACCCCTCTCTCTTTGCCTCTCTGCATTTATCTCATTGGCATATGACATATTTTTTCGGCACTTTTAATCCACTGGGCACCCACTCTGAAAGCAGGTCAAGGTCAAAACCTGACAATTCAGGCCCAGCTGACAATGAAGCAGAAAGCTTATCAAAGCAGTGAGACAGAGTCACTGGCTCACCAGGTGACACATGAGTACAGTGTCTATTTCTGGAGAATCGCTAGCAGCTGACAGGAAGCTGATTGAGAAAAGTGGTGTGTGTAGGTCTCTGAACGTGCTGATCACACACTGCACAAGCACCACCCCCAGGAGCAAGGAACATTAATCTCTGCCAAATCTGAATGTATGTTGTAGCCAATTATTTGGGGGGGGGGGGAGCAGTTCACATGGGGTTGACCCTGACAACAGTCCAGAACTGGTAACTGGTGCAGGGCCCTGCCCTAGGCATTGCCTTGGGGTCTTCACATACAATGTCAATTCTCAGACAATTGTTCTGACTGCTTATTGCCTTCTGGGCCCAATTTAGGGTGATGATGCTGGCTTTTGAGGCTCTAAAGGACCCAGGCCCAAAATACTGAAGGAATGCCTCCTCCCATACCAACCTGCCTGAATTTTAAGATCTACAGAAGATATTCTGCTGGTGGTCTCCACACCTAATGAGAATAATAGTCTGGGGCCCCACAGGGAGGCTCTCTCTGTGGCAGCCTTACACCTTTGGAACACCTCACCATGCCATTGCTTCTGTTTCAGTAGCGGAAGAAAAACAAAATTGCAGAGTTGGAAGGAACCCAAGGGTCATTTAGTACAACCTGCTGATTGCAGGAATCACAGCTACAGAATCCCTGGCAGATGGCCAGCCACCCTCTGTCTAAAGACCTCCAATGAAGGGGAGTCCATCAGCTTTTGAGGTAGTCCATTCCACTGTCAAACAACAATTTGCCCAGGTTTTTGAGGAGGGGTGAGGTGTACTGGGTGCCTATAAATTCTTGTCCCTGCTGGTTGCATAATTGGGAATTATGTATTTTGTTTTATATTGGTTTTTGAAGCTCATGGGTTGTTTTCAACAAAGATTCCATCAACGCAAGGACTTCACTTTACACAATGGAATGTTCTCCTCCTCTCCCTCCCATCCCCCCTTAAATCTGTTCTGAGTTTCCCCCCAACCTTCTACAGAGGATTTGGGGATGACAGAGGGGGAGGCAGGGAAACTCCGCTTGTGCTAGTGGTAATACTTGCACTCACACTTCATTTAGATGAACAGTGCCCTCTAAACACTTTAATATATATTATACGTATTATATTAAAATAATAAAGGAAAGAAAATCTAGTCAAGGAAATGGGCAGTATAATATAGAAAACAGAATAACCAATAAGAGTCCACAGCATCCCAGTCACAAGGACGGTCAACTTCATTCTAGGTATTTGGCCATTTGGGTGACTACATTTGAAGAAGAATGTATTTTACATAATTAATCTACCTTTCTGGAGACAGGATAAGCTATGACCATGACCACAATATTGACAGGAGCCAAATTAATTTGTTGAAGGCTAATAATAAGTCACATCAGGAGAGAAAACGGGGTTTCCCTTTCTTAAAAAAAAAACAAAACCTGTCTGCAGGTACAGTATCTTCTTTTCTCTATGCTGATTTGTGATGGAGTCAGCATTCACATGTCTATCCTGTTCACAAATGAAGTGAGGGGTTTTTTTGGGGGGGGGGCTTCATTCTTAGTGGTTAGGTTCCATCCTAAATTAGCTATCCCAGAAAATCTTTGGAATATGAGAAGTGGACAGCAGAAACACCTTGAACACATGAGAAACTACTACAGTCATTGCATTACTCACAGACCAACCAAGGAGTGAGAGGTTTTCAACAGGTTCCCAATGGACAGCACACACACATTGCTACAGCATGAGCTGGGCTTCTTAATGCTTTCCTGCCACCCAACCTTCTTGTTCTAGATTCCACTGTTGCTAAATCTGTCCTCCCATGAACTTTGTCTTTTTGGGCGTCAGTTGTATGCTGACATAGAATGGGCCAGTAAGTGATACTCATGCATATGCAACAGAGAGTATCTGGCTTTTGTAGACCAGAAGAACTTGTTCATGCTGTGTTAGAGAATGGAGAAAATCTCCATACAGAGAGTTCTACATTCCCATCACATTCCCTTTAAGTAGGGAAAGGGGGAAAAAAGTTGCTTGCATACATCAGGGACTCTAGCACTCACCATCCCCAATTGGCTATGCTGGCTGGCACCGACGTAGGATGGAGCCTAGCATCATTACACAGGATTGTTCCACTGGAAGTGTTTACAGGCCCCAAGGCTGAAACAATTGTATCTGTTTTGGTAACGAACTGGATATACAAGTATAATCTAGAACAGCATTTCCCAACCTGCAGGTCATAAACCCTGCGCAAATGGGTCACATGCTTTATAAGCAAACCCAAAATAACTATGGCTTGTAATACTTAACTGATACAATTAATACCCCTTACAACTCTTTTGCTCGGTTGGTATATCATAAGGCTGCTTTGACACCTGTAACAAAATGATGGAAAAGCTCAAAAAAGCACTTGGGAACTGCTGGCAGTGATGGCCCACCACAAAGTGTTCACACAAGGAGGAGCCCTGAGTGATCACCACGGCCTTTGGAACCTGAGCATCAGAAGCGAGCTGTAACACTCCCACAAAAAACTCCCTGCACAAGGATCCCATGGCGAACCATCACTGAATCTACGGCCAGGTTAGTTAACAGTTAAACCAAGGGTGAGTTGAAGTTTGTTACATCTAACGCTGCTTGTGCAGCTGTATTAATTTTTTTTTTTAAATAACCAGCTTATGAAGCAATATCCTGCAAACTGGTGGTTGGCACTCTTACATCCTTATAAACAAAATAGTGAATAACTGTAAATATTTTAACAAATTCCATGTTAAGCAAATTTTTGCTTGGATGTCTCAAGAACAGGCAAACGTACAGTTAAAATGAATGAAACTGTTGGCTGCCAGAGACCTAAGCTCCAAAATTCATCTGACAATAAGTTGATAGGTAAATTTGAACCCATGCATCACCAAGCTGAAAAGGTTGGGAAACACTGGTGTAGAGAAGACTCAAGACTGAAATGTTAGTGTACAAATCCAAATAAATCCTGGTTGACAAACCAGTACTCCTCAGATGAAACACTGCATTTCAACTGGTATAAAGAAACTCTGGGCACAATCCACACAGAAATGCAACCCTATGCATGTTTACTCTGTTTAATGAGGCTTATTCCCAGGTATGTGTGCACAGGTGTACAGCCTTAGTCAATTCATTCATGTGTGAGTGTGAATGGATCAGTCAACTAAATCTTCATAAAATCTGCATCTGGTAACTAAACCTCCATATTTGGGGGGGTACACTTTTATGCACCTGTGTGTACAAGATATGGACAAACATCTCCTCTGTGATGACACCTGCCATCTGTGGAATGGCAAGCAGATGCACAAAATACTATCTGGTAGAAAATCAAATCGATAGGTTTTCAGGAGAGGGACTTAAAGAATTGTACATCTTTGTACAGTTCTCTCTCTCTGTGTGTGTAATTTATATGGAGTGTTTTAGACTGCTATCCTACACCTACTTACCTGGGAACAAACCCTGTGGAACTCTGTGGAACTTACTCCTGAGTAGGCATATATAGGAAAACATTGCTTGCACTAGTACAAATTTTCTTTTCAGTTACCATCAGCAATATTTTGTTGGAAAGGCAGGATATTAAAAATGCTTAATAAAATTAAGAATATGCATTCTATGACAACATCTCAGCTGTGGAACGCGCTCCCAAATAAGGCTTGCCTAGTGTTGACCCTTATGTATTTTAAGTACTTTCATTTGCCCAGGTCTTATTTATTATTTTCTTTCAGATTTTTTAAAATTTTAGTACCCTATTTGCTTTAAATTCAAGATGTGTCGCTGCTGCTTTGAAGATTATTTTGTTTTCACACTTTATTCATCTGAAGACTTTCAAAGCAGCTCACAATTAAAACAACCTTAAATGCAGGTCTAAAAATTTTTTTGCAAGTCCGACAGGGTTGCAGTTTTCTGACATTCATACTAACACTTAGGTATAGAAAACAAAATCATAAGAGGGTCAATGAAGGGAGTGCGGAAAGGATATGTCACAGGATGAGGCTAAAAAGTGCATGAGGCTGGGTGTGTGTTAAAAATAATGGAAGATGGATCAACATTGCTCTGATTTGTGCTGGCAAAGATCTAGTATGCTGATATTTGGATGCAACTGCAGCAGTTGGCAACATGCTTCCTTCCTCCCACAAGTCATGCCTTGCTCAACCTGAAAGAAGGCACACTGTACACTGACCTTTGCATTGAAAAACCCACATGCCTACGCACACAAGCATAGCAAAACTCCATGTGCTTCAGAGCATCAAATGTGGCCAGGACCTGTCAAATCTTTTTAGAATTAAACTTGCAACTCATCTCTGTTCTATCTGGTAACAATAGATCATGAAAAACTAAAGCGATTCTTCTATTTACACAGAGAGAGCGCAAAATGCAATTCAGAGAACAATTTTAATTTTACTAAAGAGATTGTAGTTAGAGAGAAACACATTCACAAACTTTCAATAGGAACTGCAGCTTCCCTTGGCTGCCGGGTTCGAAATTAGCAGGGTGCCAGGCGCATTTTTCGCCTAAATATTCTCCATTTGGGAGCACCTCAAAAAGTCTGGATGCCATTTTTTGTGCCTGGCTGGCACTCAAGGATTACTGAAATGTATGTGCTTTGAAGCCTCGGAGTATATGTTAAGGATAGGCAATATGTAAAGGAGTTTAACAATAAAGAGTAGAGTGTTTTGAAAATTGAAGTCTGGTACCAATGTTTTTATTGCAAACACCAAATTAAACATGTATTAATAATTTCTGCTAAAATGTGATATTAACAATGTGTCAACAATGTGTTATTTATGTGAATTGTGTATTAGTTAATGCTTATCAAAATAATAAATAAAAAGTGTTGCTGCCCCCCCATGGCGACTAGACATTCTGTTTTGGCGCCCACAACTCATGTCCCAAAAGACATTTGGCTCCTAGTTTTCTATCCCAGTTTCTAACACTGCTTGGCTTTAGAATTTTGTTTATCAGACATCCCTAATAGAACACAAAGGTCAGAAAAATGTTGCAGAGAGAGAAACAGATAATTGCATTAAGCACTTTCCCAAAGTTTAGGTCCTGATGCAATGGATTCTAAACCAGACTGCGGAAATTGTGGCTCTCCAGATGTTTCTGAACTATAACCCACATTAATCCCAGCAAGCATGGCAAATGGTCAGTGAAGATGGCAGTAGCAGTTCAGCAACATCTGGAGGGCCATAGGTCCTCCCCCCGGCCTACTCTAAACCTTCACCTTCAAACAGAAAACCACATGGGGAAAAGAAAAAGAGCCTGTCAGGTGTCCAATCCTTTTTTGTGTCAAACAGAATAGAAACAGCCAGCAAGACCACAAGTTCTGATCAACTTATCAAACACACCATAATGGTATTAAAATTAGCACCTCTCTTTGCACATTTATAAGCAACACATTTACCCCTCTCCAACTCTATGCAACTTGCAATATACAAATTCTGGTGGTAATTGTCAATATAGATCCTCCAAGTTTGCTGCAGGCAAAATAATCTTCAATTAACCATTTAAACACTACCACCCCCATTTTAGACTTTCTGAAGTCACTAAATATTATATACATCACTTATAATCACATGAGCTTCACATATATTCTACACATATATTCACTGAGAAACTGATGAAAAAGGCTCCAAGACAATAGCTATTACTGACAAGAGCCTAGAAGCAACAATAACACACTTCCCTCTTCTCTTGGGTTCACTAAGCACATGACTGCATGTAACAAAGCTGGGTTCTACCTTCATGAATGCTACAGCTTAGAAACTCAGGATATCTCCATCAGAATGCTACCTTGAAGTGAAGCCTTCCAATATGATTTCATTCGCAAGAGGAGAAACTATGAAGTCAGCTTTCCTTACAAGAAAGTACAGATACGTAATTCAATAGTCAAAATTCCATCTGTTACATGACCAGAGTTAACTACTCATGTAACATTCTGATTACCTGAAAAGAATGCAGGAATACCAAACCATTCAAGTTTGGGAAGGCTAGGTAATTCACACAACCAACAGCATCACTGGAGGAGACTAACAACAATGACATATGTAATCTAATAATGCCATCATTAGAATTGCTTAATCATCACCAGAATTTCAACATAGTATTCCATTATTACTGTGGTAGCATTTGGTCATCTGTAAAACATAAGTGCCAAGAACATACATAGCTTGGGGGAATGTGTGTCCCTGAGATTGCTCATATTGCTAAAGATCTATAGAAAGAAACAACTGGTTCTATGTTCCAGAACTGAAGCAAACACATCCACAAAAAAAGCTTCTATTTTATAAACAGAATATTAGATTAATAAGCAAAATGTTAGCAGACATTTGTAAAGGCATTTTCTGAGTTGCTACTTTCTGCACACTGCAATTCTGTATCACCTTCATGTTAGTACACAACTGATCTATGGGTTTGTTTGTTTTTAATGGTCTATTAAAAAAACAGCTAAATATCCATTCACAATGCCCAGAATATGCAGTTATTTACAAAATGTGCTTTGTGCCCTGCTGGAAGACCACTTCAGCAAATTTCTCATTGGAAAAGTTTAAGTGGAAATACCTTTATTCCATTTTGATGTATTTCAGTAGCAATTAGAAAAGGAGAATAGACACTATGGGGGCATCTAACTTTTTTAACATTTACAAATTCTGCTGGCCAAAATACCTCAGCATGCATCAGCTATTGGAATTAGGGCAAATAGCTCGTGAGAATCATTTCTATCCTTAATTTATCCTTTATTTTTTCATCGGTCAACTAGCCAATACATGGTGGAAAATTTTTAGAAGGGCATGCCTACTCTTTCTCAAGAGTAGAAAGGTATTGTTTGGAACTAGACATATGTTAACAACACTCCTTTTCTTTTGATTCCTGTTTCATTTAAAGTTACTGACAATGAACCATGTGTCATTATTTGGGCTTGCAAGGTTGCAATCCAATTTCATGCATGTTTATCCAGACATAAGTCACACAGGAGCCTTTACTCAAATAAGCATGCATAGACCTGCAGCTTTAGAGTCACTATCATGTACAAAGTGAAGCCACTAAACCTTGGCTTCATTTTCCCCAACTGCAAAACATGGATAATACCTCCTTTCACTATTTTGAAAAAGAAAAGTAGCTGAAGAACACAAAAGTGATATAAAAAGCCAGAGTAGCGTGATAGCTATAGTGTTGGCTTCAATTCCCTGCTCACCCAAGAAGCTCACTAGGTAGCCACTATCTTTCAGTCTAGCCTACCTCAGAGAAGTGCTGAGAAGACGAGATTGTACAGCACTATGCATATCAGCCAGAGCTCCTGGGGAGTAGGGTAGGACAGAAATAAATACATAAAGTTAAGGCTACAATCCTAATCACATTTATTTGGGAGTAAGCTCCACTGCAATCAGTGGAGGCTACATTAACAGGATTGGGCCCTAGGTGTCATAACCCGGGACCTAAACATTTGAATCATCACCTCCCCATGCATTGACCTTCAAAGGAGGTCCTTCCTTGTGTCCGCATCAGGTGTTATTAGTTATGAGGCCATGGTGACACACACACCCTTTGGAATGCCCCCCTTAGAGGCATGGTTGGCACCATACCTTTGAGCATTGAAAACATATCTGTTTGATCAGGGTCTTGGTGTTTCTAAGTCGTAATACAGCTAGTCAACTCTATGAAGAACAGATTTGGTTTATACGAGTAGTGCAACAGTGTAAAGGTAGAGAGACCCCTGACCATTAGTTCCAGTCGTGGACTACTCTGGGGTTGCGGCACTCATTTCACTTTACTGGCCCAGGGAGCCGGCGTACAGCTTCGGGGTCATGTGGCCAGCATGACTAAGCTGCTTCTGGCGAACTAGAGCAGCGTACGGAAACGCCGTTTACCTTCCTGCCAGAGCGGTACCTATTTATCTACTTGCACTTTGACATGCTTTCAAACTGCTAGGTTGGCAGGAGCTGGGACCAAGCAATAGGAGCTCAGCCCATCGTGGGGATTCGAACCGCCGATCTTCTGATCGGAAAGCCCTAGGCTCTGTGGTTTAACCCACAGCGCCACCCGCGTCCCTCGTGTACTGTAGTCTTAATCATGTTTTCTTTGTGTTCATAGATTTCAATTCTACAATGGAAGGGATCCTGAGGATTATCTAGTCCAACCCCCTACGATGCAGGAAAATGAAGCTGTCCTATGTGGGGATTGAACCTGCAACCATGGTTATCAGCAGTACCATATGGTCAATGGACATGGGGAACTAGGTTAGTCCCTTAAATGTCCCAAGTAAATCAAAATATTAAAGCCTGTCACCTCATTCCCAAAGCCCAGGAAGCTTTTGCCAAGCTTGGGGGGGGGGGGTGATGGCCACGTGCACATCACCCTGCCCCCTCCATCGCCCTCGCAAGCTGGCACCTCTGGCCCTGATGAAAAACGTCACTGCATGCCACTGGTTATCAGCACTATGCTCTAACCACATGAGCTATCCGGTGGTATTTTTTAATCTTATAATAACAGGTCTTTGTTGCATAGCATTGTATTTCAGTGCTTATATTGATGTGCATATGCCTTCATTAAGGACAGACTAAAAATGCATTAATAACATAATGCATATGTTCAGCCACTAGCAAATCAGTAAATAATTTTACTTTTTTATGTGGAATCTCAGTCTGGAACAATCTTTAAACCTGAACGTGTTTTTCTCAGCACAACCCAAGGCATGATCACTCAGAGGTTAATCCAACGGAATTCAATGGTGCTTACCCCCGCATAGAAGATTGTAGTCTCATTAAAGCAAAAGATATGACCAGTGCCGGATTTGCATATAAGCTAAACAAGCTATAGTTTAGGGCCCCACGCTCTTGGGCCCCCACCCCAAGAAATTAAAGAAATTAAAGGGGGGGAACTGGATGTACATATCCTAAATATAAGATAAAAAAAACAAATAAAATAAAACCTACATACAGCAACAGTGTTATGATGTAAATAATGGGCCCCGCCTGCTTGCCTGCTCCCTAAAATATCACTGGTTTGCTCATTTCTATATATAGGGTGCCTACATTCTGCTATTTATAATTATTAGTAGTTTGCATCATATATTTACACCTGTTATTTCATATTATAGCAAGTTTCTATTATGAGTCTTTGTAAATTGTGTTTCTAAAGGAACTTTTGTTATTGCCCAATACCAATGTGTTTGCATTATTGTTTGTTATGAATAAAAAATCATTTTAAGTTAGAGCTTAATAATTATTTCACTATTAATATACTTAATTGTATTTCACTATTAACATACTTCTTAATTGTATTTCAGTTCAACAATTACTTCAATAAAATACATATTTTGTTATGTGCAAATGGCTTTAGATACCTATTAGGTCCATAAATTACCATATATAGCATATATTCAATGCAAAAAACAACAACAATTTGTTGTTGACAAAGGACAGCTGGACATATAAAGGGCCCCATTAGCTTCAGTAGCTTAGGGCCTCATCAAACCTACCGTATTTTTCGCTCTATAAGACGCACCAGACCACAAGACGCACCTAGTTTTTGGAGGAGGAAAACAAGAAAAAAAAATTCTGAATCTCAGAAGCCAGAACAGCAAGAGGGATCACTGCACAGTGAAAGCAGCAATCCCTCTTGCTGTTCTGGCTTCTGGGATAGCTGCGCAGCCTGCATTCGCTCCATAAGACGCACACACATTTCCCCTTACTTTTTAGGAGGGAAAAAGTGAGTCTTATAGAGCAAAAAATACGGTAAATCCGACCCTGGATCTGACCTCCTTTAACAACCACTACCCTGCGAACATGACCTGAGCATTCTGTTACTGCCACTGTAGAGAGCCTTGAAAGAAAGAAACCCTTCAGTCACTTCAACAAAACAGGGGCAACGAACCCCTCAGCTAAAAATCGCGTTTGTTATCCAGCACTATGGAGTGTGTGACAGGTTCCCTGTTGATAACTCCAAAGGAGATACACACACCACACAGGTGCGCTTGTGAAACCTTGCCTTCAGCACCAGCCACTTGTGCCTGCGTCCTCTTGTGAACGTTGCAAACGACTCCTCTGACGGAACACAGAATCCACCAGGCACTGGGAGAAACGGGGTCTCAACTTTTACAGAACTTCAACCCCTGACACCTCCCCGCTTTGGGGAGCGGGGTCTCCGTTCTTAAGGTGGGCTGACCTTATTTTCATTTGCTTTTCCAGGACCGGAGTTCTGGGGCACAAGGAACCGTGGAAGAGGAGGCGCACCATTTGGTCGCCCCCCTCGCAAGAAAACACCACAAGCCCGTTGCTAAGCATCCATCCCCTCCGACCTTAAGCGTAAAGCATCCCTTCTATCCCCACAGATACAAGGAAGGAGGGGGGACCGTTTCTTTCCCCGTAGGAAAGGAGAAAGGAGGCTGGCTTGGGGTAATGGATACCCCGATCCTACCTGCGGGAGATCCTGCGACGGGGACCCAATCAGCTCCCGGATCTAGTGGGCTCTGAGCCGCGGGCATCTCCCCTTTCCCCCCGCCCTCCCCCCTCGCGCTCCGCTTCCTCTCTCGCTCTCTCTCCTGAGGAAGGAAGCGTGAGTCAGAAGGACCGCCCACTCTGGAATTTCCCCGGCGCGTGATTGATAAGCCGAGCGGCTAATCAGCGAGCTGCTTCCTCCCAACCACCCCCGCGCGCACGGACGGCGTCTCGAAAAACCTCAGGAGAGCGAAGGGACCCGCCAGCCCAAGAAAGGAAGCGGCGGCGGGCCGAGGGGAAAGCCCGCGCGGGCGAGCTTAGCTGGCATCGCCGACAAGGGCAACTGCTAGGCAGGTCGCTTTCTAGCCTGATCCCGTAGGCTGCTGACTTAGGAGTGGAACAGGCTTTCTCTTATATTTGACTTTCTTCTGCAATGTTTTCTTCTGGATTTTTTTTTTAATTATTTTTGGATGTTTTAATGCAGGTTGTAAACTGCTTTGTGATTTCCCCCCCCCTCCTTAAAAAAATAAAACGGTGCAGAAATAAGTAATAATAATTAATGAGCAAGCTGTGCAATTGCCTGTCCTTCCCCCAGGTGGTGTGCGGGGGATTCGATGAAAGCTCTCTATAAAATAGTCTGTTTCCTTTTTAAAAACAAAGCTTTACTTGGCCCAGTGAAAGAAGTCTGCATGAGATTTTTCTTCGATTTTTAAGAGGAATTGCAGAGCAAGAGGGCCACCAGGTGTCTCCTTTGGCAGTCACTTGTAGCCGAGTAAGCTGCTGTAAACACGGTTAAAAGTGAGTCCTAAGTGACTGTGGAGGCCAATCCTGGATCCACACCTCCTTCCACAGTGGGGACATAGGTTACCAGGCGGGAGTTGATCACGGTGAGGGTTTGCCAAGCATGCCTTCCTCTTAGCACATTTCTCCCTTTCGTCCTGAGTTCAAGCGTCTTCAAAGCCCATGACACCTTTGGTAAAGATTGTTCTCGCAGGCCAGTGTTTCCCAGTTGTCAGTGTTTATACTACACTAGTGGCTAAAAATGAAATCAAGTAAGCTTCCAGATTCCACAGGATCTCTCTTCCAAAATGAGCATGAAATAAAATGGGGGTGCCCTGGGGAGGGGGGTGAGCCTTGCTGCAAGGGTTTTTATCTAGGCCTATAACCGGTGTAATAAGCTGGTTCTCACAGGCTTGGCAGGGCTGCCTTTCCATGCTGTCAGCTAAACAGTGTCCCAGACACACTTTATCTTTGGAGCAAGGTTTTCAGTAGCCCCGGTCCAAAAGCAGCATTGCAACCAGATGTAGCTGGGGCCTCGAGGTGGGGGGTAGATGATCTGCTGGCCATTGTCTCTTTTTTTTTTGGAAAAAAACCTGCCTGTATGTGCCTGGCCGCAGAGAGAAGGGAGCTTCTGCACCTTTAAGAGTTGCATAGAAGAAGGAATTTTGGCAGTGCTGCTTTATCATGTGCTTCAGGGATTGGGAAAGTGGTGTCCAAAGAACTTTCCTCATTTGCACAACCCGTTGGAGGTGCAGGAGCCCTTCCCTCTGCATGGCATCTGGTCACCTGAGGTGCACCCAGCTTCTCAATTATATGCATGAATGAGAGAGAAGTCATGAAAAATGGTGGTGAGAAATGGGGCGTGGTTCTCATGTTGGGTTTTTGAAAAACAGTACTTGTATTAGAAAACCAACCTTAGAAAAAGCAAGCAGCTTTTTCTCATACACACATAAACAACCTGGTCAATGGAAATAGCAGGAGGAAGAGGAGTCCGTCCTCTTGGCCAAGAACTGCTGTCAGTTCTTCTCCACCATTTGGATCCTCTTTTCCTCTCAGAGCAGGAGATGTTGCTTATCATTAATAATGTTCAGTGCTGGATTGATGCTGGTGTGGGTAGGTTCCCTGCACAGTTCTTTTACCCTGCCCTTCTTGTTGCCAGAGTGCAGGACATATCATAGCAATCTTAAAACGATATACAAATATCATAAAACAGGAACAGAAATTCCGATCGGTAACAAACTTTAAAATACAGTTCAGAGGATAATAAATTATACTGAAAAGTGTAGGCAACTACTGCTGAGCTGAATATATTTTATGTTAATGTTACGAATGTGAAAAGACAACCAAATCTCAGTCAGGAAGGACAGTGCTATAGGTGAGGGACACTACCAAGAAGCTTGATGTAGGATTTTGAAAGACTACCTTCCACCAATGGCTGCATGAACAGGGCAGATCTTAAAAGCACGGGCTGGAAGCTATGCAGGTGGGGCTCCTTCAAGCTCCCGTTTGGGGAGCCATCAACCCTGAGACATGAATTAATGAGTTCCTCTTGCACTTCTCAGAGCCAAGAGTGTTTTTTAGACCCACCAGTAAATCTCTTCTCATCTCTTCCTTTTATTCCAAGCCCAGTGATTATCAAGATTCTCTTGATGCTTGTGCCATAGGAAAAGTAGACAAAAAAAACCCCTTCTCTTTAGCTGACCAGCTGGCCAGTTTGACATCACCAAGGCTGCTCAAATAAACATTGGTTTGTTCATAGAATCCCAGAATCCCCGAACTGTAGAGTCGGAAGGTACCCCGATGGTCACCTACAACATCCTACAATGCAGGAATCTCAACTAAAGCATCCATGAGAGATGGACATCCAACCTTTGCTTTAAAACCTCAAATGAAGGACATTTCACCACCTTCCAGATAGTCTGTTCTATAAACATGGACTCTCATATGATGTGTTTCCTATACTAGGTCAGATGCAAAGAACCAACAGTATACGTTCTTCTAGCTCACGAGCTGGGAGTGGGGAGCCAGCAGGGAGTAGAGAGAGATTTCAGCTTCTTGTGATCAAATTCTGAGCTATATACCACAAGCTACGTAACCCCCTCCCAAACTCCCACAATGTCCAAAATAAGGAGTAAAAATGTCTTCTTTGACTACTCACTCAGATAAGTAAGAGAGGGGGGTCCAAAAGATCCTTTCGGGGTGCTTTAATCAAATGTGAGGAAGAAGGCACGCCTAAGCTTACTTTTAGCTTAGGAGATGGGGAATTCCCCAGCGGAGGCCATAGACAGCTCTTCTTCGGTGGTTTTTGAAGAGGATCCAAAAGTAATTTAAAGGGCTCCCCTCTAGCCCAGAGGGGTATGCTGAAGTACGTCACCATTCAGTGAATAATTCACTGAGGAAAAATGTGATTCACTTTTGGAAAGACTATTATTCCATGCCACATTCCTTAAAGGGGTACGTATTCTAACCACAAAGCTGTTTTATTGTTCCTGGGGAGTCTGCATGATTGATAAGCCTCTATAACCAGGTATTCCAAATCCTTTGGAATATAGAAATAACTACCATTTCCATTTTGTTAACATTACAATGTGACACGGGAGATCCATGACTGAGGGTGCATCCAGACTGCAAATATTTGAGGGGTGAGATTCAACCACATACCAGCAAATCCAGGTTTCTCAGTTACAGCTGATAGGGAGGGTCTTACACACAAAAAAGCCCCACTTCCCCCAAAGACCAGATTTTTTGTGATAAGGAAAGTGATGGGAAAATGCCCTAGACAGTGTGGGATAATGCCATCAAGCCTCCCAGTGGAGAAAATAGGGGGAGGATTTATGTCATGGAAATGGCAGGAAGAGAAAGGATCAAACCCTTCCTCAGGGCCGCTGATCAAAAGCCTGTTGCTGCTTTTAAAAAGAAGTTCAGAGATCCAGTCGCAGATGAGTCCAAGCCACAATCATTTGAGGGCCTGAGGCTCCAGGGTTGCCACCTGACTTGTATTCCGCCGTCATTCCATGTGGCTGACAGATGGCAATTGGGAAAAATGGAAATCCATGAAATGAAGGGTCATAAAAAATGGGTGCTAGGAAGGGGGGGGGGAAGGAAGGGGGGAAATCCCATTTGTCCCGCACCCCTTTGCATCTCTGGTCTTAGAAGAGGCTTCTCATAATTAAATATTTTTTCTGCTGTTACAGTCTTTGGCCTCTGTCAAATCACAGCAAATATAGTCTTTGTTTTCTGTGAGAAAAGCAGGGACATTGGCTCGGCATTCAACCCACATAGCCAGGATCTACCTTTTGCAGCCAGTGTCTGAAGATTAAGCTTCGGAGGAGTGCTGGTAGAGTGTAGACAGCAACCCAGGTATGTTCAGATCCTGGGGAAGCTTGACCCTCCAGATGTGGTTGGACTGCAGCTCCCATCAGCCCCCCAGACAGCATGGCCAATAGTCAGGTCCAACAACTTCAAGAGGTTCCACCTCTGCTTTACAGCACAAAGTCTGCTGGTGGATAACACAGCAGTATTGCTTTATAGCTAGGGTGGCCATGTGTGTCAACCTTTACAGATGACACTGCTCTCTTTGAAAGGGCTATCAGGAAGTCAGTTTTTGAAATCATTCTCTCTTTGAAGGGCTGTCCTACTGAAGTCTATTTTAAAAAAACATATAAGAAGGGAGTGCAGGAGCCTTGAGGATGCTCATCAATGGCTAGCACCTGGACAGCAAATTGAAAAGGCAGATAGGCCACTTTTCTATTTAAATTACGGAAATGATTTCTAAATGTGCAAGTGTACATATGAAGTAGCATGTACAGATTTGTGTCTATTTTTGTCCTCATTTTGGGGTATGTGTGCCTTCTTTGACAATGCAAAGCAGGCCACACTATATATGCACAATCCAGAGTAAACTTATTTCCAGCAGTGAACATATTCTTGCAGAGGTATTTCTGTGTGCATGTCATTCTCCTCACATTTGCACGTATACCACGTTGCTACAGATGCTTCCAGCCTCTGAGAAATTATTAGCTGGACAGATTTACCCACAAATGCCTGTCTTCTTTTTCTTCTTTTCTTTTTTAAAAATTTGTTTATTTGGTTTTTCAGATTAAAATTTTTTCAGTCACATGTCCAACATACAACATTAAAACAAGATCCCAAGGAATCTCTTGGACTTTTCTTCTCCCCTTTGTGCATCCTGTTATTAATCATTTCCTCCCGCATCTTTCATAATAATCCAAATCTTTTATCTCTCCATTGTATCCAAAATTCACCATTAAACTACAAGTGGTATTCTAATCCTACTAACGATTTTAACTGTTTACGATGGTCTTTAAGATGTTATAAATTTCCCCCATTCCTTATTAAAATTTTGGTCTTCCTGATTTCTGATTCTTCCAGTCATTTTAGCCATTTCAGCACAATCCATCAACTTGATCTGTCATTCTTCTCTGGTAGGGACTTTATCTTCTTTCCATCTCTGGGCCAGTAACTGTGGCCTTTTCTGCTCTCTTGGGATTTTGGCACCTAGAATTCCCAAAAGGAAAGTTTCAGGTTTTTTTAGAAAATGTTATTTTAAACATTTATTTCAACTTCTTATATATCATTTCCCAAAATTCTTTTACTGCCTTACATTTCCACCACATATGATAAAAGGTGCCTTCTCCTGTCTTCTTTTTCAGCTTTCTCTCCTAGATTAAGAAAGGTCAGACAGGAACATAAATAGCACAAGGGAGACCTAAAGGTGGTTTTAGCGTCATATAGAAAAATGTCCTTAGGCCCGACCTTACTTACATATGCCTTTACCAGGGCAATGGTCTATACAGGGCAATGTTTACAGGACACCACTCACAACACCCATTTACCAATCCATTGTGTGGTGTGTAAATATATTGTCAGGACAAACAGCATATGCAGAAGCTTTGGTGTATCCCTGAGTGGCAGGGGGACAACCATGAAGGAAGTGGCACCCACTCTGCTTTAGCTCAGCGGTACCCCCCCCCCCCCAAATGCTGAGAACTAAAATTCAGCCCCAGCCAGCATGGTCAGGGATGATGTAGATTTACAACATATGGAGGGCCTACACTGGCTACCCACACCTTAATTTTTCCAGTTCTGACTGTGCATTTAGACATGGGCATTATTGCATTAGCTTTCCTGGTTATAATGCTAGCACTTCTGTCCTGGTTGCTAACATTCCTTCTACTCCGCATTATGGAATTGTGGCTTTTTGATGAACATGCTGCCTTGTCCTGCTAAACTTCATTCACCCCCAACGGCACAGCAGCAGATGCCCTTGGACATGACTCCTCCTCTCCAGGGCTTCTTACAAGGAACTGGAGACTGTGCCTGTGTGCAGCCCATCTTTGCTGCACTCATTTCATTCCTCTCCTGCTCCTGGGTATTAGGGGGAGGGGACTTTGTTGCGACAGGAGGTGGAGACACCCATGCATCTTTACTAGCCTGGCTCATCTCTGCCTCTTGGTCTCCCCCCTCCCACTCTTCTGCTTCAGGTTTCCTGCCTCTGGTTCTGGACTTCTCTCTGTCATAGACTTTTCTTAACTCACTGAGCCCTGTTACCCCTTCAGATTCTGACACCTCCTCTTCCCAGTCTTCCCCCTCTCATTGTTGTCCCATCACCACTCCTTCGACTCTGAACATTCTTTTGTGATTCCCCTGCTGCTTCCACCCACCACTCCTCTGTGTCCAACCAGTTCATGACAGCTGCAGTATACAGCCCCCAATTTCATCACATGGCATGATCCATGGAAACTGGGGCAATTACAGGGCAAAACAGTTCCTTTTCTTTTCTGGAAGCAGTTCTGAGCACTAAACTTCCACTAAATTCCCAGAAGTGGCTTTTACGTTGCGGGAAAGATCACATAAAACACAAAATTATCGGATAAGGAAACAAAGTGGAATAAAGTGCAGTCTGAATGCAGCCTTGCAACTTCTCTATGGTGCCAGAGGCAGATTGGAAACACCAGTTGTTGGACACACACACACACACACACACACACACACACACACACACACACCACAGCAGGCCAGATTGGGTGAATGCTCGCATGTAACCAGCACAGAGCTCTCAGTTGTCTGGTCTGTCAGAATTAACCGAGACCTGTTCCTGGTAGGTTAGAAGGAAGCACTGAGGCATGTGTCTAGCTCTGTCTCTGAAAGCAGTGGGGGAAAGCTACGTTGTTTGACCTTTTCATTGGCTCCTGTTTCTCAGGGCCAGACAGTGTTGTGCCTAACAGCTCTGAGGTAAAAGGAGCAGGCAGGAAGAACAGGGCAATGTGTGGACTTCAGGTGAATGGATGTCAAGACGACGCCACATTCCGCTTACCTATATCTATATCTAATCTATATCTACATGGCTGCATCATAAAATATCAAGGTGGTGCATACTGCTGAAACATAAAATGGCACAATGCTTTCTGGGTGACCTAGGGCTGCTCATTGTCTCTTAGCCTAACCTGCACCACAGGATCGTTGTTGTAAGGATAAAATGGAGACAGGGAGACTCATATCTGCCCCCTTGGGTTTCTTGAAGGAAAAGGCAGGATATAAATGTAATGATGAATTAAATAAAACGCAAAATATAAGATTAAAAAATATGATTGTAAGAGGAAAATTTTACTCTCTTCAAAATTGTGCAGTTCATTACAAATATAGGTTTTCATCCTCAGTTGCCTCATGTGAAGGATACAGATCCCTGATGTATTCCAAAGTACTTTATTTCAAACCTATGTCTTTGCTTACAATTGCCATTTTCTTCTGAGTTTTGTCCATTCCTACTTTACTCAAACTTTTATAACCACCACCTTCTGCCTCTCAGTGTTTCTCCCTTCTCAATCTCATGCCATGGCCACTGCTTTAGTATAACCTGCGTTCGCATTTGCTCCCCAATCCTGCGCTGACTTCATGCAACTCCAGGACTGTGATGTGGCACTAGAAATCCTCCAATGGGGCTTGCGTGATGACATTCTTACATTTTTATTACATATAGGGAGAAATTCACAACTTGAAAGGTGGCACAAATTTGCCATAATGCTCTCACCACCACCATGGAATGAAACATTAACATCCTTCGTAATCAGTTTGATTTTGGAAAGAAAAGCTGCATTCTGCACAACAGGATGGATGTTAGGTAACTCAAAAGGGGCTGAACCCACAAAGTCAAGAAGAAAGCTGTTTGCACTGCCTGCCAGTTCACATCAGGAGTGGGTTTTGTTTACCCCTTCAGTTTGCTCTGTTTGGTTGCTCTGGTCTGAAAGAAAGCAGTGAAACAAAATGATGACGCCTTCTGAGCCTAGGGAGGAAGTTTTGGTCAAGAGAAGGGGATTTCCAGAACACAGAGATATGCAAATCATGTACTTGGGTTAACCTGAGTGCATTCTGAACAGGCCCAATACAACTGATTCTTGTGAACTTATAGAAGGTGGTCTAGTGGCCCAGGGGAATGAAAAGAGTACCACTGAGGTAGGAGAAAGCAGTATTAGAAGTCCAAGGAAGGAGAAGAATGGGGAAGAATGGGGAAATCAGAACCTAAAGCACTAAAGGCAACATCACTACCAGACCCACTTGAGAGGAACCATCTATGCAAAAGCTTATGGCTACCACAGATGAACCATTCCATTTGGGCATTTCTGCAGGAAACCTTACTCATGTTTTCTGGAGAAACATAGGCCTTGAGAAAATTCATCAGCTCCCAAACGCTCAATACTTGCACAGTCAGGCATAGCGGCTTATGTTGCCATCATGACATCGTGGGGACATAGCTGGGTGGCAGAAAATGGTCCCCATTTCAACCACTGACATTTCCAGGTAAAAGTGTTTCAGACAGCAGAACTGGACAAGGCATCTATCTGCCAAATATCTCATGGAATTATTGCCAACTGGAGCAGATAGGAATAGCCTGATTCAGTATAAGCCAGCTCTCTATTGCAATGTCTCCCTATAGTATCATGCTGTTTTGTTTTTTGTTTTTTTAAATTGCACAGGTTTAGTTACTGATTAGAACACCCTATGCTCAACTTAAGGAAGGGGCATGGAACTTAATGGATGGGGGTCAGATTTGGCCCACCATGACTTCCCCCAGCCATGCCTTCTGTCCCCAGGCCCCATCCCTCACTGGCTTTGCATCTCAACTTCTTTTACTGTATTTATTAGGACAGGATGTGGGGAGGTTCTACACCCCTGATTCAGGGCCTATGAAAATGTTTATCAATCTGCATGGTATAGGCCTGAAAGGCTTGCAGATGATGACCCACAAGCAGTGCATGGCAAGCCAATTGAGCAGGCCTGTTTTGTGTGCAAAATGGGTGAAAGATTCCTGCATTGCAGAGGTTTGAACTAGATGATCCTTGTGGTCTCTTCCAGCTCAACTATTCTATGACTCTATGGGTGCTTCCTGATGCACCTAGGAATCTTGGGATGTGGTTCATGACATGACAGAATTCAAATTAACCAGAAAAGAAGGTTTGGGCCTACACAGATCTTCTTCTTCTTTTAAAAAAGTGTGTTCTGAACTTCTTAAATTAATCCATGTAACAAAAAGTCTATTGGCTTGCAAGACAGAGTTGTTCCACCAGGCCTTTGGTCAGGGCCCAGCCTGACTTCCTCCTCTGGCAACCTGCACAGAACTTTGCTTAACGGTTGCCATTAATTTGATTTTAATTAATTTTTATAATGAAATGTTTTAGAATGTTGGATTATTTGATTGTTGGATTATTTGATTGTTGTTAGCTGCCCTGAGCCTGGCTTTGGCTGGGGAGGGCGGGATATAAATAAAATTTATTATTATTATTATTATTTATTATTGCACCACCCTGTAGATAAATTAAAAGTCATTTTTAGCATCCAAAGTAAATTTTCTGAAGGATTTTTTAATAATTTTTATTTGTACCTTAGGGTGTGAATCTCATGCTTCTTTGGAGGAATCACGATATTTTAAATGTAGGGTGTGCATGCAGCATCCATTATTAGAGGGGCCAGGTAAAAGGAATGGAGAAAAACATTGAATAGCTGTACAGGAGAGGGAATTTTAGCCAGTGCTGTTTGTCCTGGGAGAGACACCAGATGAAGTTCCCATTTCTTCTACACAAGCATTAAAGGCACAGGAGCTCTATCTTCTCCCCCACGCCGTCTAAATACTTACAGTGGTACCTTGGGTTAAGTGTTTAATTCGTTCTGGAGGTCCATACTTAACCTGAAACTGTTCTTAACCTGAAGCACCACTTTTGCCTCCCGCTGCTGCCGCACGATTTCTGTTCTCATCCTGAAGCAAAGTTCTTAACCTGAAGCACTGTTTCTGGGTTAGCGGAGTCAGTAACCTGAGGTGTATGTAACCTGAAGTGTATGTAACCCGAGGTACCACTGTATTAGCTAGAACATGCTGCCTCCTGACAATCTCTTTCTTTCTAATCGAATTCAACTCACTAATATGGCTCAGCTCACACACCTTCAGCATCTGGCTTATTTATGACCTAATGCTTGGTATCATCAAAGCATGAAAGATGAAACCCTCTGGGCTGAGCAGGTATATTCAGTGGCTGGAATGCATTTGCCAGGGTGAGCAGGTTCATACATAGTAAAACCCTACAGGCAAGATATGTGTCTTGAACGCCTTAAAAATAGCATTTGAACACCCCCCTCCCACCCCCGGCATGACTAGGTGACAACTCTTGTAGTAAGATTCCAAAACAATGCATGTTACCCAGCAGCTCTTTGCTATGTTTCGGCTCCTGTGGAAAGATGACGTTATCTTGTGAGGATTATATGTTTCGTTTGCTCTCATCAAATAAGAAGATGCTAAGATAACTCCCAAGGTTTTCTCATCAGAGCTGATATTTACAGAATCTGTAGCTTGATACAGATGATGGCAGAACTCGAGACAGGTGAGGAGGAAGAGAAACCAGAAGGCGTGACTAGCATATACTTAAAAGGATATGCCGTATCCTGCAACGTTGGAAGTACTTTTGCAACACCCAAGTTCCAAGAGTGTCACTGGTTTACTTATGTTCCAGACCCAGTGCTTTTTTTGGGGGGGGGGACTCATACCCCTAAACATTTTGTGAATCTAAGTTTGGCCTCATTGAGGGGCAGTATTTCAATATGAGAAGGAAAATGAGAGTACCCCTAAACATTTTTTAGGGGGGTGGGGGCAAGCACTGGTTCCAGCTATTTCTTCCTCTGGTAAATAAGTTTCCAATCCCAGCAAGCTTGGCTTATGGGTGGCGGGGGTGGAGTTGTTGTCCAACACCATATGGAAGGCGGCAGCTTCCCCATTCCTGCCCCATAGCAAACATTCCTTCTAGAGTCTGCTAGTGGCAAAACTGATGTGAAATATTGTTCCCCGATGACTCCAGACATCTGGTTGCAGCATGAAGAGAAGAATTATAGTTGGTGGAGGTTTGCTGTTTTGTTTTAAATGTTGCAACACACAAACAATAATTTAGCATTTCCTGGAAGTTTTATCTGGGCTGCCCAATTTGAAATGAGGACATGCAACGCAGCTGGATGTGACTGTGAACCTGTAACCTTTAGCAACGGTGGTTTTTCCTGTGGGAACTATTTAGGGTACTGTTTTTCTCATGACTTCAGTTTTCCCTTGCCTTCCTTAAAATGCATTATTTGCTGTCCACATTTCTCCTAAACACTAACACATTATTTCCTATTGTGTCGCTTCAACACAGCACAGCCCTTAGCAGAGGTAGGAGCTGGGGAAAAGAAGGGACTAGAGGTACAACCAGGAAAGAGGAACTGGCACCTCACTATAGCGGAACATTGATATTTTCTTCAGGGCAGGGCCCTTTGAATGTTAAAATGTGGATTGTCAACTCTGCCTTTCTTGCACACACAACCCTTTCCAAAGCATTCCTTAGGAGCAACATGTTTTCACCACACCTCAATTCATATTTGATAGGGCTGGGGGTGGGGGTAGAAAAAAAATATCGCTCCATTTCTAACTCAGAGATGGCCAGCTGGCAGCCTACAGCTCAGACGTGGTCCCTAAAGCAGTTATATATGCAGCTGTTAGGTGGTCCTTCCCAGTATGTTGTAAGAAATTAGTTTCCATATTTAAACATCTTTGGATTCAAACGTGCTGTGACTGAGTGAGTGGGAGAGGCCTTTATTCCTCATGGATCACTGTGGGGCCCCTTTGTTGCAGGAAAGGGTCCATTTTGAGAACGGATTTGAAAAGTTTATTTAATAAATGTATACCCCTCTTCCCGAGAAATATTCTGCACAAAATAAATTATGTCGTAACTAAAATTTTTACAATTTTTTTTAAAAAAAATAAAAATCATTGCATAGATTAATCTAATTAATAAGGCAACAGAGCAACCTGAAAACCCAGGCACTGAAAGGAGGTAGTCTTAAAAGTCCTCTTCAACTTTGCCAGGGATGGAGACTGCACCTCCAAAGCAACAGGGCCACTGCTGAGAAAGCCATGGGCAGATCACAATTTGGGGAAGTCATGAGAAACAACTCCAATTGTCACTTTTGACGTCAACGACAACTGCTTCCAATGAGAGCGAAGGGTCCGGCAGCAGATCCATGTGAAATAATACAGAAAGGGCCCAATTATATAGGTGAGGGGCTTAGAGGTGGTCACATTTTAGCAACAAAATAGGCATGTGGGTGAGGAACGCAGACCCTTTCCCCATCGTTATCTTCCCTCTGTAGCCCCTCGCTGTTATTTCTCTCCTACGCAAGACCCTTCTCATATTGGAGCTTAGCTGAGGGAGAAAAGCTGTGTGAGGAACAGACAATTGGAACAAACCTTTTATTCGACAGCATGATACGATCAAGATGGATGTATCAAAATGACTGAACATTTTTAACTCCTCACAAATTCAGCACCGTGTGTCTCTTAAGTTAGGTGCGTCAAACTTGGGCTAGGGAGACCCTGGTTCAAATCTCCACACTGCCATGGAGCTAAGTTGTTGACTGTGAGCCAGTCATGGTCTTTCAGCGTAACCCACCTCAAAGAGTTGCTGTGAGGATAAAATGGGGGAGGGAGTGGTGTTTGGGAGGATAGTGATGTATGGTCCCCTCTCTGGACCATCTTAGTCTAGGAAGCTGAGGAAGAAGTGAGCGAGAGCACCATCTTGGCCCATGCTTCAAGCCCCCTTAGGTCAGTGAGAAGCCTGTGATCCCCCTGTTGTTCTTGCAAGCAGATTTAGAGGCCTTCACAAACAAAAATCTTCCACATTGGGCCTTCACATGGTCATAAGGAACTTTTCTAAAGCCTTCAGCCCAAATGAAAACTGGAAATTGATAAGGATGAGCTGAATATATTATTATGCCTGCAGCTTGGGGAAAATCCTCATGTGCAAGAACAAATATTTCAAGCTTATGGTTTCTGGTGGAAACAGGTCCTGTTGTGAGTGATTCTACAGCTGGGCCTCAGGCCAGAACAAATAAAATAATCAGCAAGCCACTTACAAGCCTCTTTGTTGACTCTTCCTAGCTTTGGAAAGCTCCTAATCATTTGCTGTTTTATTGAGTAACTTGAATATCATGCTTATCTTGTTGCTAAATGAGAGCCCTGCCAGCTACTTGCTTGAGTGAACTGAACTCACACAAGCAAAATATGTTTACTGGTGCTTAGAACGGCCTCATTAAAAGCAACCATTTAAATGTGGGTATGTAAAATATACAGTTCTTATTTATGACAACAATTCTGTGAGGGTCTGTCACTATTATTCCCCGGCCCTACCTGACACACAGAATCTAACTGGAGAGGCACTAAAAATAACAATAATAATTGTCTTCTTAATCTTCACAAAGTTGCTGATGAATTTTCATGAGGACGTTTGTAATTTTTTAAAAAAAGTGACGTGGAAATGTGGAGAAAGAATGAAAAAACGAGAAACTGAAACATACCAACTGGCTCACTGCAAGCTGATGGGGGCGGAGCTCTTCTTTTCTCCAGGCTTAGGAGACAGGTCAGGTCTCACCTCTGTCACACTAAGCTTTGGAGACTCAAAAGCAGAGAAGAGCCATATTGCCTTCAAGTTTCTCTGAAGTCCAGTGTAAGGAAACTAGACCCCAAATATCATTCATTTTGTGTTGTGTCAGGCAGCTGCCTAACTCAAGAGAGGGTCACCACTTGTGACTACACAGTTGTGAACTGCTACATAGGAACTATGTGAGTGAGAGCTTTTTGCACGCCCAGCACCTTACTGAGAATCAGTGTCTCTTGTTTACATGTTCTCTTCTTACAACAGAAGAGGGAAAAAGCAGACCAGAGCCTTCCGGTGGCCAGCAACGTGTAACATTTTATTTCTTTGGTTTAAAATACCTACAACAGTGCTACTTCATTGGACTTGTGTACATTACTTAGTTTTGCACCAGTTTAGACAACTCCCCTACCCACTGGACTGAGCAATCCCTGTGGTCTTTGTTGTTTGCAGTGTTAAGCTCTTCTGCAATATCTTCCCCCCCTCCCAGCCAATGTGAATCTTCTCAGTGGATCCAAAACATCCCCTGATGCTTCTAAAAGCAACAGTGATATATCTAGGCTACACATATGTGAGTGACGCCGGCACAGACATGAGGACGAGCTTCCACAAGAGTCACCTGCTGGTTACTTTTCTTCCCCACAAATGGCTAGCAAGGCTTTGCGGTAATCTCCAGAGGTGTCCTTCTGAAAGAAGAAAGGAAGACAAAATGAAAACCAGAAATGCCTACAAGTGATCAGCCTCACTGGTAAATCGGAGGATAAAGAAACTTAAAAATGATCTTTTTAAGGCAATGCCAACATTTTGATGTATCTACACTGCAGCCTTTAAGTGGATTTAACTATCATTACTTTGTGCCAGAGAAGCCTCAAACGACTAGGATTCTTTAGCATAAGCCGTAACTATTAAGATAGCATAAAATGATATCATTTCTTAATGTGGATGTTACATTTCCTTTAGCATCTCCTTATTATTGTTTGCTGATGAGTTATTCTTCAAAGAAATCTGAAGGGCTGCTTTTGAAGGTTACAGTTTTGCTCATTCTCTGTCTAGGAAAAAGCCCAGGTAATTTTGGAAGTGTACAAGTACATTGATCAGGCACCTGCTACTCATAGCAGCTGTCTGATTAGATGCTATCGTGGTAAAGCACATATGCCCATACACGTCAAATTTTAGTCTACGGTTGTTCTTACAGGAAGACACATCTCTATGGAGGAAATTCTAATGGTGTGAAGTAGTCTTACTATGACTGCACATTCTTTTTGCCACCTATGCTTGGGTGGAACATTCACCTGGTATGAACAGGCTGCTGTGAGTACAACCCAGTCAAAGATGTACATGAAACAAATCATAAAGGTCAGCACAGCTCACTGCACACAAACAGGCACATTTGTGCTGGCAAAAGCCAGAACCTCTTATTACCTCGATCATGTGATAGAGAGATTTGTCATAAATATCCCAAAATTCACGCCGGATGTTGAGCAGATCAATTTCACTCCTTGAGACAATAATCCTGATAAGAGTTCGGTCGTCTGTGCCAGCACCCTTGGGAGATCGAAAAACCAGTAAGAATTTATTGATTTTTTTAAAGAGAGAGCAAGGGCAGGAAGTGAGGGGACTTTCCCGTACATTGCTATCAGCAGAATATTTTGAAAAGGTGGCAACAAGCTCTATCAACCAGAGGTAGAGTGCTTTTGTTTACAGTGATACTTGGCAGATGGTAGAATGGGAGCTTCATGATCTGTTCTGCTAATGCACATCAGCATTGAGAGATGAGCTGGTGCTGGGCACATACCAGGTAGCTGGTTCACTCAGTTGTTGCTGCCACCCCACTCAACCTCTTTAGAGCAAAGCTCTATATTTGAAATGGTAGAACGATGCAAGCCTTGAGCACTGTGACTCTCATTGCTGCATCTGTTTCACTGACAAATTCTCCAAATCGACTCCCTTCACACAAGCAACACACTATTTGCTGAAGGGGCCTCCTGATTGTTTCAGTGAATCACAAGCAGGAATTAGCCATCCCTGGCCTTCTCAAATGCAGACCTATTCGGGAAACCACCCCAAGCTCCTACTTTGCAATCAGATGATTATTATCGTAATTAAAAAGCTACTGATCTAGCCTTCCCTTCCCTGGTGAGAGTCAAAACAGCAAATGGAGTGTAGTTTTTACCTTCATGGACTTGTACAGCTTGTCGGCAAAGAAAGCTTGCTTGTTCTTGACACTCCGCACTTGAAAGAAAGAGCAGTGCAACATAAAAACATTGAACAGGAAGCCCCATCTCAGTCAACCCCCACACCCATGTTTTTAAAGAGCTACGGTGTCTCTGGTTGCATTTTTAGTTTGTGTGTAGAAAGAAAGGAGTGGAGAGGAAAACTCAGCTCTTGGAAAGCACCCCCCCACACACAATTAGTGTATTGAATGTCCAAATTTGGTTGACATGGTGGGGGAAATGGTTCATGTTTGCAGTCTGGGTCAATCACAGATGGATGTAGGTTTCTAGAGCCCAGGTTTGCAAGCAGAGGGCTCTAAATGTATAGTGTGGTTGCTTCATCTCCATTAAAGAAAAAAACCATAGATATTTTTTGAAAAACTGCACATGATTCTGTTGTTTGCAGTAGGAGGAAAGCCATATGGATGGTTGGGTAGCCACTTCCTGTTCTGTGAGGGAATTGCAAAATTTAAGTGTGCAAGGATGTTGCAAAATGTTTTAACTATGCAGCAAGGGGCAATGCATCCAGCAGGCGTTGCTTCTCTCGACTGTTCTCCAGGCTTCTTGTCTATCCAGCGTCCTTCTCTGGACACTACTGGAGGGGATCTCTGGGTCTGCAGTGAATTCAACAGGCCCACTGACATGCTACAAGATGACTAGAGAAGCAGCCATTGAAGAAGCCACATTCGAGCTCAGTGGTGGCAAAGCTCGCAGTGGGTGGCGGCCATTTCCTGTTAGTCTTGGTGAAGGTACATTTTTAAAAGTCTGTTCAGGAGAACAAGATTGCAGGCAGGTCAGCCAGCCTGAGGGAATCAACATACTGCAACCAAGCAGAAAGTCACTGATAAAGATAGTGCTTGAAGCCTCTAAGACCTATATGACATACTGCTGAGGGTTACAGTGTCAGTGAGATCCTATTCACTGATTCTATCTAACAGCCAAGTCTCAGCCGAAGGTGTTTGAAATCTGCACAGAGCAAGTTTCTAGCTCTCAAAGCTGTACAAATAAAGACTGAAAACATGCAGACAAATGTTGGGAAAGGTGCATAGTGCACCAACGTAAGATTTCAGCTGGTTAGGAGGCATCCCACCTACCACTCCTTCCCCAACAGGCCAATAGCTAAGTCCCCACTGGATACATAATAGATCGCCCATATAGCCTCTCTTAGACATTAATACCATTCACTGGAATAGCTGAATTCTGTGAAATACTTTATTTTTATTATTTTTATTTATTAAATTTGTATACTGCCTATACCCATAGATCTCAGGGCAGTTTACAACATAAAATTACAATTACCACCCCCCACATTATTTTGCAAGTGGAATACAACAGGAAATTTAGCTAAAGCCAGCTTGCTTCATCTCAGGAATATTATAAAAATTTGGTTGACTGTTGAGGTGGACTAGTTGCAAGAGCAAGTTCGGCAGGGCAAGGTTTGCTGAAGTCCACACTCAATGTGCAAGGAAAGCACAAGCCTCTTTTTTTTTACGCCCGTGCAAGAGACACTCACCAATGGCTAAAAAGACGTCGCGCACATCTCCAGACATCCGCTTGTTGATGGCATGTGCCACGTCATGGTTCGTCATCTTAACGAACTCCTGGAAGACTACAAGGATCGAAGGTAGAGAATAAGAAATTAGAACCCTCTACGGCTTTGGAATGACCTAAAAGCTAAGCTAGGGAACTAGCCAACTGTCCTCAGTGAGCAATGGGACTGGCCACAGCAGGGTCATAAAACTGCTATGCCCTTAGTCTGCTTCTACAGTGTGTTAGGCAAGGTCAAGTATGTTCAAGGGCGATTAGGTGCTGCCACAGGGAAGTATCAAATATCAAGATGTTCTACAGAAAAGTACAGTTAGTGAAACAAACCTCCTAACCCTGAATTCAATCAGAGGAGCAGGTGTTCTTGAGCTAAAGGAGATTTTCTTTCTTTCTTTTTTGTAGCACAACAATTGCATCAGCAGCCTCTTTCCTTCAAAGCCCCTGAGGAGGTAATAATTGCCCTTTTCCAAACTACAATAACACGGCCTGAGAAAGGTCAGGTCAATGAGTCTGCATCTAGGCACGGGCTCCACAACATTCAACAAACACACCACTCCCTCCCTATTTACCTCTCCGGAGCTGGGGGTAGCTCTGCGTACACAAGACGGTCATGAAGCGTGTCTCCAGAGATGTCGAATCATCACCGGAAACATCAGACAATTTCTGCGAAACCAAAGAAGATTGAAGGGATGGGGAAGAACAGCAAAAGATACAGGCTAGTGAAATATTTTCCTTTTGATTCCTGAGAGCCTATATACTAGTGCATTCCTGTAAGAAGGTTGCTATGTATTCCTCCATTAATATGGCAGCAAAGATTGTGAAAGCAGCTCAGCAAAATCTTCTGTGACTATTATGAGAAGGCTGGCAACAAGTAGAAGTCTGCCCAAGTACGATTCTCTCTCCAAGTGTACTAAACATATTGCCATTTGAGCTGATCCAGTGAGAGATCACCATCAGGCTCAAAAAGGTCCCATGTGACTGTAACTGAGAGACACTCCCTAATCATTAGGGCTCTGACAGGCCTCTCCATTTGGCCTGCAAGGCTGTTTTGGTTAAGCCACATATTGGCCCTACACAAGGAGGCATATAGGACATCAAGTGTGGGGCAGGTAAAAAGATGCAGGTGGACTAAAAGGGGGACTGTAGTTGATCAGAATACCTGAAAAGTTTCATGCAGGGCACTTTGCAAGCCTTGACAATCCACTTTTTGTTGGGGGTTTGCAAAGCAATGTGCCTTTGCCCACATGGGGCAATGATGTCAGGTGACTGACTTGTCAAACTTGGCCTGTGGTGGTGAGGGAGATGTGGCAAGCCAGACAGATCCAGTTCCTCACTCCTGGCCTAATGGGTCTATAACAGAAGACACCCCTCACCCTCGAGAAACCTCAAGGCTATAGGTAACTCTAACATCTTTTCCTACCCCTAAACGGACAACTCAGCTGGTTTTTTGAAATTTTGCCACAACAGGTAAAAAAGGAGGTCATATTTTGCATCGTCACCTGTGGGACATTAACACACAGAAATAGCAACCATTTCTTCCCAAACACCAAAAAAGGTTGCGTGAAACTGCCTTTTGACAATAAATACATGCAACAATGCAATGACAATTCATCTTCCCATGTGCTTCATATGTAGTGAGAAATGTACAGCACAACTAATGGCACTCTTATGTTTTGGAACACTTAGCAGGTCACTAACAATTTCCCCAATTGCTTTTAATTGTCCTCCCTGTGCAGTTAATTACCTAGTTATTATGCAAACCTTTGACATTCTCTGCTCCTCTCTGGGTACTTTGAGAAGCATACCCCCTCCCTTGCCTTCCCAGTTTTGCAGGCGAGAAGTCATGCCTAAATAAGCCAACAGTAGATTCTTTATAATTTATCCTCCCCCACTACTGTAAGGGAATGTTTTCAGGTTATCTTTGGTTGGAGAGCCAGATGAATACAGGCAGTAGGGCAGGCCCAACAGCCAGTGAGATATGGGCTAAGATGGGTTTGGCAAACCTCTGAGTGGCCATGTGCCCAACTCTAAGCAAAAGACATTCCTCTCTTTGAAGGGCTGTCAAAGGATAGTTTGCTGTTTTAAGAGCTGACCAACATAAGGCTACTTTAAAAGGTAAAGAGCCCAAAAAAGGAAAGCAGGAGGAGCCTTGAAGCTGCCCATTAGCCGTTAGCAGCTGGACAGCAATGTGAGTCTGCACAAAGCTCACCTGGCCACAGCCTTCCCACTATGGCGAGATGTATTGCACTTCTATTTAAATGTTCAGCAATTTTGCATCTATATGTACATATAAATTACCAAATGCACATTTTGTGCGAAGTCAAGTCCTCATTTTTGACAGTGCACAAGTAGTCACTCTAAAAAACCTCCCTGTGATTTGGAAGGCATTGTTGAGAGTCCACCCCATGAGTCCTGAATAAAGTGTCAAACAACAAAAATGGCAGGCACTCACCAGGGTTTCAGCAACAACCTGACAACAGAGAGAAAGAGGGAGAGAGAGAGGAAGGCAGCAGGGTCAGAGATAGGTCTGTGCAGCACTTTCTTAGGATTTCATAGATTAAAAACAGGGTCATTCTAATCTCTCAAGCCAAGTTCTTCAGGCTCCCGAAAAGTGGCAGCAGATTCATTTCTCAGACCATGTGCAGCCCTTCAGATATTTTTATGTGTCCAAGTAAACACCTAAACGAAAAATATATCCCTTTGTTCAGAAAAAGTATATCTGCTAATGCTCAGATGTGGAAGAGGGCCAAAAATAGAATGGAAAAGGAAAGGGAAACATATCTGCAAAGGACCTTTGGCCTGGGGTAAAGAATGTTCTAATCACATACACATGCACACATATGCCCAGTTTCGCAAGACTTCAAGAACACAAGGTCTGTGCCCCAAGGAGCTTCCAGAGAGAGGGGACAAGCCAAAGATGGACCAAGAATTGTGGGGAAAGAGAGCATTCAGCACTTGAGCAGAAATTAGAAATCTAAGGCAAAAGGGACATGGAAGATGAGAGGGGCTTGGTTTTGTATATGACAGGAAATAACAATTCTGGTTGATTGGGTGGGGGGAGGAAAGTGACATGCCAAAATAATCCTGCTTGCAGTTTCAGTATGCTGATGTGACATCTATGTTAGAATTAGATGCTGTGAAGGGGGAGGTGGGTGGTGTTGTGTGGTCTCGCTAACAAGTACAATTTAGGTGTATTCTGAACGTCCCATTATGCATCCTCACCTTGCTCAGCACTAACTGACACACGTTTAGTTTTGCCATGACCTGCCTAAAATACAGCATTTTAGCCACCAGCCTCTGTATCTCTCTCTTTCTCCTGCCTAAGTAGACTCAGCAGCAACAAAACACAGTCGGTTTAAAAACATGCACAAGCATGCAGAAGTATCAGCACTCCCCCACATGGTAACAATGCTAACTGCATCGTTCCACATAAATCAGAACTTAGCTGGGGGCACATAAACAAACTATGTGCATATAAAATGGATTACCTAACCATTTTCCATTTTTAATACAGCTGTCCTTATTATGGATTACAAAACTACAGTCATGGTGTGCAACAATACCACTAAACTCCCAAAACAGAAACCACCTCTTTACTGTATATTAATTGAAAATGTCAGGATGGTACAACTCTTTATTCTAGGACTTGCAACACTATCATTAATATGATGGCATTTAAGAACACCAGAAAACTATTTGGGGGCGGGGAGTCTCTGGTATCTTATTTCCAATGTATCTGGAATCACAGAAACCACACGATTTAGCATGGAGTGCGGCAGTTTGACAGAGGCAAAGATCAGGGAGTATCATTTCATCATTTTCAATTCCCAGCCTTGCGGGGGAAAGGCAGAAATAAATTAACCACCTTTGCATGTGTGGTTTTATTTCAAGAATATATATTTTAAAGTGTGCATTTCTCACCTGGGCATCCGCCTGAGCTTTGGCAAGGTCCTCTCCTCCTTCATCACGGGCCCCCTGTGTCCAAACATCGAAAGTAGTGAATAAAGGTGCAAAAAGCATCTGTAAAAATGACTAGAAGCAAGTCTGACACCAGCAGGCAGCATCCTCAGGCAATTGGGGCTCCTAAGGATGCTCTGACTGGATGCTGTAACAATTGGGCCACAATGCACAGGAGCAGTGTTATGTCGCTCCGTGCCTTATGGACAACCACAATGACATCTAGCTGATGCTGACAGAGCTGCTATCACTATCACCGCTGCTGCCACCATCCATCTCTAGTATGCCCCATCCACCTAACACTCTTGTCCTGTGGAAATAACTAATGGCAGGAGGAAGATGGGTGCTGCCTACCATTCAAAATGTGGGGGTCTCATGTGCTGCTTTAATTCTAGACACAAGGCGACCGCAACATCATGGCTAGCAATTTGTAAAATGTGATGCATATTACAGTGGGGCAGCAAAAAAAATAATAACCTAGCTTTACAAAAAGGAGGTGGTGGTCCGCAACAGTGCAGAGACAGGCAGAACAACGTAAACCAGCCTTCAAATTCCAAGTAGGTTGCCAGGTTTTGCATTCAGTCAGGTCTCCTGTGACTTTTAACGCATGAAGAACAGGCAGAAATCATCACAGGTTTCCCTATCATAGTGTTGGAAGGGACCCCCATTGCCATCTGGTCAACCGTCCCCCGTACCACTAATAAAGCATCCCTGACAGCTTACGTATTCAAAAATATGTAACAAAGGAGAGTTCGCCACCTTTCAAGGCAGCTTGAGCAGCTCATACAGTCAGAATTGTTCTTCCAGACCACCACCACCCCTTGCAATTTGAACCCAATGGTTCAGATCCTGTCCTCTGTAGTAACAGAAAACCAATTCACTAATGATAATAATAATAATAATAATAATAATAATAATAATAATAATAATATATTTATACCCCGCCCATCTGGCTGGGTTTCCCCAGCCACTCTGGGCGGCTTCCAACAAAATATTAAAATACAAAGGTCTGTTAAACATTAAAAGCTTCCCTAAACAGGGCTGTCTTCAGATGTCTTCTAAAAGTCTGGTAGTTGTTTTTCTCTTTGACATCTGGTGGGAGGGAGTTCCACAGGGTGGGTGCCACTACCGAGAAGGCCCTCTACCTGGTTCCCTGTAACTTGGCTTCTCGCAGCAAGGGAACAGCCAGAAGGCCCTCGCCGCTGGACCTCAAGTGTCCAGGCAGAACTATGGGGGTGGAGACGCTCCTTTACTACATCAAAGAAGCAACTACCTGGCTGTCATATCACCCCTTAATCACCTCTTCTCCAGGCTAAGCACAGCCAACTCCTTCAACCACTTCTATCCACCTTTGTGTCAGGAAACAGCTCAGTGGTTTCTACTTGTCCTGCTATTTGGGAGGCATGCAGGAGAGAGTCCTTACCAGAGCCAGAGAGATGAGGATCCTTTTGAAATGCCCCGAAGTGTCAGAACTCAGTGCATCTTCCAAAGACTTACTGTAGGCTGAAAAAAGAGTAGAGGAAGACATCATGATGGGGGTATTAAAAACATATGGCAGAGGACTGATCCTCATCCTACCTCCCACCTGAAGATTGGTTTTGGACATTTTGTCTTTCCTAATTGTGATCATTGTATACTCACATATTGGCATATGGATGCACAAAGGCCTCATCTTCACAGGAAACATGGGGGCAACTCTCTCTCTCCCTCTCTCTCTCTCTGTCTCCCTCCCCCCCTCTCTCTCACACAGACACAGTGTGTGTTTATAAGTCCACCTATTCCTTAAAGAGGGGTCCTGCACCTCAGAGAACATTACCGTCTTTATATGCTGTGTTAATTGCTTGGATCTCCTGGTTGTTCCGAGTGGCCAAAATTTCAATGAGAACACTTTCATCAGTTCCAGCCCCCTGAAAGGATTATAAAGGCACATGACAGTTGTTAGAATATATTTCAGAGTATCTACAAGCAGGCCAACTATTTTATTTCATTTTACAGGGGGGGGGGGGGAGCACTGTCTAGAAGTGGCTACATTTCTGGATGCGAGGCATCTCACTGCTGGGGAATACCAGCCCTTGAGCTCACAGGGACCTCCAGAAACCCCCTGCAACTCCTCAATAAAAGGAGGGTGGTTCACAGCTTAGTCAGCTAGAACTGGAATCAGGAAACGCAGGTTATGCTAGGCCAGAAGAAATATCCCTAACAGTCTCACAAGGGCTGAAGAATCTCCTTGAGGGAAAAGCAGAGTAGGGGGTTCCCTACCTCCCTTTCTCCTCATGGAGACCTGAATTCTGGAACTAGCTTTTTTGCGAGGGGTGGGGGTGGATTCCATACTGTTTGATAAGGGTGAGTACCAAAAGGGAATTCCCAGTTTTAGTTTTAGTTTCTAAAGACGGCATGGGGAATTGGCCTCGTTCTCTGGGGAGTCTTGCTACAAACCAGGGCTATGTGACTCTGAGCCTCTATGGTTTGTAGCCCCCAGGGCAACAAGTGGACTTCCAGTTTCCCCCTGTCAAACAAGCCTGCTTGTTCTGGATCTATACTGTAGACACACTTGGGACAGTTTCAACTTGGCCTGCTCCTTACACATCATTATGTCCTTTGAGTACCAAAGCAAGGGAAAAGTTTCCTTTTCATCTCACTGACGCTTAAAAAGTATCAGGTGAGTTTCCATTCACAGAACCTAAATCAGAAAGAGAGGGGCCTTCCATACACCCAGGGCCTGCTGTTATATAACATTAAGCAATAAAGTCACATTTGGGTATATATATCTTACAAAGCTACAATACCTCCATAGCTTTCTTCAGTTGCTTAGCATCATACTGCGCTGGTGTCATCATTAGTCCAAGAATAACCTTTGCCAAGGGCCCCGATATTTCAGATTTCAGGTCAGCTATCAGGTCCTGTCATGGGAAACACAGATCTGAAACCCTGAAGGACTGCTGCCCATCAGGCAGGCAATACTGAGCAAATGGATCAGTAGTTTTGATTTAACATTCACCCATGACAATGGGAAAGGAGAATGGGTTTAACCCCTCTCTCCCTGCATTGTTTTCCTAAGCTAATAGTCTAAACTGTCCTACATAGACACATAATTCTTTGCTTTGTTCTACACAGGGCAAAGAGAAGGTTCAGAGGGATTTTCACTGGGAAAACAGCAAAGGCTGGAAAGGATAAAAACCCTCCACCCTCTCCAAGTACTTTGGCCTTGATCCACAACCCCATAAACACACATACAGTTATTCTATCCATTGCTTTTTATTTTTTAAACAAGCAAACATTGGAATTCAGTTCCTGGATTTTCTACAATCTTGTCTAGTTACAAGTAATTAAAACAGTCAGCTGCTTGGGGTGGGGCTTTTGACTTAAAAGTGGAATATAAGCAAGCAACAGAAAGATGATGGGTGATATTGAACTAAGTTTTAGTCAGAGCAGACCTGCTGAAATTAACATGACCATGTTAGGTCCATTAATTCCAAGGAGTTTACTCTGCGTAAAACTTAGCTAAATAACACTCAATCCATTTTTGTGATGTGCTTTAATTTGCTGGAATCCTATGGAAGAAGGGTGGTTCAGAAATAAAATAACGGGTGAGATTCACCTAACTAATCCTATTAATGGAAACTTTCTGAAAGGACTTCTGCTTGTGCAATAGGCTTTCCCTCCTCTCTTTTCCCCACATGCCCCCCTCAGTTGGTTCTTTGGTGGGTCAGAAGAACCCCTAGAACAGCACAAGGGTGAAGAGAGGGGAATCATTTCATCTGGCAAGCCAATATGCATGTGCAGATACAATGATTAGGGGAGTTGAATTTCTTCCATAGATTATAATAATAATAATGCCAAATTCCTGCTTTTAAAAAGGGATTTATTTTTTAATGACACATCTATGGACATTGGAGGAAACAGCAGCAGATGAAAGTACAAATAAATGGTGGTGGTGGAAAGACATACTGGGAAGAACAATAGAAAAATACGAGATAATGCTCTAATTACCCGGCCATAATGAGACTTGTATGCTTGTATGATTTCTTGCCTCTGGGTGTTACTCCGCTGTGTGACAACCTCAATGATAGCACCTTCATCAGTGCCTGAAACCCAACAAAATAAACTATGAGTCATCCGGTTTTTGACAACTCATGAGACTTGACTCTGTTCAGAAATAGTATTTATACTTGACTCCTACATTTTATCCTGGGGAGCTACCAACTGACACAGTCCCACAGATACCAATCAAGGGGAGGGAAACTGTTCAAATGAGCATAACACCAAGTTGAGATTTTGATATTCATTCACTGGCAAGAGCAAACATCTTTTCGGGGGGGGGGGGGGGAGAGAGAACAGGCCAATATTTTCCAGCTTTCTACAAATATGTGAATTTGCTTGTACCATTCCCTCTGCCATTTTGCAAATCGTAAAAATTTGGATGCCCAAATGACCCTGCACAACAAACCAAAGGAACTATAGGCAGTAAACTTGGGTCTCACTCTGTTTAGGCTGAACCAAGATACACAAGAGCACACAGGAGATTTCTTCTTAACAGCCCCTACACTACATCTTGTAGATGTAGTGGCTCCTAGATACCATGTGGAGGATGCTTAAAGTAAATTGCCTCCAATGGTGGACAACTCCATGCTGCAGGGGGCATTATTTTCTTTTCCAAATAAAAAAATAGACCACACAGCCAAAATTAAGGGATGCCATAGAACATCAAGACCATTCCTTGTAATTGTCTAAGAGAGGGGTTGGTTACCAAATACATAAGAAAGGCCATACATATATGTATCTCTCACCAGAGAATTGATCCATCGAACTATAACAGGAATCATTGAAATGATAACACAATCCACTAGATATTTCATTTCATCACAGAGCAATGAGCGAAAGGAGGTAAGAAGTCTCCTCCCCAGTCTTGAAGGGAGCTGCTCTGGAGACGTATCTTGTAGAACAGCCTTTCCCAACTTGGTGCCTTTCAGAGGTTTCGTACTATAATGCCTATCATCCCTCTTGACAATGTTGGCTTGGACTGCTGGGAGTTGTAGTCCAACAACATCTGGAGGGTACTTTGTTGGAGAAGGCCGGTGTTTAAAAAAGTGCTTAAAACACATTTAAAAAGTGTTTCAGGTAGGACAGTTCTCAATGAAGAAATCTGGACTTTTAAGACCCTCTGAATTTCCCCCCATCCTGAAAGCCTATATATTTTGCACAGGATACAGGAGACTGATTTTCCTCACAGTGCATGAGTGGCAAAACTCCTTTGCAAAGCCTTACATACCAAAACCTTTCATGGCTTTCCTTAGTACTTTTGCATCACCATCAGCATTGAAATCTGCAGCTGGATAAATGGTTCCTTTCAGCTACAGAAAAACAGAAACAGAAGTTTTGATTAAAACCATGCCTACTGAAGGGAAAGGGGGAACCAGCAGAAAGTTAAGGGCAAAGCAGCCATCAGGGATAGAGCAAGCTGGGAAGTTAACAATCCTCTTGTTTATTAAAAGAAAAATAGCCAAGCCAGGGGGAAAGCGTCTAAGTAATGGCAAAAAAGAATCTCCTAATAAGGGCTATTGCTTTCCAGAGAAAGAAAGTGTGAAAAATAATAAAAAAGAAAAGAGACAGCATCTAGACACTGTTCATCCCCATGCATTTTCCAAAGTTAGGGGGTGGGAGAGGATGTCCTCATTCAGGTCCCCACCTCCTAGTAGGACAGCCTGGTGGCTTTTCTATGAACTGAGAACATGGTTCCCTCTTTCACATGCAGGGGAAGTAAGGTGAGTTCATACAGTCTGTTCCAGTTATGGCAATTGCCACAGGTTATCACTACCTCTTGCTTCCTGGCATTAAGCAACTGTATACCATGAGGGGAAAATAATCTGGGATGGCTACAGGGTTAGTTAATAAAGTGATATCTTTAACTATCACATGAAACATGTGATGTGCGAATTCACCCTTTGAAAGAGATCAGTAGGTAACTCAGTATTTTGAATACTCCATAAAAAAGCAGTGTCTGCTTATAGCCAGATGTTGTTAAGAGGCACAGTGGATTGATTCCTTCAAGTTCCAGCTCCATTAGCTTAAGGTAATGCTACAGTGGGCACCTAACACAAAGCAACCTCATCAGGCTGTCCCCCCCCCTTTAATCATACCAGTATATTAGTAGAGAGCTATTTCATGCCAGTATGTATTGGGAAGCAACCAGAATCTCAAGGGAGTCAATTCATAGACATTCACAAGATCAGGAGTAAGGAGGAAGGTTGCCATGAAGCCATATCTGTTAAAAATGCATGTTTTAAGGAGGTGTTTGGTTATAGTGGTAGCGCACTGAACAGGAAGGTTAACCAAGAGGCCTAGCAGAAAGGAGTCAGCAGCACGCAGAGTGAAGCAGCTGTGGTTTCGAGCCAGCAAAGGGCAGGCAGAAAAGGGGAGGAGCAGGTTCTGACCTCTATTTTGGCCCTTGCACTAAGCTCCCACATCTGATACGCCACCTGTGCAGCCTCAGGGAAGAACTCACCTGCAGCACTGAAAAGGGAGGGGATAGGACACAAGGTCTATGAACTTCATGGAGACACATGAACATACTATGTAGGCCTTGAATTAGTCAGCTGGTGCCATTCTCACCCTCTCACCCCACTGGGACGGAAGAAAAGGTGTGGTTACACTTCTTCTTTGCATTTTAAATAGAATGCCCTGGCAATACCCAATTGCGTCCATTGCCATATCCCTACGCAGGATGGTACCAGCTTTATTGTGGTGCTGGGCCACTAGTGTGGGAACATCAGGAAGAACTTTCGGATAGTAAGAGCTGTTGACAGTGGCACAGACTCCCAAGAGAGGTGGTGGACTCTCCTTCCTCGAAAGTTTTTAGGCAGAGGTTGGATGGCCACCTGGCTTATGGGATTTAGTTGAGATTCCTGCATTGCAGGGGGTTGGACTAGATGACCCCCGAGGTTCCTTCCAACTCTACAATTCCATGATTCTATGGATGAAGAAGGGGCACATTTAACAATGACCATCAGTACACTTTGACCAGGAAGAAAAGGAAAGTATGATCCTCAGGGATATGCTGAAGTTGCCCATCCCAGATACAGACTCTCATAGGTTTAACAAAACGAGATTGAAAAACCCTTGGGAGCCCTGCTGTATGACAAACTTAGTGTAGGATGAAAAGGTTCTTTCCTATCCCAGTTTGAAAATATGCCTTTCAACCTTGTCAGAAGGTCAGTGTCAAATAAATATATATACCTTCTCTCCCTAAGTTTTTTCTTAAAAAGCTTTACTTGTATTCAAAGGAATCTGCATGGTGCATTGACAGCAGTCTGGTTTTCAACTTTTTAAAATGCTTCCAGCTAAGAAAGACATGTTTCCCCCCCCCCCCCCCCAGAAATTAAAGATTAAATTATTCCAGTGTCCTATACATTTTTTAACTAATACATGAGTAGTATTTTCAAAAAACAGAACCTGAGCATCTTTGCCAATGGAAAATTTCCCACTGTCTTTGCAGGTCTGTAGTAAACATAAAGTTTAGCAGTATGACAAACTAGGGTGGATTTCCAAGACTATTGTTATCAGGGACTGGTACCCTACTCAGACAGTAAAACAGCTACTGACTAGCCTTGTTAAGAGAAATAAAAGTCACAGAGCAATGTTTAACTAGTAGTAGAGCTTACTCATCATCTCCCCCACACAGCTTCAGAAGCGCTTTTTTGTATTCACCAGATGTGTCACTCTGCAAAGGCAATGAAAGATGGTTGGTTTGAAATGCACATACACACAAGCACTCAAAGTATCAACTGTTATGGACGAGCCATCCACAAGGCAAAAAATCCCCAGTTAAGGTGGCCTAAAGTGTTTGGTACCCATACCCACAGCAGAGAGCATGAGATTCAAAACTGCAGCTTAAAACAGAGGGTTATGGGAACTCTTTGCAGAGCAAAGGCCAACTAGATGCCTGTGGGAAGTCTGGAAACAGGACCCAAGTTTTCTTCCATTTCAGTGTTTCTTGAATTAGAATTTTGTTTAGAAAATGAAAGAAAAACTCCAAATCCTTTAGTCACATGAGGTGGATTCTTATAGAAAAGGGCAAATGAACGCCAAAAACACCAAATAGGCTTCTCAGAAAGTAAAGGTTAGCTCAAGCAACTCTCTAAGTTGGGCAGGAGGCAGTTCTTCATCTACTGGCAGATTGCTAAGTGATTTGCAGTAGATTGGCAAGTGTTTCTCACTCCCAAAATTTGTTAACAACCCCCATTTTTTTTAAGGTCTACTGAAATGAAGCTTGGGGGAAAACTAGGAATGAACTTTTGTGTGAATGATTACAAGGTCAGCCCTAGTACAGAAAACAAATTCCTGGCTTGATCATGTACTTACATTGAGGCACCCTGCTCCTGAATTTTATTTTATTTACTATTACATTTATATCCCACCTTTTCTCCAGGGAGTTCTTGCCCTTCTCTCAGAGTTTTCATTCCACCCTCCCTTCTATTTCTACACCTGACTCCACTGGTGGGTCTCAAGATTCCAGTGAAAAAACCACAAAGCAGATCCCACAATTCTGAAGTCTGTCCCTACATGCTCTAAGGCTATCCAAGCCTTTCTATGGTGATTATCTTTCCGAAGCATAATGTGAGGTATGAGAGATGGAGCAGGGAAATTTCGTTATGGAGCAGAAGGAAGGATTTCCCCCTCCCCTCATTTCTCCATTGTAGACCAGCTGCAAACCGGTATTTACCTCAATCATGTGATGCAGTGACTTCTCATATTTAGTCCGGAATATCTCCCGGATGTCCAACATGTCAATCTCACTGCGTGACACCATGATCCGAATCAACGTGTTGTCCCTCGTTCCTAAGCCCTGAAACAGATCAACAAGGGTCACACAAAATATCCCAAAGTAGAGGTGGGTGGAAATCAGGGTTTGCTTAAAAACATTAATGAACGCAAGCACTGTTCCACATCTTTTGCTTATGTGTCTGATGTACATTACCCTGGGCTCTTTTTTGAGGAATGTGATCCAATGAATGAATGAATGAATGAATGTGCTTTGAACAAAGCCCAAATGCGGAGGCCTAAGCATTTTGAAGGTACTTGGACCTCTTTTGGGTCAAGCTGCATCTTCCCTGAAGTGGAGCTGTCATACAGTTCTGGACCCTTTGGACTTTGACGGCTGCCCTTTGACAGCCTGAGAACAATCCCTGGTAATGCTGACAATGAAGGTGGGTATCAGAACAGCTGTTGCTCCAATGGCCCATGGTGGGGAGTGAGCTTTCTCTCTCCCAGCCATTTTGCAGGAAGTGGGTTGATTCTACCCCCTATGCCTCTATAAGGGTTTTACACAGAGTACTAAGAAAGCCTGTATCACCAAAAAGTGTTCCCCACTATCAAGGACACTGGAGATGAAAAGCTAAATCTAGAAATGCTGTATGTTTGTAGTGAAAGCTCTCTGAAATCCATATTACTCAAATATCATTAGAGTAATGGGGAAATTGGGGGGGGGGGGGACTACTGTCAATGGACAGTTATCTCCAGAAGCTAAATGCAAGTTAGATAGGTGGGAATTTAAGCCAAGACCAAAGTGGCAGAGAAAGGACTAAGCCCTTGCCCTCCATAGTCTCAATACTGACAAGCTGTTTTTAGAACAAAAACAACAAGACCAGTTAAATGTAGTAATATATTTAGCACAACATCTATAACATGATCACAAAGCACTCAAGAGGGGGAGAAATCCACTGTCCAAGGCTCCTGGAATGCCTCTCACCTTCATGGCTTTGAAGAGCCTGTCTGCAAAATAATCTGCTGTACTCCGGATATTCTTCACTGTGGAAAGAAGAATCAGGAGAGAGTGTTAACTAGAGGCTCATGCTCCCTGCCTGTTGCCTAGCAAAATGCAATCGCTTCCTTATCCCTTCAAAACCTGGGCTGAGACACAAAAGTAAAAATGCTTTGGAATATTCAGAGAACACAAATGAGACCTGTAAGAAAATTATGGTGTATGGATTGCTCCTGTTCCAGGTTCCAGCGAGTCAGCCAGACCCTCCTACAGGAAACTCCATTCCATCCCTACCTCTAGTTCTCTGTTCTGCTCCCCAACACTCTTTACCATTCCATGCTGACAAGATCAGTTCTGCCTCTCATCCTTCCAGAACACCTTAGATACTGAAAAGTCCCATCCCTTAAATCAAGTCATGTGCCTAATCCAGAGCTGAAGTTCAGAGCTAAATAAAATTTAGGAGTCTGCCTTTTGTTAAAGCACACCCAACATCAACTGGGTTAGCAAAGACCTTGACATCTTTAATTTTGAATTGACCCACAGGTTTAGGCTGAAAGGGTCTGACCTTTGAAGTCACTTCTAGTCTGCCACACCACTTCAAATAACAAGATCTGACCCACTTACCTACAGCTAGCATCAGTTTTTCAAAGTCTCCAGACAGCTCTCCCCGGATGCTCACTTCAATGGGCTTGCCAGAGATCTTCAGATACTCATCAAAGACTGAAAAGGAAGCATAGGAGAGGCACAGTCTCTCACACACGGGAGTTGTAGTATGTTGCCCTTTAACATGTTTTCTCCCCCAACAAGCCAGGATCAACAGCCAGCCTTAAAACAAGGTTTGTTGTTTGTTTACAAATCCTGGTTTGTTAGGCAGAAACAAGCTACAAACTCAGGTTCAGATGTAACTCTTAAGCTCTTTTCCTGATTCATTTACCCACTTGCATGAAGAGGGAACTGACTCCATAAGCACATTATGGTTCATTAAGTCAAGGTTCCTGTCTTATTGTTACCTGCAAAGACTTAGGGGTCGCACTATTGAGTTTTCTGCTCAGCACTGAATTCTCCCTTAATCAAATAATTCATCCAACAGAAAAAAGTGTTCTTAGGAGCCAAGGTAGCATTATAACCAAATTGCAAAGAACAACTCTGGCAGAACACCTATAAGGCCTCATCAGTTATATAATTCAGCCACTAGAGGGCAAGTTTATAGACTCCTGTCCATTGTAACTAAGGGCTCATTCAGACTTGCCCTTGCCCTGCCATTCCCCAACCTGCGGAAAACCACTCTTTAACTCTCAGTCAGAGCAAATGTCAATCGGGTTTTCTCCAGATTGATGTCTGTGAAAGTTTATCACTAAAGAAAGGGTTTTCCCAGGGAAAGTGGAGGGGCAAGGGCAAAACTGCTCAGACTCGTGCCTAGAAAGTGTGAGACAAGTGAAAAACCAGTTGGACCTGGGCACAGGACATGCAAAAGTGTGGCTGGGTCTTAACTGGTATGCACTCTGTGAAGAAATGTGATGTTTGGCTAAAAAGAAGTGTAAGATATTGTTTGTAACCTAGTATTTGAATGCAAGCTCACCCAGCCGAAGATGTTGCTTGCTTCGGCTTCCAAGAATGTAAATGAATTCGGCTTCATCTGTGCCCCATTTTGCTTCCCCAGCATCCAACAGATTCTTTTAGAAAGCACAAACACACACAAACACAACAGCAGCAGCTTAAAAACAGGGATCACCATGAAGAGGCTAGTATAAAGAAGTCCAGTTAACTTTGAAACTCTACAGGAATTTGTCTTAGAATAATGATGCATGCAACTCAAGAGGAAACTATTGGTGAATTCTCAAAAACAGTAAGCAAAATCTATCAGACTTATGCAATCAGCAAACCAAGTAATAATAGGATATCATCACTGGGTCTTACTTTCAACTAGATGCACTAGGACATACTGGGAAGCTATTCAGTCTTTAACAAAACAAAAATCAAATTGTATTATTTACTACTAAAGACTTGAGAAATATGTTCAGCAGGAGATTGCAATCTTAGTTCTGATCACATAACTTACAATACTTGCAAGGAAACCACCACTCTACGGTTCAAGTTGCTGGGGATATTTAGCTTTTATATAAAAGTAAGATAAACACCAGTAATTTCTAAACAGGAGCTTTCATAATACCTACATCCCAACAAGTATGTGCAGAAGTCTTACAAAGTATTTGAAAGCAGAGCTGACTGCTTTCAGTGGTTCAACAGTTTGATTTCAATAGATGCAGTATTTTAGAACCAGAGATTCTACTTTGGATTCATAAACAAGACATCAATCCAGGAAATGATGAGTTCTCCAATTGGCTCAGAAAAGCATGAAATCCTTGACTGCAGATACCAGATAGGTGGAGAAAATGCACTGTTCAGGTCTGAACCTCTCATGCTAGGAGATGTCATCACAGGGGTGTCTGTTTTTAGGTCTATATAACTGATGCATTGGGTGTGTGCATGCAGAGAGAACTCATTTCAAAACCTGCAAGAATCACCTGGGCAATATATTGGCCAGATTTTCAAGTATACCTATTTCCCCTAAATCTAGATTTGTACCCAGATGAAGCAAAGTTCACTCTTTGGATCATCATTAATTGGGCAAGTTATCATGTAAATTGCACCAACCTGGGCATCTTGCTGCACTAAGTCTTCACTTACAACATCATCTTCTTCCCGGGTGCCCTGTAGAAAGGACAAGGAATTGAACCCATTAGTACTGCAAAACATCTGAAGGGACAATACTGAGTGCAGGGGCCAACATACCTGAAGGAGGACGACAAGCATCTTCTTGAAGTGTCCCGAGGTGTCTGCTACAACATCTTCCTCCAGGTCCCTCTCATATGCTATGGGAATGTTTAAAAAAGAGAGAGATGAGTTATCAAAACCCATGGCACAAAGGCATTCATTAGCAGTAGGACTAGAGGGGAGGAAAGGGGGTCAAAAAATAAGGGTCTGGAGAAGTGGGATATATTGAGGAGAATAAAGCAAGGCAATGGAAGTTGGATGCAGGGTTGAAATGAGACTCCTATGTTCATGTGGCTGGGAGTTTGAGCACTTACATTTTTAACTCTATTGGAATTTTTAAAACAAAATTATCCTAAGTTGTAAGGAGACTTAGGGCAGAAGAGATAAGTAGGTAAGCAGCCCAAAGCAGGACTTGCCCAAAGCAGGAAATTGTTTATAAAAGGTATAAATCTTTATAAACAAACAAAGATGGAGGAAGAAACTCATTTTATTTTATGTGCCAATTATATGATACATTCACAATCTTATGCATGCTTGCTCAGAAGCAAGTCCCACTGTGTTCAATAGTTTACTCTCTGCTTCATCATGGATATCTTTAATATTAGCTGGAGTCTGCTCAAAATCCAGGGAAGTGTCACAGCCCCTGCCCTCTATACTCACCATCCTTGTAGGCCTCCACTAGAGCACGTATCTGCTGATTGGTCCTAGAAGCCAGAATTTCAATGAGGCACTTCTCATCAGTCCCAATACCCTGAGAGTAAGGGAAACAAGTCAGCCGTATGAAATACAGCACACTGCAACCCAAGAAAATGAAATAACCCAAATAACCATCTCTGCAGATCAGTATGAGTTGAATGTACTCACCAATGGAAAAATGATATCGAAAGGCACAGTGAAAAGAAGGCCACTGCTGTCATGTGCCCCAAAAGAAATGGCAAACCCTAACCCTCACTCCCCCTTTACCTTGAGAGCATCTTTTATTTCTTTGGCATCAAAGTATTCCAAGGGCCTCATTAGGCCCACAATCAGCCGTTCAAATTTCCCAGTGAGTTCATACTTCAGGTCTGCAATCAAGTCCTAATAAAATGGCAGAAAAGACAGAGGAGGAAAAGAGAGAAAATGAGATTGCTTCCTGGGTTCACTTTGTTGGAAGATGTCTCATTGGTCAGAATGGCCCTGTGGTCTTACAAGTAATTTCAAGGTTCAGAGTTCAAGGTTATTGTCAGAGCGAGGTCTACGTATTTTGTTAGATTAACACTCTTGCATCACATGTGGACAGAGCAGCAACAGGAAACTATGGCTTGTAGAAAACCAAGTAGTACTCAGAGAAGACCCACTGAAACTAATGGACCTGTTAGTTAAGTCCATCAATTTCAATGGTTCTGCTCCAACTATAACCAACATTGTCCTCATGTACACAGGGTTGTAGCCAATGATATATTTTAGGCTGAATTTCTGCAATGAAACTGAAGTCAATACCACTGTTGCTACTAATAATTAATATAACCACTTTGCAAATTCAGATTAAATATTACAACACTTGTTTGAATGTTCAAACTACCCTATGAGGTAGTTCCCTATTATTCTCATTTTGCAGATTGGAGACACTTACCCAGGGCAACCTAATGTCTCCTTGACAAAGGCAGAATCCCAATACTGAGTAAAGGCCACCTAACTCAAAGACTGGTTTTCTTGCTACTGGATTACAGTGGTTCTCAATGAAATTATTTGAAAGCATGGAATGGTTTGAGAGGAAGATAAAGAATTTGCTTACTAAAGGCATGTTATTATCTAGCAAAGTGCCACTTTGAGAGATTAAGGTGGTAGTGGGGGGTGGAGACAGAGAAATGGAACATCTTGGCTGAATGCACTTCACTATGCAAAGACCCTCGTAATTCTGAAATATTTTCCAACATCCCATTTCTACAGTGCTAAAGAAGCCATCTCACACTAGACTAATGGACACATATCTGTGCAGCAGTTCACAAATTCTGGCTTAGCAGGCAATCATTATTTGTGGTTGACACCAACTCCTCCTTGCCCCTCCCCACCCCACTCTCAGCATGTCCCAGGGGACTCAGCAGTGGGAAATAATATTGCCTTTCACTTTGCCCTGGACAGAGACACAGCAAACTTTCTTCTCTCCGCCTCTCTTTAAAGCTCAGTACAAACAGATGCTAGAGCCAACCCCTTTCTTGGAGTTCCTCCCCACCCCCTGCAGATTCATGGGTGAGCGCTATCAATCATGACAGAACAAAGAAAGAAACTTCTCACACTCGGGGTTCTCTGCATCCCTATTCACACATTACAAACGTGTAGGGAACTAATGAACTAAGGGATTGGGGCTGTACTGCTGCCCCCTCCTTAAAAGCATAAATGCCCTATATACATGTGTTTTGTGAACAGGGCTTAAGATGTGTGGAAAATGTAGACAAGGGAAGGGTGTCTTTATCTCTCTCTCTCTCTGCTGGGTATGAAAGGTAAAGTTATCAGAATGAAGGATATAAGGATCACTGGCAAATTTGGCATCCAGCTTTGTGGACTTCCAAAAAGAAATTCATTTCTATGAATGTCCTTCTTGGTCCCTGTTGATCAAACCCATCTGTGCTGCGAAATACAGGCTTCTGGAACTCACTCACCCTCTGTCTCTCTTTGTGTGTGTGTTTGTGTGTAGTGGGTTTTAGGCAGTCAACAAGGCTAGCAGGGTATCTTATGCCTAAAATAGTAGATTCAAGATTCCCAAACAGGATGCTCAGGTAGGATGAAATCTAGTGTGTCCTCTGATCCCGTCATTTATGTCTGCCAGTGTTGTATAGGAGGGGTTCTGTGTTGCAAGGCAGGGATTCCATTCACATCCCAGTAAAGAGATATAGATTTAGGAGCCTGGTGCAAATTCTACCCTCCATGTTCTTCAGGCTGCTTCCTTTGAATTGCCCCATGCTGTGTCCAATTTTAGAATCTATGGATCACATCTGAAAGGTTTCCACTAACTGCGTTCCCCAAAAGTTAAAGAGATTTTTCATTAATCTCCCCAGCCGAGATGAAACTTGCATATGGTAGTTGCTTGCAAAACAGAACAATCACTTCTCAAACTTACCTTGCCATAAAGAGCCTTGTATGCCTGGCAGATTTCATGTCTTTGCTTATTGCTTCTGGATGTTATTAGTTCAAGTATGGCTTCCTTGTCACTGCCTGCGGAAGACAAAGAGGATGAGTCATGCCTAAAACAGTAAAACCATACAGTTCCTATTTGAAACTATTATATATTTATTTATACCCTGACTTTTCCCCCTGACACAACTCCAGATAAGAATAGGGACCACAGAAAATATAGGAAAAATGAAGCCAAAATCCTGTTAATGTCACAGTAATTTTAAATTCAAGTGCGCAGAAGACAGCTGTTGCAGGACACATACCAAATCCCTTCATAGCATTATAGAGGGCCTCAGCATCCTGGTTGGCATCAAAATCTGGATAATCCTTCACTGAACCCCTGTATCTCCCAGCCTAGAAACAAAGAGAAAAAGACAATGAGGCTGTTACCAATTAGGCGGCCCAATAAGGAAACAATATGCCATGTGCAGAATGTATACAATGGTGGCACGTGGGAGGGCACGTCCAGCAGCTGCTCCACACTTGTGGAGTTCTTTCCCCTGAAGGATTTCACCACAGCCCAGAACAGAACAATACAGTCTCCAAAGCAGCCAGGTTTCAAGTTGCATCAGAGCACAGGTCAGCCAAGGTGGCTTAGCTGGCGTGAGCCAACAGATATTCTTTAAGCTGCCAAAGCCAGACCTAGGTAGGCATTTTGGAACTACGGTGTTTGCCTCCACGCTTTTGGAAATCTGGGAACCAAAATGTATGGCAAGACTACATCTGGTAACACCTGTCAGGGTTAACCTTTGCAAAGTAGATTTGATGTTGAGGCAGAGGTATTTAGACTGTTCAACGCATAAATGAAACCACAATGGAAGTCAGTGGCAGAGCACTGCCCTTGAGCATTTGACGTTCCATCACAAGGACTGAAAGGAAGGATGCCAGAAGCTCAAGGCCAAACAAGCCTTCCCTATCCCTGATCATGGTGCTCAGGTTGTTTCAGGAGAAGACTATCGCCTCCCACAGTCAGAAAGTTGTGCATCATCTTTCAACGTACCCCACTAGACAAAAACTTAGAATCCTTCCTACAAAACTATTTTGGCTGCATGCAATACAGTTACTTTCCTTTTCACATGTGGTGCTATGGCCAGTGTTTGGCCTCATATATGTATGGAATTATATGGGGAAGCCTGTAAAAAAAGGTTTATGGACCTAGCACTGGTTTCCATGGCTGCAACTGCCACATCCATGAGAATTCCCATGCTCTTTCGGGTCACAGGTTCAGAGCTTCTCATGCGGGGAAGAAAATCATGGTGGAAAATGGGCCCCTAGATTTTGAAGAAAGCTTAAGAGATCTGAATATCCTAACTGCACAGGCAATTCTTGAAATCAGTTTCTCCTTATCCCTTCCCCCACACCGATGAGTCAGTCTGGCTTCCTGACAGATGGCCAGAGCCCTTGAAGTTATTAATAGAGGCGCTGCTCTGCCCAGAATTCTGCTCTTCTATTCATATTGCCAACTTGGTCTCACAATGACAGTTCCCTACTTGCACATCCACCCCTCTAGAAGTATCAGTGCACAAGGAGCTGAGGCACTGCTGCCCACACTAATCTCTCTAGAAGAACCTTCTGAAATGTCTGTCCTGAGATTCCAGGACTTATGACACACCACTTCACAATTATTCCTCTTTCTGCAGAGGGTTGGGAGAATGCTCTCATGTAACAAGATGTGAGAATGATAGATGTCATCTTCCCAGCATCTCCCACACACATACCCAACTGGTTGTTCAGAGGGAAAAACCTTTGCCAACTCTATTCACATCTAGCTCAGGGATTCTCAAGACTTCCCACCCCCCAGACCCACTAGAAACAGCTGGAAATTACTGAAGACCCCCAGTGACAAAATGGCGGCAGATGGAGGCAGTTTGGCATAATCCACACACAATTACCAACATCAGTTTCTACTGATAGCTAATCCATCTTTGGAAATGGCCAAATGTATTTGCCAGAGGGCTTTCCTTCCGGCAAGGAGTAGCACAGCTCAGTTTTCCTCAAGCAAAGTACAGACATTTGCTGTGCAGATATTGTGAATCACCCTCTTTATTTAGGCAGATTTTGCTGATCCGGAAGTGCTAAGTGAAGAAAGCTTCCCAGCTCCACATTCCTTTCCAAATATTTTTACTCATTTCCAGTGGGTTTAATCTCCCATTCTCCTTTCACACTGAACTGGTGCCGTATTTTCCCTGCAACCACCAACTTCCTTCACCCTATACATTCACTTCCTCCTATAGCGGTGTCCCTCGCTTATCTACTTCCTTTCTATTCTCAGTTTATTATTTAACCACCACCTTTCCCCTCACCTTAATTTCATTTAATACCCCCCTGACTCTTTGCCCTCATCCCCCCTGTAACCTCTCTGGTCCTGAACACCACTGCAAGGAGTTTCTGGTGCTGGCATGGCAGGCAAGTAAGGAGGCACTGGGCAAGAAGTGGTTCTGGTAGGTCCTGGCCCACTGTTTGACAAACACAGACCTAGAGGATTTCAATCATGTAGGGATCACCAGGAAATGCAAAAGGAAAACCCACCCTCGAGAGTTTCCAGAGTCACATGTGCCATGCGATATGTCCCTGAACAAATCCGTAAATAACTGCCTCACCCTCAAACTGCGAATTGAAAATCTTGTCCCCAGGGTCCAAGTGCAACACACAGTCTTATTACGTTACGCTAGCTCTGTGAACTGTACCAGATTTCTGGACTGGCTGTACAAAAAGTGAAAGTCACGTTGATACATCCCTGCATTACTTCTGCAAAAATCACTTGCGTGTAGGGAAACCACATAAGCCTACGATAAGTGGATCACACTTCCTCCAATGGGAGCCCAGAGCCTGTTACAAAGCATAACAGCTAAACTGCATCAATAAATAAAAACCTATACGAAGCTAAAATACTGCCCTATTGAACTGAAAAGATCTGGGTACACAGAAATGTCTTCAACAATAAGGGGACAGGTGCAACTCCAAGGGGAGACGGTTGGGACTAAGACCTGGGATAGCAGGGTTCAAACCCCCACTCAGTCATGAAGTTCATTTGACTTGGGCCAGTCACCATCTCTTAGCCCAGGGGTCTGCAACCTTTAAGACAAAAAGAGCCACTTGGACCCGTTTCCGAAGAAAAAACAACTGGGAGCTGCAAAACCATTGCGACATTTAAAATAAATATATCTCCGGAGCCGCGATCTGACAGCGGGCGGGAAGGTGACGTCGGGACGGTGCGTGACTAACGCACGCACCGCCCCATGCGACGTCACAGCCAGTACAGCGCCCACCACAGTGGGGAGTGTCGGGGCGCACAATGCGCCTCCTCCCCTCGCTAGTATCCGCCCCGGAGCTGCGGCAAAGGTGTAAAAGAGCCACATGTGGCTCCGGAGCCGCGGGTTGCAGATCCCTGTCTTAGCCTAACCTACCTCACAGGGTTGTTGTGAGAATGAAATGGAGAGGAGAACCACATGTACACCATCTAGAGATCCTTGGGAGATAAAGCTGGTATATAAATGTAATAAATAAATCTGTACAAAGGAGGCCTTTTTTGCTCCTGCTCAAGGTTAAGATGGGATAAGACACATTTTCCCAGCTGCTAGAAAAGCACAACTTGCCTAATAGTCCAGCTTTAAGAAAAGGCATGTGACAACAAATGTGTAACAGCACATTTGTTGCACTAGAAATTGATTGGGAAAGCATCTGGAATAAACAGATTCTCAGGAAACAGAATCTGCATGACCTAAGCAGCAGCTTCCAAGTCTTATAGTTTTGGCGTTCCATTTTCATGCATTTTTAGAAACGGATAAGACTCCCCAAAGTGCATCTGTGCTTGTCACAAGATCAACACAGATTCCCGTAACTTGAGTACAGAATGTCCTCTTTGTGCCATTTGTATGGTGGGTTTTTTTTAAAAAAACATCACCTGCCACAGAAAAGAGACTGTGTTAAGTTCTTAGGCACTATTATTCTACTGCTGACAGATGCCCTGTCTTTTTTGGCCACAAAGTTAGGCCTTTTGTCTAGCATTCAGCTGTGCTTTAATAAATTTCATTCCAACGTTTCATTATTCAACAGAATTACAAAAAAAGCAACACAAACCCCAAACCCCACACATTCAGAACCCAATTATGTTATAATACCAGCTTGGTATGCAGAAGAAAAAAAGAAAAATACCTCCAGCTACAAGTTTGAAGTATTGGAATAGAAGTTGGTATGCATCTTTGGGAGGTCCATTACCTATTTTCATGTTTCAGCAGCAGCATGCTGAAGAACTAATTTTCAAGGATATAAACTGTATTACAATGCAGTATCTCCTTTGCCATGCACTCAGATCTCAGAATGAAAACTAGCATATTCATTTATGAAACTTAATCAACCCTCATGCTCATATACAGGGGCGGAGAGAGAAGATGGTACTATTGACGAAAGCAGATAGTATCTTAAGCAAGGCCTCTTGAATGTTATGTTTTGGTTGTAAGTTACTTAACCAAAGAACAGCAGACAAACAAACTAGTAGATGCTAGTCGTTCAGGGTGCATCTACCAACTGAGTTCCACAGTCCATAGTTCCCCTTTGTCCTTGCTGATCCATATCGTTGATCGACGAAGTGGCGGGCAAGCGCTGACTGCACAATCTGCATGGCTGTCCACATATGGAGCCAATGCCCACTATTCCATCAACTTTAAGCATTTCCTGTTTCTGAAATTGCCATAGATCTTTAAAGGGTCTTTAACTTTCGGCCTGCAAATGTCTTTTTGTTTCCATCTTTGGAAAGAGTGTTAGGCAACAAAAAAGACTGCATGACAAGAATTGCCCCCTGAAAGGTGTGCCAAAAGCAGCAGCTGTGTGAGGCTTCCATTGGCACCTGCCCTGGGGGATTTCCTCTAAGACTCCCTGAAATATTTATCAGGGCCCCAGAGCTATTCAAAGTGCATCAGAGCAAAGTTGGGGGGATGCCCACTGTGTGCTGTCAGAATGATTTTCTGCCTCTGGGGAGTTTCTCCTGCATGGCAGCTTCTGGGTTCTAAACATATGAAGTGCCAGGGTGCTTTTTTTTGCAGCTTGTCACCCTGTGTGGCAATTAACTAACATAGCAGAACCAGGGCCATCTATTAGAATGAAGCAACATGGAATTTTTATTTATTTAAAAAATGCCATCAAGAAGCATATGACAATGGGCCAGAGATGGAAATGCACAGGAACCTGTTGTTGCAGAGTACCAGAAAGGATTATGAGGGTCCATTAGATTATCTCAGACTACACTTGCACCTGACTAAGCTTAGGCGGCAGTTTTTTCCAGAGAGATAAACGAAGATTCACTGCTGCTGGTGTGTACACTAATATCACTTTCATCTATAGAAAGTAGGTTTATGCAAGGTTTTGCTACTTCTAAAACCTACAGCTCACAGCCCCCTTTTAAAGCATGGGCCAGCCTTTGACAACCTGATGCTCTCCAGCTGCTTTGGACTACAACTACCATCAGCCCAGTGTCCCAATCTAGTAGGCTTAGGCTCTACTGCCCTTTAGATGATGGGTGGTACAGCTGAAGCCTTCTTTCCCTTGCCAATGCCAGATTAAGCCCAAGACATGCTTTCCAAGGTGCAAAATCCATATAGTGTCCTCACTCACCCTGCCCAGTTCACTGATGTTCTTTCACAGCCAACTGGTAGGCTACATATTGCTGCTGGTGTAGCCCAGTTAAATACATTTAATAAACTGTAATAATCCATCACATTAAGAGACATTCAAACCTCAACTGTTCCACGTGTACAAATGGTACAAAGCACTTGTTCTTCTATTTCCCCCCAGAAGGCATGCCACTATGATGATGCAACGTAGAAAGAACTGTCTCAGAACACATTAAACCATTGGAGTCTTTCAAATTATGCCCACACGAAAAGAAGAGAAATTCACAACTGCTGGCATCCTTTTTATGGTGAGAGTGTTCATTTAGACTCAGAACCAAAGCATGTGTGAAAAAGAGCCTGGCCACATCATCCAGCAATACCCACTGGCACATCTACCCTGACCAATATCCACTGCATGACAAAAAAAATTATTAAGTACAGTACCAAGAGAAAGTCAATTACGTAGTATTACATTTAGACTGATTTCACACACAGATGTCTGGCACTTACTGATTTCACAACTCGGGAGATATTTAAATGCCATCCTAGTCATGCAGGTGCCAGCTTTCTGGAAGCAGCATCCTTGTTGCTTGCATAATATTTAAGTGACCCAATCATGTGCAACCCAGCCAGGTCATTGGCAGCCTCACTCCTGTGTCCAAGTTGTTTAATCATTACTCCAGCAGCCACCGAGGCAAAAGCAGCTCCCACACATCTCAGGCAATGTTTGAAGGAAGATTTCACTTCAGATTTATTTAATGTGGCAACCCCCTCTCTTTTTTCAAAAAGAAAAAAGAATCAATTTTGGACTGATTCTGTTCACAATGCTGAAGGCGGTTCCCAGCTCCTTATTTGAAACAGCACTTGTAATGAGTAGCCCAATTAATGAACTCCCTCTATGCTCCTCCTTTTGCAGCCCTACTGCCTCTCTCAGCTGCCTCCACAGCAAACCCCTAAACACAGCAAACACCTAAAGTGGTGCACTCAGAACAAGGCCTCAACTCAGCCCCTCAATTAAGATGCCCTTGCAGCCGAATATCCCCTAACACAGGCTTCCTCAACCTCAGCCCTCCAGATGTTTTGAGGCTACAGTTCCCACCATCCCTGACCACTGGTCCTGCTAGCTACGGATCATGGGAGTTGTAGGCCAAAAACATCTGGAGGGCTGAGGTTGGGGAAGCCTGCCCTAACACATCTGCTATGGAAGCCTCTGGAAATCTGAACTACATCTACTTTTATTGACTGAACGAACAGAGCTCCTCTCTTTCCCCCTTTTCTGCTTCATTTTCTATTCCCCCCAGCTCACTCATCCTACTCTGCACTGTAGAGATTTCATTTTTGGAGTTTATTATACATCTGCTTTTTGTTTAGCTCCAACGCTGGCTGCAGGAGGAAAGAATGTAAACTGTGCTCAAGATCGTGTTCTCAGAAACAAACCACAGCTGCAAGGGGAAAGATTCGTTCCTTCACTCCTGATATCAAAAGCCTGAGTGACCTTCCCTCATTAGCAGGGTGTTGCAAGATTAGAAACAAGAGATGCCCACCTAGGTTATCACACCAAGGCAAAATTGTCAGTATGGTGGTTGTCACCAACCTGAAGTATCTTATGTGAGCAGGAACTGAAAATGCCTTACCTTTCCGCTGCTTGACATGACTTCTGGATCAGTGTTAACAGATGAGGTGGCGGATGCTGCATAACAGAAGAAAAGGAGATATATTAACTATGTGGATGCCAACAAAAAAAAATCCTTTAATTTTATTATCCTGATGGACCTAAACTTCAGCATACTCCACACAGGAAACGCAAGAAGCTGCTTGGTTCACCCAACTCCAACTATACTGAGAGCAGGTCTCTAAGAATACATTTCTGCCTCCCAGGATTAACAATAAACCACGATGAACAAAACTGTGATACAAAATAAATATTCTAATTGCTCTATAATACAATATATATATATATATAATACAATATATATATATATATATATATATATATATATAAACATAAAATGACAGTACAGCTTCTAGGAAAAGTCAAAACTCACTTAAATGTGCTTTCACTTAAATGTGCCATACTGAAGATATCAGGGGTGGAACCTGGGGCTTCTGCATGCAAAAGGTGTGCTCTAACACTGAACCATCCTCAGGGGATGCTCCTATGTAAAACTCACCCTTTTGGGGAGGGAGATATATTGAACTTTATGGTACATCAGAAACTGGCCCCTACAGCACCACCCACCAGTTTCCCTGCAAGATCATCCTTGGGCTGAGCTTGGTGAACATCACAGCTCTCAGCCACGACTTTGACAGCGGAGGGAGGGAGGGAGGCCCACATCAAAAAGATTGTGAGTGCAGTCCAGCTCGCCAATGAGTGGAGGCATTCCAGCTAGTAAAAATGTACGCGAGCTCCTTGCAGACATCTCATCTCTGCACTGCGGTCTGTCTACTGGGCTGAGGTCCAATAAGAAAGTAACCCTTTAGTATTCGGCAAGCATGCTACTGAGTACCTAAAGCAAGACAAAGGAGCCCAGGGCTGCTTTGGGCATTATGTTTTAATATGTGCTTTCGAAATATTTCTTACATACAAACACATAATTTGGGCATGCAGTAAGATATGCACACACCACAGCGTAAATCAGGGTTCAGCAAATTTTTCGGCAGGGTCCAGTCCACTGTCCCTCAGACCTTGGGGGGGTAGGACTATATTTTGAATAAAAAAAATGAACACATTCCTATGCTCCACAAATAACCCAAGATGCATATTAAATAAAAGGACACATTCTACTCATGTAAAAACATGCTGATTCCCAGACCATCCGCGGGCTGGATTTAGAAGGCAATTGGGCTGGATCCGGTCCCTGGACCTTAGTTTGTCTACCCATAAATCGTACAAGTACATAACAAGGAGACCGAGATCGGTCACAGATCTCTGACTTGCATATAAAATGGGAAGGACACCTGCCATCTGGGTATAGACACCAAGCTTTGTTTCTCCATGTCCTCAGAAGCCGTTTGCTGCTTGGGGCGGAGCCACTGCACTCGTTTCCCAGCTGCTTACAAGGAAGGAGAGGGGCAGGGTGGTGGTGGGACAGGTATGGTGCAAAGACCGACTGGTCAAAGCAGTAACTGCCTGATTAGATTACTGCAGTGGGCTCTCCATGAAGCTGCCCTAGAAGATAGCACAGCAATTGCAGCTAGCGTAGAATGTGGCAGCTGCCAGTAGTCTCATATAGAACCCCTGTATCCATACATTCCTGATGTGCTAGCGGGTGGGGAGTTTGTTTCCCATCTGCATCCCATCGCCACATAAATTGGAGACGTAGGAAAGAGCCAAGTGACACGTCTGTTACAGAATGACCCTCCCTTGAAGGCCCAGATAACACTAACATTGGGTATATTTTGCATCACATTAAAATCAGAGTGAGGACAATACAACCTGCCTTCTCTTTGCTGCTGCATCACACAGCTGGAGGGGAAGGGGCTGGGGCAGGAGAATAGTGCCAAGCAAGAGTGTGGTCTCTGCTTACAGTAAGTTGAACAAATCCTCTGCCTTGTTCACAGGCCCCACTATGAAAAGGTAACCTGCCTCTTTGCAGCTTTGGAAACACAGCAGCAAAGCCAGGGTTGCTGTTTCAACTTATCCCTAGTTGAAGGCTACATACATAGAGATTTGTACATGATCAGTTGTACTAACACTTCATCATTTGTCCTCGCAGACCCTACGAAAGCTGGAATATATTGAACAAAAGTCAGTGTGAAAGGGAACACATTGGGAATGCTGATGGTTCTGAGGCTAGATACGAGGTAGGGAAGCTTTTCAACCTGAGGGAACAAATGGATGCAACCCTCACTTTTTATCGTAGGTTACACCCCAGCAGCAGTGCAGAAAGGCAGAGGCTTCTACACAAGCACACATATCACACTGCCTTGCTTCAGGCAGGCAAGAGCCACTGTGTCACAGTTCAAGGACACATTGCAGCCACACAAAAGTACTCAAAGAGGATGTGGCCTGGGAAGGGGCCCAGGGTAGACGAACAGAAAGCAACCAAGACAAGATCACGAACGGCAGCAACTGACACACACATCCATGGCTAAGGAGAAGTGCCTGTGGGAGGGGCATATCCATGCAACACTTTAGCCTGGATCAATAGCCATTCTGCACCTCAGTGTTTCTAAGAGTTAAGAGGACACAGTCCTATTGTTCTTAGTAGAATCTTAGAACGTTGTGGTTATGACAGTAGTGCTTATTTGGCAAAATTTATACACTGATGGATTACTTTTTTTAAAAAAAATCTTAACATTGTGGTGTGCACGAAGCCTGCCTCATTTCCTGTCCCAGTACCCAAGGAGCTCACATCCGGTGTATGCAAAATTTTGGGTGCACCGTGTATAAAGTCTCCAGATTGAAAGTTTGCTTTCACCCTGCCATGAAAATGAGACCCCCCCCTCCATCCTGGGGCCAAGGGAGTGGGGGGAGATCACATACATTCAGACAAAAATGCACAGAATAATGACAGGAGTGAAGGGTGGCAAGCATACTTTGATGACTAATAACTCTACTTCATTTGACTCTGGAAAGAACAAGTGATGGGTACACAGTTCTTAGCCCAGACATTTTGTACCAACTCAAAATAAGAAGGGCACACCAGTACCAACCCCCCAGGTTTGTGCAGTGCTAGGTTTCCAAAGAACTGCAAGGTTTCCCCCCATCTCTGATGATGGTGTCATTTCGTCTCTATTACAATAGCTTTTAAAGAACAAACAGACAAAGGCATTTACAACCAGTGGACTTCAGTTGCCTAAAAGCAAACACAAGGTATTGAATGGAAAAGTGGTGAAAGAGAGTACAACAAGCAGCAAATGTTTAGTTCTGCAACACATCTAAGGGTGGTGGGTAAGAAGAAATTCAATTCATGCAAAAATGGGGTCTATATGCCATCCCTGAAAACTGCTCCGCAAGCTTAGCATCTCAGCCTTATGTGCATGATAAAATGTTCCAGTTAGCAGCAGAACTACAGTATTCTGTAGTAGATGAAGCTTCTGGACCAGCTGTAAGGGCAACTCCAGGAAGAGAGCATTACAGTAACCTAATATTAAGGTTACCTATGCATGGATCCCTCTGCCCAGGAATGGTCATTGCTGGCAAACCAACTGAATCTGGTAAAAGGTTATGGAAGGCCTTTATTTTGTAGGAGCTTAAAAGAAAAACATTTTGAAAACACCCCATGACAAATGATTTACTAGAGCGAATGAATGAGATTGCAATGCATCCATGTCTCTGAATGGAAAACAGAATGAACAAATAGCCTGTTAACATTTTGAGAACTGTTAGAATCTCTTGAGGAAGCTGCAAGGTAGCCTGTCCTCTTCTTTAGTGGCTTCCTAAAAACTGCCTTGCCTTCTCCACTCTTGAAAGAGTGTGCCTGGTGGGTTAGACATAAAGGCAGCTTGCTCATGCATCTAACCTTTCCTCACAACAGCTAGAAATCTGCATTTTCAGGTATATATTTTCCTGCTCCATGAATCCAAAACAGAATTAGCTGAGGGCTATTTTTAAACACTGCAGGCAGTATGCTGTGAAGACAGTTATTAAGCACTAACACTCACACTGTAGCCTGCAGCAGAAACATTTCATTCCCAATTTAAACAAATGGCCTATAGCAGAATCCCAAAACATCTACTCAGAAGAAAGCCTCACTGAGTTCAATGGAGTTTATTCCCAGATAGGAGAATAGAACAGCAGCCTAAAAGTCATTCCAGAAACAAAATGGCACAGGCAAGCCCCACCCAGTCCAAAGGAAATAAGGGCTTTTACAAGGCTGGGTAGATCTCATAGCTGTAGAACACATCTTACATGTGTCAAGGGCCTTCCTTTAAGACCCCAGTTGCCAACATAATAGAAATACATAGGTTCTCAAAAACAGCACAATCCCATACATGTTTATGCAGAAGTAAGATCCACAGTGGGGCTTACTCCATTGTGCAATTGCCTTCAGGGTGGAAGACGACTTAAAAACAATACACGAAACAGACTAAAAGCAAAATATTTTAAATGCTACAGTTTGTGCTCACTTGATTTTTGAGGAACGACTCGTGACTATTTAAGCCTTAGCTCTCCAATCCTATTTTTGTTCAGGATAATACATACATTCTATTAAAATTAGATCAGAAGTCACAAAAATGGTCACTGCCCACACCTAAAAATGAAAAAGCCCCAATCATTTCTATGCACTTGGACCCAGCCCTGCCTGTCCTGAATAAGGACATGATTTTCAAATGTAAGTAAACAGAGCATCAAAATAGCAGTATTCTAGCCTCCTGCAACTTCTCAAGACAGGAATCATATATAAAACTTTACTAAGTAGCAACAACAACAACCTACTGTCATATTTTATGAATTAAGAAAAGCAGAAATACCTCCCTCCCCACAGGAAAATTGGTAACAGTTTAAACATATGCCTAACATTTTATGCCAACATGTGTTTTGGGGGGAGTGGGTTACTTTGGAAAAAAGATTCTTACATTATTGATTTACTACCATTTTCACTCTCTGGGTCCATAGCGCCAACATTCCTAATAGCATTTCGCCTTACAAATATGGATTAGCGTTATGAATACAGCTTTGGCGTGGTGTTCAACTTTTTCTGCTCCTACGCCGCATCTACTGGTGTGCAAAGACTGTAGACAGACAGACATGGGCGTAGCCAGGGGACATCTGCCCCTCTAAATCTATCAAAATCAATACAAATCAATACAAATCTGAGGTTCTGCCCCCCCCATCCTGGCTACGCCCATGCAGACAGACAAGACAGACAAAACCACCACTGCAGCTGAATCCAAGATTAGTATTTGGGGCAGTGCTAGAAACTGAGATAGAAAAGCTAGGAGCGAAAAGGCACTAGGTTTTCAGTTGGCACATTTTTTTCTTCTCCACCACTGCAAAGCAAATGAAGACAAGATGGGGAATTTAGCTAAAAATGGAACAAACGTTGTGCATAAAAGACAAGTCCTTTTAGAACAAAGACGCCATCGAGTGCCAAAGCAGCCTAAAGAGATGGGGCTGCAGTTTCACCCCAGCAAAAGTAGAAACCGAACCTCTTTGACTCAAATAGATCAGGCAGTTTGCCAAAACTGGATCTGCCAGGGCCACACCCACCGGCTTCTACAAAGAGCCAAGTCATTGAAAACTCAAGGCAAGTTCCCTAGCTAGTGAGGAGTTTGTACTGTATTATGCGGCTCCTGAGGGCTTGCACTGCAAAGAAGAAAGCCATACTTCTTAAGAGAGAAAGTCTGGCTCTAAACAGGCAACGAAAGTGAGTGAAGTGATACCAAGGAAAGATAAAAGACTGTTTATGTATGCAACAACAGCGGCAAGAATTCTTTTAGCCCCAAAATGGAAAGAACAAGAAGTAGCAACGAAAGAAGAGTAGCCGTTGAAAATGATGGACTTTGCAGAGCTAGCGAAGTTGATGGGAAAAATCCAAAACCAGCAGGATCAAAAGGACTGGTGTGAATTTATACGATATTTGGAAGGTTATTGTAAGCAATTAACATCCCTAGCAGGGTTGACTGAAGATTTGTCGTGAGAAATATTATTTCTTTTTATATTTATTTAAACTTTGAGGTATTTTGTAATGAGTGCAACTAGAATTGGAAAACGTAGACAATGCAATGATATAAAGGTTAATTTTGAAAGCCACGAGGCGGGAGGGAAGGAGGTCCATGAGCGGTAAAGTGAATCATAATGATGTGATTGTATATTATTAAATGGAAAACTAATAAAAAATATATAAAATAAAGGGGCAACGAACCGCAGCGCCACACCATTCTGGCGGGATCTCGGAAGGATGCTAATGTATTCCTTCCATCTCCCCCACCTCACCTCACCCCGCTCCCCTTTCCCAGCAAGCTAGGGCTGCCCCCGTTTCTTGCCCCCCGTTATTAACTTACTTCACGGGCACCAGGAGGCCTCTTTTGCTAGAACCGTTAGGAAGAAGCGCCTCCGTCGGTGCGCAGCCAGGCCGCGGGGCACTCGAGACGCCGGAGGAAAGGCTGACCTCGAAGCGCCGCAGCTGTTTCCTTTCCCTCGCCTCGGCTCCGCTCGAGTAGCGACGTCACGCGCTCCGGAGCCGCCCAGTCCCGGGCTGCCTCCCTCCCTCCCTCCCGCCCTGGCCGCCTCCTCAGGTGGGCGACGGAGCGACGCCCGCTGCAGAGGAGGACCTTGGCTGACGCAGGCGCCGCAGGAGGTGGGAAGGGGGGAGTCCCTTAATGGGGCGTCGTTTCAGCTTGCATCTCTCTCCTGCCAGACGGTAGCGGCTGGATCACCTTGGCTTGAGTGTTTAGCAAAGGGAGGCAGAGGAGGGAGTTACTTAAGGCTCAGGTTTATGCGCATTTACGTGGGAATATATTCTGGCGCACGCTCAGATTTAAACGGGTGGTACTGTGGGTTAAACCACAGAGCCTGGGACTTGCCAATCACAAGGTCGGTGGTTCGAATCCCCGCAACGGGGTGAGCTCCTGTTGCTCGGTCCCTGCTCCTGCCAACCTAGCAGTTCGAAAGCACACCAGTGCAAGTAGATAAATAGGTACCGCTCCGGTGGGAAGGTAAACGGCATTTCTGTGCGCTGCTCTGGTTCTCCAGAAGCGGCTTAGTCATGCTGGCCACATGACCTGGAAGCTGTACGCCGGTTCCCTCGGCCAATAAAGCAAGATGAGCACCACAACCCCAGAGTCGGCCATGACTGGACCTAATGGTCAGGGGTCCTTTTACCTTAAACGTGCATAGGATGAGGTTGCGCAGCAGCTGCTGCTGCTGCTTCTTTGGCAATCACTCCTAGCCGAGTAAGATTGTCTTCCATGAACACGGTTTTAACAAAATAAAAAAATTCCTTCCAGTAGCACCTTAGAGACCAATTAAGTTTGTTAGTGGTATGAGCTTTCGTGTGCATGCACACTGTGGAGGCCAGTTCTGGATCCACACGTCCTTCCACAGTGGGGACATTGGTTTCTGGGCGGGAGTTGATCACGGTGTGGATTTGCCAAACCTGCCTTCCTCTTAGCACGTTTCTCCCTTTACAGTGGTACCTCGGGTTAAGAACTTAATTCGTTCCAGAGGTCCGTTCTTAACCTGAAACTGTTCTTAACCTGAAGCACCACTTTAGCTAATGGGGCCTCCTACCACCGCTGCACGATTTCTGTTCTCATCCTGAAGCAAAGTTCTTAACCCGAGGTACTATTTCTGGGTTAGCGGAGTCTGTAACCTGAAGCGTCTTTAACCCCAAGGTACGGTTGGTGGTTCAAATCCCCACGACGGGGTGAGCTCCCGTTGCTCGGTCCCTGCTCCTGCCAACCTAGCAGTTTGAAAGCACGTCAAAGTGCAAGTAGATAAATAGGTACCGCTCCGGCGGGAAGGTAAATGGCGTTTCCATGCGCTGCTCTGGTTTGCCAGAAGCAGCTTAGTCATGCTGGCCTCGGCCAATAAAGCGAGATCAGTGCCGCAACCCCAGAGTCGGCCACAACTGGACCTAATGGTCAGGGGTCCCTTTACCTTTACCACTGTATTTGGCCCTTAGGCAGAGGCGAGGAGCTGTATCAGTGCCCCCTGTCCCCAACTCCTTGACAGCTCTATCACCACTTCACACTCTGGGCGATCTCCCCGGAGCCTAAGCGGCACAATTCCCCCCTCCTGCCCCCCCCCCCACATGCTGTGCCACTGAGCCCCCAGGTGAGTGTATGAGAGTGCATCCTAAAACATCATAGTTGTGCACTTTAAAAAAGTCACGTGTTAAGTCATCCTAAATCCCATTTCATATGCAACCTGATCCTATGCTTGTCCTCCCTTGCCCAGCAAGTCGTGTTTTGTTCACTAGGGAAGTGCAAACCATAATGCTGTTTTTTAGTCATGGCATTAGTAACTTTTGCTGTCGAAAGTTGAGCTAGACCTACACAAAGAGCAACCTTAGGAATGCTCACCATTAAATGCATCCAGTAATTGTAATTGGGGCAGGCATCAGCACCAGGCAGCCTTGGGCAGCTGAGTCTAGTCCCCATTTTAATTTCCACAATGTTTCCAGTGTAGCGTCTCTCTGGTGCCTAGGAGGTGGCCAGACTTGGCTGCCTAGTGGTCCCACTGCTTTTCTAGCATGATAATAGCAGAGGTGGAAGCAGATCCTAGGAACAAACGAAGAAAGGAGCAGAAGAAGAACACAAGGGGGGTCATGTGACTCACATCCAGAACAGCTGCCATGAAACATAACCATCAGGCCATATATGGCAAAAATAGAGATTGACTTTTTCTTTTCTTTTTTATCCCACTTGGAACAGCTTCTTGTTCTTGCTCGGTGAGATATGATCTCTCAGCAGTTACAAATGATACAAAGCATAATATATAAATATATATATATATATATTTAAAAGTCTCATATAGCATATGCTTCTCTGTTTTCTGAACACTGGGATCTTCAAACCTCAAGGCCCTTTTCAGTGCGAAAGGCAGCCATTTCATGCTTATAGCCTACTAACTGGGAAAAGCTCCCCTCTGTGCTTTTCAGGGTGGCTTTTGTTAAACCAGTTGAACATGGGTGCTGGCACGGGTGATAACCCTATTCATCACGCTGAGTGGCTTAGTCCAAGCACTGAACCCTGGAACAGGAAACTCAAGCAGATCTCTGTCAAGATGACATATTGCAGGCACCACTTGCCTTCGCTTCACTTTGCATGGCAGCTGCAACACAAGCTGTTGCCAGAGACACCCAGGCATGCTCACTAGCCCCCAAACAGCTGCCCAGACTTGCTCCAATGGAGTCCAGAGACACGATTCCCTTACCATCACTGTAGACATTTCCAAAAAGTCAAAAAGGCCTGACTGTATCAGTATTCTTTTATACTTCACACTATTTTTGCCAGGGCATTTTGGCAACACGGTCCAGGAGTCATGCAGCCTGATCTTATGCATGATTACTCGGTGAATAAGCACCAATGGATTCCAGGGGATTCAGATGTGATCATTCCCAAGTAAATGGTAATGTAGCTTTCTTGACCAAGGTTCAAATGTTCCAGAATTCACCTTGAATTGCCTTTCTAGTTATTCTAACAGAACAACATGAAAGGCTTTCATATAACGGCAATATTGTTTATAGGATCGAAGCAGACAGTACAAGACAGTTTATTACTATTTATTATATTTACATGGTGGTGGTGGTTGTTTTACACTGAAGTGTCTTAAAGTGACTTACATAACAAGCAATGAAATAACAAAAATGTGTGCGCACGCATTTTCGGACTCTCTCCAGGACTGCAGTTTTCAGAACGCCTCAAAGTGCTTTTTCAATGAAAACTACAAATGAAGCCTTTTTGTAGATTATTAGGTAAGGCAACTCTGCAACCTGCTGGTTGAGGCAGGAAGAGCAAATGACCCATATTTTCCAGTCAATACAGTGGTACCTTGGTTCTCGAACTTAGTCTGTTCCGGGAGTCCGTTTGACTCCCAAAACCGTTCGAAAACCAAAGCACGGCTTCTGATTGGATGCAGGAGCTTCCTGCACTCAGTCGGAAGCTGCGGAAGCTGCATCGGACATTCAGCTTCCAAAAAACATTTGCAAACCAGAATACTCACTTCCAGGTTTCAATCATTTGGGAGCTGATTTGTTTGACAACTAAGCTGTTCAGGAATCAAGGTACCACTGCATCTGTTTGGGAAACTGTAAGGCTTCTTTATACATGTCATTTCTTTTTGCCTTTGGGGACCATTTTCTGCAACCATTTTCATCATGGTTACCTGTTTCTAATAGTTGATGTCATCTCACCCCAAATTAAAATGTAGCATGCATTTACATTGATAAAGAAATCATCACTTGCACAATTAGGCAAAGCATTGTCTCCCCCTTTTGCGAGACCAACACGTTGGTTAACTCTGATGCAGTTTCACAAGGCATTCCGCAGTTTCTTTTTGCTTGCAAGTTACACCCTTTCATTGGCTGGGGTGATACTCATATTTGTTGACATAATCTGCTGTGTGATGGGGGGACTTGTGTGAGATGAATGTGCAAGACAATCAGTGCTTTGTGAATAACTGCACACGTTTTCAGACTGCCCTCTAGAAAGCAAAACAAAATATTGGCCTCAAAGCTGTGCCTTATTAACAGCATTCTACCACAGCTTGGCCACCAAACATAACATGTTGAAAGTCGGAACAACTGTTATGCTACAGCAATTACAGCTATACTCCCAAACGAACACCTTTCAGTTTAAAATAGTATAGAGTTTGATTCAAGAGCCCTGGGAGCCTGACGAAAGGCCAATCAAGGCTACAATCCTAAAATGTATTAGTGAGGAGCCCAATTGAACACCTCTGATCCTTCAGCCACATACTGCCCTTCATATGGGGGATGCACACATCGTACAATCATATGGGAAGACAGTCATCAGGTGTATCCAGTCATGTGATGAGACATGTTTGCTCATTCTACATGGGTAGGTGCCGGCAGGGGTCATTATCCGGTATATAGTTCCAAGGCAGGCAGCCTTTCATTTTGTGGAAAGCAAAATGGGAAACTTCAAAGTAACTGCAACAAAAATAACGTGGTTCTTCAGCCTTAGAAATGTATCCTCATCGATATATAGAAAGCCAACCAAGATATATCCAAACCCTACCAAGTGGGCAAAGGCCACTATTTTGAAATACCAGAATTGTTGTTGTTACTCTGAGTGAAATGAACTTTGAAGTGCCAGATAAGGGCGTTTAAAAACAAGAACAACAACATCGAACTGATACAAAAAAGATTTGGAAAATAAGAAACTGGAAAAATAAAAATGGCAGATTGGCCCATCCCTACCCCAATGCCCTTACCTTTCCTCCTTTTTAAAATGTACTTGATCCTATTTTGCTTAATGCCTCAACTCCACTCCTTGCACATATCCTGCCAAATGCTTCCATTCACATTCTCAAAGGCTTCACACTCTATTTGCCAAGGGGAGCTGAGGTGGAGAGAAAAGAAGATGGAGAGAGGACAAATTTGTGCAAAAAGGATGGGAGTCCCTATGTCCCGCCAGCCTGGGCAATCCTCAAATGTCAATTAAAGCTTTCCAACAGAGCACTGAGCTGCTTTGACTGCATAGGTTCCCCATGACCAAAGTGGGGAGAGGAGGGCAGAGGTGGGTGGTCGGAGAGAAAGAAGGCTGGGCTACCCATCTTATGAAATACATTCAAATGAGGCAGAAGCAAACCTACACAGTGACTCTGGATTTGCCTCCCTCCCTGCATTTCTGACTCTCAGCATGGAGCTGGTGCAAGTGTCTGGAAAAAGAGCAAAAGTAAGTAGATTAGTTTACAAACTGGGGCCTGGGGGGGGGGCAAGAGGCAAGTCATGCGTTTGCAATTCAATTTTGCCCTGCAAAAGTGCAAAAAGTGTGCAAAGCACAATTTTCAAAAGTGTGACAAATGTGAGAAGAAAAAAACTGAACATAGGAACCGGGAAAAGGGCTGGAGTAGGACCGAGGTGTCCTCCAAGAGAGGAGAATGATTCATTGACAGCCAAAACAAGCAACAGTGAGTACTGAAAAAGCACATTTTGAAAAGGGAACTCCTGAGAAGGGTAAGTGAATGATATTGTAAATGAATGACCTGAGTGTAAGTGCATGATTTTGTTGATTTAAAAGCAACACCTGTTTGGTGCCGTGTTATAATCTATGGTGAAAATGCTTTCTTGTCATTTTAGTTCCACATACTAAGAGGAAGTTCATGCATTGCCTCACAGATTTGCCCGTTACACCTGTTAGCGGAAAAATAATGCACATCAAAATTGGGGGGGGGGGGCTAAGAAAGGAATGCATGAACGGAAAATGATAGTAAACTGCAAGGGCCAGCTACAAAATGATTTTGGACAGTTTCCAAATTAAACTGGAATCCCAGGAGGGTTACGGTGCAGTGCACATCCAGCCCATGGGACAATAGCCAATGGACATTCCGTGGACAGCCAGACTTAATATCTGACAGAGGAGGCAGGAAGTACAACACAGAGACATGAGCTGCCCTAATCAAACTAATGGAGTATGCTGAAATGGCCAAATTAACTGGGAAACTTAGAAATCAAGACCATAACAAATGTAAAAAAGAATGGAAAATGTTTATTGCTTATGTACAAAAGCATTGTAAAGAAGTTAATACATTAGCAGGATTTTTAAAACACTTGTAAGATTATGGAGAATATTTAAATTTGGAGATAATCAAAGATAAAGACGTTATTGACATGCATAAATTAAGACAATACAAAGGAACCAGGGGAGGGAGTAGAGCAGGCTTCCTCAACCTCGGCCTCCAGATGTTTTTGAGACTACAGTTCCCATCATCCCTGACCACTGCTAGCTAGAGATCATGGGAGTTGTAGGCCAAAAGCATCTGGAGGGCCGAGGTTGAGGAAGCCTGGAATAGAGGGAAGTTGAGGGATCCGAGTAATCCCAAAAGATGGATTTAATACTATGTGAATATAGTTGTTTGAAATTTCTCATTTTATGTTTTTATTTTTACTTTAATGTGATGGTTTTGTTTAATTGTAAAAATTAATAAAAATATTTATAAAAATAATAATAAGAAAGACATGAGCTGCCTTACAGTTTATATTCTTTTTATTTAAAATTGTACACCACAGCAATATGTTTAAGGAACAGTGCTAGAGAAATAATTTTTACCAAGAGACATCCAGTGTCATACAAATGGACTTCCCTCAGCTCTCCTCCCTCTGCAATCAGCTTTGAAACAACCATGTTCAGAATTCTGCAAGCTGAAGAACTTTCCCTCACAGATGCATTACAATGCGGAACAGTCTGAAGTTCACTGTTAGAATGTTATGTCCCAGGAGGCAAATGTGTGTTCTGGGGACATTTCTTCTCAGACTTTTCTCTGTGGGTGCTCTGTAACTGTGGATTACCTTCCCTTTGAGACTTCATTGGCCTCTGTCCTCCCACCCATTCACCTTTCTTTCTAGGCTGGCCACCAGTTATGTTATCTAACTCAAAACTCAAGTCTGTTCTGAGTCTCTGGCACATTAGGCAGAATCTGTGGTGTGTAATATATGAAGGAATGACATGGTGAGCACCATGTCTCATCTCATTTGATTTCTCCACTTCAGTGGATCCAGTCCCCAGTTATGTGCCAGCTCTTCTGTTAAGAGTACGCCAACCACCTCAGGCAACACATGCTAAGGGACAGTGACTGCAGCTTCCTAGGTGTTCCTCCTGGTCGTCCTCTTGCATTGGAAGACAAATGTTGGCCTGTCCCAAACTCTCAGAACTAGCCATTACAGAAATAAAATTCAGTAATGAAAGAAGCCAGCCCAATTGGCTTCTGTGCATGGAATGGTGAGGGTGCCATCTTGTCCTTTGTCTTGGGCAGAAAAATGTTTTGAATTGGCTCTGGAGCAGCTGTGATCGTGTAGTGGTTAGTGCTCTGCATTGTGGATTGGCCCTGGAGCCTGCTCATATACCAAACCAGTGGTTTTCAGGAGTAATGAGTTGTCCTGCCAATTTGCAACAGAGAATGAATTTCCTTAGCTCCTTAACTCTCGGCTAATTGCCTTCATTTGCCTGTCTCCTCCCTTCCACCTCATATATTGGTGGGACATAGCCTTTAGCTAGTGCGATTATAATTTATCTAGGAGGACTTGGGTGTTATTTTTCAGGTGCAAGGTAATAATACCAGCTCCAAATTGAAAAGTACCCATTTATGTCGGTAGTGGTGGTGATGCAGATCCAAAGATGGGTGGAGGGTTCTCAGCATGTATGAACTGGAGTGTACTAGTCATTGTGTTTCTAAGATGTGTGAAGCAACAGCTCAAGATTCCACTGGGTCACCCAGCAACTTTAATTCAGTGGTAGTCAATGTGGTGGGACGCGGGTGGCGCTGTGGGTAAAACCTCAGTGCCTAGGACTTGCCGATCGCATGGTCAGCGGTTCGAATCCCCTCGGCGCGGTGCGCTCCCGTTGTTCGGTCCCAGCGCCTGCCAACCTAGCAGTTCGAAAGCACCCCCAGGTGCAAGTAGATAAATAGGGACCGCTTACCAGCGGGAAGGTAAACGGCGTTCTGTGTGCTGCGTTGGCTCGCCAGATGCAGCTTGTCACACTGGCCACATGACCCGGAAGTGTCTCCGGACAGCGCTGGCTCCCGGCCTATAGAGTGAGATGAGCGCACAACCCTAGAGTCTGGCAAGACTGGCCCGTACGGGCAGGGGTACCTTTACCTTTACCTTAGTCAATGTGGCATCCTCCAAATATTGTTGGGCTACACCTCTCATCAGCCCTAGATGATACGACCAATGCCACGGACGGTGCAAGCTGGAGTCCAACATCTGGAGGGCACAGGATCAGTTGCCCCTACTCTAAACCCTAAGGAATATGCAAGCCTTGTGAACAACTAACCTTTTCATATGACTGCAAATAATTTCATAGTGAATTGCTTTGTTGTCAGCCTCCAGACTCACAGAAAGGCTATAAGCAGCAGATTATCAGATTTGCAGAGGAACAGCCTCTTGGATCCAAAGTTGCAGGGAGGTCCTAGAAGTAACATGTAGAAGAAAGGAATGTAGCACATTTTTCACAGCCAATGTGAAATGATATTAAGGTGGCAAGTGTTGTGGGAAGAGCTTTAGTCTGAAAGCCATAGCCAGGGATATCCAAAAGCTGAAATATGTTTAGATTGTACTTAAGAAAACTTCATTCCCAGGAAGTTTGTCCCATTGGACTCTGAACTGTATGAAGGATTACCTACAGAGTACTACTGTTTCAGGGATATAGAGCTGGAAGTAGAGCGCTCTAGTTTTGTGGTGTTCAAAGTAATTTTTCCCTCCTCCTTTCCTTTCCACCACAAGGAAAGTCATGTTTCAGTCTAAGTGCAGAGGGAATCAATCATTCAATGCCTGTATAGATCATGAATCAAAACCGTTTTGCTATTGAAGACTATGGGTGACCGGCTGGTCCTTGAATTAGTTGCATGTTAGTTAATATCATTGGGGGAAAGTCACCTTGCGATGGTCTGAACTGAACCCCTGGTGATAATGCCATTATCTCATGATAGTGCCGTTTCTCTAAAGAAAGAGTTTCAGCCATTGGAGAGTGTTGCATTTTAGACTGTGAAGAATATGCTTGCTGGAGCTTGCTATTTCATTCTCATGGACCTCAAAGGTCATCCAGTCCAAACCACAGCCGAGGCAGATTGTCAGGAAGGTTTGCTGATGTTGTTACTGTTTTTATAGTCGCACCAGTGTTTATGATCTCTCTGGATTCTTTCTTTTTCAGATGTCGGTCTCGGATTCTGTGCTCTCCTTCTATCAAATGGTTTCCCGTAGAAAAAGAATAACAGCCGGTGCCTGTAGAGAATCGAATTTGCGTCGCTGCCTTTCCACCTCGGACTTAGTGGCTCTGGGTGTGGGCAGTACGTTGGGTGCAGGGGTGTATCTCTTGGCAGGGGAAGTAGCCAAGACCAGCGCGGGCCCCAGTATCATCATTTCCTTTCTGATTGCTGCTCTGGTGTCCATCCTGGCAGGACTGTGTTACGCTGAGTTTGGAGCCCGGGTGCCTTTGACCGGATCAGCTTATCTCTACAGCTACGTAACAGTAGGAGAGCTGTGGGCATTCGTCACCGGTTGGAACCTGCTGCTCTCCTATATAATTGGTATAAACAAGTTTTGGGCTTCTGGGTTTTGACATCTACCGTGTGGTTTCATTGATAAGCCAAAGAGATGGGCCTAAGAAATAATAACTAGGCAGGCAGACCTTTTTTTAAAAAAGTTGATGTGAGTTGAATTTGTAGCTCAGAGCATGTGTTATGCATGCAAAAGGTTCCAGGTTCAGACTCTGGTATTTCCAGTAGGGTTGTGAAAGGTCCCATTCTTAATCCCTGGAGCACTGTTGACAGTCGGAGAAGGGTCTAAGGCAGCTTCATGTGAATGGTTCCAACAACCACATCCACGCATGCCCGTCTCATCATTCGAAAACTTGGGTGGCATTCAACTAACTTTTTCTATTAGTGCAAGGATTAGTGCTAGGGCAAGGGGATGTGTGCCACCACACTATCCCCAGATCTTCTCTGGAGGCTTGGGAGAACCCGCAGAACAAATTCAGGGGAGAGAACCAGAGAACGTTCTGCTGCAGAAGGAGAAATCCTTGCACTGACGGACTGTTCACTTAAGCACAATGTTGAACGCAACCCCCTGACTACATACAGTGTGGATGGAAACAAATGCTGCATCTCCTGTCAAGAAATGATCCCCTATTTCTTTTGGGCCTCAGTGTATTTAGTCTGCAGTTTTTCAGCGATGTGATGGGCACAAGAACTTCCACTACCAATCGTTGGCAGCCAGTCATTTATTCATTTGAAATAATGATTAGCACAAAACCATGAAGAATCCATATGTGAATACAAAATGGCAGTAGAAGAGAATAGGTTAGTATATACTTATTTAAGATGACCACTCTCCAATGTGATACAGTGACAGGACATCTCTCATTGAAAGGTTTTTTTTTATTACTGCAAATAATGTGGTCATTTAAGACACATATTTATCTGGCACATTTTGTAACCTGCCCTGACCCAATGAAGGTCAGTATAGAAATGTTTTGAATGATAAAAAAAAAATCCTATCAATGTCTGATAGCTAAAAGTTGCTGCTCATTTGACTTCTAAGGGATCTGTCCATGGGAATCTTATATGATAGGAAAGCTTCCACTGCAAGTTCAAATCACGGTGGGTGCATCATTCCCAATTTACAAAAAGTGGGTTGAGAGATAATACACTTAAGCTTTTTATTTTATACTTGTTATTTGGTATAACATAGGTGATGTGTCGTCGGGACTGTCAAAAATTCAGTGTTCCCTATAAAAGCAGGATGAGCATAAAAACTGCCCCCCCCCAATAAACTGAGATGAAAAGACAGAATGAGGGAAAAGAATTATGCAGCCAAGGGGTGAAATGGGCGAGCACGGAGGCCAGAAGAAAGACATGCTTTTTGTAGTGTCATATATAATGTATGTGCTGCCCACACAGCAGTTTAAGGCTGACATACTTCCTTTGAAAGAGAGTGCTAAAAGGGCACAGCTTCATAGTACACAATGGACATCTTATACCTGAGAATGCTGCTGTTTCGCATGGACCATCAGAGGTCCATAAGCCTTGAAAAGCTAATACTTTATACCTGTGTACATAGAACAGCACCCAGGGCCCTGCAATATCCCTCATTTTTAAGGCTCGATGTACTGTACCCATATTTGGCAGTGTTCTCTTTAAACTGGCTGATTCTCTACAGGTACCTCCAGTGTAGCCAGAGCATGGAGTGCTACTTTCGATGAGCTCCTGGGCAAACGGATCGGCACCTTTTTCAGTACCCATATGGCCATGACCTCTCCGGGACTAGCTGAATACCCTGATATCTTTGCTGTTTGCCTCATTGTCCTACTAACAGGTATGTTTGTACTGATTTTTTTTTTTTAACTATTGTAAGGCTCCTTGAAACCCACCCTGCACCAATTTTATTGGAGATTGCCCATTAAATTTTATACATGCAAGGAGTTTTTCCCTTCCCACCATGGACTTAATGCAACTCTGACAAATTGGTTTTGAATAATACTAGCATCTCAGTATAGTTTCCAAACCCTGTAATTGTCACCCACAGTAGGGTCGGAGGAGAAATTAACTTTGGTTTGCATACCTAATTCACATTTTCAGAAACAATAAGCCCAATTCTGAAACAATACCCAATTTGCACGTTCTGAAGCCATTCATGAGCACAGCAATCCTTTGAAATTCACACTTATCCAAATTTTGCAGTGCGGTCTTCCAGCCAAGTAATGTGAAGAACAAAGTGTGTATAAATGCATACGCATGAATGGCAATAACATCCAAGATGCATTATATATGGGGAAATTGCCTTGCAAAAAGGTAAAATTGCATATAAAAATGTTTATAGTAGGAAAAATTCTCGCAGAAATGCTTATTAATTTTCCTGAGAATTTCTTCTTAAAAGACATATGCAAACTTGCGGGAACGTGGCAAACTGAATTTAAGATTGAAAAAATGAGAAACTGAGAGAAACCAAAACTGGCCTATTCACCCATCCCTACCGACAGGTCTTTTGCATTTACTCTGTTGCTGTCTTTCTTGTTTCTGCTGGACTTGCCACTTGTTCTTTAACAGTTCTCCATGGTTTCAAGCTAGGGTCTTTCTCAGCCTTACCTGAGCTTGCCAAGAATTGAACATGGGACCTTCTTCATGCAAAGTCCAGTAGTAAAGGACTAGAGGACATGCTTTGTGGAGCCAGTGTGGTGTTAAGAGCGGTAGACTCGTAATCTGGTGAACCGGGTTTGCGTCTCCGCTCCTCTACATGCAGCTGCTGGGTGACCTTGGGCTAGTCACACTTCTTTGAAGTCTCTCAGCCCCATTCACCTCACAGAGTGTTTGTTGTGGGGAAGGAAGGGAAAGGAGAATATTAGCCGCTTTGAGACTCCTTCAGGTAGTGATAAAGTGGGATGTCAAATCCAAAACTCTTCTCTTCTTCTTTCCATGCAGAAGGTCCAATATTCAATTCTTGGTAAGTTCAGGTAAGGCCTGCTCTCAGATTTTCCATATGGTACCAGCAATTGCTCGTATCTACTGTACTTTGCAAAGGACACTGCCTCAGGCCTCCATCCATAATAGTTGTGAGGCCCAAGCAATGAGACATTGTATCCATTGACTCCTTAGGTCTCCTCTCAGTTGGGGTAAAAGAATCCACCACAGTGAATAAAGTCTTCACAGCTGTCAATGTGCTTGTCCTTCTATTCATTATAATCAGTGGATTCATCAAAGGGGACCTGAAGAATTGGAAGATGAGCAAGAATGATCTGATAATGACTGCTGCCCTCAGATTTAGGTAAGAGAATGGCTACACAAGCTCTTGGGCTGCAGTAAACACAGGCCACGCAGGTTATATTTCTACAGCGGTTACAAATTATTTAAATATCTATTTGCTGTCCTTTCATGAAATCCCCAAACAGCTACCTGACTTTGCCTAATGGTAGGACGGATCCATGGCCACCTACCATTTTCCTGCCTCCTTTGCTGTACTTGTCTACCAACTATATCCAATCAGATCCTCCTGACATTGACTTCCTTTATGTCACCTTCCTTGACAGGAACCAATCTGACAATGGAACTTGGGACTTTGGGGCTGGAGGGTTCATGCCCTATGGCTTCAGTGGGACCTTAGCTGGAGCTGCTACCTGCTTCTATGCTTTCATTGGGTTTGACTGCATTGCGACTACAGGTAAGCAAGAAAGAAGACAATTACAAAATGTCCATGATTGATAACTGCATCTGGCAGCTAATAAAGAAAGGAGAAAATATCTATTCACCTCACAAGGGAGCCATTTGTTATTAAAGCTCTCCTGTGTCCAATTCCCCTCCTAAGAGGAGTGGAATGTGTTGTGACTTAGGCATTGCTGTTGTTGGAACAGAAACCCATAGGCAATCCTTTTGGAATAACCAGAGCACCATGTAAATCTTTGCTTAATCTCTATAGTGACAGGGTAACCATACGAGACAATGTGTGGATTTCAGAATGGTGTGACTTCTTGTGTTTATGTTTACCAGGGGAAGAAGTAAAGAACCCCACAAAAGCCATCCCAATGGGGATTGTTCTCTCTCTGCTCATCTGCTTCTTAGCCTATTCCGGTGTTTCAGCTGCCTTGACCCTGATGATGCCTTACCACCTTTTGGACACCATGAGCCCTCTGCCAGTGGCTTTCGAATACAATGGATGGAGCATGGCCAAATATGCTGTGGCTGTGGGGTCTCTCTGTGCTCTGACCACCAGGTAAGGACAGGATGTGCAATTTTCCCCATGCTTGCATTTTAAGGATATAAGAAGAGTGTTGCTGGATCAGACCAAGGGTCCATCTAGCCCAGCAGTCTGTTTCCAGCAGAGGCCAGAGAGATGCTTCCAGGAAGCTCATATACAGAGCATAGAAGCAACATCCCTCTTCCCCACTGTTTGCTCCCCAATTAGTGATATTTAGAGGTTCTGTTTATCTAACATGATACTAATTGACCTTGATAGACTGGTGTTCTATGAAGTCATCTAATTCACTTCCAGGGCTGTCACTGTATCCTGCGGCAGTAAGTTTTATAAATTAATGGTACCTTTTGTACCTTTTGGATCAGTGTAATTAGCTGACCCCACACTCTAGTATTATAAAGGGAAAACACAGTAATTTTCCCTCTCTCATTCCCCCCCTATAATTCATAATTTTATAAAACTCTACTATCATGTCTGCCCTTGGATCCTCTTTCTTCAAAGCTCTGGTCCTCTGGGTCATAAAGATTTCCATTTATGATGATGACAATCATAACATCACTTTGTGTGTCAGGCATGTTTTGTGCACCAGCTACCAAGGTGCAAACGTGATTTCACTCATGAGCAGAGATGGAGCTTTGGGGTACAATGACCTCAAGATCTACACCGCTCTGATAATAGCAATTAATAGTTTTAAGACTCATTTCAGCTGAAGCACTAGGTAGATCCTGGAAATTTGTACTATATGCTTTATAAAGGTCTGCTTTATTGTGTGTAATGCAAGGTCTCTTGTACATCTTGTTGTACAAGAGTCGGGTAAAGGAAAGAAAGAAGGGGCTATGATCTTGAGAATTTTCTTCACTTTCTTGGCCTTCTTGTGTAGCTTGCTAGGTTCTATGTTCCCGATGCCACGGATTTTGTTTGCTATGGCCAGGGATGGACTCCTCTTCCAATCTTTGGCCAAAGTGAGCAGCCGACAGAGCCCAGTGATTGCAACTTTGGTGTCTGGAGCTGTCGCAGGTATGCATGGAAAAAGGCTCTAACATTGACTAGACCTCAGAATGAACCTGCCAGTAGACACTGGACTAAGAATCCTGCTTTGGACTTGATCTAGTTTAAATATGAAATAAGGAACCTAAGAAGACCCCTGCTGGGTCATATTTGGGTGCACACATAATCCAAAGCAAGTATGGTCAACATTGTGTCCCCCAGATGTTGTTGGACTCCAATTCCCATCAGCACCATTCACCATGGTCAATTGTCAGGGATGATGGGATTTGGAGTCAATAAACATCTGGAAGGCGCCATGTTGGTTTTCCCTGCTTGAAAGCAATACTAGTTGCTTTAAAAAAATGTTTGGAAACGGGACATTAGGCTAGCATTTCATCGTAGAGCAGGTCAGCCTGTGGGACTGAATGTTAGACTGCAAGAGTTCCTTGACCTTCCCCATGCCAGAAGCAGGTGGATTCCAAGGTGTATCTCCATATGCTTGTAAAATGCAAGCTTTTCATTAGTGACTAGGGCCTGTTCCCCTGCTTGCTTTGCTCACCAGCATTATCTATTCCCACAACCCACCAACCCTCCCACCTCAACCCCTTCCTCCTACCTTCAAACTTGGCCAACTTCTCCTGCCGCTATACCTAAACAACTCCCATCCACCCCAGGCATAATTCCTCGCCTCTCCTTGATCACATTTCCATCCTCTGGGTCCCTCTTCCTCACCTTGCCTTGGCTGCCTCCTGCTCACCTGCCTGCATCGCCATCCTCTGGTTCCATCCTTCTCTCCTTGCCCTGCATATCTGTCCTCTGGATCCCTCCTCCTCTCTTCTCCTTTCTTGCTCCACCTGCCTGCCTGATGGTCTGGCAGCTCATCACACTGAAGTTCGCAGTGCCGCTTGTCTGTGACTTCCTTATAATTTTATATATTAGAGAGAAACAGAAAGAGACTCCAGCCATGGAGCCCTTCTCCTCATGAAGAATGAATCCATTGAGCCATTTTTGTGGTTCCTTTCTAATATTGTCTTGGATTGAATGTGGACAAGGTAAAGCAATCATTTAAATGCTCCATGTTATAACCTCATATCTCAGTTTCAAGGAGACTGCATTGGAGTGCCAAACTGGACACATGAGAGACCACTTAGGTGTACCTTCCACATTTAGCTTGATGAAATGTTATAGCTGACAAAAAAGTCACTATGGATAGATGTCTTTTCTTTTTCTCTCTTTTTTTCTAAACAAGATTATGTAAATTGCCCCTCTGTCAGGATGCTGTCAGCGGCTCCCAGCTGGTTGCCCAGGAAGTATAAAGACAAGGAAAAGTTTCTTACTGTCCTTTTTTATTCAGTATTTACAGAGAGAGGCTATAGAACCCAGCCTCTTGGATAGTGGTGATGTCCTGAGTAAATCCCCACTCCCCGTCTCTCCCACTTCCTCATTCGTCACTTCTACGGTTGCTGCTATGTGCCCTTTGTCTTTGAGCTTGTTGCTCTCCTACTTTTAAGGCTCGCCGGGTTCTGGGAGAGGGAGGGGCTGGGATGCTTTCTAATGATACCGTGTCAGCCAGCTGCTGTTCCGATTGTGCCTCCTCCTCCTCCTCTCCCATTATTTCCCAACTTCCCCCCTCATCTGCCTCTGAGCTATGACGTTCCAGAAACCACTGTTGTAAATCTATACTGTCTTCCTCTTCTTCCTCCCTGGGAGGGTCAGGATGGGGAGGCGGTCTCCACCATTTCTCCTCTGCCCAGTCCCTGACACCCTCGTTGAAAGGAGGTCCCCAGACCTGTACTCTCCTTGACGGGAGGGAAGCTCGCTGGGAAAGGGTTTCTGCAGGAGACCAAATCTTCATCTACAAGGCTACAAGAATTAGCAGAAAATATTTGGTGGTGTTTTTTACAGGCCCTCTTCCTTCTTCTCACAGGTTTAATGGCTTTCCTTTTTGATCTGAGGGCCTTGATTGATATGATGTCCATTGGGACATTGCTGGCCTACACACTAGTAGCTGTCTGTGTTCTTCTCCTCAGGTAATGAGTTGTTCGTTATTTATTTCTCTTTGATGCAGATATGCAGTGCTCATCATGACAACATCCCATGTAATATAAATGTCATTCTAGAGAAGTAGCTTCATTGGTCTGTTTTACTTAAAAAAAAAAGACTCTCCACCTATTGTAGAATAAATAAAACACCTTCTGGAGCTGGCTTCTGAGGTAGCTATGGAGAAAATGGAAGCAGGGCAGTCTTTATTCCAGATTAGTTAATCTAGAATACATGTCTGTGGCTCTTTCCATTATCAACACTGTCTGCACTCACCACTGGCATGAGATCTCCAACAGGCTACCCCTGATGAAATGCAGGGGAAATAAAAATTGGCTGGGTAGAATTTAAAACTATGCTAGACTAACTTCTATTTTACACATTTTAAACAGCCATGGCATTAATCCAGGGCAGGCCCTTGCCATACTGACAGTGATGCAATTATTTAGCAGCTGTTTAGTCTGCTTTGTAACAATTATCTCCTTGAAACTAGTAAAATATCAGTGGGAACAGCCTTTGGATTTCTCAACCACATGCACAAGTAAATGATAAAAGAAGAAAGAACAATTCATCATAAAAGAGATTATTCAATCGCAAGGCACAGTCTGCAAGGCCTCCTTTCGCATCTCTTTGTTCAGAATCTTGTTGAATGTGAGTGAATGTCATCGTTACCTTCTCTGAGGCTTTCTTTGAGCTGGACATTCTTGGAAAGCTTGCACTGCCAAGACCTTCTACTGTCAGCTAGTGACGCTGCAGATTCCACTGACAAAGCAATCTGGACGAAAGGCAGATACTAACTGATGTGTTCATTGATGTTTAACTTGCTTTGCAGGTACCAACCTGATCCCAGCTCCCTTGGCCCACCAGAAAAGAAAGGTCCAAGCAGAATACCTTGGGTGGACCTCCTCATCCATCCTCAGATGATCCCGAACCACAGCTCCTCCACACTAGTGTCCCATTCTGTGCTTGTCATTGGTGAGTACTGGAGCATCAGCTGGAGGGGGGAATGCAGTTTGCATTTGCAGGCAAACTTGCCTGATTCAGGCTTTGGGAAATGATACTCGGCCGCTGTAAAAATTTGCACTTCTTTGAATTTTGCAGTGTATACAAGTTATGCAGTGACCAAGCAATGTATACATCAATGCATTAGGTAATGGAAAATATAAATATTAGGAAAATGTGCTTTGTAAAAAATGTGTATATGAGGCAACTTTGCATTTAAAAAGGTGGTACTATCAGAAGAAAATTCTCACTGAAAAATGCAGGTGAACTTTCATGAGGGTGTAACGAAAGAAATCACAAACTGATGTGGAAATTGAACTTCAGATTGGAAAAATAAGAAATGAGGTCTTTAAGTTAAGGGAGCAGGATGAAACCAAGCAAGGAGCTGTTAACTATAAAGAATCGCCCTGCTTAGTTATTACAGACCTCACTTGAAACAAGCACAAATAACCGGTTCATAACATTATCCGGTCAACTGAGCCTTGCCTTTTTGATTAGTTCTCTTCCAGTGCACTTGTTGTGGTGCATGGGGTGGTCTTTTGTTCCAGGAAGATGCCCCCTGCTTCCTCACAGCATGGTTTTCAGAGTCCATTTTCTCTCCAGCTGTCCTAGTCTGCATCACGTGTGTGCTGAGCGCAGCAGGACTGCCATGTTTGTTATCTGGAGGTGCCTGGTGTGTCACCTGCCTTGTTCTCCTCTTCCTGGGGATTCTGGTGGTGTCCCTAATCATCTGGAGGCAGCCGCACAGCCAGAAGACAGCAGACTTCACGGTAAGGAAGAGACTTCATAATTGACACTGCCTAGCAAGCCTCATGACTATGTTTGACGTGTTGTGAATGTTCACGGGAAGCATGCATCTACCTGGGAGTAACTCAACACATAGGATTGCACTATAAGGGTACGTAGAGAAATTCCTGTCAACAGGGGGTTTTCTGTGTGGGGTGAGATCCACTTCTTACCACCTTTGCTTCTGACCTGAGGGCTGTTTATCTGCTCCTCATTGTCCTCCTCTTCCCAATGCAGCCTGTGTATTGTGTGTGTGTGCGCGCGTGTGTGCACGCCAGCTTGCCAATATCCTCCTTAAATTGTAGTAAACTGGGCACAGCATTCCAGGTGTGGGAGTACTTTTCTCCCTGCATGCTCTCTCAGAGTTACCAAGGGCCATAACAGGGAATAATATTCTTTTTCTAACGTTCATGTCTAATCTCAAATTATCTCTGCACTCCGTTTAGGTTCCCTGTCAGCCATTCTTGCCCATCCTCAGTGTCCTGGTCAATAGCTACCTAATGGTCCAACTCAGCGGTGACACCTGGCTTCGGTACATGGTGTGGATGGCTATTGGTAAGCCTTTAAGAAATGTGCCACAATTCAGGGAACTTCAGGAAATAATAATGATTTGGAAAGTAAGTGTCATCTGAATTTATTATAAGGCAGTGCTACCTAGCTCTTATCAGGACTAATACAAGATGGGCATCAGGTTTGGCAGTGCCCTGGCCACCACGGTGGGTGTGTTTGGACCCCCTGGTCTTCCTTCTTTTGCCAGGATTAGGCAGCACAGCAGCAAAGATGCTGGTCTAGCTGCTGAACCAACCATTGCATTTTCTAATATTTTGCTCCTTCTCATGGAATTGGTTCATGCATACCTGGTGGTTACTTGATGACTGCAGTATCAGCACTGTACCACACCTGAGGTGGAGCCAGGCAGCAGGGTATGTAAATTAAATAGCACTGATGTGTTTAAATGGTCCACCATTGATCTAATTCTAGAGACAGAGCTTTCACATCACACTGCATTGCCTCAAATGCAGTGCTTTTCAACAGAGACAGTTCAGATGTTCAACAAGGCATGTCAGTCAGCAAGCGCCGAGTAACTAAGAGAAATCAAATTAAATCCATGGATGTGTGAATGAGTTCGTGAAGGAATTTGTGCCTAGAATATTACAGTTACAGAAGAGCATTTCATCTATAGGCTAAATCAGGGGTAGCCAACAGGGTGCCTTCCAGACTTTGTAGACTACAACTCCCATAATCCCCTGGCATTGCCCATGCTGGTGGGGATGGTGGGAGTTGTAGTCCAAAACATCCGTAGGGCACCAAGTTGGCTAACCTGAGCTAAATGTCCTGATGTGATTTCAAATGAAGGAGCTTTCTCTAATACGGATATATTTGTGAGGGGGAGGGTCTATCTGGGGCATTGTTGGTTCACCTTGTCCTCTTATGTGCTGTAGGCTTCCTAATTTACTTTGGCTACGGGATCCACCACAGTGCAGAGAGATCCAGCCACCAAGATCCATCCCCAGAGAAGACAAAGCAGGCAACAAGTGACATGGATCCAGCTGTCACCTGGGAAAAATAGCTCTGTGGTGTGGAGCAACTATCTTCCCTGGTGAAAGGACTTCATAAGAATGGGATTTCACCCTTCCCTTAACTATCTATAGATGTGTCTATTTGTAGCACTCCAACCTGGTGCTCTCCAGATGTTTTGGACAACAACTCCCATCAGCTCTGGCCAGCGCAGCTAAACTTGCTGGGATTGATGGGAATTGTAGTCCAAAACACCTGGAAGGTATGAGGTTGAGGAAGGCTACTCTTGAGCGATACAAATAATTGGATACTCACAGTTAAGTAATGCATGCAATTCATATCCATTGGCTGAGCTGGTGTAGCATTGTGGCTGAGTTCACCAAGCTAAGTTAATGGATGCATGGAACAAGGTTCGCTGGTGCAACGGGACCTTTCCCTACCCCCTAAATCTGCTCGGCAGAGTTTGGGGAAGCCACGGAACAGGTTTAGCATGGACCAGGCGGAGAAGTCTCATTGCACAAGTGGATCTTGTTCTGTACCCCCATTTAGCATGGTTTTGTTAGACAAGCTACAGTTCCCACAGCTTTGCTCCTCGCCTCCCCAAATCTGCAATGTGGGGATAATGGCAATAACAGTGGCACATCTGGTTGTGCAGGCTTATAAGCCATTCGGGAAGTCTCCCTGCTGCCCAGTTGGCATTGGCCTTCCAAGGTATGGAGAGTAGCTGAGCTGGCAGCAGAGACACCTCTGATGGGCCACATCCCGTCACTCCCTCATGTGATTCTAATCACATGGGGGAAGCTGAATATCCAAAGGGAACTCCATCTAGAGCCCAGCACCAAATACACACACTTCATAAAGGCAATCAAATGGATGGCAGACCCGGCCTATACTTGGCAACGGGTGTTTCCTAGGGCTACCACTTTCCAGTGAGGCTGAGCAAAAACCTGGCTGGACATACTGTACCTGAAAAAGAGAAGGACCTCATGTTCCAGAGAGGGCAAAGCTGGGCACTGTAGTTTATCCCAAGTTCATGCACAACAGACCTCTGTCTTCTACTGCTCGTCCAGTTTTGCTTGCTGAAATTTGAAATGCGCTTTATCCCGCAGAAGTGTCTGTAATTGTCCATTCCTTGGGGTTTGGGAGCAAACAATGCTAAAGTTGTGACAAACTTTGTTTAGACCATCTGTTACAAATTCCCCATTTTCACTCATCTAAAACTAATAAAAAGGAACTTTTATTGTTGTTATCATTTATTATCTTACTATTAATTGATAAAAGTCGCAGCTTATTGATTGAATCATGCATGCGCATGTTTGCTCAAAAGCAGGTTGCTGCACGTGCTTTAGTATCACAGGTTTCCCTGAAGTTACTCGCAGAATGGTGGCACAACATTCCATTATTTACTTCAGTCTGTTGCTTGTGATGTGCCAAAAAACTTTTCCTGTATTTTTTTGTAACCATTGCCCCATCAATTAATGAGCAAATATATTGCTACCATTTAACCCTCTGTTCTATTCATGCTCATTACCATTACAAATACTGACTTTGGGTGCGTCCAGGTGTCATTCTAATGGTTTGTTTTAGACCAGGCATGGCCAAACTTGGCCCTCCAGCTGTTTTGGGACTAGAACTCCCATCATCCCTAGCTAACAGAACCAGTGGTCAGGGATGATGGGAATTGTAGTCTCCAAACATATATATCTATATCTATACACATAAAGTTTATAAACAGTGAAGGGTACAAATCAGTTTTTTAATGGGGGGGGGGATCTGAAGGTTCTTTTTTTGATCTGGTCAAGTGGAAATCCAGATAAGAAACAGGGGCGGGATTCACCTCATTGAGTCCCGTCAGAGTAAGCCCTCCTTCACTTGCTAAAAAAGGAATTTCCCTTGCCTCCACCTGTACCCTTCTGTACCCCAGATTGGCTCTGGGGTGGTCAGGGGTGTGAGGGAAGGAGAGGGAGGATTGTTCCATCTGGCCAGCTGCAATGCTTGCAACAACAAGTTGTTCACCATAGTGTGACGTTTAATTTCACCTTAGATACTTATGTCCCAGACTCCCAGTTGTATAGTCACAGCAATATACTGGTAAGCGCTCTCTCTCTCTCTCTCTCTCTCTCTCTCTCTCTCTGTGTGTGTGTGCCAGCGTAACTCCAATTTAAGCAGAGTTTAAGACAGATTTACCAGTTATATGTGCATAATATGTCCAGTATATCAAAAGATCTGCCATAAGACATTCACTTTAAAGATGCTGTAAAGCATTCATATTTTAATTTCTTTGTTACATTTGTAGACTGTCCTTTCTTCAAGGATCTCATCTTAGTATTCAGAGGATCTGATGAATATCTGCAGCTTTACAGCATCTCTGGAGCTGTACTGGGAGGAGGAGGGTGGGAGAATTTTGGTTCAATTCCTATCTGGTCCAGGGTTCCTGAAACAATATGTATCCTAAAATGCAGCTATATATTAGTGAAAGTAACATAGAAGAAATGCATCAAATTAAGGGAAATTGCTTAAGGGAATAGTATATTGGGCAAAATATACAAAAATGTGTCTCACTATGAGAAATTCAAACTGAAACTCTGAGAAATTTCTATAAGGACTTTTAAAAATAAACAAATCTCATAATGATGTGTAAAATGTGGATAAGTGAATATTAGAGAAATGAAGAACTGAGAAAACAGAAATGAAGAGACTCTTCCATCTCTAATGGAGAGAGGCACTGGTCCTCGCCTGAGCTACTTTCATTAAACCTAAGAAACATCAACTACTTTCTCTGCCCACCCCCCGCTGCTTTCTGTGGAATGCATCTGAAAAGGGATCAGCCATAATAATTTGTAATTGGAAATTGTTGGTTTTAAGCCTGGAGCGCGTCTGACAGAGTGCTGCACTGAATAGGCCTATTCACCTCCCCTGTAGGATCCTGACCCCTTGCGGCATTCATGTGTGAAAGGGGTTTTGTTGAAAGGGGCAAGCCATGAGTTTGCTTTGCTTTGAAATCTCCTTCCTACCCTGTACTACCCACCCCCTCGCCTTCCCCGCCCACCAAGGAGAACACTTGGGTGTGAGATTTCTTCTAAGCTGTGGAAGTTGCAGCAGCACATAGCAACTTCACTACTTGTAAACTGGCTGTGCAGAGACACATTTTCTTGTCTCTGGTTCGTCCCAGGATGGATTTCAAAGTGCTGGCTGTTTTGAGCTGCTTCACCCTCCTCTTTGTTTGGGGTAAGTCATGTTTTCCTTTGTCCTTTGTCCCTCTGTGTTCCTACGATTCCTCTCCCTTCTCTAGCAGAAAAATAAATGTTAAAATGCTCAGGGCATTTCTCCATTTCCCACACAAGGAATTTCTTGTGGGGAGCATGAACACCCACAGCCTCTCATTGCTGCTGTGCACCAGGAGCCAATCTGGGGTAGAGATCAGCTCCTGAGCTTTGACCTGGCCTTGGACTAGATTGCAAGTGCAGAATTCCTACATGTCCAAACAATGGGGAACACTGCTATAAATATGGGAAGGGTAGAGGCGTATCTAGGCTCCTTTGCACCCTTGGCAAGGAGCTGTATTGGCACCCTCCTACAGAAAATACCCACTTTACCACAATAATCACATTAGAAATTACTACATTTTACATGACCCAAATACTCCAAGCATCCAGAATGAGGGCAATGCGAGGAGGAAGGGCAAAACAACCCCAAATGCCCTTGTGTCGTGGTGCAAGAAGGATAGGAAGTTTCTCCCGCTTTTGATCTTATCATTGCAGCATCACTGTGTTGTCACACAGTGACACTCCATAGTCTGATAGGTCCTTTTTAGGTACTTGCCCTTGCCCCGAACCAACCCCTAGGTACACCTCTGGTGAAGGGGCAGACCAGAGAGCAAAGCTACTCAGCAAACTTGCAGAATCAACATCCGCCAGAAGATTTGCTGAACATGATATATCAGGACTGTTTGAGAATGTCATGGTTTGGGTGGACTATACTTGCAGATACATGCATTTTGCAAAGAATCCAAAATTTTAACTGAGGTTTTTTAGAGCAGGAGAAATTCATTCTGCAGGCAAAGATAGGAAGCCTCCTTTAAGGCAAGATGTTCTGTGAACCCCTAGGCTGCCAACTGGTTCCAGTGCTTGTGGATCTCATTTGAGCTCAAGTCCAGAGAAGCAATAGCAGATGGTGTGGTGGGACCAAGTACTTACCTGACCTCCTGTCAGGTGAGTCACTGGCTGCTGCTTGCCAGGAGGGGTAAGGTGGTAGCAAGGTCTGTGGGGTGCAAATGTACCAGTGGAGCCAGTTGGGGGCTCTTGCCCATGCATGTGCACCATGCCACCGCCAACCAGGTGCTCTCCAGCAGTTTTGGACTACAACTCCCATCAGTCCCAGCCAGCACAGCAGCACTGACAAGGGCTGATGGGAGTTGTAGTCCAAAGCAGTTGGAGAGCACGCACTTGGGAGAAGCTTAATATCTGTTAGTGTATTGTGTACAGTGGTACATCGGAAGTCGAACAGAATCTGTTCTGGAAGTCCATTTGACTTCCAAAACATTTGGAAACCAAGGCACGGCTTCTGATTGGCTGCAGGAAGCTCCTGCAGCCAATCGGAAGCCGTGGAAGTCACGTTGGATGTTTGGGTTCCAAAGAACGTTAGCAAACTGGAACACTTATTTCCAGGTTTGCGGCATTTGGGAGCCTAAACGTTTGACTCGTAAGGTGTTTGACTTCCAAGGTAACACTTTGTATTCAATTGGCAATAGTCCTGATAGGTGTGGCAAGATGACGTTCATGAATAGAAAGTTTTAAAAAATAGGATTGGTGCAAGAGACTGGTAACACCAGTCCTATATCATGTATATATGAAGCGAAGGTCAAGGCCACTACTGTAATGTTTCATATAAATGTTTCTCTTCATAGCTGAATGCCAAAAAGAAAAGCCTTCCAAAGCTTTGGAGAAGGCAGCCACGAAGGAGCTGAAAGTTGGTGGCTCCAAATTTCCCAAAGTGCCAAGTAAAAAACTTAAACAGGGGACTCCCAAGTTTCTAAAGAAAAGCCAAGTTAAAGCCACGACTGTTCCCAAGGAAGGCAAGCTGACCATTCTGACAAGGGCAGTGGCAAAGGGGCAGTTCCAGAAGGTGTCCAACACGTTGGTGCTAAGAGCAGGCGAAGCCCTCGACTTGCGCTGCAAAGGAAAGGCGGTCAAATGGAGATACCCTCCTTACTTGGATGACGACGACGTGGAGAGGCGACTGCGGTGAGCATATTGACGGCAACTGTTTGTGTTGGGTAGATGTGACGTGGTCTTGCGTTCAGTGGTGAATGTGCTTATGGATGGAATGTCCCAGGTCTGGAGGGGAAAGCTCTTCCTTGCCTCATCTTCGCCCTTCTCTCTTTCAGAATCAAACACTTTGAGAGGCACAGTCAGCTGACTGTCGCCAATTCCACCGCGGCAGACACGGGCGAGTACAGCTGCTGGTCCTTCCAGTGCCGTGACAGCGAGTGTCGCGATGGAGAGGACAAGATGGGCAAAACATTCATCTTCTTCACAGGCCAGGCTTTTTTCTTGGTTTAAGGTGGTGGGGGGTGGACCTCTTCCTCCCTGCTTCTGGTCTCCCCTTTCCTAGTCATTATTTCCTAAGACACCCCCACACACTTATGAGGGTCACTTGACAATACTGGGCAGGGCCAGAAGAAAACTGGGTGGAGCTGCAAATGTGAATATTGCGTCTGTGCAGTTGGCTACTTTTAAACACGCTTACAGCACCACCAGCCATCCTCGGTCCATGCATATTCCATCAGGAGGGTGAGAGGAGGGCTGGTAAATGAAATGGCCTGGGGATTAGTCCAAAGATGCCATTTCAAAAGCTGGGAACCCTTTTCGTTGAGAGGGCAGCATCTTTTTTGACAAATGATTGCACGTGGATTTTCTAGAGAGGCTATAGATGACAATAATGTATGGCGCTGCCCAGGAGAAGACACTGTCTCTACACATCCAAACGCCCCTTTCTGTTTCCCCCTCAGACCCTCAGGAGCTATTTGTGCCCACAGAAGATTACTATGAAGTGATTCAGCTGCGTACAAACCACCCCACCCTGCTGCCATGCCAGGTGACAAATCCAGCAGCCAAAGTGACGCTGCACCGGGAGTTCCCCCCCGAGAAAGTGCTTGTGGATGGACTAGACATCTCGCATGATGTGAAGAGGGGCTTCATCATCCACCGCCCACAACCTTCCCATGCTGGCTCCCTCTTCTGCATGGCCAATGTGGATGGGGTGAGGCAGATCTCCACAAAATACATGCTGATTTATGTGAACTGTAAGTTGCCTTAACAATTAATCATCTATCTCTCTATCTCCCAAGTGTGTGTATGTGTATAGGAGAGAGAGGGAGAAAGAAAAGTCTACCAATCTGCTTGCCTTTTTCATTTTAATGTTTTTTAAAACACAGCTTGTCAAATTCAGATTAATTCAGCCCAAACTGTCCCAAAAGGGTATGTGGCTGCTTTAGAGATCAAACAGTTCATCAACTCATCAGCTCATCAAACAGTTCCATTCTTTTGAAAAAGGGAATGTGACTATGAGAATGCAGGTGTGTTCTTTCTATCCAAGGGATGTGCTTATGCCGATCAAGGAAAAGGTGTCTTGGTTTGCTGACCACAGGTTGCAAAGGAATGCCCAAAACTGATTCTAACCTAATTTAAAATGATTTATATACAACTCCCAGGCAATCAGGACCCAGGCAGAAGGGAGTGGGAAGTATTGTCACTTTCCATGATGTCCACTGAATGAGGCCTTTTTCTCCAGGCAAGAAGTAATTCTGATTCGGCAGGGACCTGTCAAAGTTTGGAGTCATTATTCTATCAGTGACACCTTGATGCAAATCTTTGCCCATTGCTGGACTTGCACAAAGGCTACCAGTCAGATTTAGAAGGCTTCACAGGCAAGGCCTTGTCGCAGAGCATCACTAAGGCCAGAGAGAGTGTGGGAGAGGCCTCAGACTCAGGATCCACTGCCCCATTTCCATTCAGCCTGTGCTCCAAGTGGGAGAACTGTAGAATTTCGCTATGCCATGCCTATCTAACAACTCCACAAGGAGCAATGCGGCAGTGGCAGAAACTCATGCCTATATGCTGATTTCTCTTGGTGTGTGTTTTATTTCCAACTCTGCAGATCCTTCTTCAGTTCCCAAGCCAGCTATCAGAGCTTCAGTGGCCTCCTTCCATGTTGGAGACAATTTCAATGTCACATGCACTGTCTTTGGGGAACCAGAAATTGCTGTCGATTTCACGTGGGAATATCCAGGACAGCAAGTAGGTAACAGGTTGCTGATGGGGTGAGTGGGTGTGGGATAAGAAAAGTGGCTTGTACTGTAACAGTACGGGTCTTTTAAGCCCGTCTCCTTTCCTGTTGATCTGTGGAATTTCCCCCTTAGAAATTGAACAAAGGTTAGCCAAACCCACAAACCTAGCCAATGAGAGCATACAAAGAAAGACAAGCTGAATAATGATTGGCCTGACCTCCTCAAATGAGTAGGCCAGAGGCAGAATGAAAACATAAATTGTTTCTCTGCAGATAAACACCAGGCAACCTTGTCATGCACTTTGCATGCATCTGAATAATTTCCAAGTTACAGGAGTGGGTGCTGCTAGAATTCCACACACTGGAAAAAGCCACTGCTAAACTCTCTTGTGCACTGACTACCATGTGCTCTGCCATGTTTCTCAAATAATGTCCTTCCTCACTTTCAGATTGGCAGACCACCCTACGTTCGTGAACGCACAGATTTGGTGCGACGTGGTGGGCAGGTGCAGCAGGAATCCGAGAGCATCCTTTACGTTGATGAAGCACGTGCTGTGGATGATGGTTTGTACACCTGCACTGCTGAGAATCTGCAAGGAGGCACTGCAGTGTCCACCCGCATTCGCTTGGTTCCAGCCTCACCAGCCCCAAAGAAGGCAAAGTCTGGGTAACCGCCTCTGGTCCTGCATTGCTGAAAGTCCAGGTCCTACTGGAAATCCAAAGACTAGAGGCTGCCATCAAAAACCGAGGGATAAACAGTTGCCTTCTTTTATTTTGTCCTTTACCCTTTCATGTTTGACTCATTAAAGTAGCACAAATCTTTTTGAAGCAGAAGCAGAGTACCTTTTTGCTCTCAGGGATATTGTGAAAGACAGGAAAACGCTCAAAGATATTCATGACTATTGCCAGAAAAATGCTGTCTTGCGAATTCTGGCTCTGTGTGAACATCTTCATTCACAGGGTCAAACAAGATTATTGAGATCTATGATCAGATCTCACCTCTCTTTAAATGTTATATATAATCAGCCTGGAGAAACTCCAGATGGGATTGAGACCATTTGTCTGGTTACGGAGGGTTAACCCTGCAATTTTCCCAATTAAGATCCCTGCCAGCAGCTATACGCCCTGTTACGGCATATATGCATGTACATGCAACAGCAGTTTCAAAGGCAGATATGCATGAGCAGAATTTCAGTAAGTAGGTGATTTATTTATTTTTTAAAGCCCTCCAGCACTACAGTCCAAATCTGTAATACCCACATCCATATCTACCCCGTAGGTCCTATTGGACAAAATGTAGAGCTGGGAGTTCTTGCCATCTCATCTGCTCTGGCCCTTGTGGAGATGGTAAAACCTTTATCAGGTAGCAATTTGCATCACTGAATGCTTCTTTGTAGGAAAAAAAGAAAGAAAGGAAAAAAGGCCTTCACAAAGAAAATTTAAGAGAGAAAATTAGAGGTAGAACAACCAGAGATTTTCCAGGAAGACACTGACATTTTGGCAACATCAGTTTATTTTATTTTTATGACTTTACCCAGTTTATGATGTCCATTTTCATCTGTACTTCTTAACTGGTTCTAAGTAACAAGTTTCAGGATGCCTGTTTTTCCTCTCTAGGTCTAAGTAGCCAATTTTAGGTGCAGGCCCAGTGATTTTCCACTGAACTGAAATGCTCTTCATTATAAAGTTTTTTACTAGAGGCTGCAGAGTCTTCAGAAGCATCACCCATCAGGGAAGGGTGTTTAAATTCTTAGGCTTGGATCCAAGTGTTCCATGCGTGCAGCAGTGGGCTCCTATAAACCATCTCCCCAGACTAAATAGCCAGATGGAGAAGTCAGGGCTGTGTGTACACAGTTGTGCAGGTCCCAAGCATGTACTCAAATGTCCTGCTTAATTCAGAAGGCCCCACCTTCTATTGCATATGTGTAGGACCATAGTCATAGGAAGCTTCCAATTACATGTTGGGAGGCGACTGAGAGAACAGCTTTCAGTCTCCCCCTCCCAATTCTCATGACCTCCCCACCCCACTCTTCAAGAGCACACACATACACACAACATTGTTGCCAACAATCAGCATCACCCTACAGTCCCATAACTAGGAAAGAAGGATATGTACCAGGGGACCAAGAAATAAATCAAGAGGTTATGAGGATGGCAGAGAAGGAGGACAAACATTCCTCGCCTTATAAAGAACAAGTATACTTCAGAAATGGGAGGGAAAGTACATTTCATTCATTTGTACGCTGCAAGAAATTACATTCATTTTGCAACACTGGAAAAATTTCCACCAGCTGCCATTTTACAACTTTCACATGCTATTGCAGCAGGCTGAATAATATAATAATAAAACCTGTTATCATGAAGTGAACAAAAACACAAAACACCCTTCCCTGTTTGCTAACATAGAAATGAGAACGCCTGGATCAGATCCCCAAACTCTCATCAAAATAAGCACCCTCCTTTGTTAATAACTGTAAACAGAGCTCCTGCCCTTTGTCTCCTTCGCTAAGACGTACTTCACATATTTCATTAGCCAGTGATTTCAAGGTGCGCTTCTATGACGGAGGCTGCAATCCTCTACACACTTACCTGGGTGTAAGAATCAGTGAACTCAAGGGGGCTTACTTCTGAGTATACACTTTTAGGCTTATCCACTGGCCGCCTTGCAAAGTATTGAAAGCTGACATAAGTAATGGAGTGGGTCCTCTATTCTTCTGAAAAACAAGTGAAAGGTTTTATTCCTGTCATCCTTTCTTGGCCTGCTTCCAGCTCTGATTCTGGACTGGGTGGTTGAAGGCTTATGGTAAGAAACACCTTGCCTGATGGTGGCCACTACAACGGGTGAGTCAAGAAAACCAGCTCAATAGATTGAAAGAGCCACCTGGTTAATGCTACTCTATGCTATTCGTATCACCTCTTAAAGGTGCTTGACAGCGTTTGGATCTGGTGTCAACTTTGGCTCCCTTCACTGGGACTGCAGAGCCTTTGGGGAGCTTCTGTCCTGAGAACTGTTGGTTCAGAAGTCTTCTTCTTCTGTGCTGCTTCACTTCCAGGAAGAGTTGGTAGAGGTGCCTCTGCAGGCTGTCTCAGGCCTTCAAGTGCTCTGGGCATTATGCCTCTGAATACCAGTTGTTGGAAATCACAGGTGGGCTGAGTGGGGTTGTGTTCATGTCCAGCTTGAGACTTCTCACTAGCATCTGGCTGACCACATGAGAACAGGATGGAGGACTAGATGGGTCATTGGCTCTACATTCTTTCAGTTGGCTAGAGGCAACAACTTCCCCCCCCCAAAGTGTTGTTATTGCCCTTTCCCCCCTCACAAGTCCTCTGAGACTTACAGTGCAGACCCAGCACTACAGTCACCAGGGCCGTCTTTAGCAGATGCGGGGCTGGGGTGCAAATATCTGCCCAGTGCTCCCAAATTACCACGGATAGTGTTGGGGTGGCCGTAGCTGCACACTGCCAGCCATGGGGGGCCAGCACAACTCTCTCCCATGCCGCTTTAGGAGAGCGATCCCCGCAGAGGCTTGGGAGGCAAGCTGCACGCCAGTCAGCCATATGGTTGGCGGGGCGCAGCTGGCGGGCGTGCAGGGAAAGGGGAGGCCGCTGGCAAAGCTGTGCAGCTCCCCCACTTGCTGGGGCGCCCTTGAGAGGCCGGCGCCCTGGCGCAATGCACCACTAAGCCCAATGGGAAAGACGGCTCTGACAGTCACATCTACATCCTATGTTCAAACCGTTCTTACACACGTTTTTGTGGTGAATCCTGCGAACTGTAGTTTGTTAAGGGTGCTGCTGGTTACCATAGGTCTGTGTGGCCAGCACCCTTAACAAACTACAGTTCCCAGGATCCTTTGGAGAAAACCATGGCTGTCGTCTAAGAGTGCTTTAAATGTATGGTGTGGATAGATCTCAAATTTTGGACATCTTTGGGAAAGGGCACGTTGGTGAGGCTCTGTGGTCCCAATAGCCTACAATAGCGAAACAAGAAGAATATTTACCTTTTCCCAACCCCTGCTGCCGCTACAAGCGACACATAACATGCTCACCAGTGCTTACTCTCTGAAGAAGTGAGTTGTTCAGGGAGAGGGTGAGCAAGCTCCTTGCATTCGCAGGGCTATATAAAGTTTTGTCTGAGGAAGGGCATGGCTCAGTGGTTGAAAGCATCTACTTTACACACAGTAGGTCCCAGGTTCACTCCTTAACATCTCCAGGTAGGTCTGGGAATGTTTCTACTTCGAGAGCTGCTGCCGGTCAGTGTAGACAATATTGAGCTAGATGGACCAATGATCTGACTTATTATAACACAGCTTCCCAAGTTCTTTATGCCAAGTTGGATTACTGGTCCATCTAGTCCATACTGCCTATTCTGACTGGCAGCAACTCTCAGGTAAGGACCTTTTCCATTCTGGCTACCTTTATCTGGAAACTGGGATTGAATCTGGGACCTTCTGCATGCATGTGCTTTTCCACCGACACAATAGCCCCACCCCCATGCCTCAGAATCCCTTTAGCAGCACTAAGGCCAGATCAGAAAAGTGCTGGCATTAACTACAGTACCAGAAACTCAGTCACTTTGATTATTTCCACCCCCTCTGCCAATTCCCTAAAATCCACACAGAATTTGCTTCATAACTTACATAATAAATGCAAAAGAGAGAGAAAATCACTTTCAAAAAATAATAAAGCGGGTGAGAGGTTTTCACCAACACACACATATGAGATATTTACTGTGATCACTAGTTAGCAGTTTCTCACTCCCACTTATCATCACTCTGTCATACAGTAGTGACAGATTTTCCAACTGATACCATACCGAAATTTTGTGGAAAGCCTCAATTAGATACAGCATTATTACAAGCTAGCTGTGTTTCCCCAAGATAAAACCATTTCACCGCTGCAGACAGAGCTGCATTATACGTGAGGAATGACAAATAAAGGTTTGCCAAGACTGAGGGTTGGGTGGGATCCAATTGTTGGTTGGCCAAATTATTATTTCAGGAACTGAACACGTTAGCAAACAAACGTCACTGTCGCCAAGCCATGCTGCAGAAGCGGAACCCACGCCTTTGAGCTAGGCCTCCACAGCTCGCAACCCACTGGCTGTGATGCAGCCCACTGGATGTGAACAGTTGCCTAGTTTTGTCATCTATTGGGTACTTCAAAAATGAGTGCGTGCATGTGTCTGTGGGAAACACCTGGCACACCCAGTGTTCAGCTGGGTGGCCCACACGTTGCGGAGATCTGTGTCATGTTCTCTCAAGGCAACAACCAGCGGTTCACTGGCTTTTCCTGAGCGTCGCCACTGTGATGAGCCACTGTTTTTGTACTACATGCTACATTCACATACACAGTACAAACCACCATCTCCACGCAGGGAAGTATAAAATGCTTCTTGATTAGAATCAAGACATTTTACACACCCTTTGTCTCAATTCAAATCATCTTTTCTTTTTAAAAACAAAAACCCATAAAACAACCATTACGTGCACCTGCTATCTATTTAGCCTCTAGTTTCTCCAGCCAGGAGCAACTTCCGTTTCTCTGCAACTACTAGCACTGCTTCATCACAACCAGTGGAGGGCACCATCTTCCTTTTCAGCTTCTCAAGAAGCTAAATTGCTTTTTTAAAAAAGAAAAAAGAAAAAAAATCCCTTGGTTTCCAAAGACTTGCAATTTTAAGGCCATTTCCAATCTGTTGTTTTCTAAACTGACAAAGAACTCATAAAAGCAGGCAAAAATACCTTCTATTGAAAAAATATATTTTTTAAAAGGAACCAAGCCCAAGGAGGTGCCCGTTCAATTCTCTCCCAAGCCGTGTCAGCAGCTGCTTATATGATGCAGCAGTTTCAACACGGAAATGATGGCAGCCATGTGGGCAGGGATTGAACACATCCTGGAGGAGGGTATGTAAAAAAGATTATAGTCATCGAGCAGAGAAAATGACACAGCAGAGTCATTTTCTGGAGAGAGGGAAAGTTCTCCCAGCAACGCAGGAGCTGATAGTGGTGGATAAGTAGCTCCTTTGTGACTGGGTGAACATCTAGAATGCACCTCAACCACAGAAGTTTGTATCCATATTTTTGCCCGAGTTCTCCAAAGTTTTGCATTTAGGAATCAAAATGCAAGTTTGTGGTCCGGTCTGCCTCTTCCAGCTCAGACCAAAACATTTGTGGGCATGCAAACTCTGGTTCCTCCAAAACCTGGCAGATGAAAGGACGTTCGGATCTGGGCCTGCGCCTTCAAACTTCCATTGCCTCTCTTCTATCCTATGGCTTCTTCTCACCTACAGCTTTATCTACTGAAATCTTAAATTATGGGTTACTCGGATTCCCACCGTTTCTCCGCCATTTCTACCATGGCCCAATATATATGAGGTAGCAAGTCTTGCTACCTCCCTGAGGGGGTGGGGTGGGGCAAGACCCTTAGCCAGTGCTTAGTGGCATACACAGAAACGTCTTGGCTAGCATTAAAGCTGACCTCCTTTTGTGTGTGAGGGGATGCGGAGGAACCCCCCCCCCCATTCCTAAGGCAGGCCAATTCAACCTCTTCAAGTGTCACAAAACAACGAGGCCACCTATGGGAGGAAATCAAAGCACACGCAACCTCTGGAACCTTCCTTGCACCCGAGTGCCACTCAGCATGAGAGTTCTAGGTCTAGTCGACAATAGAGAGGCCTAGAACAAAAGGAAGGAGCCACCTCTCCCCTCCCTGCCCCATCCCAGTCTTTCTGGCCTATCCGAATGCTACGTAGCGATGAGTGTTGCCTCCGTGGAGATAGGGAACGGGTGGGGAGAGTCGCCATTCAGCACTCGGTACAGCAGCTCTTCCTTCTCCCGGTGAGCTTGCGCTCGCAGCTGCGACTCCTTCTCCAGGGACTCGCGGAGAGTGAGGAGCTCGTCGGACAGTTGCCTGCAGGGCAGAAGCACAGAGTCAAATGACTTTGGAGTTCTAGAACCAGTGGAGAGACGGAGGCTGGTGGGTCCAACTTGGACATGTAGCAGGGAACTGCGTTTCCCCTCGTCTTCGTCCCCAACTGTTTGCCGCTATGAAGACAGGAGGGAAGACTCCCTCTACTGAGATCAAAATGACAATCACAACACCCCCAAGTGGCCCCACTATGAGGAGGGGAAATTCCATATTGGTGCCAAGCTTTGTGGAGGGACCAATCTCCATTTAGGCCCCGGGGGGAGGTGAAGAGATATGCCTCCACTTCCATAGAGCCCCCACTTCCCATAGGCTGTCTTCACAATGGGAATCAGGCTCCCTTGCCCCTGTAAGTAAAAATAAACACATAGCAGGCAGCTACACATCTTTAGTGAGTGGCCTTCGGTTTTCATCATGCGCACTTTCTCACCTCTGTCAAATGAAGTGGGAAGATGTAATACCGCCACAGCTATGCTGTCTGTGCTGATCCTATCGCCATTGTTGTAATTATTATTTTGATTTATAGGGTTTCTTACCCACCCTTCTCTAGAAGGCCCAATGGTGGGTTACAACAATATAAAAACACAATTATTAGCGTCACTTAGAACAATGTACAGTCTCTGGTGGGCTGCATCTGGTTATGCAGGACAAGCACACTGAATCTAGGTCCTGACCCATTGGCTTTCCCTGGGTCCGCTTTAGGTGAACTGTCCCAAAGGCCCTTCACCAATGCTTACTGATGCTTACTGCAGCTGAAGGTCTCACCTTGTCACTGCCATGTGGTTCTGCATCCGAACTTGGAGATCTTCATTCTCCTGTTGAAGGGTTTTAACTTTCTCCTCGAGCAACAAATTTCTCTCCATCTGTAAGCAGGCCAAGGGTGTGATCAAACACCAAATGCAATTGCAACACAGTTCACCCCAGCTACAGGTATTCCACGCATGCAATAACATCAAGAAATCTCCCAATTAGGTATTTTAAAACTTTGTGGGAACATGTCCGCATGGAACCCCCTTCTTATTAAATATGTTGGAGGTTATGTCACTCGGGAAAGTCTGCAAGAGGCACCAAACCTGGTGTCTGCCCTGTCTCTGATTGCTGTGGCAATGTAGGCTTGTATGTAGTCTCTGCCAATTCAGCTCATGTATCTCTTTTAGTTCAGAGCTATCTACCCATATGATCCATCTACCAAGAAGAATTTCAGTAGTACAGCAGAACCCCGGTTTGTTTTTCAAGAGAGTTGCGGATGCTCAGCTCACTTCACAGGCAACTGAGCTGCAGTGGTGTCCATTTTAGCTCAGTAAGCATTTTCTGAACATGGAATTGCTTCCGTCAAACACAACTATGCTCCGTTCACCTAGATGTTTCTTCCCACAGACCTTAAAGGATTAATACACCTATAATCAAATTTTGTCTCTTTGGTCCTCTCCAGACATCCTTCATCCATGATGATTTGTGCTCATGATACTACCAGGAGAGTTTAATCCTTCCCTTTCTGCTGTGGTCCCAACAAAAATTCCCCACCTGAAGTGGCTAGTTGCACTGGAAGGGATGTTTCCACACTGGTGTTGATGGGAGTCTCTCTCTCAGGATAACAGCTTCCAAGAAAGTGGCCAATATTGTTGGGATAGTAACAGGATGGGGAAGCATATGAAATGAACCCCAAGTCTTCTCATGCATTATGCTCCTAATCCCAATTAAAAGAACATTCTCCACAGCTGCTATCCACATTTGAACTCACAAATTGTGAATTTAAATCAAGACACTTAGCACTGTGTGTAATTTGGCCCTGGTCTTGGATCCTGGTCTTGCTGGGGGAGAGGGGCAGTTTAAAGGCCAGAACGCAGGACTTGGAATGTGTTGTCTTCTGCAGGAAGCCACAGAAGTCTGGTGATCATGGTTCTGAAGAGTTTGCGGCCCTCCAGATGTTAGTAGGACTCCAACTCCCATCAGCCCCAGCTGGCATAGCCGATGGTCAGGGACGATGAGAGATGTCATCCCCCCAGACAACTGGAGGGTCAAAGGTTCTCCATCCCTGCTCAAGAGGAAGTGTTTGTGGTACTCAGAAATTAGCTAGTTTTGAACAGCAGAGCACAAGGTCCTCTCTGCAAGACCCCACCAAGTCTTAGGAATAGCTATGAAAAGGAGTACATTGAACCCACCACCGTTTCCAGGTTGAGTAGCTTTTTGTCCAAGTTGTGAATGCGTTCATTCTTCATCTCAATGACAAAATGTAGACTCTCTAGTTCCTGTTCCCAGAACTGGCTGGGACTCCCATAATCCTAGAAAACAACAGGGGAAATGACAAAATGCACCCTTAACTAGAAGGCTGGCAAAGCAGAGAACCACATTAGCAACAACAACAACAACTTATACCCCACCCATCTGGCTGGGTTTCCCCAGCCACTCTGGGTGGCTTCCAGCAAAATATAATAATTCATCAAATATTAAAAGCTTCCCTAAACAGGGCTGCTTTCAGATGTCTTCTAAAAGTCAGATAGTTGTTTATTTCTTTGACATTTGGTGGGATGGCATTCCACAGGGCAGGCGCCACTACCGAGACTACATCCAGGGGCTCACTGTCTCCCCAGTCATGTGAGAGACGAGGTCTACAATTCTAGATCCTATGGCTGGGAGTAAACTCCATGGAACTCACTGGGACGTCTCTCTACACATGATTAGAATTGCACTACAAGGGCTAATTTGCTCATACAAGTACATTATTCAGTGACTTGGAGATTAGCGAGTGCGCCCCCTCCACTGGGAAGCACTGCATTGAACAATGTTCTCCTTGTGGTGTTTTGTTTCATTACAACTGCTTTCACACATTCAAGTCATCACTCCATGTTGCGTTCATTGGGTGAGAGATCAAGTATTGCTTTCACTTGTAGAGGTGTCAAGTGGACTTTATTTGTGCTTATGGTAAGACAATGCCAAATGGATGCTTAGAACAGAAGTAGGAGTAAGCACTCTCCTCTTCCCCATTTTTCTGTTCAATAAGCATTGTTCTTTGGACCCATACATTGGCCTGGTTTGCACATCACACTAAGGACTCATCCACACTTCCATTTGCCCTGCTGCTTTCCTCTTGGAAAATCCACTGTTTACTGCCAAATCAGAGCAAGCATCTATCGGATTTAGAGCTAACGAGTGTGTTTTCAATGGGATGGTGGAGCAAAGGCAAAACCACTTGGACCAGTTCCTAGAAAGCATGGGAAAAGCAGAAAACCGCTTGGACCTCTGCTTTCCAAGCATGGGACAAGCATAAGTGTGGACAAGCCCTAAGTTGAACCACAACTTAGCTGGGATTCACAAGCAGGGATTATCATGGTTGCTCTGCTCCTCCCTGGTTTGCTTTGCTACTATGCTGAGCCAATCTATGGCTTGGCTTAGCAGGTGTCCTGAAACCAGGGTCATGGTTTAGCTCCCCTCAACAAACCATGAGCCAAAAACCATAGTACAGGCTTTGGATCCAACTTAGGGTTAGACTATAGAGAGCTAAATAAGTCCCAGTTCAGAGGACACACTAAGCCAAGCTATGGCTGAGCTCAAGAATGACCAAGGAGGAGCAAAGCAGCCACGATCTCCTCTCTAGGAGCTCACACACTCACATGTTTATGTTAAACCATGGTTCGGCTTAGCATTGCATGTGAACTATGCCACCCATCATTGCCTTTGTTTTCCCAGCAGTGAGAGAAGGAGGTAACATCTGTCTCTTGGTTATTAAACAGGTGGAGAAACCCCATCTAACTGATTGTGGCTGGTTTTGTTTTTTGGCACCTGGATGTGTTTCTTATAATCTCTGCTCAGGATTGACTCTTCCACCCGTTTCATTTTCTCTTGGAAGGACTTCATCTGGGAACTCAATCTGTCTACAGTCTCCTGGAGAAGAAATATGAGGCAGAATAAACTGGTGCTCCAGCAAGCATACTGACCCCACCACCCTAAGCACATGTGCATTATTCTGTATGCATTAATAACATTAATTATGTTCCAACACATTTTAGTGTGTTTATAGCCAGTAGCAGATATAACTCCCAAAGGCTAGGTAGCTATTAAATCCAGCAGGGCCCAGCCAGGATGATCCAGAATTATAAGTCCACAAAATCTGAAGGGAACCATGTTGACTGCCTCTGACTTGGAGCATATACAGAGTAGCAGCACCTGCAAAGATGACTGGGACTTTTGGTAGGATTCGGTCAGGAGCACTTTCTCTTGGTCATGTGCTTTCTGGAGTTCTGCAAGAGAAACAACAGACTGTGGTCAGAAGAAACCAGTGAGAGACACAAGCCCTGCTCCAATCCAGCCAGGGGTTCTCTTCAATACACAGCTGAGCACTAACACATCACACTGTTTGTCTCAAGAGTATATTCAGAGAACAAGGAGGACAGAACGTGAATGGAACTCAGTCTTGAAATCTTTGTGGTCATGTCTCTCTTCCCTCATTTGCACGTACTGGTAATTCTAAGCCAAACCAAATGAGCAAATCCTGCACGATCTCTCCCAGACAAACTACAAGTGGCAAAACCACAATTTCAACATGTGGTCTGCCTGGAGAGAACTAAACCAGATGATGGGACACTAAGCCAGGTCATGCCTTAGAGCAGCACAGCAGCAGAAGGACTAGGACAGATTCTCACATTCTCTCTCTCCCTCTCCTTCCTTCTGACAGAGATGCTCAGCATTTAGACAGAGAGGATGTGAAAAATTAAATAGGCCACATGGAGAGCCTAAAATGAATATGGAGTACCCAGCAGAGAACTGAAGCTGAACAATGGAAAATTGATTTAGGAACATGTTACAACATGGCATTGCTGAATGGCAGGGTGGAAAAAGTAGAGTCTCATGGACACACAGTATTTTAGCGGTGGTGTTGCCTTTTCTTGCAATACATCTATGACCAAAGTACCGTATTTTTCGCTCTATAAGACGCACCAGACCATAAGACGCACCTAGTTTTGGGAGGAGGAAAACAAGAAAAAAAATATTCTGAATCTCAGAAGCCAGAACAAGAGGGATCGCTGCACAGCGAAAGCAGCGATCCCTCTTGCTGTTCTGGCTTCTGGGATAGCTGCGCAGCCTGCATTCACTCCATAAGACGCACACACGTTACCCCTTACTTTTTAGGAGGGAAAAAGTGAGTCTTATAGAGCAAAAAATACGGTATTTCCAGAGGCCACAAATTCATTAATAACACTAACATTTAGTAGCTGGGAGCCAAGCACTTGGCGTGCCATTATTTCTGTAATCCCTCCTCTGGTCATTCGCTTTCCTCTAGACACGTGCTGTCTTTATTCCTTTTGACAATCTACTTCCCGATTTGAAGATGCTTCCCATCATACTGTAGGGAGGGCACTTTCTTTCCCCATCCATGTTGCTGCTACTACAGCGGCGTAGCATGGGTTGCTGGTGCCCAGGGCAGGCAGGGCAAATGAGAGGGTGAACGGAGCCCGCATCCAACAGGCTCCTCGCCCGCTGCCTCCATCCGCCTGCCCACTAGACCAACCTGCCTGCTGCCACACCTCAGCTGCCAGAGCTCCATGCCAGTCATGGGGGCGCCTAGTTGCACCCCCTCAAAAATGGTCCCCCTGCCCCCCCACGCTACACTTTTGCCACTTTTGAAAAGGGGAAGCAGATTGTGGCGAGTGGGGCACAGCAAGGGAGCCATGAGGAGGCAAGAACAGTTCTGGGAATGCCCGTGAACAAGTTCTTTCATACCTGGCCCAGTAGTGCTACAATGCCAACATAGAGCTCACCAAGGGAGGGAGCAGAAGTAACTTCACCAATATTTGCTGTAGAAATGAGTTTCCAGACAGCACGTAGATTAGGCCTCCATCACCAGGGTTGAGGGTCAGGAGCGGCCTACTCAACACTGTAGTGAGATTTGCATACCATAGCGCAGGGGTGGGGAAACCGCAGTTCTCCATATGATGTTAGGTACTGTAGGAACTCCCATTGTTCCTGACTGTCCAACGACATCTGGAGTACCACAGGTTTCCCAAGTGCTTTGATGCAAACGGAACAAAGCTTACATGTTTTGCAAGCAGGTTTTTTGGCTCTCACCTCGGAGTCTCTCTTCCTGTTCTTTTTTCAGCAAGTCATGCTGCTCAGAGAGTTGTTGCTTGCATTGTAAATCCTTCTCCTTTTCTATCTGTGGGTGGGGGGAAGGCACAGGCAATATTGCAATATTGTTAACAAATAATACTTTACTGCCAGCATTCTGCATGATATTTCACATCCCACACAGAGGAGTTTACATCATTTTAAGGCTGGAGACAGGCAGCAGTGTTCAAGGGGCCTGATTGAGAAACGCTAGCAAGAAGCATTGTTTACTGACTGTGGTGTCCGCACAGTGAAGTCATTCCCTTATTGCTTCTAGTCAAAGAGGGTGGGCAGGTCTCTAAAGCATGACAATAGCGGCAAAACCCCGTTTGACGTGAGACTATTGCAGGGCATGTCTACACCTCATGGGAAGAAACAGAGTGGTGTAGTGAGTGGACCATCAGTCTGGGATTGAGAAGTCAAATCTCTGTTCAGCCAGTGACCTTGGGCCAATCACTATCTCTCAGTCTATGGGATGGTTGTAGAGTGTGAATATCAAGATGGAGGTGGGGACACTCGTGGTTGCAATTTTGAATGCCTCAGAAAAAGATGGAGTTAAAACTAATAATTTGATCACGATGATGGTGATGATGGTGTCACCTTCATTCCCCCACCCATTTCCCCCCTTTCCTCAGGCCCCATATCAAACTGGAGAACTGGAATATAGGAATACGGCAGAAAAAGAAAGGACCTGGATGTCAAGGATGTGATCATATGGCTAGAGTTGAGTGTACATATGCAGCCCTATCTTATATATGTTTACTTATTCCAGTGATATTTATTCCCAAGTTAAGTGTGCAGAGGATGGCAGCCCTGTGGTACACATGTCTGCTCAGAAGTAACCACCAATGAGTTTTAGGGGATTTATTCCCAAGTTAAGTGTGGAGTGAGAGAATATTCACTGTAGGTCACTTTAAATTGTCATAATATGCACATATATTATGGCAAGGACCATAAGAATGAGCATTCAGTGAAAGGAATAGATGCTCTCCTACATCTGTTGAACATTGGAAATGGTGGCAAACTGTGTTTCAGGGAAGCTTGTCTACCTTGCCAGTTTTCTTCTTGACAAGGCCGCGATGGTCTTCCAATGCATCACCTCAGTGTTCTCTGAAGCACAATTTGAATTCCACTGGCCTGTAGGTGATTTGGGAGGAGGTTCTAGCACATGTTTCCTCCCCCTTTTCTAAGTGGTACATTCCATTCTATAGGCACTGAACTATGCAGATTCTAAAACTATTGCCTTGTTTCTTTAAACGGGTTCTGAATTCTTGTATGGAGATCACCACATCCATGCTGCTGACTTGCTGCCAGAAATCTGTCAGGGTAAAAATCTGTGCAGTCCAATCTTCAATACACATTGGCTGCCGGCTGTATACATTGCTGTTCATTCTTCAAGCAAGTAACCAGGATCGAGTCAAATCTCCAGGAAGAATCTAGCACCTTCTGAGGACTTGCTGACCTATTCGTGACACACTTGGCTATGTGAGTGCCTGTTGTTTGTTAGTGCAGGTGTAAAACTACACCTAACACCTGATCCTAGCAACATTCACTCAACAGAAAGTCCCACTGTGTTCATTGTGGCAGACTCCCAAGACCATGTGCATATGATAAAAGTCCTCTTGCTAGGAATGGACAAATCAGTCTAATTCTGGTTCATATTGCTTTCACATGTGTTCATTATTAAGTCTGTTCCACCCATTTTCTGCATTAATGAAATTCTTATTCAAATATGTACTTCCACTATTACAGGGTGGTCCAAGGGCTTCCTTTTAAAAAACCATTTCCCTTCTTGTTTTACAGGTACAGTCAAACTTCGGTTGTTGAACGCAATCCATTCGGCTTCCAAAGTATTTGACAACCGAGGTGTGGCTTCCGATTGGTTGCAGGAGCCTTCTGCACTTAAGCAGAAGCTGTGTTGGACGTTTGGCTTCTGAAAAATGTTCGAAAACCAGAGCATTTACTTCCGGGGTTTTGGCATTCAGGAGCCAAAATGTTCCAAAATGGAGGCATTCGAGATACAAGCTTTGACTGTAATAGACTCTTCAAGAAAACTCAGCTGCCCCTGCAATTAGCATGCAAATATTTTAATGGGGCTGCAAATGAAATTCAAGAGAATGTGATGGCCATGCTGCTCCTTCCAGGGATATTGTAGGCAGTGGGGAGGATGTTTGCCCTCATGGGTCCATGGGGGCAGCCATCTCCCCCCCCCCATACAAAGTCCCCAGGATGGTTGGCACATCATCACATCCTGGCAGTCTCAGAGGCATTTGTGATTCCATTTTGAATGCCATCATAGCAGTAACTGGACTTTTTGGCTGCTTGGATCAGCTCAGCTGCTGCCTGCAAAGGAAGCTGGGAAACATTTTTAAAAGGCAGACCTTCTAGCAATAGTGTAAGTTAGCTCCCCACCACGGTTTGCAAAAATCCAAAAATCTGAGGGATAAGCATGCTCTGATTTGTACAGTAGCCCAGGAGGTATGGATCAAGCCAATTCAACAGGAAAATAAACCAAGGGGATTCCTCAAGCATCTGCATCCTTCCCTGTTGAATCTTAGATGCCTAAGGATCAATCAATCAGCTACTAAAGCTACAATCATATTTGGGGAAAATAAGCCTAACTGAACACAGTGAGAGCAAAGATTTATCAGACTGAGCTATATGCATTAATTCACAATTTACATTTTGAATTCAATACAAAATACACTAAAGATTAAATGGCAAAAAAATGTGTTGTAGCACTGTACATTGTGAATGACACATGCATATTTAGATATCCAGGTCTCTCCACAATATATGTGGAATTGGGAGCTCGACCCTTTCCTAATTTTTGCTTCTTGGGTTATTGCAGGGTTCACCTAACCATTTCAGTGAATGAGCTGGCACATGAATCTTGTAATTTACATTCAGGGCTTTAAAATAAATATCTGCTCAAAACCAGCACACAGGCAAGCCACTGCATTTTCAGTTAGATAAGTTGGATTTTCAGGGATACCAACAGAACAGATTCAACATAAACCTTTGAAACATGACAGCTCTTTTAAAATGGTAATATCCATTCCTTCCCCAGGGAACTTTACAATTATTAACCAGTCAATTATCTGATTTTCTGCAACATGGAAATACAGGGGTGGCCTTAAACAAAATAATATTTTTAATTGTGTTGCTAAATAATTGCTCGTCCACACATATGTGCAGAAATTTATCAAAATTCTGTACCTGCTAACAAGATTTCAAGATCTGGTTTCAGTTAATGCTGACATTTAGTAAAGCTATGATTTAGTGGGCAATGAATTTCACAAAGGCAGTTGACTGTAAGATACGCTTGAGATGAGTAATATAACAGCATGGGACAATTCTTTACCACTCATTCCCATTGTGGTTGTGCACTAGTTTAGCATACACAACAGTGTGTACCTGGTGAAGAATTAGTTGCACATTCAACCCACTGGACCTGCATGACTGCTTGCTAGTGTCTTGCTAGTGTGTGCTTTCTCCAAACAACATTTTAGGCTCTGAAACTGTGAGCCATTAGAATACTGCTCAGCAAAAGAGAAGTGTCTGGTCTGACAGCGAGTCAGGCATCATCGCTTCAAAAGGGCAAGAATAAGACAGCTCCAACCTGGATTTTAATGTTTTGGCTAAGTTTCTCAGTCTCAGCGCGGTGGGCTTCCTCCAGACACACTTTCTCCTCCTGGTGTTGTTGTTGGAGCCTTGTGATCTCATTTCTCTGCTTCTCCAGCAGCTCTGCCTTCCCTTTCTCTGCTTCCTCATGTAAACAGGCTTCTTCAATGTGGAGGAAAGAAGGAGAAAGCACGTGGACATGAGTGGCTTTCTGTAGTATTGGTTTGCTTCTACCCCCCACCCCCCCAAGCGCTGACTGTGTAATGCATTAGTTCCAATACCCGGCTGACTTGCCATTCAGTGTGTTAATCTAAATTTCACTTCACACTTTGGAAGGGGCAGTTTTACAAATGCAACTGATGTACTTGCATTCCAGAGAGGCCTCTTGAGATATATGCGCCGGAGTGTGCTAGATATGGCTTATCCAGGATGCAGGCATGCACTATTTTTGGACTCCCTCTAGAAGAGAATTGGGGTTAAGAGCATGAGGTGTGAACTGGTTTGTTTACAGGTTTGTCCTAAGGATTAATAAAGCAGTGTTTGTGGATCTGCGATGGGCCCCCAGAGCTCGCTGGCCCTTTAAGTAGACCATGACCCATACCACCAGACCCTAAAAAGGCAGTGAATGCTCAGAAGACTTTTGGGCATTGCCTGGAAATGCCACCTGTGGGAGATGATCACAACTGTGGAAGGATCGTGGCTGCCTTTGGAGTCCTTTCAACTAATATTTGTTAAGCTATTTGGTACAGCTTCCTTATTGGGCAACTAAAACTGGCTTACAGGATTCATATTTAGCACAAAGGATGAACACAATACCATGTAAGTAATATGCATGTAGTGCTTTGAACACTTTAAACGAAACTTGCGTATATTAAGCACTTGCATCAAATAATAACATGGATGACTGATCAAACAGTTTTGCTCTTTCCGATTCTAGGAGCAGCAAGATGTTTCAGGGGCAAATGGCTCGCTTGTCTCCTTTTGAATAAGAGCCCTGGAGGGTTATAGTGTTTTGTAACATCTGCGTGTACTAACAAATATACAGGCTGAGCAAAGATTGAGGCTCCAAAGTCTGCCGTTCTCACATCAAGGCTGCTGGCAGAACAGCCTGCATCCTAGGACAGTCCAAAGTCCCAGATCATGTCTCTTCTCTTTCTTAAAAGCGGCTGATTCACACAGCTTGCTGGCATCATCCTCAACCAAAACAAGGGTGGAAAGGTATGAGAAGACAGACATGCCCTCTTGACCCTTGCCAACTTTGCTATCCAAATTCCAGCTATTGAGAGCCATCAGCTAATCTCCTTAAAAAGGGGAAGATAGGTACCTGTCAAGATTACTCACAAACCCAGGTATTTAACAGAAAACTAGAGCTGAGCCAAAGTGTCTCAAAAGACATTTTCCTGAGAAAATTCCAGAGGGTTTACTTCCATTGTCCCCTCAAAAGGGTGCTCGCTTTGCAGAATTCTGGCCAAATATTCTCTGCCATTTTTTGTGGAGGCCACCATTCCTTCTCTTCCCCCTTTCCTTCCACATGCACTGCCCTGGAGCAACACCTGGGACATTGTGGAAAATACAAAATGGTGGCCAGGCTGCCAATACTTCTTCCTGCCACTTGTGGTGGTGGTGGCAAATAGATGATAGATAGATGATAAATAGATAGATGATAGATAGATAGATGATAGATAGATAGATAGATAGATAGATAGATGATATAGATATATAGGAAGGGGAAGAAGGTATTGCCACTGCTAGTGCTGAGCCCCTTCTCTGAGAAACTGTTGTAAAACTTCTCCTCCCTCTGGAGAAATTTGATGACATGTTAAGTCCAATTTGTCTGCACACAAATAAGAGAACTTTGAAAGGCCATTTCCACATACAGCTCTACAAATAAAAACCATGCACCCATCTGAGTCAAAAATCAATGAATTGAAAGGGACCCCAAGAGAGATTCTGCCCTACTGCTCAGCAGCTACAGGGCAGAAATGGTGCGCCCAAATTCATGGTTTGTTTTGGGACTGTATTGCTTGTAAGATCTGCACTGTGACACAGGCCAGTGTGTGCTGGTTTGTAAGCAATGTCTTTGAGAGCAGAATGTCAGTCTGGCACAGTTAGTGGAGAAATGCACAGATTACTCTTTTGCTCAAGTAATTGGAGTAAACCTTGCTACTCCAATAGCGCTATGCTCTCCCTAAAACATATCAGGAGCATAGCTGCACATTTAACAGCTATAAAGGCAGTTATACAGATAAATGTTGATTCTTTTTACATCCTCTGCTGGAACCACCCTCTCCTTCAAGATATTGCTGCTTCCCTCTCCTGACCGGACTGGACTTCACTGTTCGTTAAATGGAGGTGTTGCTTATTTAAGGGAAATTCCTTGGCTAAGTGAGACAGCGCAGCTGCCAAAACTTTAGACCACGGTCAGTTTTTCACCTCACTCATCAAATACACAATTCATCTCAATAAATTCTACCTGCCTATGACAAGTAATATCAGGACAGGCTAGTATCATGGGCATCACACAGAATGTAGACTTATACGCTGCATGGATGAAATTAGTTTCTCACAGGAATTTTAGAAAGTAATTTTATTTATGTTCCACCTGGGAGTAGCTTATGCAGATGCTGCTAGCATTACTCATGCTCTGTTGTTTAGGGAGAAACGTGCCTGTCCTGCTCAGTTCCTTGCACCTATATTGCCTAAAGCCTCAGTTTAATATGTACAGGGGAATCTATGTTATCCAGTGTTGCACAGTTGTTCCAGTCTAACTAAGCAGATCTGGATATATAAGAAACCTCCCAAACATGCATCATTTCCTGAGTCTGGGTACCACCTGTCTACACTGTGTTGCTTTTAATGAGATGCACATTTGAAAGTGAATCCCCAGTTCATACTCTGGGACAGTTAGTCACTTGTAAATACCATTTTAAAATGAAACTAGAGCTGGATTTGATGGGCTGGATTTGCCTCAGCTCCAGAAATCCTGGATTAAAATCCCTATTCCATGTTGAAATTTAGGGTGCTATTTTGTTTTTTGTTTTTTTTAAAAAAAGTATTTCAAATATTACAAGAAAAGAAATGTTGGCTAGCCTAACTGATTTTCCATTGCCATTTGTAAAGCCAGAATATTAAATAATCAGATTGCAGGACTGTAAAATGCTTGGTAAATGTCCACACCATCTATTTCCCTAGGATTTAATCACTGGCGATACCGGCTGTTTAAAGCAACAAACTGGCACATCCACCCAAAACAAGTCTACTCACCAGTTAACAGTCTAGCCTGTACACATCTGTCAGCAGACCCCAGATTATGTATCAAGGCAAGCTGGAAGTTCTACCAGGAAAAGATCTACTCATGAATAAGCACCTCAGTTTGCTGCTTGTCATAGCAGGTGGAAGCACTTACCCACTGAAGGCTGAACTCATAAGTTACCATTTCTGAAGCCTTTGTTTCTGCAGCTAGATGTACCTATCGTTACCTTTTAAGGTGTTCAATGCCTGCCCTTGTGAATGCATGTCCAGGAATGGTTGGGACTCTTTACATATTACCAGTGCTATTTTCCTAGAAAAAGAGGTACTGGAACCAGGTTTTTTTTTCAGGGGGAACTCCCAAGAACTCAGTTCTGGCACCTCTCAGGTGGGCACTTTTGCCATTCTAAGAGAACGAGGGAGGTGTTCATAGTGAGTTCTGGCACCTCTTTTTCTAGAAAAATAGCACTGGCTGGAACTCACCAGGAACTCACCCTTGATCCCTTATAATGGCAATGGTGCTCATCTGAGGGGGGCCGGAACTGAGCCCTTGTGAGTTTCCCCCGAAAAAAAGCCCTGTATATTATATACCTTTAAAAAACAAAATAGACATTACTGATTTTAAAATGGAGAAGCTATGTCTGTTTGTATCTTACCATTTTCTGTCTTCAGTGCCTTTAATTCACAGGATGCCTGTCCTCTTTCATGCTGAATTTTGATCTTTTTCTGTAGAAAAGACACAAACAGGATCACATCTCCCTTTTTTTTCCATTCGTGAATGCTGAACCAAAACAGGGAAAGAACTATGCATTTCTGAGAAACCTTTATGCTGGCCGGTATTGGGACATTTCCTCCTGGTTTCCTGAGACACTAAAATAATTCAGCAATTCTTTGACCCGGGAGCTGCGGCACAATTAAAATCTAAGCTCCTCAGGCAGACATGTGACTCCCTCAGCTCCCAGAGGACTGCCCTAGTGTGCCAGGAACAGCTACTGCACTGAAGGATGTTTCACAATCCACTGCCAGGCTTAATTTCTCTTAGCATGAGAACATGCCACTGTGGCAGAGGGTTGGCGGGGCAGGGCCTCGATTCACCCCAATGAACCAGCTGTCTGATGGTGTGAACAGGGAAGATCTTGCTGTGGCCTCGGACACTCCTCTTTCCTGCTGCCAACTCACGCGACGAAGCAGAGAGAGTTAAAAGAAAGATCCCCTCATGTCTCGGAATGCACATAGATCATAACACCCACCCCACTTCCTTGAGATTTATGAACCTTCCTCCTCCTTCTACCTAGCTTTCTGCTTTGCATCCTCGCAGCTGGCGTTCCCGACTCCAAGCCTCCACCTTTGCAGAGCAAGGAGCACATTGGGCCCCTCGCTCCCTCGAGGGGAAGGAACAGCTGGAAAACATGAAGGAGGCTTAAAGAACTGACAAACAAGGAGTGTGTCTGGCATCAAACTGCACAGCGCCGGGGTGTGCAGAACACACTTTCCAAAGGCCTTGCCATGCACCTCCCCTTCACCCGAACTTCACACCGCAGATGCCCCGTTCTGCAAGAGCAACTGGATGGTCAATCGCGACGTCAGGCAACTGGGGGAAGCTTAGTTTGCTACTCCTGCAGATCCACAGCTCTGAGGATGCTTTTTATAGCCAGCTCTGGAGCCTAGAAATAGCCTGTTCCAGGGCGCAGAGTGAGCGCAGGAATGAGAAGGGTTTCTGTGCGCGTATTTTTTAAAAAGAGGCAATAAATCACAGGCAATTACAAGGATAAAGCCCAGTCCTAATAACTCCTCCAAATATCTGGCACAAGCAAACCTCGCTTAGGCTGCCGTTCAAGTGGTTACATCATCACCTAAGGAATGCTTTGTTAGAGCGTCAACTGCTGCTACCATCCCCACTTGAGCTCTGGTCCTGTCAGAGTTTCCATCCCAGCCTCGGTTTTAAATAGGGGTTTATATAAAAATGGGATTTAGGACCTTGCTTGGTAATATGGACTTGGCAGTCCTCCTCATAGCCCCAGGCGGGTCAAGTTTATTTGCATTAATAACAATGGAAGAAGGAAAACAATTATATTTAGTTATTTCTAAATGGCCCAAGAAGGATGGGTTTTTCTCCCTTCCCCACTAACCCCAGCAGGCAAGGGGGCTCTTCACACATTCCACAAGAGGCTCCCTCCTTGATCACTGTTGTGTTTCTGTGACTCCAGGCCTGTCTTTTAGCAGCTTGACAGCAATGGTAGCTGGTGCTCAGCAGTGCTGGTGGGGTGGAAGGCTGAGAGACCAACAGTAGGTGGAAGCCAATTCTTGCTTTGTCCCCATCTTCCTACCTGCTGAGTCCTACAGGGCTCCTTCATACTTTGTTTGCCCCATGCCTAGAAAGCACAGATCTAGCTAGTTTTCTGCTTGTTGTCTGCTTTCGGCTCAGGACCAAATGGTCTTCTGTTTGCGCCACCGCTTTCCCTGGGAAAACAATCTCTTTACCACTGAATTGGAGCAAACATCAATCTGTGGACAAACCAGTTGACATTCCGGGGTTTTTATATTATTATTTTGATCATTCAGAGGTCACAGTGTGTCCCTAGAGATCTCCGCACTCAGCTCACCTCTGCATAGTGGGCAAGCATCCTACTATTTGTTTATATAATCCTGTATCTCACACTAAAAGACAGAGTTGACTAGAACAGGCAGGGTTTTTCCAGGTGTTATCCATACAAGTATTGTGCTGGTTTCAATTTCAATTCATGCTAGTCCAAACAGCAAAGGTAAGGTAAAGGACCCCTGGATGGTTAAGTCCAGTCAAAGGCGACTATGGGGTTGCGGTGCTCATCTTGCTTTCAGGCCGAAGGAGCCAGTGTTTGTGCACAAACAGCTTTTTGGGTCATCTGGCCAGCATCTGGTGCAACGGAACACCGTGACGGAAGCCAGAGCTCATGGAAACACCGTTTACCTTCCCGCCACAGCGGTGTCTATTTATCGACTTGCACTGGTGTGCTTTTGAAGGGCTAGGTTGACAGAAGCTGGGGCAGAGCAATGGGAGCTCACCCCATTGTGCCATTAACCTTCCGATCAGCAAGCCCAAGAGGCTCAGTGGTTAGACCCCAGCACCACACACTTCCTAGCAGACTGAGGAGGTGAAGTGGGTGAGCACAGGCAGACCTGTTCGTATTAAGAGTCCCAAATATTGTTACAATAGTACTCTTTTTTTAAAAAAATCCTCACAAGGTTGGCATGCAACCTATTTTGGTACAAATTAAATGCAAGTCTCTGGTGCTTGTGAGATTTAAGGGAGCAGGAAAGGCCTGTCACCTTGGTCCCCCTTGTGTGGTGTAGTGGTTAGAGTGTTGGACCAGGACCTGGGAGACATGGGTTCAAATCCCCACTCAGCCATGAGGTACATTTGGAGACCTCGGGCCAGTCACTGCCTCTTAGCCTAAACTACCTCAGAGATTGTGAGGGAGAGCCACCTTCAACTCCTTGGAAGAAAGGTGGGATATGTAATAAATAAATACCCCCAAGAGTAAGGGTGGGGAGGAAAGAACAGCCAGTGAATGGGTCTTTTGCTTCCTTCATGGACTACCAAAGGCATTGGTGTCTGTTGCCGTTCTGGGCTGTCATTTCTTCTGATCTCATACAGCAGGAATGGTGAATCTGTTGACTTATCTATTGTAGGGTTGGAAGGGAACCTAGTGCAGGAATATGCAACTGCCCCATACAGGAATCGAACCTGCAACTTTGGTGTTGTTGGACTCCAGCTCACATCAGCCCCAGCCAGCACGGGGATGATGGGAGTTGCAGTTCAGGAACCTCTGGAGGGTTATAGCTCAACCCCACTCACAACTCCAGCCACTATATAGAATGCAAGAAAGAGCCACGGGTAAATTGGGGAGGGAGAATTAGTACAGCTCCTTTAAAACTCATCCTGGCACTTGGATTTTCTGCAATTATTTCGCAAAACAGACTTCGAAGGATTTGCTGTCTGCTGCTATGTCTCTAAAGGAAGAAGTTCATGCAAAATGTTTTTTGGGAAGCTACGGGCTGCAAAAGGACTTTAAAAACATAATGATGTGGGCATCAGTGCCCAGTGAGACAAAGCAGAGAGTTTTGGGCACTGCTTGTTCTGTACATGATCACACTGTCCTACATTTGCTGCACTAACTACTAGAGCCAATCTCTGCCAGGTTTTCTCTTTGTAGAATGCTATGTATGTGGTGGAGGAGGAAAGATGTTTCAAGATATAAAATAGCTGCATAGCGTCTGCTTCTAATCAAAGGTAGCATCCAAATTCAGAGAGCAGTAGAGTGAGGTTGGGCACTGTTTTGAGGATAGGATATAGATGTTAGGGAGTGCTGCAGTAACCCTATGAGTCTGGGTGGGTTGTTTTTTTAAATACAGTGTGTGTAAAGATAGATAGCTGGGTAAGAAAGAAGGGCACATGTATCTGTTGTGTGTATTACAGTGACTAACAAAAAAAGAGAGATTAATTTCTGATAGCAAAATGCCTTCCTCAGCTGCTCTGCTATGAATCAAAGGGTCCTGTCAACAGATGGTTTTTAAAGCATCAAACAGCACTTCAGACAAGTTTGTGCTCTGGGATCCTGGAAGGATGCAGGTTGTTATTGTTGTTTATTAATATTTTTAATTAATTAGGCAAGAATTTCAATCACATTCAAGAATAAGTAAATAATGGGGGGAAATGCAGTTGAATGAAAATGAAAATTAAACACACACACAGTGCAAATTTGGGTCATTTCATTCACAATCCCTGGAAAAATAATCATCTTCTGTATCTGTGGTCTCTGCAATGTTATTTGGAACTGAAGCAAGTTATCTTGGTTTAAATGGGTATCTCTGCCAGCTCCAGCCACTATGCATGGGGTTGAAGATTAAGACATACTGTATAAGGAGTTAATATGGCTTTTGTGGAGCATTATAAAGCCATGATTTTCTATAGTACATAAGGGATTTTCTTCTGTGGCGCAATCGCCATAATTAAAAAAATAAAACACATATGGCAAGTCAAAGAGAGAAGGGGAGAGACTCATTCCTTGAGTTGCCTGTCTCCCTGTCAATGTGCTGTTAAAGCTGGAATGCTCCCAGTCATTTCCTTTGCTTTACAGCAGTGGTTTGGGAAGTGGTATGGAAGTTTTACTTAATCACAAACTTGGCAGAAGGCAGGAGACACCAGATGAAAAGTCCTTTCCCTCCAACTTGCTGACCTTACTCTTTCTGGGCCAATGGTTCCAATTAGCCAAGAACTGCAGACTCCAAAACTTGGAAATTACCTAATCAATAACCAACTGGAATGCCCTATTGATTAGATTTAGAGGTGGAAGAAAGTACATTGTTGTTTTTTGTGTAAATGTACACATAACCAAACAATTACTGTACATGTAATGGACATGATGTAGGGTTAGACTTAGGCTGCAATCCTAACTACAGTTTCTAAGGACTACTTACTTCGCTGTGTAAACATGTGCTGATGCTGAGCACTTTGTGGATCAGTCAGGCCCTATACTGTAATTTAGTGACCAACTTTATGAAATGTGTGAGCTTGTGAAACATTTAGAACTGTGCAGCAACTATTAAAACCATTTTTTTCATTTTATTTGGCAATATGGAAAGACTTTTAATTAAAATTAAGTAAAAACATATGCCCCAAACCTTTGCGGATAGAACATTTAACAACCTCATGAACCCCAAACTACTGCCAAGTTTCATCTTTTCAGCTTGTCTGGTAGGCAAAATTTAGTTACAGCACCTTTTATCCTATTATCATCATGGCTTAGCACTAAACATATTAACTTGTCCTGGTCCAATCAAGCTCTAGATTTCTGTTATCTGACATTTCTTTAAGGATGAGGTGTTGTAAATGTTCACCCCAATATGGAGCAGGAAGTTATGGCTAATCCCAGTTTCTATATTATACAGCGTATACCTGTGAAAACATAGGCCCAGTTCTCTGTCTCAAACAAAATATAGCACCAATTTTTAGAGCAAACAGAGTTGCAAAATGTGCTTCCTGTCTGCAGGAACCTGCGTGTTCCTTTATGCTTCTCATTTCCCCTTTTCTCCTCAATCCCAGCTACAGCACTAGAAGTGTGCTTGACTAAGACTAGGGTTCAGCTCATCCACAAAGCACACCCCCAAAATTTGGCTAGTGGTACAATTATGTAATTTTAGACTTTGGAGTGAATGGTTTTACCAGAAGGAAAAAGATTCCCCTTTCATTAAAAATATGAATTACAGTGGTACCTCTGGTTAAGAACTTAATTCGTTCCGGAGGTCCATTCTTAACCTGAAACTGTTCTTAACCTGAGGTACCACTTTAGCTAATGGAGCCCACCTCATTTAAGCCCAGATCTCCTCTCTTATTAGAGCAGGATCAGATTTAAATGATCCTGTCAGATTTGCTGTAACCTTCCTTTTTAAAGATATTTATTGAAATTTTCAAAATGTTACAAAAAATAAAAAAATAAAAAAGCCGAAGAAAGTACAAAAAAATAAAAATAGTTGACAAAGTAGGAAAAGAAAAGAAAAGAAAAAAAAACCCCTTCCCACCATATGAGAGAAAATTCAAAATAAGAAAAAATGACAGAAAAAAAGAAAAATCACAAACCTTTAAAAACATTTAAAAACAAATTCATTATTTTCCAATCCTTAACTGTCATTGCCTTCTTTCTTAGACCTCCTCCTCCTCCCTTTCTTTGTATCCTAGTTATTAATTATCCCAGCAAATCCTTTCCATGTTTCATAAAATTCTGTCCTTGCATTACCCTAAACTATTTTGATCTTATCTTTCTATAATAAAATAAACCTTAAAACTTAAAACTTAAATCTTATCCTTACCAACTTCTCATAACCATAATATTCTTTCATAATTCTTTAAACATCTTTGCTAAAGCCAAGTAATTTCATTCCAACATTTTTCTATCATTCATCACTTTTATAAAGCAGTTCTAATGGTAGAAAAAAAGGGGTACAAACAGATCCACTCTTCATCCAGCGTCCCTTCCTCCTGGTTCCGGGTTTTGTCAGTCCTTATTCCCGTCAATCTAGCCCATTAACCTGGCAACCTTATCCGAGGCCCTCAAGTCTCTTCCATGTCCCTTCCGCGGCTCTTCTTCATATTTGTAACTGTATTTTCCCTTGTCTCCTGCTCGTGGTAACTCCAGCTTGACAATGTTTTTAGCCCTTCTCGACAAATCAGCCCCTTTTCCATGTTCAACACTAAATTCCATGTAGTATTTAAAAGCATGTTTCAAAGACCCTCCAAAATTGAGAGCCCCCACAGTCCCAAACATCTCACGGCCCGTTGCCATATTTGAAAAGTCCAAACGTCCCAGCATAGGGGGGTCAATCCAGCCCCCCATTTCCAAACCAAGCCAAACTTTTCCTTTCCAAATCTGGCTTTTTCCAAGTTCATTTGTCAAATCCGAAAAATCATATTCCTGTTGGGCCTGTTCTGTCAAAACACACTCCTGATTTAATGTCAAAAACTCCTGTTCTGTCAAGACACTCTCCTGATTTAATTCCTGAGTGGGCTCCACATATTTTCCCACTGTCTGTTCAAAATTTCCCACTGCCTGTTCAAAATTTCTAGTCGAAGTCGCCATCCAATTCACCTTCTCGTGTAATTGTTCCAGTAGGGCATTTGTTTTATAGAGAGCACACAACAAGGCTTCTGAATACATTGTCCTGCAAGGTCAGATGCCTGTTCCCACGGTTGTAATCTGTAACCGCTGCCGGCTCCCTGGAGTTAGTTACAGTTTCACAGTTACAATTTCACAGACTCCCCCTCGGGGGAAGACTTCTATTTGTTCTTGCAACAAAGTTTCCTTTTTTAAGATACTTTGTCCGTATATATTCCTTTAAAATGCGAAAGGGAACAGTGGAATCACTAGGTTTCTCTTCTTTTAGCTATCTGTCAACGACACTTGTCTTTGGTCAATGAACTTCAAACGTCAGTCCTGACACCCCGCTCCAGGATCAGGACGGAGGAAAGTTACTTCACTTTAAAGTCACTTTAAACAGTCCAAAAAGATCCCCCCTTCTCCTGCTGTCGAAGGGGGGTTCCACAATTTTAAATGGTGAAATCCAATCTTTTAAAAACGATTTTCTGAGCTCTAGTTTCAATTGTCTTTGCTTTATTCTGTTTACAAAAGAACGGAAGGTTGACTTCCTGTTTAGACCTTCCCGTTCCGTACCAAATTAGAGTAAATTTTTAAAGTCCAATTCTTTCCTGCTCGCAAGTCCTTATTTGATGTCCAATTGTTCAAAGTCTAAGTACTCACGGGTGCTTATTTTAAAGACCAAATTGTCCCAGGAAAAAGGCAGCGCTCTCCGGCAACGGCTATGCGGCTTCACTCCACGGAAATAGCAGTTGACTCACAGCACCGCGCCACTTCCCCCTCTTCACTTCAGAGCCCGTTAATGGGTTCCTTAGCGGGTTGGGGGGTGCTAAAGGTGCCCGCCGAGTCCCATGGTCACAGGCTTCATCCGCCTGTGATTTTTAAGAGGGTCCCCGCTTCGCCGTAGCGGAGAAGACCCGTTTTCCGCGGAGCTAGTCCCCCAGTTCAGAGGGAGTCCGCCATTGCCAGTGGCGCCACCCCGGAAGTCCTAGATTTGCTGTAAGCTTCCAAGTGTCCCTGTTTTCCAGGAACATCCCTGATTTAGAGAAGCTGTCCCATTTTCTGATTTGATCCCGGAATGTCCCACTTTTCCTTAGGATGCCCCTATTTTCATTGGAGGGTATGGCATCATCCAACCCCCGAGCCATCTGAAGGCAATTCTGTATAGGGAAGCTTTTTAAATGTTTAATGTTTTAAGTTTTTATATATGTTGGAAGCTGCCCAGAGTGGCTGGGGCAGCCCAGGAAGATGTGTGGGGTATAAATAGTAAAATTATCATTATGGAACGGGGCATCCCTATTTTCATCGGATAAATGTTGGAGGGTATGTGACTCCATTGGGTGGTTTCCCAGTAACTCGCCTGGCAGCACAAGGATTACTGCTTCCTCCGCCTCCCACTGTAGGCACCCAGTGCCCTCTCCACATCTGCTCTGGAAACTTGCAAGTGGAGTGGGGGGAATTGTGCAAGCAGAAATCTTTGTGCTGACGAAACTGTGTACATGGAGCCACGTTGCTTACAACCCATTTTATTTATTTTACATAACATGGTTTATTGTTTATTGTGGGTGTCTTGTGTGAGTTCATAACCGTGCTAATAGACTTTTCTGATTTTGTGACCTAACTGAGAGCTGCTGTGTGCACTGCTAAACAAAATCGTGGCATACCAATCTCTTGAGTCCTGGAGAGGGCTCCTATGAAGGAATGTTTTCCCATGGGTTCTCACACACATAGAAGACTAGAACCTTTCCCCCTGACGTTCTGGGTTCCCTACTTCTTAAAAAAACAAAACAAAAACGTGTAGGGCATTTTCATGTATTGGGCAGAAGTATCTAGGTAGCATGTGAACCTCCACCTACTATCAGGAAGGGTCATCAGGAAACAGGCTTAATGCTGTTAAGTTCTTATTTCATATAAAAAAGGGTTATTCACTTTGCAGACCCAGAAAGAAGGACTGTTTATTGATTAACACAGTGGTTTTCAACCAGTGTGTTGTGGCACCCTGGGGTGCCATGAATGATGGTCAGGGGTGCCATGGGCAACACTGGCCTCTATCTCAATTTTCTTCCCTCCCTCCTCTGATGCCCTCTTGTGTCTCTGCCTCCCAAAGGCTTGTGTGGCTGTTTGTTGCAGCAGCCCTGGCTACAAATTCCCCAGGCAAATGGGGGAATCCTTTTCCTAGGCCCCTGTGGGGCAGCATGAGGAGGCACCTCTCTTTGGGGCGGGCGGGAGCTCAGAGACCAGGAGCGGTGGTGGTAGCTGTCTGGAGGACTCCCAAGGAGAAGGGAGAGGAGAGGAGGCTGAGGAAACAAGCAAGGGATGACCTAACTGGGCTCCTGAGCCCCACAGGGGTGCCGCAGAAAGAAAGTAGTTGGTCAAGGGAGCCATGGACTCAAAAAGTTGAAAACCTCTGGATCAACAGATTAACGCAATTTGACGGGAAAATGAAAGTAACAGCATAACAAACTAAAGGGTGGAGCACGAACTCATAATAATTACAGACAATGTTTAACTCCATACTACCCCTTATTATAGTTGTCCTCATGTGCTGCTTCTGAGAATGAGAACTTTGTGTAAAACGCGTGCTTGCCGTTATGGGGTTCTGTGCGCGCACGCATGTCTATAGCATATATATTTTGGAAAGTTGTTGTTTCATCTGTTCTTTATGCATTTGGACACTGCAGAAGACATCGCAACTAAATTTTGCATGATGGTGCCTGAGATCAATGAGCAGTTTTTTGTCTATGTTTGGATACAACTGGACACCATTTTTAGGGTTGCCATATTTCAAAAAGTAAAAAAACAGGACACCCTGAGAGGAGTTAAGCTTTTCTTTACAAAACGCCAAAAAAACCCCATGATTTTTTCAATTGTCAAAACACCACCTTTCAGAAATTCCACCAGTTCCGCTTTTGAAATCCCGGTAATGTCTGGGGAAATTTGGACATGTGGCACCCCTAACCATTTTGAAACATGTTGGTGTAACTTAACTTTTCAAAACTGTACTGATTGGGGAGTTTCTTATAATTCCTGAGCAATGCATGTGACCTACACACACACACCTCTAGAGGAATTGATTTTGTTGAGTTCCCTTGGGATCAGCTGCTGTGCAATCATACACATCCCATAATGGTCCAGTCAAGGCTTCTAGCACAACTCTTGCAGCTTGAGTCTCTGTGCCTGTTTGCTGCATTTTTTAAACGAGTCACTGCTTTTGCAATGCAGCTGTATTGAGAGAATGTTACAATATTCTTGCAGAACACAAGAAGGTAATGGAGATGCAGAAGAGCAGCCGGACCCTCCACATATGCTAACAATCATTCTCCATTTCCTGGACTCTGTTCATGCCTCTGGGGCTGCAGTCCAGTTAATAACTCCCTGGGAGCATGTCCCATGGAACTAAATGGGACTTACTTCTGAACAGAGATGCATAATAGTGCATTGTTAGTGACTGTTTCCTCTTTCAGGACAGGTGTCTGGTTTTGACACAGGGTGTGTTCCTAACCGCAGTTGCAGGTGGAAAGATGACCCAAAGGGAGGGACAACAGTAGAAGAAGTATTCCTTTGTCTGAATTTCTGGCTGCTTGCAAAGTAGGCTTCAAATACTTTCCCTCCATGATATGTATTCCTGGAGGATCCCTGGAAAATCCATGTATTCACCATCAATTCTAACATGCAGTTCAGTTTTCAGAGCCTTGAAACCAAAAAAAGTATTTGCTGGTGAATGTAAATGTGCCATGGAATCTAATGCGCACCTTAATTTTCACAACATAATTTGGCCAAAAAAGGTGAGCATTGGATTCGTTGTTATTGTGGCTTTTTATATTGGATCAGATCGTTGCTATTAATGTTTGATGTTTTGTTATGTTTTTATATGTTTTGGAAGCTGCCCAAAGTTGCTGGGGCAACCCAGCCAGATGGGTGGGGTATAAATAAATTACCACTACTACTTCTACTATGATGCAACATTGTTAATGCATATTCCTCAATGGATACTTGGAGGATGAATGTTACATCAGCATCAGTTCATATAAGTGGGTTAAAGGGTAGTTTTCCTTCAGACCTTTCTCCAATATATAAAGCTCACTGGACTGTTTTGTTATGGCCATTGGCATATAAAATATTGTAATATATAACAGGTTTTATGTACAAATTAACTGCAGGTGTGACACAAGTATCACTTGGACTTGGACAGTTTACTAGGACACACTATTCAAGCAGTGTCTTCTGAACTGAGCTGCTTCTCAAACACTTCTTCTCCAATCCAACCCCAGAAGCAGCCCATTCAAGGCATTTCCTATTAAGGAAAAGACTGTGGGTTCTTCTTTTCCATCTGATCAGTCGTCCTCCAGATGGAACTCCAGTTCCCATCAGCCTCGGGCAGCATAGCCAATGATCAGGGATGATGGGAGTTGTAGTCCAGCACGATCTGAAATGCCACAGGCCCCACTCCTGCCTCATAGGATAGTCACTTCTCTTTCAGGCAGACCACCATACTAATACAGAAGAAGAGAGAGCACAGCAATCAAAACATGGAAAGAAGAAATAAGAAGTCGATAGCCATCTTCCCACTCTGAAAACTGGTTGGAAGTGCTGTCCATGTAACCTTCTGTTGACAATTTGTGGACTGTCTTCTTCAGCTGCTTAATATATGCCTGGGAAGATCACAGATGATCATTCGGGGGTGGGGGGGAGTTGTTGGGAATGAGCTGTAGCTCAGTGGTTAAGCACCTGATTTGCTTGCAAAAGGTCACAGGTTCAATCCCCAGGATCTCCAGGTCAGGCCAATGGGGACTCCTGCCTGAAACCCTGGAAAGCCACTGCTCTGTCACCAATGCTGAGCTAGAAAGATATGACCAATGTTCTGACTTCCTATGTAAAGTTGATGATCAAGGCTACTATCACTTTAAAGTATGGCCAACCCACACAGGTCACAGCATAAAGAGATGGTTAACTGCAACCCAAGAATGCATGAAAAGCCCCCACCGAACGCCCTCTTATTCCCACACAATTATGCCCAGTGTTTCCTCTTCCTTGTACATTGTTCTAGCCTGCTGATCAGGTTCTGCTTCCTTACATTTTATATAACTTGTTGCATAGGGTGGCCACTTAATGCACCACCACAAAACCCAAGAGGATTCAACCTGAGCAGCTATTACTATAATGTAAATAGAAGCACAGTATATCTCAGCATGGCGCTTGTGTGCCTGCTTAGGCTCCTGTCCCCACACCAACTGTTGCCGGCCACATTCTAGTAACCTGCTCTCCTGCCTTTGGGTTGTATCCCCTCAGGTTAAGGTGACCTGGTCTGGTTGTCAAGATGAAGAGTCACAGAGTAGACCCCTGAAACTGATGGACACAACTTATGACCCAAGTTAAGTCATGCCCATCAGTTTCATGGGTCTACACTCTGTGACTCTTCATCTTGACTACCAGACTTGGACCAGGCATCCCTTAAAAGAGAGGACTTATTCAAGCAGAGGAAATGACCTCTTTCAAGTCGAATATGTGGCCATCCAATGGTTGTAGTGTTGTTCTCCAAACAGTGCAATATGTTCAATCCGGGTCTGGGGTGGGGAAGCCAGGGCTCAGCCCCGATCTTCCAAGATGGCAAGGTATCTCCCAGCCTTCCTCTCCATCGAGATCAGACTGCAAGAACAGAGCGCGTGTCGTCCTGTGCCAGGCAGAGGAATTCCACACCCCGATATAATGTGTCTCTGCAATGTCCTGGCAGCGCACAGCAGCATTCTTACTGAACACATCCCCACAGGATTCTGGTGTGCTGCACCAAGACAATCGCTTCCTTATCTTCTCACTCTTGGGAGAAACAAAAATAAATGACAGGAAAGGCTGAGGCCTACCAGAGCCCATAGGCCTGAAATGACAAAGCAGCAGCTGAACAGCTCCACCTGAGCAGATTAACGCTGGCTAGGATCCCATGGTCAAAACCTTCCTCACTCGGAGGGTATTTGTCTCTTCTTTTGAGTAAGTGCCAAGGGGTGGTGGTGTAAGTTTCCAACCTCAATTCTTGCACATGTGCAAGAAGCACATGGTTTAGGTTACTGCGTGGTCAGAGACAAAGCTTTTGAATAGCCCTCTCTGTGATGTGCGGGGAAGCTGCCTTCTACAGAGCCAAACCATTGGTCAACAGAGCTCAGTATTGTATACAGACAGGCGTCTTTCTAAATCCTACCTGGAGATGCTGAGGATTGTTGAACCCGAGGCATTTAGTGTGGGCACTGTATTCTTTGTGCTACACTGTTAAAACCTTTTTATGTGCACTGGGCAATTTAGATTGTGATAGTTTTAGCAGGTTTCATGTTTCACCTCTCTTAATTTTATCATATTTTTGGTTTGTATTATAATATAATGCATTTGTAGTTTTGAATTTATTTCCATGCCACCGTAAAATCTATTATTGGACTTGGTGCCATTTATAATTTTTAATATAAATAAATAAAATATTATCCTGAAGAAACCTCAGATAGGTATCGAATGTTGCTTGCTTCTTTTCAATGGAGCCGTTTAAGTGAATTTATATTTCCCAAACCAATACACAAACCCAAATGCAGCTGTTTTTCAAAATTCAGACTTCTCCAAATTTTGGCATGCAGTTCTCCAACCAAACAACATATATTGGGGGGGAAGTGTGCATATATTTGTGAAAATAATATACAAAAATTGGGGGAAATTCCTAGCAAAAATGTGTAGATTAGGGAAAATGCACATACAAATGTGTGTTGATTTTCACGCTGACTTTTAAAAAGAACATTCTCAAACCAATGTGGAAAGCTGATTTTAAGATTGAAAAATTGGGAAACTGAGATTTGTCTAGCTTAGTGTAGAGACGGAATACTTTAAGATGATATTCATGGTGTGAAATTTGTGAGAAGCTGTCACTCAGATTTGCTTGGTGTAAGTTCTCCTAAGTATGGATAGTAGTAATTCGAGTGCATGGTATGTTCCCATTCTAGTTCTTTCCATATCTCTGAAAGTAATCTCCCAAACACTGTTCCTCCTGCTCACTGCAATTTTAAAATGTAGTGCAAACTGGAGAAAAGTTGCTGTCACAGCTCTGACTGGTCTGATAGGAAATTGTTTGACTTTGCTTATAAGGGGATTAACGTACTTTGCAATACAGTTAAGCATATTTATTGAGCAGAGACAGGTGCACGCTGCAACAAAAAAGAAAAAAGGAAAGGAAGAAAAGAGCAACAGTCACAGATGTTCTTTAGTAAACCTTCCCACAGAATTCAAACATATAGAATAACATGTTTGTCTTCTGAGATCTCTTTTCCCTGAGAAATGAGCAAAAATGTGTGTCAAGAAAGGAATGTTTATGGACAGTGAAAGCTTATGGATATTTACTTGCAGAAATATTAAGTTATATGGTGGGGTTTGCCCCATCATTTTGGCAAGGCTTCATTTGAGCCAAGCTCACCAGGCTTCAGCCCTAGAAAAATGTGCTCATCGTGCCATATTGAAAGCAAGGGCACTTCTGAGCATGGGCAAAGCGTGTTTACTTTGCCAGTCTGTAACAATGGCCCATCCCTTCTGCAAACAGAAGGCAGAGTTTTGTGATCAGTGGCTTGAGAATGTACATTTCTCTTAGAAATTAACAACGGCACATTGTGAAATCTGTTGTTATAGCAATTTGTCCGAATCAGGAAGCAGAAACAGTCACACCTGACCGTGGCAGTCAGAGACAGACTTATTCAAACAACATGATTCAAAAGGGAATTCTTCTTGCTTGGTCATGTAAAATGTCCTGAAATGTTGTATTTTGTAGTAGATAACTGACCACTGAAAGAAAAGGCAGCACAGATTTTTTCATTCAAGCTACTCTGTAACCTATATAGACAAACTGTGCAATCCTACACATGGGGGTATGTTCAATGGGACTTACTCCCAAAGTAAGTGTGTTCTGTATGCTGTTGTATATTATGCAGCCTTAATGGTCTGTTTCAGGGTTGGGAACCTGTACTGCAAGGACTGTATGTGGCCCTCAGCCTAATTTCATGTGGATAGCTGGGAGGGGGGGGGGCAGGATGGGGGTAAGGCATGAGCAAAGCCAAGGGAGGGCAAAGGGGCAGCTGTCCCTCCCCACCAAGTAAATCAACAAAAATACTTACGGTAACTAACTGAGGTTCTGCCCCCACTAACAAGAAGCCTGCTCCCTCCCCAACATAAATCCTGGCTATGCCCACGGGGTAAGGAGTGGCAGATAGAAAGGCAGGTGGCACTGTCTACTTTGAGCTTGGTGCCCACTTACTGCCAGTATGTGCCCCCAAATTTATCCTCAAGGCAGCTCTTGGAAGAAAAAAAAGGTCCCCAACATCAGAGAATATATTAAAATTCAGAGGACTAGGATGTAAACATTAATCAGAATATGCCAGCTCCTGAACAGCCAGCATAAATATTCCAGCAAAACTGTGGGTTGTTTTGTGGCGGTGGTTTTTTTAACAGGAAATTGCCAATATCAACATTTTATCTTACATTTCGCCATCAAACACACACACACACACACACACACACGCATGAGAACAAGAGGCTATTTACAAGAATGAAGACATTGTCCTGATTTCGGATTTTGAGAAGCTTGAAATGTACACCAGAGCTTCAGGGTAGCTGCCTGATCTCTCACTTGAGTTTAATAGCACACAACTGGAACGCAAAAAAGTACCCAAAACCTGTCTTTATACAGTGCTGGATAGAACCTCACCTCTAACCCAGAGACAGCACCCTGAATCTGCACACTCCCATTCTCTCTCCCAAACAAGCCTCACATTTGCTTTGACTTAAGCGGAAGATTGCCAAAACATCTTTCTTCTTTCTAGGACAATAATTGGGAAAGTATTTTATTTTCTTAAAAACAAAGTAGCAAAGGAGAATATGAGTGGAGATTTCCGCTGCCTTTCATGGAATGCACTCCCTTTTAAAGACGTGGGATCTAGCACTTGCCAGGAGCGACCCTGGAGATTTACAGGCAGATGCTTAGGGAAGACCACACATAACTTTTTGCCGAGTTTTCAGAAACTCAGCATATGACCTCGGCAACCAGAAGCGATTTAGGATACACAACCCACGTTTTAACCCCGGATCACTTGATCCAGAATTACTACCCCCACCCTACCCCACCCAGGGTCTAGTGTCAGCCAACCTGCAGGACCATTCATTCCTGCATAAATACGCGCGGACTACTTTCCCTGCGTCATCACCTATTTATTTATTTGTGATTATTATATTATTATTATTTGGTTACCGCGCTTCATCTGTAGATCTCAGGGGGCTCACAACATAGAACTACAAGATAAAAAACACAAAATTCATAATAAAAACGAGAACCAAAACAAACCACCACCCGGAGAAATCCTTTCTCCTCTGTGGCAGCTTTGCACACCCAACCTCCACCCTTCCACCCGCCAGGGAAAGGCCAGAGAACGAGATCGTTCACACGTGACGCGAGTTTGAGCATGCCCCACGTGTACACGCCAGTCGAACAGCGGCAACCCGGGTCTACAGACACTTCACAGCCCCCCTCCCCTCCCCAGGTACGAAAATCCCCCACACTCCTTCCAGCCAATCGCGCGTTCCCAAAGTTGCCCCGCGCTCCCCTCCCTTTCAGATTATACTTCGGAAGAAATCTCTTTGTTTGGAAGCGGCTGGAGGGCAACGCGCCTCCTCAGCCGCCCCCCTTCCCAAAGGAAGGACTTTAGTGACCGCTGGGCTCCAGCTTGGCTCCTCGACTTGCTTCTTTTTTGCGCGCGGGGGGTGCGGGGCGGGCTCGTGTCTCTAACTTTTCCTCCCACGCAAGGAGCCTTGTCTCCGGGGCAGTCGAGCACGGTGGCTCGGTTGCTAACTGCTCCTTCCTTCCTCTCTCTCTCTTTCTTGCAGGCTAAAAGTCTCTCTCCCCGCTCTGACCCGCTCACCGATTAGATGCGGGGTGTCTAGCGCGCCAGACCCGCTGCCCTTCCGTTCCCCTCCGGGTGCCTGTCAAAGGAAACCCGTCCAACAAAACTTCAACTCCCCTTAAAAAACTTCGCGCCCCCCCGCCGCCGTTACCTTTCTTCCCGATTCGCAGCAGCCCATTTTGCTCCCCTTGCAGCCCATCCCTCTCGCAGCGCGGCGCGGGGAAAGCTCTCCGCGGAATCCCAGGGGTTAAGAGCCGCCGCCGCCGCCGCCGCGGGACGGGGAGGTCTCCCTCATCCCGCGCGCTGCCTCCTCCGACGACAAGACCCCGAAAGTGAACCTGACAACAGCCTGCATGAACTTCATGCGGAGACCGTCGCGCGCCGTAAGTCTCCGAAGAGATGCCCCTTCGAATGGTTCCCTTGCAAAAAAAGAAAGAAAGAAGAACTAGACAAAACTCCAGCTGCGGAAGAGTTAAGAGAAGCATCGCGGTTGTTGATTATACGCGGCCGCAAGAGGGAGTCCGAGATGCAGGGGGCTACTTGACCTCCCAGGAACTTCCATCGCCAAAGAAGAATTATCATTGAATCATCGAATCATAAAACTGTAGCGTTAGAAGGGATCCTGAGGATCATTCTAATCCAGGCATAGGCAAACTCAGCCCTCCAGATGTTTTTTGGGACTACAGCTCCCATCATCCCTAGCTAACAAGACCAGTGGTCAGGGATGATGGGAATTGTAGTCCGAAAACATCTGGAGGGTCGAGTTTGCCTGTGCCTGTTATAGTCCAACCCACTGCAATGCAGGAATATATAGCTGTCCCATACGGGGATAGAAACTGCAACCACGCTCTAAAATCATATCATATCAATTACATTTGTCAGTCACTTTATCTTGCCTGGGGCAACCCGAAGCAACTTACAGCCAAACAGACAGACAGGCAGACAACAACAACCCCAGCATAGATATATTAAAACTGAGAGGAAAAAGAAGTAGCTTTTAAAAATCCCACCCACTTACCGGGGCATAGCTAGCTGCTCCGGCACCCAGAGCAGCGGGGCAGGGGCGATCCGCCCGGGGGGCAGTGCGGCGAGCTGCCCATGGAGTCTGCCTGGCGGACGCAAGCCCCACGCTGCCGTTTTGGGCAGTTCAGGGCCCTGAGCCACTGCTTCACTCCCAGGAGAGACGCGTGGCTCGGGCGCGCTGCAGGACAGGCCCCGCATTAAGTGCCCCCCCCCGTGGTGAGCCATTTTGTCACCCCCTCAGAGATAACACCCAGGGCTGCCGCACCCCCCGCACCCCCTTCCTACGCCCCTGCCCACTTCTAAAAGACAAGTAGTTGTAATGAATTAATTATTTTTATTAGTTTCTCTTTTTTTGCCATTGCAACTCAAAGAGACTTACAATATTTTAAGGAAAATACAAAGACAAACATAGATACATTAAAACCGGCGTTAGAAGAACAATCTAAAAAGACAATTCTATTATTATTATTTTGTTAAACTAAATTAAAACATCCCGCCCATGCAAAAAAAGGGGGGGCACAGATAATATACGCCCTATGTATGCATGTAAACTAGGCCTATGTGTTTCATGGCTGGGTAGGGGTTTGGACGCAGGTCTCTCCACACCTACTGTGACATTCGAACCATTACACCACACTGTCTGTGATTTCATAGAGTTGGAATGGTCAATCCAAGAGTCATCGAGTCCAACTCTCTGCAATGCAGGAATATGCAGGTAGCCCATATGGGGATCAAACCTGCAACCTTGGCTTGATCAGCACCACATTCTAACCGAGTGAGCTAACTGGAGTTTCTTCTTCTTAGATTTGTATCCTGCCTTTCTTTAAAAGCCCAAGACGGTGATGTTGCACTTTCTGCTTTTGGCCCCATTTTAAACAGGATATGAGTGGGTTGGTGGAATATATGCATTTGGAGTTGCATATGCCTGGCATCTTTTTTTAAACTGGGCCCTCAGCTGCGAAACATGTACAGTTACAGCGCTATACTATGCATGTGTCTGCTCGAAAGGAGGTCCTGTTGAATTTAATGGAGCTTAATCCCTGGTAAGGGACACAGGTGGCGCTGTGGTCTAAACACAGAGCCTAGGGCTTGCCGATCAGAAGGTCAGCGGTTCGAATCCCCGTGACGGGGTGAGCTCCTGATGCTTAGTCCCTGCTCCTGCCAACCTAGCAGTTCGAAAGCACGTCCAAGTGCAAGTAGATAAATAGGTACCACTCCGGGGGGAAGGTAAACGGTGTTTCCCTGCTCTGCTCTGGTTCGCCAGAAGCAGCTTAGTCATGCTGGCCACATGACCCGGAAGCTGTACGCCGGCTCCCTTGGCCAGTAAAGCGAGATGAGTGCCGCAACCCCAGAGTCGTCCGCGACTGGACCTAACAGTCAGGGGTAGCTTTACCTTTAATCCCAGGTAAAGAGCTCTAGGATTACAGCTACAGAATCCCAAGCATCTGCAGCCCAATCACACACAAATAGTGGCAGACAGCCTTGCTCAAACCTGGCAACATTGCACAGGTACATACATTCCTCTTTCCCACTTGTGTGGTGTTTCCCGTCTGGATTTAAGGGCAGCGCTGCAGCGGGTTTTGTGGCATGTTGTGGTTTTGGCTGTTCCTCAGCCCTGCCGCCTCCTTTCCCTCAGAGCAGCCCAGTATTAGCTGTAATACGATAACCTTTTCGGATATGTTGATAGGGCGGGCTTCCTGCTTTCTGGGCAGCAGCATGGCAGGGAGTGTTGTGGTTACAGACTTCAGTTACAGCACATGTTTGTTTTTAAAATGTTGCCATTTAAATCGGGGGCCCTGGGCGAGATTCGGTTACATCCCTTAAGACCCTTCCCTCAGTAAGAAGAATGGCAAATGCCTGGCTGGGAGGAATCCAGATAAATGGACACGTTTGTTGCCTCCTCCTTGGAAAGAAAAAAATATCTGTTAAACTAGCGGGCTGTAAATAATTACAGGGGCATCCATATTTGCATGGTGCCTGGTGCCTGGGATACAGTATATCCTAGTGTGCAGCAAAGGGTCTTTGCTGCAGAGATCTAGTTCATTCAGATGGCTGGCTGTATCCAAAGACATGGAAACTGGGAACCTTTGGTGTCCATCCATAATATGGCTCTGGAGGCAAGTGCACTGCTTTTCAGGGATATTCTGAGCCTGTTCCTTCTCCTCCCACAAGAGGCAGCTGGCTGGCCACTGTCAGAAGAAGATGCTGGACTAGATGGGCCTGATCTTGCAGGCTTTTCTTAAGTTCTTAGGTTCTCCAAGACTTCTGGTACAATGCCGTCTGGGCCAGGGAGAGCAACAGACCTCCACTTTATTCTGCTTCTTCATACATGCCTTTGCCTGCGAGGTTCACCTGGCTTGAGAGCAGGCTCTTCCAACAAAATGTTTCAGCACTCCGGTTAGCATTGCTCTCCGAGGATATCCCATTCCATTCACCTTCCCTGACACTCTTATTGCACAGTGTGATTCTTTTTGTGTGGTGCAATGGTTAGAGTGTTGGACTAGGACCTGGGAGAGTGGAGTTCTAATCCTCACTCAGCCAGGAAGCTCACTGGACGACCTTGGGCCAGTCAACGTCTCTTAACCTGACCTACTTCACAGGGTTGTTGTGAGGTTGAAACGGGGAGGAGGAGGACCATGTCCACCACCTTGAGAGCCTTGGAAGACAAAAGTGGTATATAAATGTCAACAACAATGGCCAATGATCAGTCCCACCACTTTGACCATAATACAGCACCTGACTTCATTATTTATATGTATGATTTATGGGAAGGCGGAAGGAGGAAGCCTCTTTCAGACTCAAGGTAAGTGGCTGACAGAGGAAACAGCTACTTCCTGTTGCTGCTGCTGCTGCCTCCTCCTTTCCTCTCCACCCCATCTTAGATCCTGCATCTGAGGGGCATTCACATGCCTCTTGAACTCCCCCAGCTTAACAAGCAGATATTTAAACTCAGGGCATGTCTTGTTAGCAGTGCCCCACAATTTCAGTCTGGCCTTGGTGTGCCAAACCTGAATAGCAGGAAGCAAACACAAAGCAAATATCCCGGGAAAGCCGCTGCAGCTTCTAGCATGACGCTTGCTATGTAAACTGCACAACCAGCTCTGGGCTTCGAATGCTACTGCTTAAAGCAGGGGTGTCCAACCATTTGGGGCACATTTGAGAATCTAAGGAACTCTCATGGGCAGCACAAAAACGCCATGTCACATGCAGAGGAAAAACTAGTGATGGTCAGACCAAAAATGAATGAGACATAAACTAAAAAGCAAGACCCTCCCCACAAAAAATAGGCAACCTGCTCCCAAGCAAACAATCCCCAAAGACACAAATACTCATTTTAAAAATAAATAAAATAAATAAAAATAAAGATTGTAATCTGAGGGTGTTGTGGTGCCCATTGGCACCACCTTGGGAACCCCAGACCTAAACATACAAAGGATGCCAGATCAGAATTGCAAAAATAATGGGGGGGGGGCTCTTGTGTCTGAAGTAATACGAAGTATCAGATAGATGAATGGGTAATGTTTAGGCAAGACTGCCCAGACACCTTTACTGCTCATTTTAATGATCTTTAAGGATTTTTAATTTTACAACTGTTTTCCTTAATAACTTTAATATTTCTAGTAAACCCCTTTTAGAGGTTTCATTATAATTAAGTGATATACAATTTCGGTTAGTTAAATAAAGTGCTGAAATAATGGCTTTGTGTGTGTTATTAACTATAGGAATGTGATGTCTTACTCTATAATAAAATTGTAAGTCTGTTGTCATGCTGCATTTTTTTCATGGCTGCCAACAGGCAACTCCAACATGATGACAGACTGGCAGGGAGGCAGGCAGGTGAGCAAGCAAGCAGTGTGGGAGGCAGGTGGCCCAGGAGAGCTGCTTAAAGGGAGGGGAGGCACTTCAGGAGGCACCTGGGCTCTCTGAAGTGCCTCTTAACCTACTATAAAAGGAGTTGGGTCAAGTTATGAGGGAGGGGTGGTAGTGGTTTGGGACAAGCTGAGAGGGGATGGGGAGTAGGTGGGTGAAGTATAACGGGAGAAGGAGTTAGCTGGGTGCAGAGGAAGGGGGCTTGGCAGGTAGGGGGATTGTCAAGCAGAGCAAGCAGGGTGGCAGCCCCAATTAAGAATGTAAGTGTATAATAACTACCAGAGTTCCACTTTGTCTCACAAAGTTCACAAGTATGGCAAGATGGAGACAGACATTTCAAGAGCACTTCAGTTAGGAGCAAGGTGTGGAAACAAGGCAACCTTTTGTTGCCAGTGTCACTTGTCACTTCAATGCTCAGTTGAATCTATGCTTCGGTTTGTGGAGATGGACTCCCCTAAGTAGGTTCAAATCGCTGTGACAGAGTGAGCTCCCATTGCTCTGTCCCAGCTCCTGCCAACCGATCAGTTCGAAAGCACACCAGTGCAAGTAGATAAATAGGTACCACTGTGGCAGGAAGGTAAACAGTATTCCTGTGCGTTCTGGTTTCTGTCATGGTGTTCTGTTGCACCAGAAGTGGTTTAGTCATGCTGGCCACATGACCCAGAAAGCTGTCTGCATACAGCCCTCGGCTCCCTCGGCCTGAAGCGAGATGAGCGCCGCAACCCCATAGTTGCCTTTGACTGGACTTAACCGTCCATGGGTCATTTACCTTTTTACTTTTATATTCAGTAGCACAGATGCCCTTCAAAATAGGAGTCCTCTGGCAGCCCCAAGCAATTAAGTTGTGCTGCAGTCACCCAGATGTGGCTGCCAGGCATTGGTGGAGCAGGTAGTGACACTGCAAACCTTCATGGGACCTGATTCTTATCCGTCAATCAAACTACTGTACTCTGCAATGTGTACAGCATGAGCACCCTGAAGCTGCTAAACCAGCTGCCTGAGTATGGTACTCTGGAGTTTGGGGCCCCACCTGCTGGATAGAAAATGGAAGTGCATTTCTATATGGGCTGGGAAAAGTTCCTTCCAAGCTCTTTCCTCTAGAATTGGAATCATTCGTTTCACCCAGCTGTCACTGTCAAGCTGCTGCATTCCTGTACCTGTTGTGTGGGGTTTTTTTCCAGAAGTGGTGACTTGCAGCAGATTTTTTTCCTGACTTAGGATGCAATTGCTGCTCTCCGCGAACGAACGAAGCATCGCTGACGCATTTGACAGGACAAGCGGGCCATGCTGACACAGGCTGCACGATGTGTTTCTCCATTGCTTACAACCCGGAAATGAATAAAAGGAAAGAGCCAGGGTCATGAGACGGTCAGGAGACGTGGAAGCCACTTGAAGCCACACCAAATGGGGACATCGCTGCTCGTTGAAAACTGCAATCCTTGATAGCACAAGGATGGAAGAATGAGGAAATCCCAACGAAAGAACAGTGGCAATAAAAATGGATGAGTTATGCAGAACTGGCTAAATTGGCATACAAACTGCGGGACAAGGACAACTGTGACTTTAAGGAAGAATGGGAGCTTTTTACAAATTATCTAAAAAGACAACAAAATGAACTGGACTCCTTGGCAGGGTTTGAATAAACATATACAAATTTATTGGTTGATAACATGATAGATAGATAACGTAAGGATATGTATAATTTTATAATATGTGCTGAGAGATCAGAGAGAGGAGCTATGGGAAGTCTCTGGGATGGGGGAGGGAGGGTTTGAAGGGGGGGAAATAATATGATATGTTTTGATAGTTTGTATGTTAAAATTGTTAATAAAAGTATTAAGAAAGAAAGAAAGAAAGAAAGAAAGAAAGAAAGAAAGAAAGAAAGAAAACTGCAGTCCTAAGCATGCTTCCTATGCAATAAGTGTCAAGGCTGGGTTTCGTTAGAGTCAGCAGCAAGTAAAACTGAACGTGGACTGCAATAACAAATGCAGCACTTTGTCCCCAGTAGGGAAAACAATAAGCCATCTTGCTGGAGACTGAATGCGGTAAAAGCAGGGAGTGAGCAGCTGCAATCTTCTTTTAAAAAGGGAGACACCTGCATTAACACCTGGCATTGCCAAGGTAGTTTTACTTGACAATGGAATGAGTCCTGTATTAGAGTCTAACACTCACTGGGTACACAGGACACCAAGAATGGGAAGGGACTAAGCAGTGCTTTTTTCTAAAAAATAAAAATAAAATGTTTAGGGGGTACTCTCATTTTCCTACTCATATTGAAATACTGGCCCTCAATGAGGTCAAACTTAGACTCGCAAAATGTTTAGGGGTATGCATACCCCTGCGTACCCCCAGAAAAAAGCACCGGGACTAGGGGCATCATCTAGACTGACCCCTCAAATCCACAACAGTATTATATATATGTCATCCACACACTAGTGTTCACTGGAAAATGTAAAAAACGGAACTTTGCTTTTCGACCATTTAACCTGAGAAGAATTGGACTACTGCGAGGGATAATTCCAAAAAGCGTTTTGTCCTTTTCCAATGTCAATAGGCTCCACTAAAGGGCAGTTCTCACAGTATTATCTTTAGGCAACTGGTCAGTTGCCACAAGAACCTTATCATCACTGATATGAAAAGCTTCTAGTTACTTGTTCCTCTAGTTGACTTTCCCTGTCCTTGACACAGTCCAGTATTCATTTTTTCTTTTGGGGCTATATATAATTGCATTCTAGACAGCTACTTGTTCAAAGTCGGATCTAGGGGAGTGCGACTGGTCGCACCCAGCACAGAGCTTCTGGGGTGCCACAACTATTACATCCAACAGAAGGCGAGAGGTGGGGGAGGGTGCCCAATTTTGGCACCGCACAGGGCACCACTGAAATTTGAGGTGCCGAGGCCCACCACTGACATGTTCTCACCTTTTTGGATGGCATGCATATCTGTGGTATGATAAGGTCAAAGCACATAAAGCATTTAATAATCGCATTGTCAGGAAAGCACTGTTTAATGTTTGGATAAGATACAAGGATCTACATGAAAATAAAACTCCAAGCGGGCTGACACCGATGGAAGCGAAGGCTCTGACAAAGCTCAATATGGAGGCCAAATGGCTGAAATATTGGGAAATTCTGGAACAAGATGGAGATAGACTGAAATTGCAGAGTTTTGAAAAATCTAAAAACAAAGTGCGAGACTGGCTTCATTATTTTCAGATAATGGAGGCATTCAATCTGGACAAGAAAATTGGCTTCCAGGTGGAAAAATCAAAATTAGAAACTGAACTGTTAGAACCCAAAACTAAGAATTTGTCAAGAATGTATAACTTGCTGCTGAAATGGAACACTCAGGATGAAACGGTGAAATCTGCTATGATTAAATGGGCACAAGATGTTGGACACAACATTATGTTCGCTGACTGGGAACAGTTATGGACCACAGGTATGAAATTTACGGCATGTAATGCCTTAAGAGAGAATATTATGAAAATGATATACAGGTGGTACATGACACCAGTCAAGCTTGCAAAAATCTATCATTTGTCCAACAATAAATGTTGGAAATGTAAGGAAATTGAAGGTACATTTTTTCACCTTTGGTGGACGTGCCCAAAGATTAAGGCTTTCTGGGAAATGATATATAATGAATTAAAAAAGGTATTTAAATATACCTTCTTGAAGAAACCAGAGGCCTTTCTCCTGGGCATAGTCGGCCAATCGGTGTTAAAAAAGGATAGAACTTTCTTTATGGATGCAACAACAGCAGCAAGAATACTCATCGCAAAGTATTGGAAGACACAAGAGCTACCCACACTGGAGGAATGGCAGATGAAATTGATGGACTATATGGAATTGGTGGAAATGACTGGCAGAATCCGTGACCAGAGTCGGTGGAAGAAGATTGGAAGAAATTTAAAGATTACCTACAGAAATATTGCAAAATTAAAGAATGTTAGAGTGATGATGGATTGAAATTAAGTGGTTTCTAGCTGTACAGGCTTTAAAGTTATATTATATTAAGATTAAGGATTGAGATTAAAAAGGAGGGAAAGGAATTGCTGGACAAACAAACTGAATTGGAATACAAAAGAGGGAGGTATGAGGAGGTCCAGGAAATAAGTAAATCCAAAAGTAGTGATGAAAAATGGAATTGTTTTTAACTGTTTTTTCTCCCCCCCCCCTGTATTTTGTATTGTGTATCTTTCTTCTTACTTTTAATTTTTTTTTATTGATGTGTCTCTTTTCATGTGAAACTTTAATAAATATCATAAAAAAAAAAGACATGTTCTCACCTTTATCTCCTTGCCTTTGAAGGCTGAAGTACCCTTGAATTCAGCCCCCATCTGTGCTCAACGTTTAAAGCAGTATCATTCCACTTTATGCAGTCATGCCTTCTGCCAAAGAATCCCGGGAGCCGTAGTTTTCTAAGGTTGTTGAGAGCTGTTAGGAGACCCTTATTCCCTTCAGAGAGCTACATTTCCCAGAGTTCCCTGGGAAGAGGGCTTGACTGTTGAAACACTCTGGGAACTGTAGTCCAAGTACATTATGTTGATCTGAACACTATCCCCATGCTTGTTGATACACTCTAAGAAATGTAACAGGTTTGTGAAACGGAGTTGTGTTTGTTTTTCTTATGTATTTTGTGTTTTTTATATTGTGATTTTTATATTGTGTGAGATCTATGGGTATAAGAATGTATACAAAATTATCAATTAATTATTAAATAAATTTAAATCATTAAATTATTTATTTATTTAAAAGGAGCTACAATTTCTGGAACTATTGCAATCCATCACTATTATAGACCTCATAAGTGGATAAGTATAACTCAAAGAACAACCCTTTTTTCTTTTTTCCTCCCCCCCCCCCCTTTTCTTTAAGAGACAATAATTGGAAACTGGACTGGCCTAACTTACTTATTACTCTACCTTCTCAGTCTTTTGGAATACTAATTAACTACTTTTCTCTTTCACTGTTCAACATTGCATTTGTACATTTTATGTTTTTTTTGACTTATTGGAAGTTTTACTTTTACTTTTTATGTTTCACCTCTGCGTTTGTGATAAAAGTGCATGTTACAGTGTGGGGCGGGGGAGAAAGCAGACAAAAGGGAAAGAGAAACTAAGAGAAGTCTGGGAGGGGGGGATAGTCTCACAGCTGGATAGACTCAGAATTTGCAAGTGTTACCTTGAACAACTCATATAATGCTAGGAACCAACAGATAAGAAATGTCTGGCATGGAAAGAGCAACAAGGAAAGCCATTGCTGCGACTGCTGCCAGATGGGCCAGTGTACAATTGGGAGACACAGGAGATAAGGGAGAGAAAGAGCAGGCAGATCCTTTTGCATTGCAGCTTTCGGAATTCAGGAAAGAGATCAATCAATCAATGCAAGAATTTACACAACTGGTTCACAGTGATATGGAAAAATCTAACTTATCATTTAAGGAACAAGTACACAGAGACATTGAGAACTCAAACAAAGTTCTGAAAGAACAGTTTGGGATATTGGGAGACAAGGTCACTAATTTGGAAACAAAAGTAGACAAATTATAAAAACTAAGAGAGGAGGTAGCAGAAGTAAAAGAGGAACAAAAAGGGGCGTTGGGACTGATACAAGGGGTTCAAGAGAAACAGAATGACTTAGAAGATCAGGTTCTTCTTTTTCAATTAAGAGATAAAGACAGGACGCTCAGAATCAGAGGTCTTCCATACTCTGACTCTGAGCCAATCTTAGAGACAAATGTCACACAGACAATCTCAGAATGGATGGGGGAAAGTAAAAACTGGTTGGATGACCTAGTAGAAAGCTGTTGTAGAATTAAATTGTTCCAAAGCAGAGAACGGAAGCAGCCAGGAGATATCTTGTTAACATTAGTGACAAAAGAAGTAAAGGATGCAATCCTTCAGAATAGTTTTGAGAAAGATCTCATGGTTGCTGAGCAGAAGGTAGACATTTTTAGAGACATTCCACTGAAATTGAGATTAAGAAGAACAAAATATAGGTTTTTGACCACAGTACTCAGGAGAGCTGACATCAGATACAAATGGGAATTCCCAGAGGACATTTCCTTTACATACATGAAGAGGAGATACAGACTGACATCAGAATTTCAGGCAAGAGAGGTTTTGGACAAAAACAGGAGAGACTTAGACCCTAAACAAGATAGGGGAGACCCCTGAGCTGAGCAAAAGAAAGCTCTGGAACAACTAGCATTGGAAGAGGTAGCATCAGGGAAAACAAATATTGTAACTGACTTTGAAAATGGCCAAACTTAAAATATTGAGTTGGAATGTAAATGGTTTAAACTGTGGAGCCAAATGTCATCGAATTGAGCATGTAATAGCAAAACAGAAATTAGACATACCGTATTTTTCGTCCTATAGGATGCACCGGCCCATAGGACGCACCTTGTTTTTTGGGGGGGAAATGAATAAAAAAAATTTATTTTCCCCCCAGCCGCGGCTGCAGCCTCAAGCCTTGCGCACACCTGCCCGAAGCACGGGGCACCCTCCGGAGGGGCTGCACGGCTTCCTGCCCAACTTCTGTCTATTGAGTCAGTGTAACTAGGAGCTCAACCTAGGCAGCCAGCAGTGGCTCCATCTGGCAGCCAGCTGTGGCATTTGTCAGCAAATGTATTGGCTGATGGTGGGCGTATGTACACTGTTATGATAACTTTGAGGATTAGGCCTGGCGGCCCACTGCTTCCCTGGTATTTCTCAGGCCCAGCAGGGACCAGAGCTTGGCAGTGCAAATCAACCCATGGTAGAGGGATTCTCTCCTCTGCTGATACCAAGAAAATGAAAAGATCGTGCCTCCACAGAAGGGAGGGAGGGAGGGTAGGGCCGGTAGGAGATATACTATTTATTTCCTCCCTTTAAGCCTTTGTAGAGGACAAGGGAAGAAGCAGTTGTCATTGCCTGGCTGGTGCGAAATGAAGCAATGTGTTCCGTGAATACATCTCATTGTCTCAGTCCTTTGCAAACCTTCTCTCACACACAGTGATATATGGACACTCCGACTCTTCTTAAGCCCGATTGCTAAATAAGGCTGTTGCAAACCCAGGCCTGCTAAAAATAGCCAAGCATTCTCATGCCCTTCTTGACCTTCCAGATGCTCCCTCTCGTGCAGTCAGAAAATGTGGTTTAAAGAAGGAGAGCAATAGCTCTTCAGATGACTTTTACACCTCCAAGGTCCTGGAGAGACATGCTCCCTCCCTCCATTCTCCTTTCGAGCAAAGTGCAGGATTTAGTACTCATCTGGTAGAGACAACAAGCTATGGAAAGCTAACATCTCTTTGCACTGCATGATTAGGTGTCAACAAGACTGTCCTTCATCTCGGAGTGGGGAAACCTGTGGGGTTCTCCAGTTGTTGTTGGACTCCAGTTCCCATCATCCCCAGTCAGTGCATGGCCAATGGTTGGGGATGATGGGAGCTGCAGTTCAGTAGCATCTGAAGGGACACAGGTTAGCCACCCCAGATTTATCTAATGCAGGAGCATTCCAGATGTTATGACAAATAAACCTAAAGCAACCGATATACAGTTGTACCTTGGTTCTTGAACGTAATCCGTTCTGGAAATCCATTCAACTTCTGAAACATTCGAAAACCAAGGCACGGCTTCTGATTGTCTGCAGGAGCTTCCTGCACTCAAGTGGAAGCTGCATCAGACGTTCGGCTTCTGGAAAACGTTCAAAAACGGGAACACTTACTTCCAGGTTTTCGGCATTCGGGAGCCAAAACGTACGAGTACCAAGGCATTTGAGAACCAAAGTATGACTATATATACTTCTCAGAAGTCTCAAGCTTAATAGGGCTTAATCTCAGGAAAGTGGGTAGGATTGTAGACTTACACTTTTAAGTTTAATACACAAAGCTAACAGTGGAATTTTAGCTGCAAAGTTCATATGTAGTGCATTATAAGTTTTAAGGGAGCAATCCGAAGGTGAGGATGGGTAGGAATGTGAGGAGGGCAGTGGTGTGGGGAGTCATTCATGAGAGTTCCACCATTTTTGCCAGGAATCTGGACAACCCTTTGACTAAATTTGTGGTGCTGGGCCTGAGAGACAGAAGGTGGATCCCCTTGGTGTATCTCCCATCTGATTGCTCATGGATTTTGCAATACACATAATCTAAAAGGCACAATTTGTGTGCATGTATGTAATATTTTTTCCCCTCTCTTTTATGGCTGTCTCAAAAACTGTATGCTGCATACTGTATGATGTTTATGGTCTTTAGACCAAATAAACTGAAACAGAAAGAAAATAAATAAAAGCAGACCTCCAACATGATTGAGAGGTTGAATATGTGAGATGAGTGACGGTGGCATGGCAAGGTTGGATAAGAGGCTGGCTGAGTCAGTGGAGTGGGTGTAACAGCAATAAGTTACACCTAGAGTGTGGGTTAAACAGGTCCTTTCCCATGTAAATATCATATTTCCCCCCCTCCCTCCTTTTAGTACATCATCAAAAGATTGCTTCAGTGTCATGTGTTCTGCACACCCAAAAATGCAGCTCACACTTGTTTCCCAGAGACTTCCACCCATAATAAAACCTTAATACATATTTTACAGATAATGCAACAAACTCTTTGGTTAAATGTATGTGCCCTGAGGGGGGAAAAACCTGTGTGTAAGTTCCACATCTGATTCGCATGCGCCATACAGTTGCATAATGGCTTCCCATTTTCTCAGAAGATGCGTTGGTCTAGCTCACCTGTCATTTATGAAAGATAATATTTTTCTGATGGTTGTTGTTTAATGCTTTTTGTGGATTTGGTTTTATGGTTCGCATATTTCATTTGCTGTAAGCCACTTTTAGTTTTTCTTTTCGGGGTGGGAGAAAGCAGGACACACATTTTAATAATTTTTTTTAAAGTCTTCTGTTCATTCTTTCCTTATATACAGGGCAGTAACAACCCATGACTTTGATCTGGTGGGTATGGAATATAACAACAGTATTGGAGAAACTCTTGTAGGCAATTTCATCCAGCCCAATAGAGAAAGTAATGGGCCAGTCCACAACCACTATCCTGCCTATCCATCATTTTGATTTTGAGGGTTTCTTTAGGATTTTTTGGTGGAGGCATCCTAGCATGCCGCTCTCCAGCTCAGCTGGCTTCCTGCAATTATTTTTGTCTTCTGCTGTTGCTAAATTTCTAGGGGTATGTGTGGAATTTATATTCTACCTTTCCTCCAAGGAGGTCAAGGTCAAGTACATGATGCCCCACTCTCGATTTATCCTCTCAACAGCTATATAGGGTGAGAGATGACAATTTGGTCCAAGTCACCTATTGAGATGCATCACTGATCTGGGATTTGAACCTGGTTCTCCCCCATTCTGCTTCTACACTCTAATCTTTATGGCACATGTGAAACCCTCCAGATATTGCTGAACTACAACTTCCATCAGTATGGACATAGCTGGACATAGTAAATCAATAAAAATACTTAACTAACTGAGGTTCTGCATCTAGAGCACCAAAGGTTCCCCACATCTATGGTGCATTTCCATTGGAATATTCAGCATAACTAGAAAGTGGAGAAGTCAACAGAGTCTCCTCTATAGTTTCCTAGGCTCTCCAGTTCTCCAGCTGAAGATAAAAGGGGGGAGGAGAAAAGTGAATTAACTTCAGTGGTACAGCATCAGCTTTGCATGCAGAAATTGCATGCAGGTAGGGCTGGGAGATCCTTGCCTGCAGGGCCACCCATGAGGCAGACTGAGGTAGCCGCTGTGGGAGAAAAATGCACAAACACATCCTGCCACCTGCGGTTTTAGCCAAATAATGCCTGCTCCTATAGCCTTCTAAAATAGGAGCAAAGGAGAATGAAGCAAAAGGTGAGGGGGCTGAGCACCTGCAATTCAGGCATCGGTACAGAGCCCTCACCTCTGTTGAATATGTGAGAACAGCAACACATGGAACATTTATTCTAATAACTCGGCTGTTTATTGTTTACAGCTGCCCAAGTCCAGGGCCGGCCATGCGGGCAGATGCTTTTGGTGGCGGAATCCTGCTTTGATGGCTATGACAGCAGCTTCCAGCGCCGGAACTCTCATGAGATCTCGTGAAACTCCCGCGTGATCTTGCGAGAACTTGCCGGAGGCCACTGCCTTATGGCCCTGGTAAGTGAAGCTTTGGAGGGAGAGGGCAGGTGTTGAAACCAGATGGGCCACTCCTGCCCAGGGCAAAGATCTCAGGCCAAAGAATTAATAATACAGTGGTACCTTGGGTTACAGATGCTTCAGGTTACGGACTCTGCTAACCCAGAAATAGTACCTCGGGTTAAGAACTTTGCTTCAGGATGAGATCAGAAATCGCACGGTGGCGGCGTGGCAGCAGCAGGAGGCCCCATTAGCAAAAGTGGTGCTTCAGGTTAAGAACAGTTTCAGGTTAAGAATGGACCTCCAGAATGAATTAAGTTCTTAACTCAAGGTACCACTGTAATAATAATAATAATAATAATAATTCATTTATACCCTTCCCATCTAGCTGGGTTTCCCCAGCCACTCTGGGCGGCTCTCAATAGAATATTAAAAAGCAAGTTCAACTTAAGTGGGAAACTGGCCCTGATTAGTAGTCCATTTGGGCCTCTCAGGTAGCTGAAGAGAAGTTTATTCTGGCCCAACCACTTAACATAGGTCTCTGCCTCAAAAATAAAACAATCCTACTCAGTTCTCTCACATGACCTACTTATATTGAGCCCTTCTGGGCTTGCTTCTTGAAGAGGCAGTATACAACACCCCCCCACACACCATGTACACATGTACCCTTGGCCCAGAGGTTGCTGAATGGCTTCCCACCCTTCCCTGTCAACAGTTGCCATCCGCAACAGCAGCCCACCTGTGGCAAGGATGGGAAAGGTGTGGCTCCCCAGGTGTTGTTGGCCTCTGTCTCCCACCAGACCCAGTTACTGAGGCAGAGAGAGGCGTTTACCAGAGGATGAAGGCAGATTTAGCCCCCAAAGGGATGGTGGCCCTGAAGCCTGAGCAGATGCATCTTTACTTCCTCCCATAAAAGTGAATGACTGGAATTTGTAATGCGGTGGAGCAAAACCTGTTCAGCATCCAAGCATCAGATGCTTTAGTTTTCATCAGCCAGATATATTATCCTTTAAGAAATTAAGGTATTGTGAATTCAAGTGAATGAAGCACATTACTCAGCTTCCTTCATGATTTTCATTTGAGTTGTTTCTTAGCTTGAAGGGTTGTTTTATTTTTTTGATATCTCTACTCAAAAACAAAAACACCACTTGCATACACTACCTTGGATATCATTCCCCAGAATGACAATGTATGGTATGCATCTTTTCAATGAACTTTAAGTAAATTATTGTTTGTAATTTGGGTCCCCTGCATTCCTCTGCAATTATATGTTTACACTGCATTCCTATACATGTTGCATCAGAAGAAAGTCCCACCGATTTTAATGGGATTTACTTCCAGGTAAACGTGTATAGAAGTGTAGCTTTATTATTAACAAATGAATTATAACCAACAACCCTTGGCCCTCAAACTAAAAAATACATAAAAACCATTCCCCAAAAGTGGGTCAAACCTGAAGTTCCCGTTTATAAGTACCACTTAATTTGAACAGGGCTCTCTCTCTCCCTCCCGACAAAACTATTTCTTAGGCTCTGGAATTTATGGCTACACAAGATGCCTTTGTGCGCATGCAAAGGGCCTTGGCCTCACCGCTCTAGAGTAGCCAAGCCACAGGTGGGATGAGAAGGATGCGATGCTCTCGAATGCCTGATCCCGACCTTTTATTTAATCAATGAAACACGGTCTGCGCGTGAATGGAAGCGCCTGCGTCCTCCTCCTCCTCTCCCTTTCCTGCGTTATCTGGGGGAAATGCGCCTTCCATCCCAGCAGAGGGCAGAGCCGCTTCCCTCCATCAAGGGCATGCTGGGTGATCATTTCCCGGTGCCTGAATCCCTCTTTAAATGCGATTGAGGAAGGAGGGGAACCTGTGTGTCTAGTGCCTGCGGGGGAAAGAACAAGCCGGTACTTGAGCTGAGCAAGCGTCTTCTGCTACGCTTGCTTGGGACGGTGTCAGGTGCTTTCTGTCTCCGACTCCTGAGCAGCTAAAGTCCAGCGTCTCGTTTTGCACCCGCCCTTTCCGCGCTTGTGATCCGCCCGCTCGCTTCGCTTCCTCGGTCTCCTTGGCGCTGCGTTCAGTTTCAGCCTCGCCTTCCTGCGTTCCGGAGCAGCCCCAGAAATGCCCGCTTTGGCGCTCTCGCTGGCGCTGTGCGCCCTGCAGATGTGGCCAGCTGTGGTCGGCGGCCCTCCCCAACAGCGGTTCGCCGTGCTGGACAAGCACTGGCCCCTGAGGCTCACCAAGGTAAGGGGCCAGCTGTTCGGCATCTCCTGCGGGGTGGGAGCGCGGGGTGGAAGAAACACCACGGACAGAATCATTGCCGCACACAGGAAGAGTTCGTCTGAGTTCCTCCCTTGCGGTTTTATAAATCATTTAATGTGTCAACACGACTAGAAGTGCAGTTGTTGGAGGAGGGATTATTATTGTGGCCCATCTTTTTGTGCCTGCCTAACAGCCGTGTCATGCTTATAATATTTTATTCTCTTGTTAATTATGCTGTCTTAAATGTGCATTTTATATTTGACTTCTCTTCGCAGTGTTTTCTTTTGAAATGTTTAATATTTTGTTTTTTGTTAACTTTGTGTTAAATATGTATTCTGTAGTTGACCTCCTTTGTAGTGTTTTCTTTTGAAATCTTTTGAGGTGGTATTTTGGTTTCCTGTTAACTGTGTTGCTTTGACTGTACTTGATATCTAACTTTCTTCAGAAATGTTTGGGTCTGCATTGTTTTATTGATGTTTAATATGCTGTAAACCACTTTGAGATTTATATTTCTTAAAAATATAAAGCGGTATAGAAATGAAATAATAATTGAAATTAAGATTTTGGAATGCAGAACTACTGTAAAGAAAATCATCAAATCTAGCACGTGGGGGGCAACTTTATCTAAATTATATAATTCTGGATTTGAACGATTGGTATTAATAATTGTATTATAAATTGATATTGTTATAATGAGGCTATTATTGGATTGTAATTGAAAACTAATAAAACTTAATATTAAAGGGAGTGTGGGATGGGGGGTGTCGTTGTTAAATGGGAAATATTCGGGTGGGGGGCATGTCTCCAATGTTTGCACACTGGTGGTACCCATCTTGGCACTGGTGAGTCACACACACCTCTGCTAGGATAGCCCATTATGGCAGGGATAGCCAGCATAGCTTCCTCCAGATGTTGCTGGATGAACTGCTACTCCCCTTATCCCTGACCTTTGGCCATGATGGCTGGGGACAATTGCAGGTGCACTCCAATATCTGGAGAGCACTATGTCAGCAATCTCTGCTTCAACGTATTTCTCGGTTCCTAAATTTGCTTCCACAGAAGTGTGTGCCTTGTAAAAGCCTTTAAAAAATTGCTTTCTCTTTCAGGCTATACCGTATTTTTCGTTCCATTGGACGTACCGGACCATAGGACGCACCGGACCATAGGAGGGGGAGAACAGGGAAAATTTTTTTTTTCTTGTTCTCCCCCTCTAAAACAAGGTGCGTTCAAGGTACATTCACCAGAGCTTGTGGGGCTGGCGGTGGGGGGAAGCGCTGCTTTCCCCCACCGCCAGCCTCAAAGATCCCTGAAGCCTTTGGAGCGCAGCGCCCCGCTGCCCTGCAGAGGTTTGCGCGCAGCCATCCCCAAGCTAGAACAGCGAGACGGAGCCCTCCGTCTCGCTGTTCTGGCTTGGGAACAGCCTTGCTAGCTTCTGCAGGACAGCGGGGTGAAGGCACCCCGCTGCCCTGGAGAGGCTGTGCGCGCAGCCATCCCCAAGCTAGAGCAGCGAGACGGAGCGCTCCGCAGTGCTCCGTCTTCCTGTTCTGGCTTTGGGCTTAGCGGCGCAGCCTGCATTCGCTCTATAGGATGCACACACATTTCCCCTTAATTTTTGGAGGGGGAAATGTGCGTCCTATATAACGAAAAATACGGTAAGTGCATTTCTGCACAGAGATGCATTTGCATGTGGAAAACACTTAAACTCTTCTCATTCCATGTGGTGGGAGGCTATTCTCACAGTTGACGCTGCCTGCTTCCTTTAGCCTCTCTGTTGCTGTCTGCATTGATAACTAGCCCCTTCCAAAAGTCGATATAATTAATGAAGCTCTAGCAACAAAGCTAAGAGTCTTGTGGCACCTTAAAGATTAATAAATTTATCATGGCATGATCTTTCAATGTGCTGCAATCAGGAGCTGTTCAACGGTGGAATGGACTCTCTGCAGAAGGTGGTGGGTTCTCCTTCCTTGGAGGTTTTTAAGCAGACGTTGGCTGGCCACCTGTCAGGGATGCTTTAGCTGCATTGCACAGGGTTGGACTAGATGACGCTCGGGGAGCTGTGCTATGATTCAGTCCTTAAACCTCTGTTTCCATAGGCAGCCACAATGACTCTGCATATGCTAGGTTTAGTGTTTCAGTTAATGCTTGACACTTACGGAAAGTGAATTAGATAAGTGTTAATTGGATAAGTGTTAGATGTTCATCAGTGTGATGGTGTGGCATTAATAGGTTTGCATAACATAGTCCAGGAATAATAAGTGGCGCTCTAATTGGGCCTGCTTGACTCCGCCAGGATAATACTGTGCCCACTAGTGACAGGTGGAATGTGGAGCATTACAGTCTGCCCAGCTGACGTGGGATGGATCAGAGCCAGTTATTGGGTTGGAAGGTTTTCAGACTGTAATGATCTGTGGTAAGCTCATCAAGCGTTATTGCTGTGTCATTCCGCGGCAGCATCTTGACCCAGGCGAACATGGCTACTTGCAAAGCTACACCTGGGTCATGTGGACTTGTACAAGTCAAGATGTAAGGTAGTAATTACAGTTATAGTGTACGACTTATTTGCACCAGGTTTTCCTGTGTGTTTGCAGCTGTTTGCGTTCCCATTTAATTCGCAGACCACAGGACATTGCCCTCAAAGAACAGTACAGCGGTACCTCGGGTTACGTACGCTTCAGGTTACATACGCTTCAGGTTACAGACTACGCTAACCCAGAAATATTACCTCGGGTTAAGAACTTTGCTTCAGGATGAGAACAGAAATCGTGCTCTGGCGGCGCAGCAGCAGCAGGAGGCCCCATTAGCTAAAGTGGTGCTTCAGGTTAAGAACAGTTTAAGGTTAAGAACGGACCTCCGGAACGAATTAAGTTCTTAACCCGTGGTACCACTGTAGTCTCAATACTTACCCCCTGTAAATTCAGGTTTGCCCAAGATAGGGGAAAATGGGGCTCTAAACTGCTCCACCAGGGTCACAGGCTATTTGTTTCAGTGTTTTGGGGTGGGTGGATTAATGGTCACTTTCTGCTATTCTCCTTTCCATGCCTGCTGCTTCCTTAGTGCTTTCATTTCCCCCCCAGCTGTGGTCATAACTATTTCCGGTGCTCTCCCGATCTTTTTGATCCCTCAGATTTGCAGAAAGCCAGAAAACTGCAGAAGCAAATCATATTTAAAAAAACATCACCAGATATATTGGGCAGCAATCCGAAAAGTGTGTGTTGAGTGTTTACAATCACTTTAATTTCTTTTCCAGCATGCCAGTAATGGAGAGTCAGGCACTTAGCCTCTCTCTCTCTCTGTTCCCTCAGATTTGCAAGAAAACTGTACAAGCAAATTTACAAGTTGCCTGATGGTGTGCTTTTGCAAACTTCTTGAGTGGGGAATCTTTTTTTTAAAAAAGGCTCTGTGCACATGCCTTGTCAGTATTTAACTGGCATAATAGAAGCAACAAATTTGAAGGCAAACACAAGCACAAAAGGGAAAGCCTGCTGTTATGATTGGGAAAAGAACAAAGTTGTTCCTCATATGCAAATTCACATGTGTGGGTGTGGATTTCTGTGGTCTAATTCAAACTGGTGGGGTAGGATGGGGGGAGAGTTAACAGCAGAGTAATGCTCAAGTGTGGACAAGCCCATGGATCGTAGTAACTGTTGGTAATAGGAAAATGCCCAAGGCTTTGCAGTTGAATATGAATTTGAATCAGAATTTGCTTACACGCCCCAAACCTCCCATTGCTCAATATGCTGATTTCTCTTTCTTTCCATTTCATTTCAACCATAAAAACGATGTTGCAAGTGCAGTTAGATGTCTCTCTTGGCACTATGTGACTAAGCAGCGTACTGCGACTGATCCTCAAATTTTATAGCTCAATTGGTAGAGCATAAGACTTGTAATCTCAGGGTTGTGGGTTCGAACCTCACGTTGGACAAAATGTGCATTGCAGGGGGTTGGACTGGATGACCCTTGTGGTCCTGTCCGACTCTACAATTCTATGATTCTCTATAGCAATAAGATCCTGAAGCAAGTCATTTGTTCTATCTGTTCAGTACTGTGTATAATATAAGAGTTTCTACATCAAAAATGGGGAACCTGCGGGCCTCTAGATCACTTCAGCTGGTGGTTGGGCCCTGCTTATATGCAGATGCTGAGAACTGAAACTGTGATCTTTTGCAGTCAAAACATGTGAAATACAGCACTTCTCCATTCCACGCCTTGAGTCCACGTGCTACCTGGGGAACTTGTTTTGTTAAGAACATTTGTTCCATGTCTGAAAAAAGAAATTTTGTAGAGGTTATGACAAGCAGAAGTGTTTCTTCCATAACCTAACCTAACCAATTTTTTTTAATTTTTTTTTTTGCTACCTCTGAATTCCAGCTTTGTATTAGTAGCAACCTTCCCAAGACATTTAAACCTTGGGACAAAACCTTCCTGTCTAGAATGGTTTGTTTTTATTAACTTATTTTATTAGTTTATGAATCACCTTCTACATAGGTCCGAAGGCAATTTACAAACATAAAAACAGCTGAGAATAATTTTAAAAAGAGTACCCAAAATAAATGGTGATAGGTTTAAAAATGATACAAAATGAGCAATACATGTGTACTCAATTCCTGTACTGGCAACATAGGAAGCTGTCTCATACTGAGTCAGACCATTGCATCCCATATTTTCTTGCTCTCCAGGGTTTCAGGTAAGGAATTGTTCCCAGCTGCTGCATCCTTTCCCAAAATCTAGTGCCTAAGGTTTCCCCCTCCCTCTTGGGTCACATTTGGAGCTGATCTGCATTGTCAGAAATGCCACGTAGCATTTCTGGAACTGTGCTGCTTCAGAATTCAGGCATGCTATTGTACGATGGAACTTTCTTCCATTTCAAAACTTGTATGCCTGTGGGAAGCTAGCATAGAATCATAGATTTGGAAGAGATGCCCAAGGCATCTCTACTAAAGCTTCCATGACAGGTGGCCATCCAGCCTCTTCTTCAGTGAAGGAGAGTCCACCACCTTCTGAGGAAGTCCGTTCCATGGTCAAACAGCCTTTTCCATCTGTGACCTCCGTGAAGTCCAAAATGAAAGGTTAGCTGATTCGTCAAATGTAACCAGTTATAAAAGCCATGGGTATTCAGTACTTTAATTTACCCTTTCAAAAAAGTTATCTTTGAAGGAGGAATGTCGTTCTTTAATTACAAGGGCAAACCAACGATAATCGTCTTGGTGAGTGGGGTGTTGTTCACTGCCAAAATGTTTCGGATAATTTCCATAACCAGCACTATAGTCCACATTTCACCAGTCACAGAAGTCAGTTACAGAGCTAATTGTAGCAATCACTTCAAAGTATATTGCGTAACTGTGGCTAACAAACTGTGTCGACATGCTGATGTGGGAGGAGGGTTGTACATTCTGAGCATATATCTGAGCAGGATGGGAGAAAGCCAAGGTTATCTTGCTTCTGGAATGCCAATGCCTTCCCTCCTGACAAGTTCTACTTGCTTTAGGGCAAAAACTAGGCCTGTTTAACAGGACCCACAGTGAACTTGCGAACATCAGCTGATGTCCCAGTATCCTGTCAAATTCTTTACTACTTTTTGAAGTAGTGTACTCTTGCCGATTGCTCAACACCAAACTGCTGCCTTACTCTGGATGTTCTAATTATCATAGAATTGTAGAACTGGAGAGTTGGAAGGGACCTCGAGGACCATCTAGTCCAACCCCCTGCAATACCGGAATCTTTTTGCCTAATGTGGGGCTCGAACTCACAATCCTGCAATTAAGAGTCTCATGCTCTATCTATTGAGTTACAGCAACCCAGAGTCTCTGCATTGACCACTCTTGAGGCGCATGGAAATTGTTTGTGGAAGTCCCCATTTGCACCCGCAGAAAACTGAAACCTCTTTTCAGTGTTGCACTGAAGACCTTACTGGCATGCCCAAACCTTTTCGTTACTCGATATATTTTCATGCTTTGTTTTATACTGTTGTAAACTGCTCAGAGGCTTGTGAGTTTGTTTTGCGGTGAAACAGTTTGTAAATGTTGTCAGATAAAACAAGAAATAATGCCCGGCCTTAGACATGTTTTGGCAACGTGGCTTTTCATTTGCAAAGCTACAGTGGCATATGGTTGCCCAGTATTTTGGTCCTTGTTGGGCTACGTGGGTGGTCAAGGGACACTTTAGACTATGCTTCCTCAAACTCAGCCCTCCAGATGTTTTGAGACTACAATTCCCATCGTCCCTGACCACTGGTCCTCCTAGCTAGGGATCATGGGAGTTGTAGGCCAAAAACATCTGGAGGGCCAAGTTTGAGGAAGCCTGCTTTAGGCCAGCAGTGCCTCACTTGAGGCCCACTGGTTTTTCCTTGACTCAGCTCCCATCATCCCTGAGCATGGGCCATCCTGGCAGATGGGATTTGGGTATCCAACCACCTCTGGAGGGCCACAGGATTCCCAACCCTGCTCTTAGACCACCGCTTTTTAGAGAGAGCCTCATGAGAACACCCTTCCATATCACTTATTTAATGTTAAACGTTGGGAGTCTGATCTCTGATAAAGGACCCTAAGCTGAGAAATGGGATGGGGGAGCCTTAGAAGGATATGTGCCTTTCTCAAGGTTGGTGAATCACTGAAGTTGGGCTGTACCCCAAACGGAGGACAGTGGGCAGGACACCGTGAGCTTCCCGGAGTGTCTGAGGAGTGCTGCGGCTCCAACATGTAGAGGCCTGGAGTGCTGTGTGATGAAATAAGATTTTGGTGCTGTACTCTGTCAAAAGAGATCCTTGGGAACATCTAGGCAGGTGCCCTTGAGACGACAGAGGTTTTACGGGTTGGGCCAAGGGGAGTTGCCCCTGTCTAACCAGTCTGTTCAACGAATCAAACATTGGGAAACTCCTAAGCCCCCAAAAAGCACTTCTGGGAATGAGTTGGAGTCTCGACGGCAGGCATGCTTGCCAGGTGTGCTGGATGCTGATTACAGAGCTTAGGAAATGGACGTCGCCTGAGGTGACCTTAAAAGTGCCGTCATCACCTGCAGATGAACATGGATCATTGGCATGCTTGCCGACAAAAGGGGAGGGGAACAGCCCTCCAATCGTGGTGGGAAATGAATTGAAGACCACCAAGGGCAAGCCTGCCCAGCCATCCAATTTTATTATGTGCATTTGTCTTAAAATCTGTTGGTTTCATCTACTTTTGATAATTTTATTACGTCTGCTGGTTTTGTTGCAATTTTTAAATTAAGGTTTCATGCCTTTTTGTTTGTAAGTTTTTTTGTTCTTGATTAAGTGGTGCAGAACTTTTGCCAAATAAAGCCTCTTCCTGCGGTATATGGAGGCTGGCGTAAGGCAATGGCATAGTCTGCTTGGTGCAGGATTGCCAAGTTTTCCAGTACTGTGACGCCTGGGTAGATAGAAGCTTGTTTGTGTTATCAGAAGACAGGAATGCAAGGTCCACGGAGCATTGTTTGAAATAGGACTCCTGCTTCCCTTAACCAAGGCCTGCTGGTTGGAAGATTCCCACAAAAGTCTGCTTTGGAATCTTCCGCTAAGTTCACCTTTGCTTTACTTGCTGAGTGTGATGACAAGGGCCAGACTGAGTACCTTCCTCCTCCACTTTAAGCTCCACACGTTTATTCTAACGTATTTTCTCCTCTAAACCCTTCAGATCCAAAACTTCGCATGGCAGAACTGTGGCCCTCCATCTGATCCTGCTGTAATCAGGAGTTTGTCCATATCTCCAGATCCAGTTTCGATGCCAGGAGATGTGACAGTCAGCGTAGCCGCTGCTACCACTGTGGCCCTCACTTCACCTCTGAAGGTATGTATGTGGAAGGCCAGTGGGCCAAGCCAGGTAGAAGTGGTACCTTCACACTGGGAACAGTTTCAGTGCTCTAATGAGGACAAACATGACTTGATGAAGCGTGTTTGCAACTATGGGCTCCTCTGCACTTCCGTTTGCCCCACTACTTTCTCCCAGGAAAACCCGCGGTTTCACACGGAGTCAGAACAATCTGCAATGGGGTTTTCCACAGGTTGCTGTTGGTTCCCATTTTGCACTAAACCGCAGGTTTACCCGGGAAAAGAGGCAGGACAAAGGCAAAACTGCTTGAACCTGTGCTTTTTAGGCATGGGACAAGTGGAAGTGTGGACCGAGGCCTATCTGGGACTAGCACTAGATTGCATTGGGCAATCAGGAATGCCAAATCCAGGTGTGGACCACAGCTTTCCCCGCTTCCTTCCTTTTTCTTCCCCTCCAGAGTTGTGGTCAGAAAGAAGACATCTTTTCCAAAAGGACAGGCATGGGGAACTTGTGGCCTTCTAGATGCTGCTAGACCTCTGCTCCCATCACCTCTGACCATTGGCTGTGCTGGCTGGGGCTGGTGGGAATGAGAGCTCAGTAGCAGGAGCTAGAAAAGAGGATATACAGTGGTACCTCGGGTTACAGACGCTTCAGGTTACAGACTCCGCTAACCCAGAAATATTATCTCAGGTTAAGAACTTTGCTTCAGGATGAGAACAGAAATCATGTGCCGGTGGCACGGCAGCAGCAGGAGGCCTTATTAGCTAAAGCGGTGCTTCAGGTTAAGAACAGTTTCAGGTTAAGAACGGACCTCCGGAACGAATTAAGTACTTAACCTGAGGGACCACTGTATTCAAGATTTACAGGCCCCTCTTTTCTTTTCTGTTTTTCTTTTCCAAGTAAAGGAATTTGATATGTAAGTGCATGTCAAGAAAATATGAGCCAATAAAATGTGATCTGGGGGGAAAAGGGCTTCACTAGATGGGGCGAGTCTCTCTCATTGACATAGGATCTCCGTCCGAGTCTCTGAATGGAAAACTGAAGTCATAGAATCATAGAGTTGGAAGGGACCCTGAGGGTCGCCTAGTCCAACCCCCTGCAACGCAGGACTATGCAGCTGTCCCATACAGGGATTGAACCTGCAACCTTGGCATTATCAGTACTGCTCTCTAACCAGCTGAGCTATCCAGTCCTGTGTTTAAATGGGAAATATCCCTTAGGATAAGGCAGAGGGGTGTGCACTGCCTTTCCCCCTATAAATCAGCCAGCATAATACAAATCTTTAGATGGGGCAGGGCTTGTGAAAAGCTCCTGAGGGATGTTTTCCCTAATTAGAGGTTTCCTTTCTCTAATGTGCTAATGTGGGGTAATTTGAGCCTAAAACATCTAATCATTAGGTAGACGACATATGAACATTTCTACTTGACATGTCGCACAGGTAGGCTGAGCAGAAATGGGAGCTTTCTTCCGCACAACAATTCAGACCCCTTAACAGGCTGCGACGGCCAAAGAAACAAAACTGGGACAACCTAGTGTTGGTCACTCTCCAGAATCCCCTTTTTGAAACAGAAGTATGTTGTGCTGAGTTGAGCAAACCCCTTAGTCCTGTGGCTGGTAGGAGCTGGCCTTACCATGACCACCTATGCTGAAATGTTACTGTGCGGTTTTCAGTGGGATCAAGTTCTGCTGGTGTGGGTATGAAGCACTCGAAATTCCTGCTATGCTAACCACTGCTGAGCACCTGACTGCCTATCAGCAGGAACTGGGCTGGGCCCAGCCGCATCCTCCCCTGTTAAGCAATGGTCCCCTGCATGACCATAGAATTGTAGACTGGGAGGGACCTTGGGGGTTCCACCCCCTGCATTGCTGGAATAGGATGTTGAAATCTGTTTCATTTGCATGTGTTAAGTCTCAACCTTACTTCTTAGTTCAGCCAAGTGGGGCGGGGTAGGGGGTGGGCTTGGGTGCTTGGCAGAGAACCCTGGAAGAGGCAGTGTCAGTATTGAAATGGCCTCCCTTTTGGAAAGATGGTGATTATTTATAGAGAATACTCCTAACGCAGGCGAAAACATGCTGGCCTGTGTTTGTGGGTTGCATTGAAGCAACACATCTGATCAAAATATTGGTAGCTAAGATATGTATACAGTGGTACCTCAGGTTACATACACTTCAGGTTACAGACTCTGCTAACCCAGAAATAGTACCTCGGGTTAAGAACTTTGCTCTGGCAGCGCAGCAGCAGCGGGAGTCCCTATTAGCTAAAGTGGTGCTTCAGGTTAAGAACAGTTTCAGGTTAAGAACGGACCTCCGGAACGAATTAAGTACTTAACCTGAGGTACCACTGTATGTCAAATGCCTACACACAAACACCTTCTCTTTCCGGGCCCTAGGCCTGGAAACTTTGATTGTGTGACTTCGATGATGCAAGTCGCTTGGGTCTTCACCTCTCTTGCTAGTACAGTCATACCTCAGGTTACGGTCCGCAGCGCCCCGGAAGTAACGGAGCGTGTTACTTCTGGGTTTTGCCACTCGCACATGCACAGACGCTCAAAAATGATGTCACTCGCATGTGCGGAAGCAGCGAATCACGACGCACGCACGCGCAGACATGGGTTGCGTTCACTTCAGCATGCGAACGGGGCTCCGGAACGGATTCCGTTCGCATCCAGAGGTACCACTGTATAATTCTACTGGTGATTTTCAGAGCTGTCTTTAATCTCATGCTCGTGTTTAGTGGTGGTATTCCTGCTTTAGAGATGAAGGAAACAGGAGCACAGAGCTCCTATGTGTAGAATCATAGAGTTGGAAGGGATCTCTAGTCCCCCTACAATGCCAAATTTACATCTACAGAATCCCTGAGGCCATCCAGCCACTGTTTAAAAACTTCCAAAGAAGTAGAGTCCACCACCTTCTGATGTAGTCAGTTCTGCTGCTGAGCAGCTCTTCCCTTCAGAGAGTTAGGTTTAGTCAGAATCTCCTTTCTTTTAATTTGGATCTGTTGGTTCGAGTCCTACCCTCTACAGCAGGATAAAACAAGCATGTTCCCTATTCCATGTGACAGCCCTTCAGATATTTGAAGAAGGCTATTGTATCATATCTCCTCCCAGTCTCCCCTTTTCCAGGCTGAACGTATCCAACTCCTTCAACCATTCCTCTTAAGGCTTGGTTTCCAGACCCTCCTCTGCACACGTTCCAGCTTGTCTGATGACCTGCAGGGAAACTGAAGCAGAAGAGGAAAATGCACTCCACTGACCATGGGATAACCTATAGGACTTAACTAGCAGGGAAGCCCTTCAGCCTCCTTAAAGACCTTTCTTATAAGCAGCTCCACACTTGAGCTTATATCGGGCCTTTAGGCTACCAATTGTTTTTTGCCACTTCCTATCCTGTGACAGATTCCCTGGACAGCTGCAGACATGGAATTCTTCCTGGGTTGGTCCAGGTGCCACAGCAAACCATGATTTGTCAAGCGCACGGACTTGGTGTGAGGGTTCGATCTTGGTTCCTTATTATTTCCTGCAGGGCAAGCACAAACCATAGTTGGCCCGTTAGGCCAAAATGGCAAACCGAGGTTGCCGCAAATCAGGAAAGGAGGCGGGAAATTGCTGCAAGGGAGGGAGAAGTGTGTGCTTGGGTGCTCAGTCCAGGCTCACATTTGTAATGCCAAACCGTGGTCTGCCATTCCATCTTGCCACAGCAAAAGCATGCACCTTTCTCGAATGGGCTTGAGATATGAAAAAGAAGGCTGTGATGAGTCTTTGTAACCAAGTAGATTTAGATGCGGGTGGCGCTGTGGGTTAAACCACAGAGCCTAGGGTTTGCCGATCAGAAGATCGGCGGTTCGAATCCCCGCGACGGGGTGAGCTCCCGTTGCTCGGTCCCAGCTCCTGCCAACCTAGCAGTTTGAAAGCAAGTCAAAGTGCAAGTAGATAAATAGGTACCACTCCGGCAGGAAGGTAAACGGCGTTTCCGTGCTCTGCTCTGGTTCGCCAGAAGTGGCTTAGTCATGCTGGCCACATGACCCAGAAGCTGTACGCCGGCTCCCTCGGCCAATAAAGCGAGATGAGCGCCACAACCCCAGAGTTGGTCACGACTGGACCTAATGGTCAGGGGTCCCTTTACCTTTACTAGATTTAGAGAGTTTAAACTTGAGGCATCGGGGGAAGTGCAAGTGAGCTTCACTTCCTTTTACGAGGCTTCAGATACAATATGGAAAGAGGAGGTGACCTCCAAAGAGGAACCTGTGTGTGTGCGTGTGCGTGCGTGCATGCATGCACCACCTGTTTCCCATTCAAAGAGCTGTGGCCTTTTGCTTCGTTCTCAGTATGGGTGCCACCATTTCTGGGACCCCAGTGGATGCCTTGCCACCCCTCCACTTACACTGCCTTCCTGCATCTCCTCTCCAGCAAGCTCCCTAATTTATTTATTTTTTGCAAGATTCCTTTTTTGAAACATGCGGAAGAAGCGTCACAAGAGGTAGCATGACTTGCTTGTGTGTTCCTGTCCAGTGCTGCTTTTTAGGACTCTGGCACAACGGGACAGGAATCCTCCTTGAGCTGGGGCTGGCGCACTCTCCCTGGTGCCCGTCCTATTTAGCAAGAGCACATTGGTCCATAATGGCAATTCCTAAAGAAGGACACTGTCAGAGAACAGCTTGCTGGAGAAGAGACTCGGGGAGGCAATGCTGGGTGCTTGAGCAGTGGGATCAGGTACACCCTGGGAATATCCTTACACTGCCTCTGGTTTTCTCAAACTCTCCATGCAAAGCGACAGGTCAGGCAAAGGAAAGCACGAGAGCCAGTGTGGTGTAGTGGTTAAGAGCGGTGGACTCGTAATCTGGTGAACCGGGTTCACTTCCCCACTCCTCCACATGCAACTGCTGGGTGATCTTGGGCTAGTCACACTTCTCTGAAGTCTCTCAGCCTTACTCACCTCACAGAGTGTTTGTTGTGGGGGAAGAAGGGCAAGGAGAATGTTAGCCGCTTTGAGACTCCTTAAGGGCAGTGAAAGGTCCAAACTTCTCCTCCTCCTCCTCCTCCTCCTCCTCCTCCTCCTCCTCCTCCTCTTCTTCTTCTTCTTCTTCTTCTTCTTCTTCTTCTTCTTCGTTAAACTGTGGAGGCATTGCTCACCACCAACCTGGATGGCTTTTAAAGAGGATTAGACAAATCCATGGGGAGGAGATGAGGCTAGCAATGGCTAATAATCACAATATGTTCTCCGTATACTGTCAGAGCCAGTATTCCTCTGAAAGCTAGTTGCTGGGGAGTGCAAGCATGGAGAGTGCTCTTGCACTCAGGTTCTGCTTAGGGGCTTCTCTCAGGCATCTGGATGTGAGAAGAGGAATCTGGACTAGATGGGTCTTTGGCCTGATCCATCAGGGCTCTTATGTTCTGATGACAGTGAAGATGCAGCTGGGGCAGAGGGCCATGGGCCCACTTAGGCGCCACGGCAAATGCCTGAATTCTCCGGTGTTGCAGAAAAACGGAACTTTGCTCATTGAGGGAAATGCCTGGCATTATTATACAGAGCAGCCTTATGTTCAGTGAGAGGAAGGAAAATAGCTAAGCTCAGCTGCTCCTGAAACATCTCTGAAAGCAAGAGAGGCCTTGTGAGCTATCATGCAGGTAGGGCCTGTTTTCAAACCAGTTGGAGCTGGGAGGCTTAATTAGGGTTGTTCCTTGCCTATTCAGCCAGGTTGCATGTTTAAACCCAAGTGTGGCAGGAGTACATGTGGAAAAGATCTAGGGGTCTTGGTGGACCACAACCTTAACTTGAGTCAATCACGTGGTGCAGCAGCAAAAAAAGCTAATGATCTTCTAGGCTGCATCAACAGAAGTCAAGTGTTCAGATCAAGGGAAGTCATAGTCCCGCTCTATTCTGCCCTGGTCAGACCACACCTGGAGTACTATGTCCACAGATTAAGAAGGATATTGACAAGCTGGAACATGTGCTGAGGAGGGGAGACCAAGATGATCAAGGGTCTGGAAACAAAGTCTTATGAGGAACAATTGAGGAAGTTGGGTATGTTTAGGCTGGATAAGAGGAGACTGAGAGGAGATATGAAAGCCATCTTCAAATATATTGTTGGTTTTTGGTTTTTGTTTTTTTAAAAACCCTGTGAAGAAGCTGCAGGTAGTTTCAGACTGAGAGGGTTTAACAGAAGCTGTTTACCCCTTCACTTTGTCTGTTCAGAAATGCACACGCATGCGCACACACCCACATTTGTTTTTCTGTCATTGAGAGGGAAGATGCAGAGGGGAGAAGGAATTCTGAACAGATCAGTGTCTGGGAAGGAAATGGTAAAGCAGTTCCTCTGTACAGAAGCACACTTTGAAGCAGGTGCTTTTCAATATAAAAGAAGGATGGGGGGTGTATATCTGGGACCAGAACTTGCTCTAATGTGGCCATTCATTTGTTTCTTCTCAGTTTTACGTATTGCCTCTGCCTGTCGAATGTTGCGGTGTTGTTCTGTGTTTCTTTATTGTTGCATACTGCCCAGTAATCTGTTACAGTGAAGGTCAAGTCAGGGGGGGAAAGCATAAAGAAATCATGAATTGTTGCTCCTTACTGCCCTCTTGTGGTGGTACCTAAGAGCTGACTCCAATCAAAGCTGCAAATTAGAGCCCACTCAGGTGCTTCTGGGGACTGACAAGTTCCCAGCCTCTGGTAATAAGAGGTACCGTATATCGATGTTATCAATGGTGATGATGATGAGGCCATCGATGAGGGATAATGGGAGTTGCGGTCTTTCAAATGATGATGGACTACAGGCTCCCCAACCTTGGCCTATAGGTAGGATGGCCAGTTGTCCAAGCTATAGTAAGCATTGAGCTGTGGGTGATTTTTGAGGAGGAAAGTCGGAGGTTAAATTAATGTTTGTGTATAATGTTTACTTCTAGGGAGAGGTTGTTTTGGAGAAGAAGATTGGCGATATGTGGATAAAGGTCCCCTGCGTGCAAGATCTTGGCAGCTGCACCTATAAAGATTTGTGTGCCATACTGGATCAGGTTATTCCTCCCGGCCAGCCATGTCCGGAACCATTGCAGTCTTATGACATTCCTTGCCATTGCCCCTTCAGAGCGGTAAGTTTAAGCTTCTCCCTCTTGGGAACCAAAGAAACAAATCCCACATGGGATGGGCAGCTGCAAGGCATGCCACCAAATTCCACATCCCTGTGGAATGTGCAGGTCCATCAGAGAAGGACAGGGGTTCCATACAGCTGATAGGCTTAACCAAGGTTTGCAGTCAAATTTGCTGCATGTTTAATAATCAAGGAAGTACGGGGGCAGGGCAGATAAGAAAGCTTATAGACACATCTCCATGTAAAGATTTGAAACCCCCGTAGTGCAGTGCACCTATAATTAAGCCCCATGTGCATTAAAAGAAATTAAGGGAGAATGATGAAGTTCAGTAAAGGAATGATGGAGCTGGCTGTCTTTCCAACAGATAGCTGGGTTTCCTCTGGAAAACCAATACTTGGAGCCTGAAAGATGAGTTTTAAAACGGCATTCCTCATGCAAGTTTTGCAGACCTTTAATTCAGTCCGATTTCTGCCCAACTCTGCTCCACATCTGCATCCTGTAAACCGAAAAGGGGCAGCCTACGAGGTATTTTTCAGGGATGCTTTTAGCAGCTCCTTGTGTCCTAAGGCAAGGTTCAGAGTTAGTGCATTGCTCATATAGGGACATCTCTAGGCGGCAGCTTGGGCCTTATATGCGATGGAGTAGTCAGAAGCTGCTGACTCCAGCTAACCCACTCATGCTTCTAGAAAAGAGCATCTTCTAGATTTTGACAGACTTGAGTGCATTGGTTTGTATGTTTTCAGTTGTGCAAACTGGGTGAGCCTGCTGGCTCCCAGTGAGGGGCTGGAATATTTCAGTGGCCATACCTATCAACCTGTAATTTCTCCTTGATTTCATACTGTAAAAGATCTGCTTATTGAGTGTTACCTATTGGCAGTGTTAGTATACCTGATGAAGGGAGCAGAAAGTGTTGGCTGATATGGGCTGACAGATCTTTGTGTGTGTTTTCTCCTTTCAGGGTTCTTACAACTTGCCTTCCTCCACCTTCTACATCCCCACCTTGGATTTGCCTCCCATGCTCACCAATGGGGACTACAAGTTCCAGGTTGTGCTGAGCAATGGTGACCAACAGCTGGGCTGTCTCAGGTTGTCACTTTCCCTGCACTCTGAGAGCCGGTGGTATTGGTGACTACAACGCAGGCATCTTTGGGCTTGAGTGCCACATTTCTTACTCTCCCCCCCCCCCTTGAATTGCTAATACTGAGACTTCTTAGCTGCAACTGCTTTTATGATGGCTTCTGAGGAGGAGCCAAGATGATGATGTGAACAGCAGCCTCTATCTTTCACTCTGCTTAAAAAAAATTTTTTTTAACTTCTGCTGATTGCTTTTAATCACTTGGAAAAACCACCAAACTCAATGAAGGAATGTTCAGAAATATTTTTTTTAAAAATCGGAAATTGAGATGTCTGTGCCTAACTAGGGTTTATGCATTGGTTATAATGAGGGCAGCTTTCCCTAACCTTGGTCCCTCCTCCCCCAAGGCATTGTTGGACCAGAGCTCTCATCATCTCTAAACATTGGCTAGGCCAGCCGGGGATGGTGGAAGGTGTGGTCCAATAATTCCCAGGGGAGCCAGTTGGGGAAGGCTGGATCAGGACCACATCACCCTGGATATATATGCTACACAGGGGTAGGGAGTGCATAATGGCTATGCGGATAGATGTAAGTGCAGCTTCTCAGCTTGGTAAAGTGACACATGCATAATCTTTATACATCACCGTCCATAAGATTCCTCTACACCCCCAGGGTCTCAGACTATGGGGTTGTGAGAATACTGAAAGGTTGTTGGGGTATGCTGACAGGATAGCTTGAGCAGACTCATGAAGCAGTAACCAAGGGAAGAAACCACACTTCCTGCTTTCTGCATCACAGATCAAAATAGCCAGGCAGGCTCCACCATCTCCTCTGTATTTACTTCTGCAACATCTGCCTGGTCAAGGTGGCTCATTCACTCTGCCATACACCAAGCACGCTATATGATCAAGCAGTTCCAATCCCTCAAAAGACCCATATCTCTTAGTCTTTTGCTGCCTAAGTTGAATTTTGTGCATGAAAACTAGATCCAAGCAAGAGAGTGGGACAATGAAGAGAACTAAGCCTTCTATAAAACACACACACACTTTACACCTCCTGATTCCATATATGCTGTTTCATGCTCCTGTTTGGTGCTTGGTTAGAGAGAGGGGTTTTTGGTGGGATTTATCTGTTCAAGTCAGCTTCTGATAAAAGCAGAAGGAAAACGCTCAACATAAAAGATCTGTATGGTATTTCATGCAAGACTCTTGCCAACATTTCTGAAAAAGGACCAAATGCTTGCAGTGCTCTCCCAAGGTATCTGTGGACAGTTTGGGGACTGTTGGGCAAAGTGACAAATTTCCATCTCTGTGGGAATTTTCTCTTCTTGTTCAACTAGAGAATGAAAGATGCTTACTTAACTTCTATTTCCTAAGGAACCAATTAATCCCACACTGATGGGAGTCCGGGGGGGGGGGGGGCGGCGGCGGGGGAATCACAGATCTCTATTATTCTCAAGGAGATGTGCTCTGGATTGAAGGAGAACAAAAATTCTAACATTCCAAATGGTACCATTATGAACCAAGTAATCTAATTGCATGAATCAGCCAAGTAATCTGATGACATGAATATAAGATGTATAGTTGTTGTGCCATATGGTGACAGTTTGAGTACTGTGTATAATTTCTGTGTTCTTTGAGGTGATGAACAGATTTGCCGAATACATATTGCATGTGCGGAACTGGTAAGAGACTGTTACAATGAGCCTGGACATCTGGACTAAGAATTAGTCGCCTGCTTGGTTGGTGCTCATGGAAACTCTTCCCTCAACCTCCATAATGTGTGATGGAGCTCTTGGGTGTGTTTCCTCCTTTTCTTTCCCTCCACCTTGCTTTCCTCCCAATGAGACCTTAAGCTTGTAGGGTGATTGTTTTAAGCCTCACACGTTTTTAAGGATTTGTACCTGTACTCCAGGTATACAATATACTTTGCCCTGTTTTATTACCCTTGTTGGTACTGACATTAATAGAACTCTGCCTGATGTATTCAGTGGGGGTGTTAATTGTAGTAACCCTCCTTACCTTGTGCCATACTGGATAGGCCATGATGACTGTGCACTTTATTTCACAATGCCATCTTGAATATCTGAACTCCCCAAAAGCTGGTCCTTCCATGTTCCAAACATACTTTTGTGTCTAACCCATCTCTACCATGCACCATGTGCTTCTTGTTCCCCTCCTATGCAAACAAATATTGAGACTCTGGGGAAAATGCATTGCAACTTATAGAGGAGCAAGAGTCTAAAGGAAAAACTACCGTACCATCATAGTCCTTCCAGCCCACTTCCGTCTCTAGTCCTAACAAATCATTATTCCAGTCCACTTAAAATCTCAGCCTGGAGGGCCTAAGTCCTAGTGACAAATCCCTTTGTCAGCGCTAGACTTGGCAAGGCAGCATTGCTTTATCCGTGTAGGTTTTCAAATATATTTAATATATTTAACGTGCACACGTCCAGAGTTATGGGGAGTGGCACAAGAAAATATATTGCCCTCTAGCTTAGAAACAACTCTTTCGTTTCCTCTTGCATCATATAATAACCCCACAGCCTCTTCCAAATAATTGCACCCAAATGCATCAATAAAAAAGTGTTTCCCCACAGCACTGCCTAAAAGGTTTGCACACAAAACCACAGCTGTGCTGTCTTGCAATGTAAGCATGCAGTTGTTATTGTGCTCCCCATGTTAAACTGTCAGACCTGTGCCCTGGGTATATGGCAGCCTGCTAGTATTACTCCATATTTTTATATGACGATGTTGCTAAAGTGCCTTGTAAGCCTTAAATAATAATGGCCATGGTGTGTCCAGATGCTGGATATAATCACATGGATAGATGTATGGAACATGACGGATGTAGCATATGTACCTGTGGAATATATTACTTAGGAAAACACCTTTCATTCTTCAAAAAAACCCCCTTTTTGAGCTAGCTACATTTCACAAATAATCACAATTTCCTACTGATTTCATCTGCATTCTAATCATCTCTTAAATTATCTGTACCCTGAATGCTTAGCAGCGGCTAGCTGATTTATTTTGTGGTATCCAACTTTATGATGGGGGAAAAAAATCAAGTGGCCTTTAGTGTTGGTGCCATAAGAGAGTATTGAATAAAATCTTTTTATTCCATAGCTGCTGTGTTAGTGTCTGATTGGTCTACGATTGTGTACTTATGTGGAAGTGCGGCCATGCAAATCTTTGGGAGGGTCACAGTGACACATGCTGCAACACTGGATTTCATTGACAAAGAACAAAGGTTACAATGATCACATACAGAAGGAGCCCACTGCAAATTCAGAAGACATTGTTGTCTGGTCCTGGGTTCTTGGAGCTTGTCGAACTGGCAATTTGTTGTGCAGGCAGTTGTATTTATAGTTTCTTACCACAAGCTGCTGCCACATCTTTTCAACATGTGAATCCACCTAATGGAAAAAATGCAAGAATAGAAAAAACACTCTCTATCAACATGGAGCCGAAAATTTATCAATCGTCCCTATAGGATCCTTTCTAACTTACACTTTTTGGCAGCTGCGTACACCTCTGTTTTATGTAAGTTTTGCATTTATCTTCAAGTCTTCAAATGCAAGGCTTATTTTAAGACTGGCCTAAACTGGGGTTGCCTAGGCATAATACAAAATGCACCCACGCTGCAATGATGCTGCATTTCCCCCCCACTATTTCCTCTGATTATTATGCCAAAGTAGATAGGAGAGATATGCTGAAGGTTGAGGATTGGAGTATTACTGAGCCTTGCGCTGGATTTTTACCATTACTCTACATAACTACATCTGGATAGAGTGGCTGATAGTTACAGAGATTATGTAGTCCATTTAGCCTCAAACAGAATACAGTGGTACCTCGGGTTACATACGCTTCAGGTTACAGACTCCGCTAACCCAGAAATATCTCGGGTTAAGAACTTTGCTTCAGGATGAGAACAGAAGGCAGCAGCAGGAGGCCCCATTAGCTAAAGTGGTGCTTCGGGTTAAGAACAGTTTCAGGTTAAGAACGGACCTCCGGAACGAATTAAGTACTTAACCTGAGGTACCACTGTATTCTTGTTTAGATGTACCAGTGAATACAACGCTATGGAAATCCCATTATAAGTGAATATGCAATGCGTACACAAGCTCAGTTGAGTCTCAGACCTTGAGATGAATGCTGCTTGGTGGTGACATCTGAGGAATCATCAATTCTGAATTTGGAAATCAGCTTTTTTGTGACCGTGGAATGCAGGAAGCTGCCTTCTACCAAGTTAGACCCTTGGTCTATACCTGGGATGGGAAGCTTGTAGCCCTCAAGATATGTATGACTCCCAACTTCCATCCGTCCCAACCTGCGTAGCCAATGATCAGGAATTATGAGAGGTAATCTGGAGAGCCAAACATCCATCCACCCATCTCACCCAACACTAGCTGGTTTTCCAGGGTGTCAGACAGAAGCCCCTTTCCCCCAATAGCTGGAGCTTGCACCTAGCACCTTCTGAATGCAAAGCAAGTCCTCTACCACTGAGCTGCACCCCTTCACCAGTCTGGTTTGGTGCTGTAGTCCCAACCTGGAAGCTCAGGAAGTGTCCTGGAGAAAACGCAGGTAGGCTCCCACACCCCATCATCCTCTCTCACTGTAGAATGGGAGCAATGTGCATTGTGCAATTTGTTGTGGTGGTCAGCTATAGAATGAGGCAGAGCCTAGCGCAAGCCTGGCCTGAGGCGAACTGCTCCCAGTTTTTGTAGATAAGGTAAGAAGAGAGCACTGCGTGGAAATGGCCAGAGCCCGGCCCTCCACCCAGCCTAAGCTTTGGCTTACTTTCTTTGAGCAATCAGCGTGTGGTTCTGTTCTTGTCATTAAAGCAAGTTGCAATTTTCAGCTTCTTGCTTCTGTCGTGGAAGCCATTTAGCAGTTGTGAGAGAGAGTCAAAATTGCTGTTTACACACACCACACCTTTTAAGCACATATAATTTTGATAGGATATATATATTCTTTTTAATTTAATTCAATATGTTTTAATTTTTAGCCATGTTCAATTGTTTTTAATGATCGTCTTTGGCGGTTCTTCTTTTTATCTGCAAGCCGCCTTGAGTCCCATCAGGGGGGAAAGCAGGGTGTAAATAAATATGTAACAACAAGAAGTCACTCTGTAAGGGGTAATCAATAAGTACCCAGAAATCTCTGAGGGAAAGAGGCCTACAGCATTTGTTGCAAAACTCTTTGAAACATAGCTCAGTTGGTAGAGCATTAGACTCTGAATCTTAGGGTTGTGGGTTCAAGCCCCACGTTGGGCAAAAAATGAAAAGTGAGGGTTGGGCTAGATGACCCTCGTGGTCCCAACTCCAGGACCAGATGCAAAGAAGGCGAAGGCGGCGACCAGGTGGGGCTCCTGCAATTGCAGGTCACCTCAAACGCCCCTGCTCTCAAGAGGCGCTCCTTCCCACTCTGGGGCTGGCTAGCCAGCTTGGGGTCCCCAGCTGTTCTGGGACTACAACTCCCATCAACCCTAGCTAGCAGGCCCCAGTGGTCAGGGGTGATGGGAGTGGTAGTCCAACAACGGCTGGGGAGAGGGGGAAGTTTGAACAACCCTGGAAGAGTTCCTTTCTGGCGCTGCCCTCTAGGAGGCGCGCCTAACCGGCAGCAGCCTCGCCGTCCAACCCAGGCGATGAGCCGGCTTCGCCGCTGCGCACGCGCGTTATCCCCAGCAGCGCTCCTTGTCCGGGCGGAAGTGGAAACCGGCAGCGTCGGAGAAATCCCCACCCTGGGCTGGAAGAGTTCGGTGTGACGTCTGCGCCTCCGGCTGAGCCACGTGAGCATACAAAGCCGGTTCGATCAGATGACCTGCCGCAGGAAGAGGCCAAGATGGAAAGGCGGTGAAAGGGGAAAGGCGGAACAAGGATCCTGCCTGCCGGGGTGGGACTGGTGAGTGATGGAACGAGGGTCAGAGCGGGGATGTTTGCAAGGCTTGCGGGGAAGCTGGCACGGGGGGGACGGGAGCTGGGGCGGCTGCCAGCCTAAGTGGGCGCGGACTTAGCCTGGCAAAGGGGGCCACGCGCGTTCCCTGCTGCACGACGGGGAGATGCTAAGTCGGTAGATGTCTCCAGGCAGCAAGGTTAAGTGGTGTAGTGACTCGGCTCCAAGGATAGGTGCGCAGCCCAAGGGGTGCGCGCAGAGGTGTGGGCTCAGGAGCCTGTCAGGTGCAGCTGCATATGTGCTTGTGCATCAGTGTGGGAGGGATTGATTGGCCGTGTTTTGGTTTTTGTTTATTGTTATGATCTTGAATAACGTACAGATCTGGAATGGGTCACGAGACAACGTACCCCAGAAAAGGGCATGTCAGAGGCTAGATCATGAGATGCATGCTTGGCGAGGAAGAATTGTGTTGTTGTTTTTAACGTTAAGCATGCAGATGTCATGGGTGACTTTGTTCTTTGCCAAGGATAACGTTTGGCTTGCCCTGCAGGGCTGGGGTGGGTGGGTAGCAGTCATTGGAGTGTCAGTTCAGGAATCACGAAGGAGGGAAACAAGAGCTGCTTAACAGAGGAGAGAAGGTTGCACTTGCGAATCGGGTAGGTGTAATTTTATTTTATTATTCTTTGTTTAATGCGCTTGGACGCTGCTGTACGCAGCAACGTCCAAATTAGTAGCCGCAGCAAATGACTGCACATGGAGATGTCATTTGCATGTTCTAAACAGAGGTTATTTCTGTTTGGCAAAGCAAGGGCCCAAGTGGAGGAAGTTGCATAGCAGAACTGGAATCCAGTTACCGGTACTTTGCAGTAGTTACGCAAGTTAGGTGGAAGTATCTGCTAAAAGAAGGTTTTCTTGCTGAGGAGCCAGTGTAGATTGGGAAAGCTGTGAAGAAATGTAGTCCAGCAGAGAGGTTGGAGCGGGCGGAAAATATATGGTGGATTTGAAGTGCCAACTGAATCTCATAGACAATATCTCTCAGCAGTAAGTGCTTGGGATACAGTGCTCAGTAGAAAGACACTGCTAGATTAATTAAATTTAGGTGAGGATGCGAGGAAGGAAGCATGCCTCAGGGACTGGGGCTGTCATTGAACTGCTGTCTTCTAGGAGCTACTTGAGCACTGTGTGTACACAAGGGTGGTCATGTAAGTATGTTATGGGCATTTCTCCTCCAAGACTTTCTTTTTCTTTTTCTCTACTTTACTCCTTACAAAGTATTATTACTGTTGCTGGTTTTGGTTTTTCCTTAACAATACAACCAATGAAGAAAAACAAGAAAAGGAAAAAGAAATCTCTGCAATGGATCGTAGCAATTTGTAGTGCGATATCAAAGTAAAGACAATTGGGGAAAAACTAAAGGAAGGACAGGGGTTGGGGGGGGGGAGGGAGAGTCCAAGTCGTGATTAAAAGCAGTGCAGAATCTGGAGCAATTCACGAGCTTGTGATTTTCCGTGGCAAGTAGATATTTGCATTCACTTCAGTGAAGGCCCCTGTGAGTGACAGCATTATCAAAGAATTGGCGAGGGGTCGTAACTCACTGGCAAATCCAACATTTGTATGTGGAAGATCCCAGCTTCAGATGGTATCCAGGTAGGACTGGGGAAAATAAATGTCCCAAACCTTGGAGAACTGCTTTCATTTCATTTTCTGGGGGGACGCATACCCCTAAACATTTTGTGAATCTAAGTTTGGCCTCATTGTGGGGCAGTATTTCAATATGCGTGGGAAAATGAGAGTACCCTTAAACATTTTTTTTTAGATAAAAAGCACTGGGACCAATAATGCAGCTGTTTTGCAGTGCTGAGGAGGCAGTCACCTAGGAGACAACAAAGCTATGTAAATTTTTTTCTTTTTACAGTACTGTTGCCACGATTGATTTTTCACTAAGGTATATGACCAGTTATGATGTCAATATCTTCTCAGGATCTCTCTGTTCTGTGATTTTTTCTTCTTGTATCTGAGGTTGTAACCCTTCCTCCAGTACTTTTCCAGGTCTCACCTCCTCTAGCTGTTCTTGCTGATTGTAGTGGAATTGGCCTCTTGTGCTTCCTGCTACTTCATAGTCTCTAATCTAATCCATGCCATCAGTGGGGAGGAGACTTTTTCCTGGCTAGTTTTCCTGGCTAGTTTTCAAAAGAGAAGAACCCCACTACCTATTGATGGGGTAATTATAGGATGGCATTATGCCAGGGGTGGATAGGAGAATAAGAGAGCGATTATCTGTGCCTTGCAGTACTCAGACTCTAATACCTAGTTGCTGAGTGTTCTGCTTCAGCTATGATATATCTAGTGGGATAGGAGGGAGTACACAGCTATTGCTGTGTAATTATCTGTACTTGGACTACTTTGTGCAAGAGTTTTCTTTGTGCACAACAGCTTGCACTTTAAGTTGTTAGGCTCTGCGCAACTAGGGTTTGCTTTGTTATATAAAGGTTGGAAATTGTAGCCTTTTACAATTGCAAAAAAGGATAGAGTTTAGGGTCCATTTTTGGTGAATAGGCTGAGATTGCTCCATGTTTAATATCTTTTGGCAGTGGCAGGTTATTGGAATATTTTGAATGTATGTTAAATTCAGCTGAGATGGTGCAACAATTGTTTTGGGGAGAATTCAATGATGAAACTGAAACTTCCATTCCATTCTGTGTACAGTGTGCATATGTGAATGACACGGAAAACTTATCTCTATACTATGCATTTGCATAGCTTGCATATTTCTGAAGTGCGTTCTGTAGTACATTTCTATTGCAGGTTCAAGATATGAGCTGATGGAATAGAAATCCAGATAAATAAATTAGATAATTACTACTGGCACTGCATTTGCGTTACAGCAAGATAGGCCTATGCTGAAGAGTGAAAGAAACATATTAATGTAAAGCAGAATAGGTGCCAGACAAATTCCTGCAGAACCGCAGCAAAAAATATCAAAAAATTTGCACCTGGCAGTCCAAATTCTTGGCACATTTCAAGTCACATTAGAAATTATAAAACCTAAGGGAAGTGAACCTACAGAAACTGTTGTTAATTAAATATATGACTCATTTGGTTCACACATTGTGTGTATATGGAACTGTATGGGCTGCATGGACATAAAATAGAAAAAGAAATCTTTTAAATTCTTCTTAAACAAATGCTCAGATAGATGTAACACAAAACCATGATTTGGTGGTACATGAATGAGTATTCCACTTTCTCATTCTTTCCTCTGTCTAGTTGTACAAACTATCGTTTGGCTGTAATGGTAAACTGTAGTTTATCACTAACTCTGAATAACAGGAGAGAATTTATTTCTTTGGATGGAGAGAACAGAGAATCACAAAAGAGGTTTTTGATCCTCTAAACTGTGGTTTGAAGCACTGAAAATAGTAGGTCTGAAGCAAGGCAGTCCAACATGTGGCTCTCTAGGCTTTTTTTGGCAGCCCTTGGCAACATCTGACGCCCCTGGCAGCCCTCATGCTCCCTTCCCAAAGTCAGGTAAGGAGGTCCTGGGCTTTGGGAAGGAGGCATGAGAGCTCTGACAAGGTCCTAGAGTCCTTCAACTTCCTTCCCAAAGCCTGGTAAGCACTTTTCTTTTTGGGAAGAAGGTGGGAGGGGTTTAGGACCCTGCCGGAGCCTTGCACCTCCTTGCCAAATCCCTGCACCTTGCTTAGCTGCTTTCGGGAAGGCAGCATGAGGGCATGTGTGTGTCAAATTTTGGTCTCGCTCCCCCACCCTGCGCGACAAGGCAATGCACGGCCCACAGGTTCAATGGGTGTGCCTCCCTCTTAGTTAGTCCTTATTAGTCATGCCACTTATATGCATCAAGCCTACTGACATATTTCTAGTTTGTTGCTCCTAAAATCACAAGGAACCATCAGACTTGCTAAAAACTGTTTTCTTGGAAATCAAAAACCATAAAAGCTTGGAGGGGGAGGGAAGCCAAGAAAGAAGTTCTCAATCTCCACAGTGAACTTCATTTCATCCAGTCTTCTGCAGACTGAGTATCAGTTATCATCATAGCTGTCAACATTTCCCTTTTTTAAAGGGAAATTCCCTTATTCTGAATAGGATTCCTCGCAAGAAAAGGGAAAAGTTGACAGCTATGGTTATCATTTCCAAAAGAGAAAAAGAAAGGTGTTGAGTAGCATCTGTTTATGTTTTCTTACATTTTATTTCCCAATGGAAAGGTATATTTTAGCAACAGGAAGTGTCTAGGAAGACCAGGAATAGCTGAATTGACCTTTGCCAATCTGGTGCCTTCCAGGTGTTTCATACTACAGCTCCCATCAGGCCCTCTGTTTAGGGACAACAGCTCCCATTGGCCATGCTTGCTGAGGCTGATGGGAGTTG